AATATTCAGAAGGTCCAGTAATTGACAGGAACGAATCACGAAGCACAGAACAATTACTCACTCCAAATGTTCCCGTCGCATAGAAATCGAACGGAACTGACGAAGAAGTGTCAACCGCCTGATGTAGTTCGATCGCAATCACATTATTCTCCAATGTTGCTTTGACAAACGGAAGAATCACATGGAAGAATACTGCAATCGATGAATCATGAGCCTCGGGAGCAGGTGTTAAGTCATCAACTATATCAGGCAGATTGAATCGAGCCACTCTCTTTCCATTCACATAGGCAATCAATCCACCTCCATATTTCACCATCACATTCATCACTTGATAATCTTCTAACGAAGGAACCGAGAAATGACGACGCAAATAGACCGTAAGTCCAGAACCAGTTCCGATTTCTCCAGCTTTCAATTGTTCCCAATTCGAGTCTTGGAAATCCACCGAAGTCCAATCCGAACTCACAAATTGTTTGGAAACAGACCATTCTGTAAATTCGTTTTGGAACGGAATAGAAGACGAGAATTGAAGTAATGTTCGAATGGGACTTGTTCCTGCAGGGACTTGTTGCATTTCCAATCGGAAGGTTCCAACATCCACAGAAAGCATATAACCTGCTGGAGTCGCCATCCCCATGTTGCTTTCTGTCACAATTTCCATTGTGTACAAACCATCTGCTAAACAGAAATCGAAATAGACTAAAGTATTCGTTTGTCCTAATGTATCGGAAGTCGAAATCGGCTCTCCAACCATTTCTTTGCCTGAATACAAATTGTAATGACTTCGTTCTGGATAATAATCAGTTCGAACAGTCATTGTGATGAGTCCCTTTCCGTTTGTACACAATGCTACACTCAATGTGATTACAAACGATGAAGTTCCTCCCGTCAGTTTGCTGGCTGTAATCGTGTATTGAGATGCTTCTTTACTTGTAGTTGCTGTTCCTGAAATCATTCCTGTCATAGAATCAATCGTGATTCCTTCTGGAAGTGCAGGTTCGATTCTGAAATTGAAATAATACTCGGTTTCGCAATAGACTTCGGCCATTTCGATTCCTCGATAAATCTCAATGGGAGTTGGATAAGAAAGTGGAGCAATTTCCATATTCACATTTTCAATGTGAAAATCAAGTGCTAACACTTTCCATCCTGAACTCGTTTTTCCTTTGAAATTTCGGAAACGATATGTATTGTACGGTTTTGTGGGTAATAAATAGAATTGTTTTGTTTGTCCCGCGAATGACCATTCTATATCCTGTCCAGTTTGTAACAGTGTCCATGATTCATCTTCTCGATTCTTGGCTTCCAATATGAATGATGCAATTCCTCTTGTATTGGATGAATAGTCATTCATTATTGTCACCATATTGATCCATTCTCTTCGATCATTATTGAACTCCAATTCTACCCAGTTGTCATAATTACTATACGAACTTATATAATCCAATCTGTTCTTTGAAAATGGATCGGATGTTGTGTATAGCGAAGTACTATACGAATAGTCCCATACTCGACTGTTTTCAGTATTACGAATCAATCGAATTGCACAATCAAATATAGATTCCGTTTGACTAGCAGTAATCGAAACCAACGCAATTGCTATTCGATTGGATCCTTCTACTAAGTAATTCAATTCAGTATCATCATCTTCATTATACACCTTGATAGGTAACGAAATCAAATGGAATGAATTATCAGTATAAGAATTGGATGCTGCAGACTCATTCGATAAATCACCTTCGATCGCATTTCGGAACACTTCCTGACCATTCAACATGATTATCATTCCATATCGATATTTGACATTCAAAGTGAACGAGGTCACATTGGCAAGTGATTGAATCGAGAAATTCTTTTTATAGAGTTGAATTCGATTGGACGAAGCAGGGAACACTGTGTTCTGTTCCCATCCTTCCACTGATTCTGAAGCCCAATTTGCAGGCACTTCTCCCATTTTGTAATACCATTCTTCTTCCGATTGAATAGGATACTGTGTACTGATAATATAGGGGTCCGGAGTTCCAACGAGCGAATCTCGATGAATTCGACCAATCATTTCTTTATCGCCATTCTTCATCACTGTCCGAATGTTGATATACGAACTTGATTTCCAGAATTCATCTCCAGCAGTGTCAACTCGAATACGATTTGTAGATAAACATAAATGTGTCTTCACTACACTGCTATCCTCTTGTCCATGATCTAGAGGAACACTGAGTAATACTTCATTTGTTTCGTCATCATAAATCGTATAGGCTTCACTACTTGCCTGAAGTTTATAGACTCGCTCGATTTCGACTAGTACCGAATCGCAACTGGTTATCTTCAAACTGAATGTTCCAGATAGTCCTTCACTCACAGAAGATGTCATTGTATAAGTAATGTTATCTGTAGTAATCGTAGCAATTCCAGAAATCGTGCAAGTCGCACTGTTCAGTTCCAAACCAGTAGGAAGTTCCGGACTAATACTACATCCAGATATATCGCTTCGTACAGGCTTGATTTCAACTTCATCATGTTGAGCCAGATATACATAACTGGATCGTGGGAATTCGATTTCTGTGAGAACAGGTACATTACAAACGAGGAGTTGTAATTCATAAGCAGAAAGCGAATAACTTCCACTACTCTCGATATTGACACGATAATGTCTCCACGACGAAGAATACACTCGCGATGTCCACATACTGTATCCATTATAAGTGTAATCAGCATTTTCAATGGTCAGCATGGTTGTGTATTGTCCTGATGAACTAGACGAACCTCCCATAGTAAATGTTTTGGGAGCTGCACTAACGGAAGTCGAAGCAAATACTCGGAATCCATTTACTACAGGAATCGAATTTCCGTTGTATGCATAATTGATTGTAACAGGGAAATTGTACGTATAATAGTAATCGCCCTTGTTCCAGTTAAACGCTTTTTCCTGTTCAGTGTCCAATGTAACATCATTTCCGACAATGAAACAATTATCGCCTGCTGAACTCGAATACACTGATAACCAAGCATCGAATACTCGCTCTGATTCCGATGAATCATTTGTCATATGAATCTCGACTGCCAAAATCGAACTCCCCTCCACTTCTTGACCTCCACGAATGACTCCGCGGAATGTGTAATTTGAGTGAGATCCTGTGGCTGCAGTATCTCCACTCACACTACCTTCAGCTATGTTATCTCGATAGATTTCTAAACCATTTATATAGGCGACTATACCATGGCGATAATTGAAACGGACCTCATAAGCAGCCATTCCCACAATTCCATTAAACGAATAACGATAATACTGAGTGGAGTGGGGTTGCGAAATCGGATCATTGATAGACAATGAAGTCCATTGAGAATCATCAAACTGGTTTGTCATCCAATTGGCTGGAACAGATCCCTGATAGAATTTCCACGAAGAGTTAGTCGCGATTGGATTATAAAGTGACAAGGGGAAAATCTCGTACTGATCTTCAGTCATATAGTTCTTGAAGACTATATTTCCATAAGGACCTTCAATCTGGAGCCATGATCCTGATGACCAGGAATCACCGTACTCATCATAGAACCATACTTCATATTGATTGTTTTGCGTAGAGTTCAGGCACCATTCCCAAGAGAAAAGAGAGTTATTCTCGAAGGTATCGCTTTCTTCATAGACAGTAGTTCCATGAATTTGAACTTGTTCCTCGTAAGCAAAAAGCTTAGAATTCTTGGTGAGTTTAATATATACCTTGTCTTCAGGACATGTGATGGCGTGTATACTTATGGTAAGCACTAAGGTTTACATAAGCAATAATATAATACCCATATAGAGCAGAACGGTAACTCTCATTTTTCAAAAATAATATGAGTTTGTATCATTTATGAAACTCCTGTCCTATTTTTGTGGTTCCTATTTTTGTTTAGTGATCAATAATTATTATGGTTGAAGTTTTCCCTTCTTTCTATCCATTGAAACAAGATGAACAGATTTGATTTCATTTGAATATGGCAACCATTAGCTAATGGCGGTATTGTCATTGTATAAGTAAAGAATTGGGCATGATTTCTATTTCTCTATCTGAGCTACATAGAATAATAGAGAATCGGGAATAGTATTTGGTCCAGGACCTAAATACTTTAAACGAGCTCAGTCCTCATCCCCTAGTATTATTCCACTTATTTTTTGAATATGCTTATATCTTTGACCTATAAAACTGATTAGCTTGGAGTAGTTGGGAAGGTGATGGATTTACTACATACAATCAATTCAATTTGTCACTTAATTGGTCATCATATAATGTGTAGATTAGTATCCACTCACTGTTTTTGTAGGAATTGAATGTACTGACATAGAATCCCTTGTTCCACGTGTGTTGTTCTGTAGTTTGTTTAGAAGCTATTCTTTATTATAATTCTTATATTTATTTTGAGAAATAGATGATGGGCATGATTCCTTTGTATTTGAATGAAATACCTCTTTTTTTTTGAATGATTACTGTGTATGTCCATACTATTTTGTATGGACAGAGTTATTATCTCTAAACACCTGGTTCTTCGCAATCTCACACTTTACGTATAGAATATGAGTAAGTATGAATTCTTTTTGAGAAATAAGCACGTTTATGTACTTCTCGACAATATTCTATCATTCTGTGTAAGAAATGTGTTGCAAGCGAATAGTAATAAGTATATCTACAATCTACTCCATTCTGGTATTGGCATATATACTATGATTCACATAAAGCACTTAGTAGCTTGTCTTTTCTTCCTTTTATGATTCCTTTCTTTTCTATTCGCGATTCTATCTATGAAATTACTTCTGAACGCTAATAATTGATTATACTACCTTGGTGTTACATAGAACAATGAGATTACAAATTAAGCTGTTGTGCATTCTTCTGTTTGACTTTGCACTAATTTATCGCATTTCTAGTACACTTTTCACACAAACTTTCTTATATGACAACAGTTAATACCATGCCCAATATTTGGAAGCCAATTTCAAATCGTTTGTTATTAACAAACTAGAAACAAATGGAACTTCGGTCCTGTTTCAATTATTACGGAGAAGAAGCTTCAGTTGGATGGAAGCTATTGTACCGATTCTGGATAACCTCTACAAAAGCCGGGTTTTCTACAATGACAATAGAATAAAAACGATTACCTGAGAACTCGCCACTAACCTCGGAAGCATCCATGAATGACTGATTTGTTTCCGCCTGATTGACAATTTTCAACGATGCCTTAGGTATACCTATACTAAAAATAGTTATAGTTAGAATATACCATATAAGAAGACATTTGTAGTCGTAACGAAGTTGTTAAGTCTGCATCTGAAAATGGTGAGTTTGGGCAGAGCTATTTGATTATTTACCATTTCAATGATAATTACAAACTAATTTCAAATTAACAGATGTGCTCGCAGTAACAGCTTGACCACGCAAAGCATTGGCAGAAAGATCAACAGTCTGTAACTGAGAAAGGCCTATTTTGTTATTATAAGACATCACAGCTTACTCTCGAAGACGACATCGGTCGCCATTCGGAATGCCTGGTTACCTAACTCCACATACTGCAGAGAAACCAAATCTACATCTAATAACAATAGATTCAAGAGTACATTGCAAACGGAAATTACTTGCACGATAGAAGTTGAAAGAAGGCTTTCCGAGCTGACCAATATACAGATTTACCAAAGAGGGCAGACTGTTCAGCGTGAAACCGCCACTGAAATCCGAAAAACTGTAATTACCAATGCTAATCTCAGTAAGTTTGGGGCAATTAGTAATAGAGAACACTCGCTTATTATATCTCTTTTTAGGAGTCGTAGACTTCTGATAATTGAAGCAGTTCTGTCCAATTTTCACACCTTCAAGTTGATTAAGACCTGTGAGCTCAAACTCATTCTGGGCCTGGAACTGATTGTCATCCTCAACATTCAGATAAATCAAATTGGTAAATTCACTGAAATCAATAGGTGTACCATCGAAATGAGGATTGAAGGATTCATCCAAACTACCAGGATGGCTGCAAGCGCCACTAGTAATTTTCAGTACTCTCACCTCCGCTTTTACATCAGTAGGAAGTTCACATGAAATCATCGTAGTTTCCTGAATGAAGCCCACAGAAGGATGATAATAATTGTTGTTGTTGTATGTATTCAAGTCAAGCTCTTCTTCGGGTGTGGAAGAAGAAGTGATCTTAAGTTTGTAGTTACTCAAATCACCCTCAACGACCAAGGTCAGGAGCTTGCTCTCAATACACTTCCAATTATAAGGTGTTAACGAGTCAAGAATAATATCAGTCTCCGATTCATCCACAGAATAGAAGAAAGTGACTCGTGCATCGCTGGAAATTTCGGTATTGTCTCCACTGGATACCAAAGAAGCACTCACTAATACGGTTCCCTCCTCACAACTGTATGGCGTAGGGCCCACAGTAGGAGCAGCAGTAGTGGGGGCAGCCGTAGTGGGAGCCTCAGTAGGTTCTTCGGTAGGCAAAACAGTAGGAGCTTCAGTAGTGGGAACCTCGGTAGTGGGAACCTCAGTAGTGGGAGCCTCAGTGGGAGGAAGAGTAGTGGGAGGCAAAGTCGTGGGAGCCTCAGTGGGAGGAAGAGTAGTAGGAGCTTCAGTAGTAGGAGCTTCAGTAGTGGGAACCTCAGTAGTGGGAACCTCGGTAGTGGGAACCTCAGTAGTGGGAGCCTCAGTGGGAGGAAGAGTAGTGGGAGCCTCAGTGGGAGGAAGAGTAGTGGGAGCCTCAGTAGGAGCCTCAGTGGGAGGAAGAGTAGTAGGGGCTTCAGTAGTAGGAGCTTCAGTAGTCGGAACCTCAGTAGTAGGAACCTCGGTAGTCGGAACCTCAGTGGGAGGAAGAGTAGTAGGAGTTTGAGTGGTGGGAGCCTCAGTAGGAGCCTCAGTAGTGGGAGCTTCAGTAGTGGGAGCTTCAGTAGTAGGCGGCTCAGTAGTAGGAATAGAGGGTGCTACAGTAGGTTTTTCCTGCCCTGGATTTGCATTATCGATCTTGTTTGCAAGATCTTCAGCACTGCCTTTGCTGTTCTCATCCTCATATTCAACATTAGTTACTCCAGACAAAGAACCATTTCCCACCTCAAATGTGGTATTCGTACCACCAACAACTACCGTATCAAAGTTCTTTCCAGAATCCTCTTCGAACACAACAGTCGCATCTCCTGGCAACTTGATAACAAGTGATCCACCAGCAAGACGTCTACCGCTAACAAGTCGTCTTGAATCATATATTCCAGAGAACGCTCCTTGTTTAACGACAACACTCTCTATATTAGACACACAACCATCCTCTAAATCAATAAAAAGAGTATTGGCATTCGGGAATGAATATTTTCCGAAGGTAATAACTTTCACCTCACGCCAGTTTTCATTCAGGTTATCACAAGTTAAGTAAAATGATTCACATTCAGGGCATAAGTGCTCAGCATACTCCACATAAAGAGTTCCTTCAGGAATATCATAAAGAAATTTTGCATCATCAATAGTATAGGTTCCAGCCAAAGTAGGAGCTTCAGTAGTAGGAACCTCAGTAGTAGGAGCCTCAGTAGGAACCTCAGTAGTAGGAACCTCAGTAGGAGCTTGAGTGGTAGGAACCTCAGTAGGAACCTCAGTAGGAACCTCAGTAGTGGGAGCCTCAGTAGTAGGAACCTCAGTAGGAGCCTCAGTAGTAGGAACCTCAGTGGGAGCCTCAGTAGTAGGCGGTTCAGTAGTAGGAATAGAGGGTTCCACAGTAGGTTTTCCCTGATCATTATTAGCATTATCGATCTTGTTTGCAAGATCTTCAGCACTGCCTTTGCTGTTCTCATCCGCATATTCAACATTAGTTACTCCAGACAGGGCGCCATCTTCCACTGTCCAATCGATGTCCTTACCACCAACAACTACCGTATCAAAGTTCTTTCCAGAATCCTTTTCAAACACAACAGTCGCATTTCCTGGCAACTTGATAACAAGTGATCCACCAGCAAGACGTCTACCACTAACAAGCCGTCTACCACCGTTTTCCAACTCCGAGAAAGAACCAGTTTTAAAAATAATAGAAATCGAGTCCAGCCTTGATACATCGATAGCAGCCTCTTTGACATTAGGGAATGAATTAATGCCAAAAGTGATTTCTCTCAAGTTTTTGAAATCCTCGTAATTTGAATCATCAACAACCAACTCGAACTCGAGTAAACCTTGACCATAACCCTCAGGGAAGACTAACGTGACAATGTTACTGTTCATCTGATCCCTCCAATTTTCATTCTCTACAACGAGTACTGTATTTTCAGGATTTGTCACAGTTTCAGAGAGCTTCAAAGCAAAAGCATAACCAGCAATACCAGCATAATTAGCCAACGCAGTATCACCAGTCATAGGAAGTGTGAAATACACGCTCTGGCAGGGCACAACATTGGCAACCACGTCCCAGTACGCCTTTCCGTCTTCTTCTTCTTTCTCTTTATTATAGCCACGTACGACAGCAAACAAAGTAGGCTGATCATCAGCTCCCTTGTAAGGAATATCCTTTCCAGTATCAAGAACATAACGGAATGTATCAAGATTGATAGCCAAAAGAGCAACAACAGGATTTCTCTCATCAATAAGTTTCATCAGTCCACCTCTGTTGGGAGCTTCAGAGGAGATAGAAGAGAACTTGTATACCTTAGAGTAATACTTATTATTACAAATATAGTCTTCCTCAATCTTATCCTTCCCGTAAAGGTATTTAGCTACCTCACCAACTTCCACCAATCCCTTTTCAGACAAGAAAGAGTAAATATCATTAAAACGAACATCATTCAAATTGATTCCAGAAGAGGCAGGAAGACAATGGAGAAGATGAACCACAGACAGTTGTACTTTCTCAGATTCAGCAACAACATCTTTGTTAATAGCAGCTTCAGCAGCTGTGATAATGGCAGTAGCCCATGAAGTGGAGTTGGCGTAGGTACTTTGAGAAAACTTGCTGAGATATGAAGACTCCGCATTGCCAATAGGACAATATTCACGAGGACTGATAAGGTCTGCGTCGTTTACAGGATACTTTTCAGAATCCTCAGCAATTGCTTCAAATGGGGTTACGTCATGATTGTATCGAATGGCCAGCGAAGACAACCTCGAAATACCATCCTCGTCAAAATCAGAATAGAGAGAGAGATCCATCTTGTACCGACGATAGGCCTGCTTTGCAACAAGAAGTTTGCAGGCATCTATCCAGTTTCTCATATATCTACGTTTAAAATAAACTACATTGCATACGCCTCATATTCGTCAGTAGTAGGTTTCCATTCACCTACAGAGTTGCCGTCTGTATCGAAACCAAATCCCTTTTTCGATACAATTTCATCTCCAGTAAGGAAGGTTTTATAACCTTGTTCATCGCATTGATATCCGCTTATCGCAAGCTGAGACAACAAGATAATCTGAACAAAAAACAGAACAGAATTCATCTAGTAAGATTTTATGGTCATAATACATTTTCTATTAGAAAGAAGAATGCTTGAAACTCCCATTAATTATTCCTTATATAATTCATGTGGGTTTTTTTCTGTTTACTGAACAATGTTTTTGAGTGCAAATGACTACTTGCTATTTTGTACAGGAATTAAATCAGATATTATTTAGGCACTTATTTTTAAAATGAATGAATGACCCTAGATTGATTGTACTAAAGATTGACTGCTTATTTAGAAACTACCTTTTTAGATTCTTCATTTCTTGAGTGAATTAAATTAGCGTGTATTACAGCAAACAAGGTTTTTTGTTAGACCACATAGGAGTTCACCTAATACTTGAATTATTGGTATTCGCCGAAGGTATTTCCAAAGCTCTTGATCAAATGGTGTGCTCAAAAATGAATCATAGTGTATTGCTGGATGTGAATACATATTTGTGTTTCCAGCAAGTATTAAGTGTTTAGTAGTTAACTTATTATAGCACTTTTATTCAGGTACATAGAATACAGAATTGAGCACAATTATAGTACACGATTATAATGAATGTATACAGTGATGTTATTTTAAATATTCGAATGTGATGCAAGGCAAAGAATCGTAAAGACGTGAGGATTGTTCATTTTCAGTTAGCATCGTAGAACATTATGAATTGAAGTGAATAATCGATTAGCGGTGGCAGAGTTCCACGAAAGATCGAGTTAATAGCCAATGAAAATCTTGACGTTTGCCAAAATAGGAAATGGGAAGTTTTTAAAGACTCTATCATTTTGTATATGTTTGACTGAGATAGAATAAACATAGAACAAGTTACTGATCATCAGTGTGATACGTGTGGTATGCACTTAGTTTTTCATCATCTTCATAAATACTTTTGTTTCATGAGCTTTGGATGAACTGAAAGAAATGCCTATTCTTCAGCGTTTCTGTTATTTCGTTATACTTACCACTTCGTTTTTTTTCACCTTCCATCTCCAACACCACTACCGTTACTACTAGAACTTCTACTACCAGAATTACTACTACTACCAGAATTACTACTACTACTACCAGAACTACTACTACTACTACTACTACTACTTTCTACCTAAGCAAATACTACAAAACAAGTCCTTGTCTACTCCCATCTTTCCTCATTCCAGCTTTTTCTCTTCTCTACTCGTACACTTCCTCTCTTGCTCTATCATTAAACTCTTTCTCGCCCTCGGTATGTATATGTTTGCCACTATTCCCAGTATTTTCCTCAATAACCGCGGTATCAAAGAAAAAAACCTCTTTATTGATACGATTCTATTTAAACAAACATGGAGCGTACATCCTTAGTTCCTATTTTAATTTTAGAATCCTTAAACATTCAAAAATATCTTCAGATGACAATTCAAGAGTTGTGTTCCTGCCTGAAGCAGGAGGATCCTCTTGAGATAAAAAGTGTATTAGAAGTGATATTATACAAGTTGTTTCCCGAAATTCTTTCGGATGGAGAAAAGAGTAATGTAGCAATACTTCAAAAGTGTACTGTAGCTAACCTATGTGTTTCTTCATCAAATGGCACTTCCTGTGTATTATCTAAATCAAAGTTGGAATCAGACCTATGGCGAAACAACCAATCAAATCGTGCTGCGCGCCTTTGCCATATTCGCGTGTATTATCTACGAATTTAAAAACAAAGAAAATCGTGGTCACTGTCAGTCGGAGATGGACTTTATTCAGTCATCGAATCATACGATAAGGGGTGAGTTGTTTGAATCTTTATTGCAGTCCTATAACATGGATCCTGAATCTACGAATGCAGAAGCTCATGCAAAATCGTCGGTTATGCATTCTCTAAGCTTTAATCTCTCTCCCTATGTCAAAATGCTTCCGAAATTCGACGCGATTCCTGTGATAATATCGTGTCTTCGGCAAGATGACATTCGGATTGTAAAATTGTCAACGGAGACGCTCATTCTACTATGCCAATGGAATGGTAGTTTTGTGAAAACGATCACGGATTACATGTTTTCCTCTGCTATTTTCACGCTGCTCGATCGTCTTCGATACAATATTCTCCACAATCTCTCGATCAACCATTTCCAAAAGAAGAAGAACTCTCTTCTTCGGAGGCTACGCTCGCCGAATAGTTATGACGATGAGCTGGTGGAGGAGAGACATAGCGTTTTTACGATGGATATGCAGGACACGTTCCTAGCAAGCTTAGGGATTTGCAACGATCCGTATGATGGATCACTTCAAGCGATCTTCTATTGTTCGGAAGAGAATGGCCAGGAACTTCTCTTGCATTCGGTGCTGTTACTCATTCTGTACATGGAGGGGAGTAAAAAGGCGCCTGGAAGCTCGATTGCTACGAGCAGTTTACTCGCAGAATTGCATGCATCGGAATGTGAATCGGTTCTGATGGGTGGATTTTGGATGGAGGGGTTACTGAATAGATTTACTCTTTTATTTCATCCAGAATAAGAACGAGGATCTGGTGGACTTGCTTCTTTCTGTCTTGCTTCTGTTTTTCAAGTCCTATCAGTTCTATTCTCTATTTACTTCCTTCTCTTCCTCGGAACAGTCTCTCTTTCTTCAGTGCATGGCCATGTCGCGTTCTTCGATTTATGAACAAGCCCTAACCTTAATCCTAACGAGCATTATTCGAACACAAGACCGAGAATGGTTTTATGTTGACGATTTTACCGACTCTATTTTACATCATTACAAGTCAGTGTCCAGTTACACCAAAATTCTCATAAGTATCTTCCCATAAAGAGTGTCACTTATTTGTAGACCTTGCACTCCGACAGTTCCTTGCAATGAATTCTGTAGGATATGGACTCGTCAATTACTCTTGCTATATGGATGACATTTGCTCTATCTTCGAGTTGGATCTGCCCTGGACCAAACCTTACCTAGCCTTTATTCTATTTTCGCGCCTTTGCAAAGGTTTTCAGCCGCGTTTGTCCTTCTGGAAAGAGGACTTGGAAGATGCGGAGGAGAATGGGATGGTTCTCTTTGTGCGTGAGTGCTTGCAGGGCACCTCCCGAATTAAATCGCGTGTCAAGCAGCTCATCACGCCTCTTGAAGGAAGGGACTGCTGTGAGGCGGACTTGCTGTTGGACGCCTTCATGAAGAAGCATCGGTTCAGTCCGGCGAACCCTCTCTCATACTATCAATCTACCGGGTTTACAGGAGTGCGATATGTGATCAAAGGGGAGGTACAGCGCGCTTTTCTGTGTAGAAGCGTGTCTTCGGTGTCGATTACGTCGGAGGATGAAAACGAATGGAATAAAGAGTGTTGTTCTAGTGTGGATCCGAGTGATCCTTCCGGTATTTTTGCCGAGCTGCATGGAAAGGGAAAAGGAAAGGGCATCGGAATCGGAATCGGAATCGGAAAGGGCATTGGTATTGGAATCGGAAAGGGCATTGGTATTGGAAAGGGGATGGGAAAGGGGGGAGAGAAAGGAAAAGTGTTTCCTTGGGAAAAGATCGAAATGAAGTCCCGCTATTATGTAGTGAGCGATCGATATCTTTACGAGTATTGCTTTGATGCGTTCCATCATTTCATATAGATATTTCGATTCAAAGCATGCGATTCTTCACAAACTCATCGATCTCACGAACCTTGACGTGAAGCTTTACAAGCATGATGATGAATTGTATATTTTGCTCTCTTACGTCCTGTTTGCGTTCTCGAGTCATTTCTAGTTGTCTACACCCTTGCTTCTGCTGAAGCCAGAATCGACCCAGACCACTGTGGACAATTATATCATGGATCATGAGCATCTTTCGTCGCAGGCCTATCTCTGGTTCTTCATTCTTCGTTCCATCTCGCGTCTCTCCTTCCTGCCTCCCTTGGAAGTGGAGCCCAATTTCCTTCCTCTTGTTCCGAATACTGTATGGAGACATCGCTACTCCATCTTGAACGGTTTTGTATCCGATAAACAGTATGCTGCGGAAGAATTCTTTGGAAAGAGTGAAGGAGTGGACCTGGTTCATCATGGGATGATTCAGGCGGTTCGGCTCAAAGAAGTCTGTGAGAAAAGAGTGGGAACGGCATGAATGCGTCAGGTGTAGAGAGTCCGAATGCTGGGGTCGTTGCTGCAAGACTATGAATGGTCTGTGATGTTCTATTCGCGCCCGATTCTTACGATTCTGAATAAGTGACCACGAGAAGTCGTCATCATCTATAGTGATTGCGATGAAGCCAGTCGCGCGGTTCTCACCAGCCATGGAATCACCTACCGGACCGAAACTCGTAAGAAGACGATCGGCGTGCGGCTCTTGCAGGAGTATATCCAGTCGTTAATGGCTCGATTCTTGATGCAGGACCTCAAGGAACACACGGACTCCATTCTCGTACTGCAAAAATCGATTCGGTCTGCTGTTTTAAGAAAAGAGAGCAAAGAAGGCGTTAGCAAGTGCAGCAAGGAAAAGACATCGCAGCCGCTGGTGTTGAGTGTACTATCGCCAAGAGAAAAGGATTACAAGGTGGAAGATGATGTGCTCTATATTACGCAAATGCTCGTGAATCGCTGTCTCGAGGCCGAGTTCAGCGTGTCGCCTTCTATCGTCAAGTATTTGTCGACGCAGGGAGAAGGAGCGCTCGTGAAGTCTTATCGAAAGAAAGAAACGTCCGAAGTTGTGGGAGAGATTGATTACATCAACTTGTATGGAGTGTATGAGTGCAAGAAGGGTGTTGAGTACGCGATCTTGTAGTTGGCTGGGTTTGTTTGGACAAAAGTGAAATACCATTTGAAAAGGACGGGTTAGAGGGCATCCGCAGGGAAGTGAAGCTAATTAACATTGAAATAAAGGAAAATAGTTTTTTTTAAAAAAAAACAGGAAAAGAGGAAATGCAATAGCCGGGAATCGAACCCGGGCCTGATCCGTGGCAGGGACCTATCTTACCACTTGACTACTATTGCTCTGTGAGAGGAGCAGTAGATATACCTATAAAATAATTATCTGAAATGGGAGAGAGTTAATATGATGAGCAAAATGAATTCTCATTTGGTGATATATTTTGATAGCTATAGCAGAAGCATGTGGAATATTATAGTTTTGTTAATTGTTTTTGTCTTCTTGTAACAGGAAGTGTTATTCCACCATTACTGTTACAACCTCTATCCCTTTCACCACCATTACTGTTACAACCTCTATCCCTTTCACCACCATTACTGTTACAACCTCTACCACTACCACCATACTATTTACTCCAACAAACACGCATTGCATCCCAGATACTCTGCACAGCTCAGTCCAAGTTCAAACCACTTGGAACCTCGCTCAACTTCTTCTTCAGTACCTCCTCTGAGATAAACTCCTTCTCAATAAGATGATTGATGATAACCTTCGCCACCTCATAGCGCTTCGGAGTGTCCATCATGTCCATAATGTGGAGAGACGATACAATGCCTTTATACACATCATCCACCTTAACCTTGTTCTCCTTCAGGCAGAAATCGAAGCACTTGAGCATTTCCTGTAGTTCAGGCTTTCCTGGAATGGTTTGCTCGCAGCAGTACAGAACCATGCAGCCCATGACCAAAGAGTTTGTGCCCTTGGTATCTTCTCGCTTTGTCTCCAAATAGTACCAGAAGTCCTCCAGATCATGCGAGATTCTGGATTCCTTCAATCCCGATGTGATGGAGTTGATATACTACGCATAAGTCACAATCCGATCTGCCCCACCTTATCATAGTCGTCCTGCTTTATCATCTGCACAGCCGGAGGCTCGGACACAATGGGAGTAACAGGCACAGGAGGCTTGCCATAGGAGTGCGGTCCTGGTTTGCCAGAGCGGTTCTTCAATGTACTACGCGTCAGATTGGTCACACACACACCTACTCTAGAATACTCTGGAGCTTCTTGATCGTCTGCTCCATACGCATGTTACTCAGCTTCTCGAGCTTGTCCTTCTGGTCCGACTTCCACATATTCTGGGCCAAATCAATGAGATCACGAACAGCAAATCGGACACGCATTGTAATAGTCTTTGTATTGGCGAGCGGCTCGATCTTCTCCACTGCTTCCTGCAGGAGCGGCGAGAATACCGCGTTGTTGTACATAGTCTCTCCCACCGTATGCAGCAGTTTGCAGAGAGCTTCCGTTTTCTCTTCGTCCGCGTTTTCGGGAGGCGTGATGAGATGGTCGAAGCAGGCCTTAATCACATCGGGCTTGCGCAGAAGACCACAGTTAAACAGCTCTCCGATAAACTGGATATTTCCGAATGTGTGACGACGAATCGTGTTGATCTGGAACTCAATCTCGGTGAACTCTGACAGAAGCTTGTTGTCACTCTCTCCACGCAGCTTGGCTTTGATCTCCAGTCGCTGCTTCTCCAATTCCACAGTCTTGCCCTCAGACTCCATCTCCTGCTGGCACTTCTCAGCGAGGATCTTGCGAACGGACAGGCGCTTCTTGGTATCCTGAAGCGCTTCCTCCTTGGTAGCATGCTCCTTGCAGAGTGGTTTATCGGATCCAGCTTCATAGCAGATATAGTGACCCTTATCACCTGCAGGAACAATAATCTTTTCTATGATCGAAGGGTAATGTTTGTGGAGCTTGCGACACAGACGAGCATACATCGGAGCGAAATGAGGCTCCATGATGGCCTTCTTGTAAATGAGATCGATAATGCTCCGATATTCCTCCAGCGTAGTAGGATTGTGAGCTGTCATCTTCACATAGATCTGGTTAAAGTTCTCAAGAGTCAACTTATTCAAATTGGCCTGGAACTCGCCGAGCAAGCCATGTGCAGTTTGAGCCTACAGGTAAGGTAAGGAACATGGAAAAAGCTACATCGATTCTTGAGATAATCCAAGAGTAAGTATGGACCATGGTCTCATATTTCTCCGCATCCGGCTCGTTGCTCTCCCTCATCTCTTTGTAGATTCTCTCGTATTCTCCTTTTCTCTCTTCTCGTACCGAGCTACCAATCAACCGGATTTCATCTGGGGAGTAGATGCAATTTTGATGATAAGAAACAAAATTGATTTCGTCCTCAGCCTTCGAACTGACCACTACAGGTTGCGGTTGAGGCTTGGATTGAGGTTGCGGTTGCGGTTGCGGTTGAGGTTGAGGTTGAGGTTGAGGCTTTGGTTGAGGTTGAGGTTGAGGCTTTGGTTGAGTTGGAGGCTTGGATTGAGTTTGAGTTGGAGGTTGAGGCTTTGGTTGAGTTGGAGGCTTGGATTGAGTTTGAGTTGGAGGCTTGGATTGAGTTTGAGTTGGAGGCTTGGATTGAGTTTGAGTTGGAGGTTGAGGATTGGATTGAGTTGGAGGTTGAGGCTTGGATTGTAGCTGTGACTTTGGTTGATACGGAACTTGAGGCTTGGATTGGAGTTGCGACTTTGGTTGATACGGAACTTGAGGCAGAGGCTGGGACTGAGGCTGGGACTGAGGCTTCGGTTGAGGTTGGAACTGGGGTTGAGCCGGAGCCTGAGCCTGAGCCTGAGCCTGGGGCTGAGGCTGGAACTGATCGCCGCCACTAGGAGGGACGAAATCTCTGATCTCAGCAATATTTCTATTTTTCCCTAATCATATAAAAACACTACGACCAAAACTTACAAGGGTTTTCCTTTTGTACTTGTTTCGGTGGCATATTTGCAGAAGCAGGTGGGAAGCCGTTGACTGGAGGGGACATAGCTACCTGTGGTGCAACATAAGGTTGACCATAGCTATTCACCAATAAATATGAAGGGAATGGGGTGAAGTAAGGCCCTGGAGTAACTTGACCACCTGAGGGAGCTAGATTAATAAAACCTGGATCTAATTACTCAGTAACCCCGATTTCCCCTACTTCCTGGTAAATTTGACATTAGAATAGTGTCCTATTGGTTAGTCCGATGGAATATTCGTACCAGAAAAAAATAATACCACCACTAAAATAGTCCAAATAACCACGGTGTGATTGATATAGAATAAATGCTTTTATTCCCGTTAAACAAATGGGACGACTCCTGTATTATTGTGATTTTGGAGTTTTTAGTCATAAGGAACTACAGCAGACATTGCTAACCCGACTATACAACTACGATGTTCTTTATGTCTTACATTCGTTAGATATTCCGATGAATCATATTGAGAAACCGATCCTATGTGGATTCAAATTATAGGTTAGTTAAATGTCATTTTAGTGTAATTTGGTGTTGTATAATAGTTAAAAAGCATACTCTTATCATTCTAATACTCTCATTCAATTCACTACTAGTTCCAAACAATTCATTACCTCTAACTAAATATAACCAATCATCCTTCCTTCTATCTATCCTATATAATAATAATTATAATGAAATAGCATCCTAAATAAATAGCAGAAAAACAACTTCAACTCATATCGCAACAAACAAACTTGAATAATGTACAAAACTAGAAAGAAGATCAAAGGTTGAACTGGCCCTCCGAAGGCATAGACGGAGCATACTGTCCATACCCTCCTGACGGCGCTGAGGGAGAAGAGGCAGGTTGTCTTACTCCAAACTGCACATCATGCACCTTATCAGTCTTTACAGGACTGGGAATGCGCAACGTCTGCGTCAACGTACGCAAATCGTTCTGCGCATGAGCCATCTATAACTCAAAGCACTGGCTTGCAAACCTACACGCGCTTTGATCGCAGCCACGCGCTGTTTCTCCCTCTGATTCACCAGATCCACTTGCTGACGAAGCCCGTTCGCCTGCTGCTCATATGCCTCCGCTTGCTTCTTCATCTCTTCTTTCTGACTACGTCTTACCCTCCTCCCTCACACACGAACTGCTCAATCAACTCATTGATCTGCTTCGTATAGGAAGCTTGCTGCTGCTGAAACTGACTTCGAAGTCCCTCCATTGTGTCCTGATAGGACTTGCACTGCTGCTCCGCGCTCTATCCCATAGAAAGAAAGTCCCTCACAAACTCGACATCGCATTGTCATGTCTTGCAGTTGCTGTTGCAGAGCCACTTGGGATCGTTTCTGTCTAGAAGGGGAGGCGCTGCTATCCATTCAAACTCTTCGATTAAGCTTTGGAGATGGCGTGACTGGGATAGAGCAGACTCGCGCGCTGCCTGGGATTGCGAAAACTGCGACTGGAGCTGCTGAATGCGAGACTCGGATCTGTTTGGCAAAGGACGAAGAGGATGTACTCGCGAAGACGAAGATCACGACGATGGATCTCTTCTTGTAGATGGACTGTTTCAGTTTGCAGCCGCTTCTGCACTCTAGCTGTCAAAAAGAAATAGGGAGATGACTCCAAATCCACGTTGGATCGAATCGTTTCGTTCTGACGGCGTAAGAGTTCGAGTTGCTGCTGCAGCTCGGCCAGAGAGGATTGGTACTCTCTTTCCTTTTGCTTTGCCTTTTTATGACAAGTGAACAACAAAACGCACTGCTAAATCCGATTTATTCAGTGCTGACTGGAGTTCGGTGATGCGCGAAGATGCGTTCCCAACTTGCTACATCGTCTTATACTTTTTCAGATTGTACTTGATTGAGCGTTTGGATTTGTTCCGCATATGCTTTTTCGTTTCGCTTCATCTGGTTCATTCTCTACTTATGATTCACTTTCAAAAAACAGCTACCTCTCTGAGGTTCGCTACATACGTATCATACTTCTTCAGTTCCTCATCTCGCTCCTTAATTACTTCCAAATTATATTGATAGTCGTCGCGCAACATGTCATACTTCTTCTGAAAAATTGCCATTTCGTTCTTGTATTGCTCAAGTGACTGAGTGACGAGTGTCATATTGTCCTTGTAGGTTTGAGCCAAGTTCTGTTCCATCTGAGTAAGATCATCTGACACTAAAATAAGTAACAGAAATCACACCCATGTAATCTGCCTGGGAAGCACTGAGAGGAATATTCATTGTCGCTCGAAATGACTGTGAATGCATAAATATCAATATAAGACTCCCAGGGACGTCGTTATATGTAAAACCTATTCGAATACTCAAAATCAAAAAGGCCGCGAATAATCCCAAATTCCCTATTTGGTCGTCTTATTGTACTCTGTTGTTCACCCATATTTTTATCTACTAAGGCGAGTTTTGGTAGTAATGTCTTGGGGTGGGGTTAGTAGAGCGGAGTGATGGCTTAGAAGCTGAAGTTGAAGATGACTGGGAAGCTGGGATGGATAGTCAGGAACTGGAAGGGAACTGGGACGATGATGAAACCCTCTTTGATTCCCAAGCTGTTATTGATAAACGTGTGGAGATATCCTTTTAGATTGATTTTGTGTTATTTCTTTAACGTATACTGTCCCATATGCCATGGTGAAGGAAAGGTGACTGAAGAAGAGAAGATTCGCGTAGAGGACCGCATGAAGGCCAAGAGTTCTTCTAAGACCGCAGTAGGATGCAGCTTGGTTGGTGCTGATAGTATAGCCAAAGCCTTACAACGAAAATCGAGGAGTTCAGCAGGCTGTGGTATTGTTTGTCTTATTATTTCATGGCTAGAGAGACACGCCCCTTGATGATCCCGTGGCCGAGAAGGAGCGTCTCCGCCAACTTGCAGAGAATGCAGATGCTAAAATTTTGGATGAAATGTTTGGAGGCAAGGCCGACGATGGTATTTGAGAGGTTCAAGCTTTTTAATGCATAGCCTTCATTAGCGACACGGAAAAGGGATTAAACATGATTAAGTTAGAAACCTTGGTAGACTATCAACAGCTTGCGAATAAGCTGGGGAAAAAGATGATGGACCTGGGCAACACGACCTTGACGCTGGAGTTCTTGCAGTGTGCCATCCGTATGTGCGGAGGGAACCTGAACAGTGACGACTTCCAGAAATTGTCTTCGACTTGCAATGTTATGAAGGAAGAGCGAAAGAAGGAGGAGAAGGCAGTAACAAAGAAGGGAAAGAAGAAGAATAAGTTGCTTCCCAAGTCTCTGAATGCGGACCATTCTTGGGTAAATGAAATGGGAGATGATTATGGTGATGATGACTTCATGTGGAGTGTTGGTTGCACTAAACAAACACAAGTTCTCTGAGTAGAACGAACGACTGATCGACTGCTTTCTTGATAAAGTAATATGGGAGTTCAATGGATTTTATGAATCATCTTCCAATGCATCCATTCATTCTTTAGTGCACCGCTTAATAGATCTTTATATCCTTCGTATAAATCTTGAGATCACTTCAAATCAATTCTCTAAGCACTTTCTATTCTCGAACACATTCTCCATTCTCGAACACATTCTCCAAGCACTCTCCAATCACTCTCCAATCACTCTCCAAGCACTCTCCATTCTCAAACACACTCTCTATTCTACAACTCCTTGAACCTCTCGACAAACAATTCCCCAACTCATCCCATTCTTCACTATCACCCACTCTCCAATACACCATAATCACTTGACCAATCCACCAATCCATCGATCGCACGTTCCACATATGGCATACAGAGTTGTGCTACAAATCAAGACTGTAGGTATCGGCGATATTTCGAGGCGAATCCGTCGCGCTCTTCTCCCAGGAGTATGTCAACGTCTTGCTGTGCTCCGAATAGCACAAAGACGGAAGAGGGCTGCGGTCTACATCATATATCTCACCGAATGCTACAGCAAAGGGGACAAAGACCGTTGCGAGCGTGAAGATAGAGCTCGTTGTGGTACTTGTGGTAGTCTGCGCAAGATACAAGAAGGGAGAAATTAACTCCCTTTAAGAATTCCATTTCCAAATTGTTAATTTCCTTCGTTTGAATCCCTCCTATTCGAGCGTAGTAACTGTTTGTACAGAAAGTATCATCGAAAAATTTGATAGCGATCAGAATACTATACATATCACATAAAATCACAATACCAACCTTGTTATCAAAATGCGATGAATTGTGAGAGAGTTCACGGGTATACTACCACTCTGAATCAGTCGATCAATATAGATCAACGCTAAAACCAAACACTCAATGCTACAGTTCGAATACTTGAGTATTCTGGCCAATAACTCTTTTCAAAAATTAGTACCGCTCAATGTAATCACGAATTGAAATTTTCGGTTTACACAACGCAGTAAACGGTGTGATTGCGGCAGTCGCAGAGAACTAGTGTTCACAAAACAAAGATAAGCAACATTGTCTTGCTGTATCGTAACACTCTCTAGAATACACGATATTACCGTAACGAAACTGTGCTTTGCTATTGATTCCATAGTTTACAACACAATAACGTTACAAGAAGAAACGCCAAAGATAGATATGAATGAAAATAAGTTATTTAGGAGAAGAGGATGCCTAGAGGAGTCACACCAGATTGAACACAAAAACAATGACAAGTGAATGCAGACCTTACTAGGCTTTGTACGCTGGAAAGTTAATAGAATAACAAAAAGTCGACACTGAACTTTTGTAGTTTAAGGGTCAATAATTTATGATAATAATAGAAATCACTGTACGCGCAACTCACAAATGGGTGCATATTCAAAGTTGGTATTAAATAAATTGAATAGTTGTCTCACTATGTTTACTACTCCATGTCATATTGCGAGATAATATTAATTTGGATCTCAACAAATGAAACAGAATTGATTGTTTGCAGGAAATCGTACGGATTTCTGGATTCGGATTCACAGAATCTGTCCGATTTTTGTCATTGCATTTCTCATTGGTATTTCGAGAACATTCGACAGTTTACGAAAGTAATACTAGGAAATTAATTTTATATGATATGAAAGGAAATCGAGTTGAATTCTTGTGCCTTATTCTTTTAGGAATGGTCAACGCATCGATTTTGGGCATTGACTTTGGTACACAGTATATGAAGATTGCCATTGTTCGTCCGGGTTCTCCTTTTGAAATTGTAACCGACTTGAGCAGTAAAAGAAAAACTCCTTCCGCGATCATTTTTGACGAGAATACGCGTACTTATGGTTATGATGCCTTGAGTGCGGGAGCAAGAAAGCCGGATAACGTTTTTATTCGTATGGCGCGTTTATTGGGTCAAGGACCCGAAAGTACGTTGACCGAGGAATTCAAAGAGCTCAAGTTTCCCTACGAGTTCAAGCTCACTGAACGAAACACTTGGTCTGTAAAATTCCCAAAGGGTGTTGGATTTGACGATGTTGAGTACCTCACCGCCGAAGAAATCAATGCGATGATTCTGGGTTATGCTCGGAGTTTGGGAGAACTATTTGATAACGAACAGAAGATCGTGGACTGTGTAGTTACCGTTCCTACCTACTTCACCTATCATGAACGCCAGGCGATTCTGGACACTGCCTCGCTGATCGGAATGAACGTTCTCTCCCTGATCGACGAAACTACGGCTGCAGCCCTGCAGTACTCCGTAAACAAGGAGTTTGGGAACAAAACCCACCGTGTTATGTTTTACGATATGGGAGCGGGCTCTGTCCAGGTAGCGATCGCTGAGTTCTTCACCAAGACCGACAAAAAGACGAAGCTTCCTCGTCGTTACTTTGATATTCTGAGCAAGGCATGGGACGAAAATTTGAGCGGAGCCTACTTGAGTCAAGCGCTTGCCGATAAGTTTGCGGATGACTTTTACCAGCAGCACCACCTTGATGTGCATGGAAATCGCAAGGCTGAGTATCGTCTTCGCGCTCTTGGTGAGAGAATGAAAGAAATGCTCTCTGTCAACGAAAAGCTCCCAGTGAACGAAGGCACGCTCTTCCAAGAGCGAGACCTCTCAACACTCGCCACCAAGCAATTTGTACAGGAGCAGAGCGCACAGTTCACCGAGCGCCTCGTGGCTCCCGCGCTGAAAGCGTTGCGAGACGCCAAGCTCTCCGTGGTAGGGAGGAGCGAAAGGAAGTGTGATCCCTAGAGCGATCTGCAGGCGATCGAAGTGATCGGAGGAAGCATCCGCGTTCCCTCCTTCCAGAAAGCGCTTCGCGACGGACTCAATCGAGACATCCTGGACATGCACTTGAACGGCGATGAAACGGTCGCTCTGGGCGCCGCGTTCCGCGCTGCGAACGTCTCGACAGCTTTCAAGCCTCGGTTTGTGGGAATCTCGGACATCTGCCCCTTCTCGATCGATGTGGAACTCTACCGAGAACAGCCCGAAGCGGGTCTAGTGGAGGAAGAGGAAACGGCCGAAGAGGAGGAAGGGGTCGATCTCGAGGAGCCTGTCTTGGATGCGGCGACGGAGAAGCAGCAGCACGATTTCCTGCTCAAGAACAAGCGAACGCGCCGGTCGAAGTCGCTGTACGCACGCGGAAGCCATTACAAGACGCAGCGGAAGATCACCGTGTCGGCGTATGAGGACTTCCTGGTGCATCTGTCGTACTCGCACATGGAAGAGCTCCCTGAGCACGCAGTGTGGGCGGTCGATCGTGCCGAGTGATTTGTAGGTCGCCGATCGCCACGTATAACATCACCGGAATTGCAGACGGAATCGCGTCGATTGGAGAGAAGCGTCTGGGTCAGCCGAATACTACGCTGGTTTTCCTGAATGATATGAGCGGAATCGTGTACTTGAAGGAGGCGTTCTTGAAAGTTCGGTACGAGTACCAAGAAGAAGTGGAGGTGGCAAAGCCCAAGAATGTGCTGAAGAGTTCTGACCAGGGAGACGAGGGAAAGAAGGAGGTCGCGGAGGAGGATGCAGCAGCCAAGCAGGCGGAGGAGGATGCAGCAACCAAGCAGGCGGAGGAGGATGCAGCAACCAAACAATCGGAGGAGGATGCAGCAGCCAAACAATCGGAGGAGGATGCAGCAGCCAAACAATCGGAGGAGGATGCAGCAGCCAAACAATCGGAGGAGGATGCAGCAGCCAAGCAGACAGAGACAGAAAAAGAAAAAGAAAAAGAAACGCAAAGTCCCACAGAGGGCGATTCCGATTCGGATGCGGATGCCGAAACAGAACCAGAAAAGACCTCTTTGGATGAACCGCTCGCCAAGGAAGGCGCGAATGAATCGAGTGGCGAAAAGGAGCCCAAGAAGGACATTGTGCTGGTAACAAAGCGCAAGATTCGAAAGATCCCACTGCGTGTCACTTCGCTTCTCGACCGTCTGGTGATTCTTCCAATGACCGATGCGGAACGCCAGCGAAGCAAAGACTTGTAGGTCTGCGAAATAGTTCTTTGATGCGAATAGACTACTCCGTATTCAGAAACGGGACGATGAGTATCGCGAGCGCCAGAGAATCATCAACCAGCACGAAGCTTTTATTTACGATTCGCAGAGCCGACTGGAGGAAGAGGAGTTCGTCAACTTTTCTACCCAAGAAGAGCGCGAAGAGATCGGCAAGTTACTCTCTGAGAACGAGGACTGGTTAATGGACGAGGCCACGAACGAGACTCCCTCTTCGGAGTACAAGCAGCGATATCTGGATATGAAGACGGCGATGAATCGCGTGGAAAACCGCATTGACGATTACAACCGAAAGTTGGAGGAGGAGCGAAAGGCGAAAGAAGAAGCCGAGAAGAAGGCGAAAGAAGAGGCCGAGAAGAAAGCCAAAGAGCAAGAGGAAGCTGAGAAGAGAGCAAAGGAAGAGGCTGAAAAGAAGACAACTGCCCAGAACGCTACGGAAACAGCGGAAACGAGCAGTGCCCCTGATTCTGCCAATGCAACCAACACGGAGAACCAAAGCGAGGCGGCAAAGACACAGGAAGCGGAGAACGATGAAGGGATGTGCAGTGTAAATGGTTGTTCTGACGAGAACACAGATTTGTAATTGTGGGTTATACCTTGTTTTTCGCTCAAACACAACACAACAGCACATACACATTCATCTCCTCTTCTGCATCCTGGAATGACAACTGTCCCAGATGTTTTGACACTTTCTTGATCTTCGAATCGCCTACTTCGCTCTTATCCAGCAGCAGCAGAGGCATTCTCAGCTTCTTTCCTTTCAGAACATTGAGCTGCTTTCCTCTCTCAAAGATCAGAGGCGAGATCTACACATCATCTTCGCGTATCACTCGCACTTCCACCATGTCCGTCGCACTCGCCTCTCCCAGTAATATCGCTCCCACCTCTTCTAAACGCCGTCGATTCTTTTCCGAGAGTGCTCGCATTGCTGTCTGCGGCGTTTCGATTGGCTTTCCAGCCTTATTGTTGACCGGAATGTAGTCATCGCGCGTGACGACGAGCACGTCGAACTGCTTCGCACGCGGGAATACGTCCGACAAGTAATACACCATGCGAAAACCGTTCGGACTGATCGGCCGAATCGTTCGATTCAGCACCGCATCATAGAATGGAATGGCTTTATGCACGATATGGCAGCTTTCCCTCACCTCCCTCCACGATTCCTACTACGGAGGCAACGCAGCGTCGCGACACTGCTCCAAAAACGACAGCTTCATCAGCGAGTTGCAGATGAATCCGTAGGGAAACTCCAAATTCCCGTCTGTTTTCCGTCGACACCCTTGTCGATAGCTCATCTCGCTGGTTACAGCAATGAACGGCTTTTCTTGATACTGCGCCACCAACGAGAGCTGCTCTTCAGGACACAGCTTCTTCACACATTCTACACACACTTCGCTGCCTCGCTCCACGCAGAATCCCACAAATAACGGATCGCCCGGCTGCCATTGATGCGCATCCCAGCACTTACCAGCAGACCCACATTGTCGCAGGAAAAAATGTGCACGTACTCGATCTCCTCGCGCAAAAGACGGTCGAGAAGACCGCTGGCAGAGAGAGCGTGGAATAGCCCACCGCTACCGTTGGGCGACAGAGCAATCTGGGGTACAAGGGAGTGGCAAAAATACGCGGTATTTTTCACGCATCAAACAGGAACCTTCATCGTCAATGTAGGGAAAGGAACCTTGCGAAAAGAAGACGATTTGGTCTTCTTGGAGGCCGTAGAAATTGTTCGCTTGAAATCCACTTTCGATGTGCTTGCGATTGAATTCGTTTGTCATGATGAGAAGAGGGATGTGGATTTCTGACTGGAAAGGGAACAGAAAAGGTACCTGTCCGGTAAGTAGACAGGATCTCTCTTTCAAGCGCAATAATACTCTCAGCGAACCTTCGAAAGATAGTTTTATCTAGGTTCAAGGGACAACGTGAGTGTATACGAGATGGAAGACCGACGTCAATAAAGCCTTTTATAGTACCAGAAAGCATTCGAGTGGCTTGACCACCTGCAAGAAGAATGAGAGCAAGTTTACCATTTGCAATAAAATTTAAGCCAGATTTTATGTACTTTTCTTTCAGAGGAGCCGAGAAATCCGAAACTTCATCATAGTACTATACTTCATATCCAACTTCGTATCTAACCTCCCTGTAAACCTTAATCTGATCGTACATCTGTTGCAACACAGCATTATGCATTAACGAATTCACATACAAATCTCGAGTGTGGGCTAGATCAAGGCTGCGGCACTAAATGTAAACGTTGATTACAGCCTGTTTACCTGCCTGATAAAGCCGTTTACATCGTCCTCAGTATAGGTACCATCAGCAAAATAGGAAAGGGTATGGTTTTGCCTAGCGAGCCGCAGAGTATCCAGAAGATCTTGAGGTAATAGCGTTTCAATAGATTGGCTCATAATAGACTTCTTTTGAAAACAAATCCAAAACTCCCCAAACAATATCCAACAAACACAACACAAAATTTCCACGTATTACTTAGGTCTAGGCTGGGGATTCATGTTCCTCGGACTTCGGGAGGCATCGATTGGAAAGCCATTACTCATCGGGGCAGGCGGCCCATTCTTCGGCATAAACCTGTACGGCATCCCGTTGTTTGCCCTCGGAGGCATTCGGTTAATCGACGAAACTGATGGCATTGGTACTCCCAGTCTCGGAGATCTGGGCATTTCCCCGCGGTTCCTCGCCATTTGCGGTACCATTCTACCCGATGACCCGGCCCGCTGCGAACCGGGACCCGCGGGAGCAGAAAAGTTCGACGTACCTTTGGGTCCAGTGGGTCCAGTGGGTCCATTGAATCCGGTGGGTCGATTCGGCATATTGAATCCATTAGGGACATTAGGGACATTAGGGACATTAGGGACATTGGGTACATTGGGTACATTGGATCCATTGGGTCCATTCAGATTGGTGGGACCCACAGGACCATTAGGCACACTTAAACCACTCGGAACAATCCTAGGGTTAGTGGAACCTGCAAAACTCGTAGAACTCGTAACACCATTCACTCCTTTATAAGAATTGTTCCCTTGCGGATCCACCGCATTACGAGGAGTCTGGAAACTTCCACGAGGCATCTGGGCCGAGTTCGGAACAGGACCAGTCGAAGGGGCATAGAGGGGCGCAGAACGAGGGGGCGCATAGCCGCGCGGATAGAATACAGATTGGTATGGAGGCTGAAACCCTGGCTGTCCGGGCAAAGGCTGGAAGTTGGGTTGCTGCGCAGGGAATGAGTTATATGGCTGCATTTTGTAACTTTGAGTTAGTATCAAAGAACAGGACTACTATCTATCTGCATTTAATATGTGGAGGAAAGGAAGAACATCGGCAAAACCATGAAAAACAAGAAATAAGCGCATGCACTCTATAGACTCCACTTCTTCATACAATACTTCCTATATCAATACTGCGATAAACTATAAAAAATACCCCATTTGCTATAGAATTCTTTGCTACCGATGTGATAATGTCTATAAAAAAGCAGCCTTTGCGAACTAATTCACTATAGTGCTCGTTCAGCACCATGATAGAAGACAGATTATTCTTAATAACCTCATCTCTGCCATGGATGATAATAAACGACAAATCATATTTGTGAACACGCATCACTACGATACAAAAACACATCACTAATTACGCTCCACATCTTTCGCAAAAGGAAACGCTCTCACTTGTACCCAGACTCTATTCGCTGCATCTTCGCAATTGACTTGAATAAGTGCAACTGAATATGTAATTCCGAGCATAGTAGTAAAGTTCCAGATGAAAAGAGCGTAGTATGGTATTCATATAAAGGTGTTTGAGAGAAGGAAATCAGCGGAGGGCATGGCGCAACGGTAGCGCGTTTGATTCCAGATCAAAAGGTTGGGTGTTCGAATCACCCTGTCCTCACTTTTTCTACATTTGAATAACCTCTTCTATTTTTCACTACTTCTTTGTTCGCGCTAGTACCTGACTACAATGCTCTCCACCGTGTTTGACATGACTATTTCCGAGCTCTGCCCCACTTCTGCTCCTTTCTTTGGTTTTATGGGAGTTGCTGCTTCGATCATCTTTGCCAGTAGGCGTAGTGAATCCTCTCACGATGTGCTAGATCTTGGATCGGCCTACGGAACTGCGAAGGCCGGAGTGGGTGTATGCTCGATGGGTGTCTTCAGACCGGACGCTGTCATGAAGAATATGTTGCCTGTTATTATGGCTGGTATTCTGGGTATTTACGGACTGATTGCCTCTATCATCATGGTGTATGTCAGTAGGGTTCGTTTCCACGTTTTTCACTTAAGTCACTCCTCCTGGTGCTGATGGAACCCACTACTCTAGCTTCTCTGGCTACGGACACCTCGCTGCGGGTCTCAGCTGTGGTCTTTCTTGCCTGGCTGCGGGTCTCTCCATTGGTATTGCCGGAGATGCTGGTAAGCTACGCCTAATTGGTTGCTGACGCTTAGGTGTGCGTGCCTGCGGTCAGCAGGAGAGAATCTTCGTCGGTATGGTGCTGATGCTGATTTTCGGAGAGGCTCTTGCTCTGTACGGTCTGATTGTGGCCATCGTCATTGTCACCGTGACGGGAGTCAAGTGTTAACCCATATATTTATGTTGTGTTTGTTGGACATGATTAGGATTATTTTTTGTTTTAGAGAGTTAAAATATGGCGATTCGTATCTTGCATCACTGTGTTGTCACACATAGGTGTTCAGTTTGAGGGAAGCAACGACGTTGGTGTATTCTCGAAATTGACCAATAAATATTGCTTGGTTTGCAGAGGAGGATCTGAAAACTTTTACGGAGCGTTCGAAACCGAGCTAGCCGATCATATTCCTGTCGTCCACACCTCGATCGCTGGCTGCCGTTTTGTTGGCCGTGTAACTGCTGGTAGGCTCTCTATCTTCCTGTGACGCATCAGGTAATAAGAATGGCCTTCTGGTACCCATTTCCACCACAGGTACAGATTTTTGTTTCAATTTCATTTCTAGACACAGAGCTGCAGCATATCCGTAATGCTCTTCCTGATGAAGTGGTGGTACAACGAATTGACGAGCGTCTGTCATCGCTTGGCAATCTTATCGCCTGCAACGATCACGTCGCGTTGCTGCATACAGATTTAGATCGAGTAGTACACTCCTGGGAATCCTCATCTAGGAAACGGAGGAAATCGTTTCGGATGTGCTCGGCGTGGAAGTATTCCGCCAGTCGATTGCTGGAAACGCGCTCGTCGGTAGTTACTGCGTCTTCACAAATCAAGGAGGATTGGTGCACCCCAGCACTACGATGGCTGAAAAGGAAGAGCTGTCCTCTCTCCTCCAGGTCCCGCTTATTGCGGGAACTGTAAATCGTGGATCCGATGTAATCGGAGCAGGACTTGTCGCTAATGATTGGACTGCGTTCTGCGGTTACGACACGACGTCTACGGAGATTACGGTGGTGGAGGAGATTTTCAAGCTCGGAGGCAATACTACGAGTGCCATGGATTCGGTGAAGAACTACTTGTTTGAGGACATTTATTGCAGTGTTTGTTTGACTAGACGAAAACATGATGAGAGGGCCTATCTCCATGGACGAGACGCGTCCAAAGCGGTTGAAGCTACGGAATGCAGTTGTGGCGGAGATGGTTGAGGCCATTCGGTATTTGTTGCTACAGACTTCGGGAATCCCAAGCCAAACACTCGCTACAACGATTGAAAATAATATAAAGACGATTATCAAGTATAGTCGAAACGTATGAAATCGGAGAGACGATTGATGATGCTAGAAATGTAATAAGTGTAACTCGTTGTGTAAAGCATGCCAACAATATTATACAGAGGGAATTTTGACTCAGGAAGCATTTCAGCTCTGCGACGAGTGTAGCAAGAAAAAGTCGTGCCTTTGTGTACTTTGAACTTCAGAGAACAAATGCAATCTACAATTCGCGGAGATTACGACTGCTGCTTTGCTGTTCATGCCCTCTTCGTTTGGTATTTACTTGTTTTGCCACAGATTTGTTTTAAGCAAAGGCGAATGATCCTTCTAGCGCTATAAACTTATGCCAGAAGTATATCGCCAAAGATTACCTCCATCACGAACTCCACATCTGCAATTTGCTTCGTTTTTTCCTGTCCAATGTAGGATTTATCACGCAATCGTCACGCGAAGAATAAGGAGTCTGAAGCTCTTTCCCTGATGCTCCGTTATAATCTGGTTTCCACGATTGGAATCGAAACGAAAACGACATCGACTCGCTATCTGCAATTGCTTCGAGTATCTTTTATAGTTGTGTTTTGGACTGTGTAATAGATAATCGTCACGATGATTCATGCAAATCAGAAAGCAAAACCGTAAGATTAAGGATGGCTGTTCAGTAGTTTGCTATTTCATGATTATCAAGCATTTGTGGAATCTCTTTCATGGGCGACATTAAGCCAGAATGCCTTTGTTCATTATATTTACCTCTATTGTGCTACTCGATTGGTATATTTATATTTTTTTGAAATTTGTAATTCGTTGTAGGATCATCAAGATGGACTGAAAAAGGCCATCGATATGCTCAAGTCGATGCCTCAATCTTCTTTTCTAAACCGTTTTGTTGTTACACAGTATCGTTCTTTCTGTGATGATCAAACTGTGGTGAGTTCTGATGTTGGCTCGTTCGTATTATCGATTCTCGAGGTTTTATTTTCCTCCTTTATCAATTGTAGAATTACGTAACAAGCAATCCAACAGAAATGAGCACAACGTTTGATTTGCTCTGGATGGAGCTCAAAGGGTTACTTTCCACAGAAGAACTGCTGAAACTCTTGTTTCTGCAGGTTGATGAAATGTTTGTTGTAAGAGCGGGAAATGCAGTTGACAAATAGTACCCTGCTTTTCAGCTCTATCTTCTTCATTTAATCGAAACACGGCTTCGCAATGACGAATTGCGTGCCAAAGTGATATTTGATTTACAGGAAAGAGTGTGGTGGTTGGACTATTTGGACGACAGTGATTACCGCCAGATTTATGCTCTGAAGGTCTTGATGAATGAAGACGAAGATTTTGAGGAAGATGAGAACGTTATTGCTTCCTACGATGCTGCTTTTGAAACGTATCTGAATCACCGCAAGTACTCGGTTGTCACTTTCTGGTAGTATTTTTAGTTGGATTCTGTTTGTTTGTATCGTTCATTTTGCGTTTGTACGATGAATGTCCTTACCGCGGGAATATGAAACATGTAAGAATATCTGCTCATTCTGAGTTTATTTCAGTTTTCTTGTATTCTGATTGACCTTGTAAGATGCAGCGCAACCGAGATCATAACGGTGTAGTGAAAAAGGGAAAGGTGGCAAGAAAAACATGAGTTGTGCAGGAATTATTGAAATGGATTTGCGGAACTTGGCAAATGAAGTGAAAAAGAAAGGTTTCTCTAAGAGTATCCGCTGAGTTGTAGCTCCAGAGATTCGCAAAGCCGCAGAAAGTGGAATTGAGACGCTTCTTGTGCTGTCAAAGAAATATGCAAACAAGCCGGTAAGAAATAGGCGGAAAAAGTTAGGTGTAGAAAAAGATGCGCAGCACAGATTATGTAACGCCATTTATCGAATGTCTGAACAATGAAAAAGTGAGTCCTAAAGCTTATGACATTGCTGTGAATGGGTTGAACCATGTGTTGGCTTACAACCTTGCTTCGGATGCTACTGCCTCTACGATTGTTGATATTCTGAATGACCGTGTAGATAGCGAAGGATTGGTTATAAAATGATAGTTGAGCACCGAGGAGTCATCCGCTCTGGGTCTTCGGATCCTTCAAATCTTTCCGATTATCGTGGAGAACACGTCCTTCATTATCCCTGAGCGCAAGCTCCAAAGTGTTCTCTGCCACATGGCTACAATTCTCTGCTCGGAGGACGCTTCATCGCAGGCCTTTCAGCTCTCGCTTTCCTCCTTCCAGCAAGTTTGCTTCCGCTGTTTTCCTTCCCAGTAGTTGGTCCAAGCGCTGGGCAACAAGGCCGCCGCCTTCAGCGAAGCCAACGTGAAGAAAACCTCCAGCAAGGTGAACGATTCGCTCCGCGAGAGGCCTCCCAAGTCGCTGGGCGATGACGTTTACTGCTGCGCCTACTGGAGCGTGCTTCAGGACCTCGCAGCGCGCGTCATGGACCAGAACGCCGCGTGGCTGAGCAACGGAGGCAACATGGAGCGCGTCCGCTTGCCGCTGGCGCTGTCGCTCTCGTTGCTGCTCACGCTGCTGACGCAGAACGAATCGGTGGTGCTGAACCGCGTGGAGTTCGCGTCTCTGCTGCAGTATTTGGTAGAAATCGAAGCGGGCTGCGATGTAGCTGCTGCCTGCGCTGGCGTCGCTGCTGAAGGAGAAAACGGACGATTTGGAGACTTGGATCGCGGTGCTGAGGCTGACGAAGGTCGTGATGCTGAAGTATTTCGAGGTGCTGCCGGCCGTGGACTCCGCGCTGAGCGCGCTGAGCGACGTGCTGAAGCAAGTGGCGAAGAAGAAGCAGAAGAGTTGTAGGATCGAAGGGAAGGAGTGAAGGAAAGCGATGCGATTGATGGGGGTGCTGGAGTGTTTGCAGGGAGTCCTGCAGGAAAAACCGTTCGTGGCCTTCGCGTTGACGCACTTTTTGAAGGTGGAAACGGGGAACCGAATCGATCGTAGACGCTGGGATCGCTGCTGGGATACTGCGTAAAAGTGTTCCAATTGGCGCACAAAGAAAGCGACATGTCCACGCTGATTGGCTGCTTCGAATCGTTCGGAAAGCGCGCTCTGAAGGATCTTTCGCCATCCTCGCGCTCAGCCCACGATTCAGCTGGCAACGACGACAAAGATGACAACGAAGACGACGACGAAGATGATAATGACGAGGCGGAGAACGAGAGTTGGGAGTGGGCTTGCGTTCGAGCGCTGTATTGTCTCCGCGCCTTCGTGAGCGCGTGCGGCGAAGCGCTCTCCGCATTCCCCGCCGATCTGCCTTCCGAAACGCGCGACGCGCTGAAAGCCTTCGCGGAAGACAAGCTGGTTTCGATCGGAAGCGAATATCAGCAGCTGGCGGAGGACCAATGCGGCGAAGATCTGTTCAACTTTTTGCTGCAGTGCATGGCGACGCTTTGCCCCATCTACGGCTACTTGGGACTGCAGGCCGAGCAGGCGCGCATCGCTTTCTTCATCTGCAAGGCCACGCTGCCGTCGATGAAGCCCGAAGAAGCGATGAAAAACAGCCCGGACTTCGTGTTCGATTCGCGGAATCTCGCGGCGATCGAAGCGCTGAGTCGACTCACGAAGGGAAACGGGGAAGGCGTGGAGAATGTGTGGAAACTCGTGGAAGCAACGATGGAAGTGATCGAGGAGTACATTCCCGAGAAAGACCAGTCCAATAATTATGTTCGGGTGTTGGTAATCGTTGACTGTAGTCGTCGCCCGCTTCGCCTCGCGTCTGTGCGGAGTACGAAATTATCGAAGAGCAGACGGACGTTTTGCTGGGCCAAGTCGCTCAGTACTCGCAGGAAGGCTGTAGAGACGGAGATGGGCTGCGATCTAGTGATTCACACGCTCGAAATGATGCTCCAAGCCGCTCGATCGGGCGTGTCGAGCGAGGTGCCGAGCGGGAAAGCGAATCTGATGAAGGCGTGGGACGAAGTGCTGCGGTCTGCGGGGTTGGAGGAGAAGGTGAAGATTCCGCACTCCTCGCCGATCCAGACGGCCTCGGGATTGAAGCATTTGCTGGCTATCGCCAACACGAACATATCCCGATTGGAACGACTTGTCCAAACGACCGAATCCTTAACACCACGTGAAACGAATCGACTCTCTAGTCTCGTCAATCCAGTCGCTTCTGACCGAAGCGGTGAGCCAGCTCAAGCGCCACCCGTCGCTTCCTGGCTTGGTCCAGCCGATCTTCTTCTTCATCTCCGAAGTGATGGAGCAGGTCAACGACAACCACCCCGCCAAGGAAACCTACCAAGCCGCCATCCCCGAGCTCCTCAAGATTGTCAACACGCTCGTGACCAATCGGCAGACGCAAGTGCTGGCGCTGGACACGCTGTACGACGTGATCATCCAGGGCGACTGTCTCCGCGGCCAGTGGAAGCCGATCATTTCGTGCCTGAAGGTTCGCTGCACACTTCTTTTCCTCCTCATCACTCATAGAAAATCGCCACCTCGGATCTCTGCGCAGAAGGTTTCCAGCGCGTTTTTAACTCCTCATTCGTAGGATTCCACGACGTGCAGCTGATTCTGGACGATTTCCTCAGCGAAATGGACTTCAGCGAGGCGCTCACGCTGGGTGCATTGATCGCCTCCTACACGCGCCAAGCCTTCGATATCAACATCGCGCTCAGCGCCATCGGGCTGTACTGGAAGCTCGCCGACTACACGCTCATCACGGCGCGCGGTACTCGCTCCCTGCGGATTTGATGCTCAGAGGCGCAGCCAGGCGAACGTCCGGAGATTGTGCGGAAGATGCGGCAGGAAATCATCGTGACGATCCTGCCCACGTGCATGGACAACGTAGTTCCGCGGGGATGATGCGATGTAGCGACCGAACATCCGCAACACGTCGATCCAGACGCTCTTCCAGATTTTGGTGCTGCAGCGCGGCGGCTTCATTTTTGATGATTATCTGGAAGTGGTGGAGAGCGTGACGGGCCTGACCTCCAAACTGGAGCGAATCCGCGTGCACGGATATCAGGAAGGCGACACGACGCCGATCGAAGACGAGGAGAACATTCGTCGCCATCACACACGCGACACCGTGGAGAAGCAGTTCAACGAAACGTACTGCTATCTGCTGAAGGGAGTCGTGTCGATGCGAGCCTCTCATTCCTAGCTGAATCGTCTCTTAAAGCTCTTCATCCACCATCTGCTGACCAAGGTGTCCGGCGACGCCATCGCGGAGTACCTGAAAGTGTTCAAGTCCATCGTGAAGTTCTACGGCAAGTGTCTGCTCATTCCAGAAGGCAAAGAAGTCCCCAGCGCCACGCTGGGACTCTTCCAGGTAGTCTTGAGAGACCGGAGCGACGGGTAGGAGATGTACGACTGGATCCAGCCCGCTTTGAACGACGTGGACACTGTGGAAACGGGGTAACCGGTAGAACAGCAAGGCCAAATCGGTGTTCTCCGTGCTGACTGCGCGGCTGTTGGACCAGGCCGGCAATACCGAGTTCGCATTCCCGCGGGTCTTCATCGTAGAATCGGCAAGAACTCGGAAGCGGACGACGTGCTGATGTCTCTCTGCATGCTCCTCCTCTCCCTCTTCCGCAGCTTGTACCCCCGTTTCCCCGTTTCTCCCTAGTCAATCCCTCTTCCTGGACCCGAATGAGTCGTACTTCGCGCCGCTGCTCAACACGCTGGTCGCGCTGGTCACCACCGACAGCATCGCGCTGGAGACCGGCGCAGGCAACAAGTACAACACCAACCGGCCCAAAGGCAAGCTCAACAGCATGCAGGTCGCTCCTTCTCCCTTCTCTTTCTCTCTAGAAACTCCAGATCCAGCTGCTGCAAGCGATGTACGACGCGATGAAGGCGGAGCCGCGCTATCTGGTCGACTACAAGACCTTCACGAGCTCCGTCGACTCCATCTATTCCACCGCCGAGTCCCTCAACGCCAGCCACGCCAACGACGTTTTCCTCGCCTCGCTCGACGAGTTCCGGAACGGTCTCATGAAGCGAAAGGAGGCTCGCGCGCTCGTGAAGCAGTACCAGGCCGACTGCGCGGCGCAGCAAGCCGCAGCGCTCGGCGGCGCCGCTTTGGAGCCGTTTTCGCTCTTCGAAGGACTGTCCGAAGCCACCAAAACGTCGGTTCTGGAGGGCGTTTCGCGGTGTGTGGAGGCGTTGGACGAGATGGAGGGTGGCGACAACGCCAAGGCGCTGCTGTTCTTCCTGGGCCGCAATCTGAGCGTGCTGGAGCGCGTGGTGGACCCGCGGTTCTGCGAGGATTTGCTGGGAATCGTGGGGGAGGCGATCGCGAAGGCGATGCGTTTGAGCGAAAGAGGCGTTGAATGATAGAAAAACTGAGACAAGAGAACGACGTGGAGCGCAAGATCTTCGTGGAGAACGCGTTGGAGCTGCTGGGGAACGCGGCACGCGGGCAGCTGGAGGACGGCGATGGAAAGCGGAACGAAACGGTCGCGAATTCGGCGTGTGCGACGCTGTCGGAGAGCGTGAAACAGGCCGCGGGAGAGAAGCTGGTGGCGGTGAGCAGAGAGGAGTTGAAGAAGATTGGGGAGATTCAGGAGCATGAGTTGCTGTCGGATATGAAGAAAGAAGCGGTGAAGATGATGGAGGTGTTGGAGAAGATCGAGAAGATCGGGGAGGTGAAGGAGGAGGTGTCGAGTCTTTCTTCCTACGGAGATAGTTTGGTTGCTCAGAAGGCCGCGAGTGTACTAGCGAAGTTGGCTTAATGTTTTGCGTGTTGTGTTTGATTTGAAACAAACGTGGAAATGTCGTCTGTGGAGGTGAGTGATAGGCAGAAAGAAGGATATTCGGTAGGTTGACTCAACAAGCGTGATCCAGCTGATTCTGCAATATTTGAAAGAGAATAACCTTACAGAGTCGTACACAACGCTCTCGAAGGAGACACGGTTTGGATCCATCGTTTTGAATGACGGTGCAGTGTTTCGACGAATGAAATATCAAACAAGGAATTATTCCTGATCTCAATCATAAATGGAAAGTGGGACTATGTTTTGGAACAGGTCGAGTTTTGGAATGGGCTTTCCGTCTAGGTATCGATGCTAACCTTGCCCAAAGAGGTGCTGATGGACTTGTATGAAGCTGTTTTCTACGAACTGCTCGAGCTTCGCGAACTTTACACAGCCAGCGAAATGCTGACCAAATGCGATGTTTTAGTGCAGATGAAGACCGAGCGGAAAGAAAAGTTTGTAATCTCAAACTCCTTATAAACTCCCTCAGATACCTCCAAATGGAATACTGGCTCAAGAAGCCTTCCTTCGATCCCATCGAAGCCTATCCCGTCGGAGAAACCAAAGAAACGCGTCGCCAGCGACTCGCCAGCACACTCACTTCCTACATCACCGTCGCTCCTCCTTCTCGTCTTCTCACTCTTCTGCAGCAAGCGCTCGCTTTCGAGAAATCCAACGGAACGCTTCTCGAAGGCGAGCGCTTGAATCTCTTCCAGAACCGCACAGAAACGCTTCTTCTCGAAGACGAAATCCCCACGATTCGCGGTCCCGCGGTTCAGTTCCCCCACGGAACGTACCCCGAGGTTGTCTGCGTGTCCCCGAACGGCCAGTTCGTTGTGAGCGGTAGTTTCGACGGGCTGATCGAAGTGTGGGACCTGGAAGAAGGCGGTCTGAAGCTCGATTTGCCCTACCAAAAACAGGTTTTCGTCCTCCCCGCGGTGAACCGTAGGAGAAGTTCATGGCCCACGCGAAGAGCGTTCTGAGCCTCGCCTTCAGCAGCGACAGCGAGTTCCTGGCGTCCGGCGATTTGGCGGGGACGATCAAAGTGTGGCGCGTGGCGACGGGCGGCCTGCTGCGCCGCTTCAGCGAGGTCCACGAGGCCGGCGTGACGTCGCTCTGCTTCAACGCCAGCGCGCAGCAGATCTGCTCGGCGTCGTACGACGGGACGGTGCGGTAGAGCGAGCGGAGAGGCGTCAATCGCAGCGTGCACGGGCTGAAAAGCGGGAAAACGCTGAAAGTGCTGCGTGGTCATAGCAGCTACGTCAATCACGTGACCTTCACGGCGGACCAGCAGCACGTGCTGAGCGCGTCGAGCGATGGCTGCGTGAAGCTGTGGGATCTGGGGACGAGCAGCTGCGTGCGGACGCTGCAGCCGGCGCGTGCTGCGTCGAGTTTCGCGGAGATTCAGGTGATCAGCGCGGAGCGATTGGTGCAAAACCCGGAATGGGTTCTGGTGGTGGCGCGATTGGACCGCGCGTTCGTGATGACGATGCAGGGAGGATTGGTGTTTACGCTGCACGCGGAGAACGAGAAGGTGCAGTTCATTGCGGGGTGCCAAAGTCCGCATGTAGGGGAAAGGAGAGGAATGAATGGAAGGGGAAATATCTGTATTGCGTTGGAGATGACGGGAATCGGTATTGCTTTTCGAGTGGAGATGGCGAGTTGGTGGAGAAACGCGCGATCGCAGATCATGAATTGCTGGGAATGGTGCATTATCCGAACAGGAACGCGATGTTGGTGTATTCGCAGAAGGGAGAAATCGCAAGTTGGAGAATATAAAGGGAGTGAATGGATGGATGGATGGATGGATGGATGGATGAATGAATTTGTTTGTTTGTTTATCTACATTGTTTGTTTGTTTGGAACAAAGAAAACAATTCATTGTGACTTGGGAGTTGTGAATCGAGATGGAATGAAACGAGTTCGCACTCACTAAAAACTATTCATGATTCTCTATCCTATAGAATACAAACCTTTATACATTCCTGACAAAGAATCGAAGCGATAAACAGAATTTCATGGTTTGGTAATTGCCCAACAGGTGTAAAAGATAATGGCAAAGTTTGATCGGTTGTGATTGATACAGATCCATCACTTTGCTGTTCAATATAGTAGATTTGACTCGAATAAGGGCGAAGTGATTCTGTGATTTGATAGTCTCCGACCAAAATTAATGAATATGTTCTGCTCACGGAGTACACACGGTCTAAGGAAAGTCCATCATATAATCCGCTCAAAATTTGCACAAAAACGTCAGCTCGGTTCTTTCCAATATACTGCACATCCAATTCAAAACAAGAGAGTATATCAGAATGATTCACATTGCAGCTATCAAGAAAATCAAACTTATCTGAAATGAACACTTATTTTTAAATACTACTGCATCCTGTGGCAATTAGACGTCGGATTGCAGAGACTACTATAGGAGTGAGTCCCACAACAAGAATGGAAGCCTCTTGGATTCTTTTCTAGGAATTTAATTTGCGCAAAGTAGCCCCATACAAATTGCGTTGTACCCCAAAAGAGAATACTCCGACCTTCCTCCATAGCAAAAAAATGACGATTCAAACAAACAGAAAATGATGACAATGCTAAAAATGGGTGTCTAAGGGCATCTTCGGGCGATAACCGCTTATTCGGATCAATCATAAAACACTTATCGATAAAATCGATAAAATGTCGAATCACTACATTCATTACTCTCTCCCAATCACATACACATCTTGTCCTGGTTCGTTCCAGCACTCTTCATAATCACTCCCTCCAAACTCTCTTTCGGCTTCGTATACACCATCATTTTAATCATCGGCGTGTTTGTCACTGGGTCCTACGTCTCATCTCCTCCTAACCCCGCACAATCATCTGATATTTGAACTTAAAATCCTCTGTGAACATGGCTTCTCGGCTCATCGCAGCGTACGACGTAATATGGCCCTTCACCATGCGATGTGGCACCGGTCCCTTCATGTCCTGAATCAATCGAAGCATATCATTGTTCGTCGTGCCCGGAAACGTGACTTGTCCTGTGAACAACTCGCAGAGCGTGCATCCAACCGACCAAACATCGATCGGACAATCTATCGATCACGCTCCGCCCATTCGAAGCACCATATTTCAATCCTAAAATGATTTCTGGAGCGCGATAGAAGCGAGAAGCGAGATAAGGAGTGGGCAAATTATTGCTGTCGTTCGCGTAGAAGGAGTTTCCGAAGTCGGTGAGTTCGATCCAGCTGGATTTTTCGTCTTTGAGCAAAATGTTATCGGGTTTGATGTCCGCGTGGACGATTCCGAGCTTTTTGATGTGCAAGAGAGCGAGGAACAGCTGGCGAGCGAACGATTGAATCGCAATTAAGCTCAGTCCTACACCTGCTCCGTATTTCCGAAGCGTGTCTCGGAGATTGAACGCCATGTAAGGGAAAACGATACAGAGATGGTTTCGATACATGAAACTATTGTGAACAGGAATGCAGTGCTTTTGGTTTTGAGGGTCCTTCGATTTGATCACTTCCAAAAGAGAGAGCTCGTTCTTCGCATCGCTCGTCATTTTCTCGTTACTACGCAGTACTTTTATGGCAACTGTTTCGTTCGAGGCCATATCGATGCAGCGGATAACCGTTGAGAACACTCCCTTTCCTGTTTCTTCCACCACTTTATACTTATAAGCGAACACTTCACCGACATAGGGCTTGTAGTACCCTTCCTTATCGTCCCAGTTATCCTTCAATGCTTGATTCTCTACAGTCTCAGCGTTTTCCACAATGTCATTCTTTTTCTGAACATTGAGCTCCTCTTTCTTCTTTTCCTTTTCCAGTTGCTTTTCGAACTCTTCTTCACTAGCGAACATATCTAGCATATCATCAGAGTCGGATTCCTCGGAGGAAGAGTCCTAGAAGTGACATAAAAGGATTGTTTCAACCTTATACAAGATATCGGATAGAATTACCTCTAAAACTTATACTACGAATATATAATTACTTTTAGCACTGTTTTTATCCTTTTCCGCGTCTATTTCCGAAGAATTGACATTTACCCTTTTTGATGGTACATCCTTCTCATTTAAGGCGTGTTGGTTATTATCCTTGCTTGCACCAGACATATAAACAGTACCAAAAATAGTATGAGCATATTTGTTAATTCTGTATTTCAGCAGTGTACCATCCAAGTTATTATTTCAATCAAACATAGATAAACATCATCTACTGCCTGAACATTCAAATGATTGATATAAGCTCCAATCTTTTCTATCACAAACTTCCCATCACGAAATTCAACAATAAATTCATTCTTTGCGGAATACTTAAACGAGCCGCACAACTTTCCATATCCTCGTTTATCCTAAATATTAGAAGTGTACTAAAGAATGACAAAATCGTCAAAAAACTCTACAAAAGCAGAGTCACCTTCGGGTTCTATGGATACTATTCCGCTTTTCTCACGATTCACTCCCTGAGGTAGAAAAGAATCTATGAAATAGTGAAAACACAGTAGAAGTACAGCGCAACAGTAACCGTTCCTTGTCCTCCTTTGTTATACTCTCTCCCAATACGATTGGGACTTTCTTTTTAGGCTGCATACAATTATACTTCAGCCAAGTTGAAAAGAAATATTCAATATTCTATTAACAAATACTAGATAAAAACTATGATTCCTGAGATTCGATCCAAGAGAGGCAGATTCCATCAAATCCATTTTGAGGAAAGAAAAAATGCACGAAGAGGGACTCGAACCCTCGAGTGCGAACACATTACGGCCTTAACGTAACCCCTTGGACCACTCGGGCATCCGTGCTCTGAATTTGTCCCTTCAAGTAACTTCATAAAGCAAACTCTCCACCCCAAAGATTGCACAAATGGAGTTTACGATCAATCCGAAATCTCTCGATTCAGTTCCAGAAGAATTTCGAAAAGAGAAATGGACTATTGAGGACTGTAAAGAGTATATCAGAAAAAGAAGGGAAGGGAAGGGTAGCCAAATGGTTCCCCTACACCAATTGATGCAGGGAGCGAAACTCGATATTACTGAAACGAAACAAGTACAGTTTATTGTGCAGTGTGATTGATAGGAGCCATCTGAAGAGTATTTAAACAGAATTAAGGAGTTGAAAATAAAGGAAGCGCAACGGGAGTATGCCCGTATAACCTCAAATCTTCGTCCCCACGATACATCCCTGCATCTACGTGAGGAGTTGAAAAATCCTATGGACAATGCGTCCAATGCATTTGGAGCATTATTTGGCGCCATAACAGTCGGAATGTTTTTCTACTATTGTACTCGCAATATTATGAAACCCCAGGTTTCGATATCTCTCTCCATAATATGTTTTGGGTTAATGCTTATTTTGGAGGTAGTTCTTTTAATGGCTCGTTTTTATCTGAGTGATCATCCAGATCCCTCTTTGAAGAAAGATAAATCCAGTTGATGATCGTTTGAGATAACAAACAAAGATATTTGTGAATAGAACTTGTATTATGTTGTGGTTATAACAAGAAACGGACTATCCTGAGTTGTTCACGCCAGTTTTACGATGGTTACACAATCACAATGGTAATAATTGATAAAGAGAAGATGAATGCGATTATAATGTGTTCTGCCTCATTATAATCGTCCTGTAGCTCTCTTTGAACTAAGCAAGCGTTCAATACCAACTTAGACGTTCCAAAATAAAAGAGGATGAAAGCCTTTTTTTCTCTGTCCTATATGAGAGAAAAGAGTATTTATTGTGATACTATTGAATCTAGTTATTTTAAGGGACATGCAGATCAAACTATGTATAGACTTTGATAAATGAACAAAGCAGCAGATAATCTATTTTCTATTTTCTGTGTGCTGTATTTTGGAGTAATATTGATCAATACTCAAAATCGATTGTTCTTTCCAAATTCGTCAATTCTATTTTGATGTCACTATTACTACCTTATCAAGGTACAGAAGGGAAGAGGACAAAGTGAATCACATCCAAAAGGTAAAAGAAACGATGATAAAAGAAACTGAAAGTGAAGTGACCGAATAATCCTAAGGGAACCATAAACATACATTTTCAAACTCTTTGAATTCGTTATATAAAAAAATAGAAAGTATACCCTCTGCTCTTGCCATATTGCATATATTTGTCACTTGGTACATTCCCTTCATGTTGAAATGTGTGGATTCATCTAATATTCGTACGGAATCATGAAATATAACACAAATATGAGATTCAATTTAAATGAAGTGTAAAGGTTAATTCCACAGTGATGCCATTTGCTTGTGAATATATCAAGTTTGATGATTAAAAGTCAATACCCCCCATTTAAATGACAATGAAAAAAGAGTTAAGTATATACTCACTAAATATCCAAAATTCTGCACTTTTTTTGTATAATTGTAGTTTATTATTTTTTTAACGGATTAAGATGAGTGATTATCCTGAATTATTCAAAGAATACAGTGAATACATCTCCTTGATAAATAGCCTTCAAAGCAAGGATCCTGCTTCACTTGCTACAGCCTACTGGCTTCGCTGGTATTGGGTGAAGGCGTGTGGAGATATCTGGACAGCCTCAAATAAGTCCGATTCTAATGTTTTTTCATAAATTTTGTTGTTAAGACTAGGCTTATAGATATTTGTCAGATCAGATTGATATTGTGTCTAAAATAAAGTCTGGGAATCCTTCCCTTGCTGAGAAGCCTGGAAAGGATTCGTTTATGAAGTATGTTGCGGGCAAACGAAATATGGCTATGGATCTCGAAGGAAGACAGCAATATCAAGTTTCTCTAGTATGTTTCCCTTATATTTAGGAAGCACTATCTGTGTATAATGAACTTATGCTTTTGTACCAGGCTGCCTCTAAGATTGTTCCTGAGAATGCAGATAATTGGAGAGTGTTGTCTAGGAAGACAAAGAGTCGATTCATTGAGATATATAAATGTCTAAAGGCTGGCACTCCTGTGCCCAGTATGCCTCTGACCAATTCGGTGATTCGTCCAGGATCCTCATCATTTGCCCCTAGCAATATGGGTAATTCTAACTTCCCTGCTGCTCCTAGCAATCCGATTTTCTCCTCTGCTCCCAGTAATCCCAGTTTCCCTGCCGCTCCCACTAACACGAACTTCCCTGCCGCTCCTAGCAATTCTAACTTCCCTGCCGCTCCCAGCAACCCGATTTTCTCCTCTGCTCCTAGCAATCCCAGCTTCCCTTCTGCTCCTAGCAATCCCAGCTTCCCTTCTGCTCCTAGCAATTCTAACTTCCCTTCTGCTCCCAGTAATCCCAGCTTCCCTGCCACTCCAACTAATCCCAGCTTCCCTACTGCTCCTAGCAATCCCAATTTCCCTGCTGCCCCTACTAATCCCAATTTCCCTGCCGCTCCTAGCAGTCCTTCCTTCCCTCAGAACAATCTCGGCAGCCCTTCCTTCCCTACTGCTCCCAGCAATCCCAACTTCCCCGTCAGCGCTCCCTCCTTCCAGATGGGGAATCAGGATCGTTTCAATGGCGGCTACACCGGGTTTGCCGAGCCGTCGAACTACTACAACGTCGCTCATAGCGCAATCCCGATGCATCCGGAGGAGCCGCAGCCCGGCCTGCGCCGTTCTTGCTCTTCCAACTGCGACAGCTCTGCGGAGCGAACCCAGTTCGATGATGTTCCGCTGCCTGGAGACAGTCGCGACACTTGGGGCAATCAGGGCAATTTCCCGCTCAATGGAGGCCGTCCGATGGGAATGCAGAGCGACTTCTCCAGTGGAGGCAATCCAATGGGTAATTTTGGCGGCAACCGCATGCCGTCGTATGGAGAGAATAAACAGCAACAGTTTGGTATGGGAGGGAACGGCCAGTCCGCTCCTTCGATGAATTTTATACAGGACTTTGGCGGGCAGACGACGATCATCCAATCCGGACTGAAGAATCGGCAGACAGGAGTAGGGATGGAGAGATGGGTTGAGGAATAGTGGGAAAACAATGTCGAGGAAATGCTGAACTATTACAATCAAGAGGCAGAGGAAATGGTGAAGAAGAACAAGCCGAAACTCGCGAAGGCGATCTATGAAGCGATGATTAACGCCTGTAATTGTAGGAGAGGGAGAGGCAGAGTGATGTGTAGCGGATCGAAGATTTGCAAGCTATGCGGATTCTTTCAGACAGTGTATTGCAAACTTGAATTTGTGATGTGTTTGTTGAAGTATGTGTGGTGGATGGAATCCCATGAACCAAACGTTGCCATTTCTCCTTCTGATTCTCTTCGATCCCTGTCAACTCGTTCTCCATTTGCCATCTCCAAATATTCCTTTCCTTTCCATTTCACACAACTGCATTATCATCAACAAACACTTCAAAGACAGTACAAACCCCATTTCTTCTTTCTTATTCCTCCTTCGCCTTTCCAGCGCCCAGACTCAACCAACGCCAGAACGGAATCACCACCGTCACCACCGCAATGGCTCCCAGAATCGCGTACTCCATCTACCCATTACCTCAAACAGCACACACTCTACCCAGAACGAACTCGCCAGACGCAGATAGTGCGCTTCCTGAAGGATCGGAAGTGTTCCCAGAGAGGTGGACAGACCACGAGCATGCGCCACTTCCTCGTCCTTGTAGAAAGCGTACTCGTACATCGCGCGACCCGTTTCCAGATAACCGAACTGGCGAGGAATAGCAGTCACGTTCTTCTCGAACTTTTCTCCACTACCCATCACCCTTTCCCCTATAGCAAAAGCCTACGCAGGAAGCTCTTCAATCACAATAGGGAACTCCACATCAATATCGAAGCCCTCTTCCGGCCACTGGTCAGTAATCGTCACATTGTACACATCTCTACCGGTAAACAGCCCCACAAAATTATACTCTTCACCAATGTTATCAATGCGGTACATAATGGTGAATTCGTGGTTACAACCAATGTAGTTGCTAGGAGCATCGAGTCCCTACGAAAAATCGATTCCCCAGCAAATGCCTTCCTACCTTCTCCATAATCAAATGAGGAGCGCACTGAGCCAGGGCAAGAGCAAGCAGAACAACGATGGACTTAAACTACACTATTATTCAATCTTGCCACAATTACCATGATTTAAAAAAGTAGGTAGATTACGATACTTACAAAAATGACAAAATCTCAAACTCTCAAACCCATAATGAAAAGTTAGGAGTCCAATAAGTGGTCGATGGAAGGGAGAAGGCTAGGCATACTTACCTGGCGGGGATTTGACTGCGATCAAGAAGGCAGTTGATCTGGAATGGAGCAAACCATAGCACTCTGGTGTTGTGAAATTCCAAAGGTCCTTCGGGATTATTACCGCATAATTTTTGGATTTGGGAGTATGCGCTTGCGCATCTCCTGCTCTTTTAATCGAATTTAGAAAAGAAAAAACTATTTCTTGAATCAACTATCCCAGTTTCACTTTCCTTATCACTTCTTGCCTTTCATAAACTGCTTCCTATTTCCAATTACTCACTCATTGCTATTTCCATTATTACCCTTGCCATCATCCAATAATTCAATTCATTCCAGACTTTACTTACAAAATGGATGCTGATTACTATTCGAGCGCGATCGCTCTTTTAGAAAATGCAGCTGCCGAGTTTAAGCGATCTGTTGATAAGCAGATCGTAGCTTTTGAAAATGAGCAAAAGCTTCATGAAGAGACAATTCGCTCAATTGATGGTTAGAAATTGACTCATAATTAAAATATCAGAAAAAATCGCAGCGCTACAGCAAAGAGAAAAGGAACTTCTCGAAAAGAAGAGTTTAAAGGATATAGACGTATCAGATAAAAAGAAAGAAGCAGACAAAATAACAGAAGAGATTAATTCCTTAAAAGTAATCGCTCTTTTGAAAATCGATTGGTAGAGAAGAGAAAGGGAGCTGGAAGAGGAAAAAGAAAAGAGGCAATTTGAATTCGAAGAGAAACGACGTCGAATTGCCTCTCAAACTGATGGTAGTATTATTTCGTGTAATTTAGAATAGAATTAAGCAAAGAACGAGTAGAAGGTGACGACAGTAAAGAACTGACAAATGGTTTGCTCTTTTACTCGCAGAGGCTGCAAATGTTCTTAAACAAAGGTTCCAGTTCGTTCTTACACCTAGCAATAGATTTGGAAGGAATTCGTATTACTTTCCGATGCATCGATCGTAATCATCCAAAGAGACGTTTTTATGTGGTCCTGAAGATAAATGACGAGGAGAAGTGGGAACGTAAGAGTGTTTATGGAGAGTTTCAGATAGTGCTTCGAACAAAGCCGTGTTTAGAGAACGAGAGCGCGCTGATGAAGCGGTTAAATGAATCGAACGACGTAAACAGCTTTCTTCGCAATGTCCGAAAGTCATTCAAGGCGCAATATTGTAACGATGTGTAGCTAGCTAGCTTGTTTGTTTGTTTGTTTGTTTGTTGTACTCACCTGCATTTTTGATTGCATTGGTCAAACAAACACAGCAATACCACAACTAATTTAGAATAGAGACATGTAAGTTCCGAGAATGGCTGCGAAAAAGCCGAAGGCAGTCAGCAGCACATCCAGAACGGCGAGTGCCTTACGCTCCTTCCTAAACAGTACAAAATGGAGCATTGTCGGGAAAATGAAATTCACGAACGAGGTTGCGGACGCTCCTGTAATCGATACAACATTGCTGAACTTTGGCCACACGTACGCAATGACCGTCATAATTACTAAAGGCACAACTCGGGCGGCGATTCCAGCCCCATCATTGATAAAGATGCTTCCGTTCACCTCGCGCGGATCTGCTACGAGCGGTTCCTCCACGTTGACGATCTCTTGAAGCGTCGACTCTTTGTTCTGCTGCTTGTCCGCTTCGATGGCCGGAGGCTGCGTGAGATCCACGGTTTGATCGACCTTCTGGCCGAAGCAGGCGCGGAACCAGGAATCGATGGTGAGGGAGGAGGGATAAACGATAATGGGAGTGATGAGAATGAGCATCAGACAAAGAACGGCCGAGGAAATGTAGAAATAGGGCGTCTGAGGCGGGATGTTCAGCATGATGAACACGTTGATTCCCTCCTCGACCTTGTTGAACGTCAGCAATCCAAGGATTCCCATCGCCACATACAGCGACAACGCGAAGATGATGCTGATGCTGATGATAGGAGAGATGCGTTCCGGGTGCTGCATCGATACCTGCACTCATAAAGGAGATCGAAGGGATACATAGGACGACGGAACCAGGCAGTTTACAGCCAGACCGAAAGATAGCAGACCGAAACATTTGCCGATTTCGAAGGTGCTGTCGACATGGAGGAATTGATTATCCCAGGAGAATCCGTAATAAACAGCTCCATAACTACCATTGTTATTAGATGAAGAGAAAGCAGAGTACATGATAATCACAATGCAGCACAGAATCATCACAATAACCGATCCAAGCGAAGCGAAAGAAATCGATCTAGAACTTAGAATCGGTTCAAAAGGGTACCTCAAGCTTCGGAGGAGACAGAGGGGGATCTCTATAAAAAGATAGAGAATGGTCCAGAAGCGATAATCCGTGAAGAGCTTCCACGAAGGATCCCAAGGCATGTCCGCCATTGAAAACCCAAACGAGATTTGATAAGACAATCCTGCTCCATACAACGCAATCACGTACGCTATATCGAGGGAACGTGCACCAATGACACCAAAATTCTATGAACTAAAAGATCCAGTGTGTAATAACATCACTCATTAATTTGAGGTATGGATCAGTCCCTTCCTTCATCTGAACAGGCATACTTTTAGTAGCTTCCACAAGACAATAGCTACAGTACTTGGTCCAGAAGTATTGGAGTACGATCATAGTCATCGTCAAAGTAACTCCTACCTGGAGGATCAGACTATTGCAAAATGCTTACATGGCGGAAATAGTATGGGAGGGCGAAAAGCACGACCCCCAGATTCGTCGTTGCCATGTTCAAACATGTCTACAAATGAGTTTTCTGTGCTGCCTCGACCTGAAAATCAGTCGTCAACATAGATGCTTACAGAAAATAGTGATAATCGCATAATCAATCGAGATGACGCAGCCAATTGTCAACCATTGTCATTTGATAATCATGGAATGACTGTATAGTGGTCCCCTTAATGAAAACACATCATCGTTTTTCACAATTTTGTGTTTATCAAACCACGAATGGGGGAAAGAAACAACTCTTCATAGAACAAACACTCATAAAAACCATAATCACTAAGCAACACGATTTCCTTGAAACTCGTTCATTCTTTCTTTTCCAATACACCAACCATCCATTTATCTTCTTTTTCTTCTTCTCGGACCTCTCGCTCTTTACAGCGGGATGTTTCCGTGCTTTCTCCAAGGATTGGTCATCTTCTTGGTCTGGAGGATCTCGAGGTCCTCGCAGAGTCTTCTTCGGGTCTCGGTGGGCTCGATGATGTCGTCGATGAATCCTCTCTGGGCGGCCATGAGCGGGTTGGCGAAGTTGTAGGCGTACTCGGCCTTGTTCTTCTGGAGATCCTTTCCTCGGAAGATGATCTTGACGGCTCCCTCGGCTCCCATGACGGCGATCTCTCCGTTGGGCCACGAGTAGTTGCTGTCTCCGCGCAGATGCTTCGAGGACATCACGCAGTACGCGCCTCCGTAGCTCTTGCGGGTGATGACGGTGACCTTGGGCACGGTCGCCTCCGCGTAGGCGTAGATCAGCTTGGCTCCCTCGCGGATATTCCTCGGTGCTCCTGGTTCACGCCGGGCAGGAAGCCGGGCACGTCCACGAACGTCACCAGCGGGATGTTGAACGCGTCGCAGAAGCGCACGAACCGCGCGCCCTTCACCGAGGCGTTGATGTCCAGGCAGCCCGCCAGCTCCAGCGGCTGGTTCGCCACCACGCCCACCGTGCGGCCCTCCATGCGGGCGAAGCCCACCACGATGTTCTTCGCGAAGTCGGGCGACGTCTCGAAGAACTCCTGCTCGTCCACCACCAGCTTCACCAGCTTCTTCATGTCGTACGGCATGTTCGCGTCCTGCGGCACGATGTTCGCCAGCGCCGGCTCCGCGCGGCTCCGCGGGTCCGTGCACACGCGGCTCGGAACGCCGTCGCGGTTGTTCAGAGGCAGGTAGTCGTAGAACGTGCGCATCGCGCGAAGCATCTCCACGTCGTTGTCGAACGCGCCCTGCGCCACGCCAGACTTCTTCGTATGGATCGCAGCGCCGCCCAGCTCCTCCTGCGTCACTTCCTCCTGCGTCACCGTCTTCACCACGTCCGGACCCGTGATGAACATGTACGACGTGTCGCGCACCATGAAGATGAAATCCGTGATCGCAGGAGAGTACACAGCGCCTCCAGCGCACGGACCCATGATCAGAGAGATCTGCGGAATCACACCCGACGACAGAGTGTTCCGCTTGAAGATCTCCGAGTAGCCAGCAAGAGAGTCGCAGCCCTCCTGGATACGAGCACCGCCGGAGTCGTTCAGACCGATCACCGGAGCACCCACGTCCATGGCCTTGTCCATCACCTTGCAGATCTTCTCAGCGTTCGTGCCAGACAGAGAACCTCCCAGCACAGTGAAGTCCTGAGCGAACAGGAACACCAGACGACCGTTGATCGTTCCGTGACCCGTCACAACACCATCGCCAGGGTAGTTCTGCTTCTCCATACCGAAATGCACGCAGCGGTGCGCCTTCAGCTGGTCGTACTCGCGGAACGAACCCTTATCCACCAGCAGCTCGATACGCTCGCGAGCGGTCAGCTTGCCACGCTTGTGCTGAGAATCAATGCGCTTCTCGCCTCCACCAATAAGGGCGCTGTGGCGAGCTTCAGCAAGTCTTTCAGTGAAAGGCTTCGTTAAATCAACAGCTCCGGCGAAACTGCGCTACACCATCACACTCACAGATTCAAAATCGTACAGCAAGAGTCACAGCACGCTTCGAAATCATAGAAGGAACAGATGCGAGCATTCTTTGGGAAAACCTAGAATGGGAGAATAATGGAGAAACAGGGAAGATGAGTGAAGGGACGACATACAGCTTTAAGGGACCAACTTGTTATGCATGTCGAATTGTATAAAAACGATTATTTGAAGACGAAATACAACTTATTCGGTTTAACTTGCACGAAATCGTATATACTATTGCGTAATACACAAGAAAATGGAATTGGAGCGGGTATTTGAGTAGAATTTCTAGACTGAATATAGACATACAATATTTATATAGGCAAGTAATGAATACATGCATTATAGTATAAAGACAGTGATTAGAAAACGATGGAAAGAGCCATATGGTCATTATCAATAATAAGTCAGATATACACGGCTATCTGCCCAATTGGTTATAAAATATATAATATACGCTAATTAATATCTAATTTCAATCAATGGTAAGTCTAAGTCTTGATGATCAAGGTAGCACTTAATCCACAATTGCCGTGTCGTGTCAGAACATTCTATAAAAGAAAGATAGAGAAATCATAATTTTTTTATTTCCAACATGGGAAATAATAAGAAATACAGAATTCCTGTATAGAGACTTGACTTGCCGCCAATAATTTATAGAATACTACTATTGGTTTTGATGTTTGCACCGATTGCACTCATTTGTTTATTTCTCACTGCCATTCTGACCATATTCCATGGTGTGGATTTGTGTATGACAAAGAATCTGATGTTGTGACGAATGTCAAGCATGAGTATACTATTTATTGTATTCCTTTAGAGCTTGATACTACTTAGGTACTCGAAAAACAAAGAAATATCTGGATATACAATACCAGTTTTATAACAAATCGTCTATTGATGTCAGTATTGGTAAGAATCGCTGTAAAATAAACTTCAAATGTCTTGATGAAAATACTACCTATTACTTTTTTGAAGATGATGATTCTAAGGCTGAATTTAGTAGAAAGCATCCGTTAGAAAGTAATAGTGAAGTATTATACAAAAATCCAGATTTCCATGTAAAAGATAAAAATATCGTGACCAAATTGGCTATTAAGCTGAAACTCATTGATGCACACCATTGTCCTGGCTCATGCATGTTTCTTTTTTGGATTTATAGAGTTGGTAAAGGGCGTGTATACAAGCCAGATTTATACATTTATACTGGAGACTATTGTTTGACGGAAACGATAAAAGAACAATTGCTCAATCTGAGAAAGAGTGAAGATGTGAAAACAGTAACGATCGTAAATGATAATACTCGAACGAGTGAAGAAGATCACGGTTTACCGACAGCTGACAAAGCAATCGCGAAACTGAAGGACTTCATTGAGTTCCATAGGAAGAGATTTAAGACACTCATCACTGTAAAGATTGGTGCTGATTGGGGAATGGAAGATTTGTGGATAAGGTTGGCAAGGGAATACAAGACATGTCTTTATGTGGATGAAACTACATATCAACAAATTCTTAATTGTATGGGTGAGGACTATCACAAGGATATTAGGAAAGAACCCAATTGGAAAAAGTGGTATATCAAATATTTCAAAATGAGAGTGAGGTATTATATTAGGCAGATAATAATGAATAGATTCGAGCTCACTTCAAAGAAATGGATCCCCCAAAAAGAAGAAAAAATCCGATTACCGGAAGATACATCATATACAGTTGCAGAGGACATTATTGCTCCCAATTTTGAAGACAAGCCCACTCAAGAATTAGTTGAACCAGAAATTATTTACGTCATACCAAATTTCAAAAAATGTTATTTGGATAAAATAGGTGCACCGTACAATCGTCGTCTTGATCTTCGATACTCGAATGATAGTTTTTACAATTATAATATGTAGAAAGCATACAGCACGCAGTAAGTATACAGAGCTGATTCGTGAGCTTCACGTTGATCAGGAATATGATCTTGTGGAACATAACAAGAAAGATCAAGACTCATTGCATTCGATCGCTCCAAACGAAGAAAGCTACGAAGACGCACCTTCATAATATTGTGAATAGGAGCGGCAATTATCAAGAAACCATTGCATTTGATGATTTAGATATGATAGTAATATACCAGTGTAATCTACTATTTTGATCTGGTATATTTCTTAATCTTTAAACAAGTTCAATGGTTTTAATTCTGTTTGTGATAGACATAGTTGAATATTCTGTTTTAACTCTTAGTGTATTTTGAACCCTATATTGCGTTTCTTAAAGAATAATGTTAGTATGTTCTACTGAAATTTACAAATACAGTTTATCCACATGATAATGAATAATAATGGACTTTTCACTGTTATGCGTATACATCATTGTAAAACCTACGGATAAACTAACAATGGAGAAGAATAAAGAAGCGCATTAAGATCGAATATAATAAACACAAACCAAAGGTGGAATTATTATAAAATTCAATATTTCTTATTAACTCAATTAGAACAAGCTTCATCATCTTGTTAAACCGATTATTCTTCTCACTAGAAAGGAAAAGTATTAGTAATCAATTTTAAACAATCAAAATAAACATTTATATATATATATATATGATTATGATACTATTTCATTACGACGACGACAGTGTTTTGTGCAAATAATACAATCAAATGTTGTAGAGCCAATTCCTGCTATTAGAAACAGAGTAAAACTTATTATAAGAGAGCGCTTTACAAACTTGTTTTCATTACTCATATTCAAATAATAGAATACTATTGATAAAACAAGAGTAAATACTGCCAAAATATGGAATAATGTGGACGTTATTTCCAGTCCATCCAATTTCATCTTTCCAGGTTTCTTTTTTTTATTCCCTTTCTTCTTTCTTCTCAGTTTTGTAGATAAAGAACTATCTTTTTCCGAACCGTTATTATTATCATTATTATTAACTGCATCGTCCTTTGGCCTAATTTCCATGTCAGAAATCTGTTGGAATGGTCCGTAATACACTAGCCTTCCATTTTTATAAGATTCCATAATATCCCCGTGAAACAAGTGCAAAAGCTCAACCTCAATACCCTTTTCCCATCTACTTATGTGATCAATAACTGAATTCTTATAAAAGTAGCAGACACCGTCATTTCTTCCATGTTTATCTTTGTGGCATATTGATATTACTGTAGCACGTTCACATATCTCATTCCAATAGCCTTCCTTATCTTTATTCTTCAAAATTCGATAGTTTCTCATCCCCTTCGTAAAGAAGCCATTATACATGACATCTCCGCTCTCGTCATACTCAATGCCCAAACCATCTCGATATCCATTAATCAGATAGCCACTAAAAAACAAACTTCCAGACTCATAGTATAATTGGCACTTTCCATTGCCGTTCCCATTCTTGTACGAAAACTGTGCAAATACCTTCCCATCCAGATTCGTTATAACAGCCTTTCCATGCAATTCATTATTCTTCAGTTCTACGACCATTTTAAAACCATGGTGAGGAAATCCTATCTGACATACAGCTTCGTTACTATTTTTCACTGTACTCAAAATAGGAAATTCAGCAGAGATATCATTTTTCCAAATATTGACACCCCCTTTTTTCACCTTTCCAAAGGGATCATCTACACTAAACATATAGGAATAGTCCAGTACACTGCACGGGGTTATTCATTCCAAACAGAGATTTTGCCACTATTCAGCAAATACTTTAACAATGTTTTTTCTCTTATTATTGGTGCATCCAATCAGTTCGCAGTTTGATGTTCTACATCAAACTCGTCCTTTCGTGGTTCGTTGGAAGCAATGTCGGAAGCAAGCACTCGTATCGCTATTGTGGATGGTGAAAAGGTGGGTGCGGAGGGTTTGAGGTGATTGCTAGTGTAAACCTAGCCGTTGCAATTTGGAATGTAAGAGATACTGTCCCCTTGTGAAGATGGGGAAGCTGTGCGTAGAAGTCAAGTCTACCTCCAAGATCAGTTTCATCTCGGAAGAGCTGTGCATTGGATGTGGTATTTGTGTGAAGAAATGCCCCTACAAGGCAATCAGCATTATCAATCTTCCTAAAGTAGGTCAGCGTTGTGAAATCGACCTCTAGAGTCTTGAGAACGAAACGACACACCGATTCGGACCGAACTCTTTCAAGCTGCACAGGTAGGAATACGATCGAATGGTCCAACACTAGACTTCCCACTCCTCGTCCGAATCAAGTGTTAGGTTTGGTCGGAACGAACGGTATCGGTAAGTCGACAGCCCTGAAGATCCTTGCGGGCAAGCTGAAGCCGAACCTGGGTAGCTTCAACAACCCTCCGGATTGGGAAGACATTTTGAAGTATTACCGCGGCAGTGAGTTGCAGAACTACTTAAAGCGAATTCTGTTGGACGATCTGACGGCGGTGACGAAGATCCAGTACGTGGACATCATTCCGAAGCATCTCCGCGGGCAAGTGGAGAAGCTGATCAACGCGCGCGACAAGCGTGGGATCCGCGACTCGATCTGCTCTGTGCTGGAGCTGAACCACCTCATGAGTCGTGACATCGACCAGCTCTCTGGCGGTGAGCTTCAGCGCTTCGCGATCGCGATCACCGCCATGGCGAAGTCGGACGTGTACATGTTCGACGAGCCGTCGTCCTACCTGGACGTCAAGCAGCGTCTGCGCGCCGCCGAAGTGATCCGCTCGGTGCTGGAGGCGAAGGACGGCGTGTACGTGATCGTCGTGGAGCACGACCTCGCCGTGCTGGACTATCTCTCCGACTTCGTCTGCGTGCTGTACGGCCGTCCCGGCGCGTACGGCGTGGTCACGATGCCGTTCAACGTGCGCGATGGCATCAACGTGTTCCTCGCGGGCTTCGTCCCCACCGAGAACCTCCGCTTCCGCGAGCTGGAGCTGACCTTCAAGGTGGCGCAGACGGCGGACGACGTGAAGAAGGGCAAGCGCGACAGTCTGTACGAGTACGAGGCGATGACGAAGACGCTGCAGGGGAAGGGACACAAGTTCGTTCTGCACGTGGAGAAGGGCAACTTCAGCGAGTCGGAGATCATCGTGATGCTCGGAGAGAACGGAACCGGCAAGACCACCTTCATCCGCATGCTCGCCGGACTCATGAAGAGCGACGAGGAGGAGGCTGGCCGCGCCCCGTCCATCCCCGCGCTCTCCGTGTCGTACAAGCCGCAGACGATCTCTCCGAAGTTCCAGGGCTCCGTGGAGGACCTCTTCCAGACGAAGATCCGCGCCGCGTACATCCACCCGCAGTTCCAAACCGACGTGCTGAAGCCGATGAATCTCGACGGAATCATGGACCAGCCGCTGTCCGTGCTGTCGGGAGGTGAGCTGCAGCGCGTGGCGCTGGTGCTGGCGCTCGGCAAGCCCGCGAATATCTATCTGATCGATGAGCCGTCGGCGTATTTGGACTCCGAGCAGCGTATTGTGTGCGCGCGAGTGGGCGAGGAGAGCGGCGGTGAGGCGTAGATTATCAAGCGATTCATTCTGCACGCGAAGCGCACAGCGTTCATCGTAGAGCACGATTTTATTATGGTAGGACGAAGAGACCGCATCATGACTGTAGGCGACCTATCTGGCCGATCGCGTGGTGGTGTACGAGGGACAGCCGGGCGTGGAGTGCACGGCGAAGTCGCCGGAGAGCTTGCTGACGGGAATGAACCGATTCTTGAAGCATCTGTCGATCACGTTCCGACGCGACCCGAATAACTACAGACCGAGAATTAACAAGATGGACTCGCAGAAGGATAAGGAGCAGAAGGCGAGCGGAAACTATTTCTTCATGCAGGATTAAGGGAAGGGACCCAAGGTGACTGATTTGGTTATTATCTTTTTATGCATCACTAATTTTTGTATCCTTTTTGGATTTTGTTTTATCAATTTGGGTTTCACTTTGCTCCACAAAGAGTTCTCGATCATGGTACACAATTGGAGAAACAAATGGGCCATATGTTTTGGAATTGGGACATCTCTGATCTTTAATGTTTTTACAGATACATTGCTGCAATGGGCGAAATAAAAGCATCCTACAAAACGATTCTGGATAGTTTGTTAAAGGAAGAGTGCAATAAACATTGTGCTGATTGTGGGGCACCGGGTGTGTTTTTTGTTCCATTTTAATTTGCTAGATCCACGATGGGCATCTGCAACGCTTGGAGTTTTTATCTGCATCCGTTGCTCTGGAGTTCACCGAAACTTGGGTGTTCACATTTCCTTTGTCCGGTCCGTTTCATTGGATAGCTGGAAGAGCGAGCATATCCGAAATATGCAGAGATGGGGAAATAAGAGGGCAAACGAGTATTGGGAGTACAACCTGCCCAAGAATTATCCACGACCTACGGAAAATAGTTCGATGGCTGCCCTGGAGAAATTTATCAGAGCCAAGTACGAAAAGAAAATGTGGGTTCGTGATAATGACTCGGATTACGATTATTCGTATTCTGGTAGCGACGGCGACACGAAACCTCTGTCTGCCATCAATGTAAATCGTTCAAAGACTGCTCCCGTAACCCCAGCTGTATCGTCTCCTTCCCCCTCCACTCCGTTGCGTACGCGTGCTTCAGGAGGTCTGAGCAGTTTATCCCATCGAAGTGGCTCGCTGAGTCCCATCGAAGACCTGTTCATGAGTTTCACTCTGAAGCCTTCGGCAAATGCTGGGCTCGACAAAAAGGATCGCGAAGACTCATCGCGGAGTCTTCACACAGCCTCCATAGCTGAACTTTATGGACCGAAAAGCCCGCAAGTGGGTGTTAAAACCAATTCTCACCTGTAAAAGAGTTCAGGAGTTCGCTCTTGGAGCATTGCTAAGTAGTGTTATCGTGTTTTAGAACGTGTTTGTGGAACAAATAGGAAATGAGTATTCTTGACGTTTGTATTTTGAAATTCTACACATTAGAGAGGTCGGAGGTCACGTTGTACATGGGTGAAGACGGTTGATGCTGGCGCTTTAGGGATTTCTACAACTCACCATCAACCTTTTCAAAAACTACGTTATTCATTATTTTCAGGATGCTCACTAAATTGTTGGTATCATCTTGTTCGATCACTACACGATTACATGTTCCACAAGAAAAAACAAATTGTCCCGGATTCTGGTTTTGTACGAATATATATAGGAATAGAGCAACACTATATAAGCAAAATCGAACGAAATTCAATACGACTTGGTAGTCACTCTTTTCCATATTTGAAAAGAAAAATGGGTTCGTTATGGGGAATAGAGACAAAATATCCTCCATCAACGAAATGACGATGTTTTTTTTGTTTCCCTCCAAACCGTACAGTTTAATAGTAAGGTCATGGTGATCGTTTTTCTTGTTGATTTTTTGCACTTTTGGGCAATCAGCTAACAAAATGGAGGCAGGTGTTTTGCATAAGAGGTCTTTGAAGGTCAGAGTTCGCCGAATCCAAAGTTCCTTTTTCGGGCTTTCGCTTTAACACTTTTCAGGAGTTGACAATCGCGGTTATCAGCTGTGCAGTGTTTGTGTATTTTACAGAATAAATAATACAAAACGAACTTCCTAAAGCCGACTCTTTCTGCATCTGTAGCCTTTTTAATGGCTATTGCTGTTGCCTGCTTGATTGAGAAATATGGGGGAGCTGTTGGTAGTGTGATTGGAACTGTTCCTTCTACCATTATCCCTGCTCTTTTTATTATTTTATCGGATAATTCGAAGAGTGTAGCTGATAGAGTCAATTCGGGACTAGCCTGTATGTTTGGGATATTTTCTACGAATGTATGCTTTATGCCCGTCTGGAAGGTGCTTCCCCCCAGACTCCCCAAAAAGTGGCCAAATGGGTTGTCGGTCTTAGTTTCTTCTATCGTTTCTCTCTTGGTTTGGTTTGTCGCGGCCATTTTAATTATCTTAATCCAGCAAGCCTTGGAAGCCATTGGATTGAACAATCTTATTTATACGTTTATTTTAGTTATTCTCACTTGCTTCATCGGTGGGTATCTATGTTGGGATCTTCCTCCCACTCCTGCTGGTAAGAACGTAGTGAAGTGGTACATCCATCTGGCTCGAGGTGTGGTCGCCGGAACAGCCATCTTTGTTAGTGGTGTGTTGAGTCAAACCGATGCTGGCATTGCTGCAGGTGCAGCCTCGACCTTCCCAGCCATCTTCCTCACCACCATGGTGTCGGTCTCTTTAGCGCAAGGCGCAGACGTTTCGACCGGTGCAATCGGTCCCATGATTCTTGGCGGAGCTTCTGGAGGGTGGTACACGCTCTGCACAGTGGTGATCTTTCAATGGACGCAATGGAACATGTGGGTTATTTCCCTAATCTCGTTCGTACTGGTCGTGGTGTTTTGGAATCTCTCCGTGTACAAGTTCGTCACGTGGAGACGTGCTGTGACGGCTCGTAAGACGCTGGAATTGGTGAAATCGATGTCAAACGAAGAGGAGCTGAAGGTGAAGGTGGAGGCAGCGATGAATGCGCAGAGCGGAAAGGGGGCGAAGGAAGTGGAAATGAAGGTTCTGGCGGAGGATGGAACTGCTCAGACGAAGAACGCGATGGGCGAAGAAGGGGAGAAAGGGCCGGATCTGGAGAATGGAGAGGGATTCGGAGAGAAGGCCGATGCATTGGCCGATCGCGCGGTCATTCCGCCCTCCGAAAACGAAAGGAGTGGTAGTGCGAACAATGCGAGTTCTGCGAGTTCTGCGAGTTCTGCGAGTTCTGCGAGTTCTGCGAGTTCTGCGAGTTCTGCGAGTTCTGCGAGTTCTGCGAGTTCTGCGAGTTCTGCGAGTTCTGCGAGTTCTGCGAGTTCTGCGAGTTCTGCGAGTTCTGCGAGTTCTGCGAGTCCCGTCACCCCTGTGAACACTTCAGAAATACCCGCAGACACGGAAATACCGAGTATGAACAAGGAAAGCAGTTCGGAGAATGCGAACTAGGCAGGAGGCAAGCGGCGTGAGGAAGTCGAGGATCGTTCTGTCTGTTATCCTTTAAATAGTACTCGTAGTAGTAGTAGTAGTAGTAGTAATATTTTCTTTTGTTGGGTTTGTATCAAACAGAATAGTTCGTTAGGGTTTCGCCAAGGAACGTCATACTGAGGAACTCGCCCAGCTGATAGAAAATGAACTGCCAGGGCGCCATGCGACACATCGTGGCTCCGAAGCCCTTGGTGAGAGCGAGAACGCCTTCGTACCGCACAGTCTAGGATGGAGGGAAATGTTGACAACCACTTTGATGAAACAGTCGAAGCTGGATTTGTAGAGAGGACGGTCTTGGTGCTGCTCCATCATGCGTGTTTTCACTACGTCGAATGGATTGCTCATGCATGTCGAAACAAAACCTATTTCGCACCGAAAGTGCACGGGTACCGCTGTAAATAGACGCGAGCGTGCAGTTTATGACACGACCCATCGCAGTCGAATCCGATGTGTGGAAGTGGCGCATGATCCACTCCTTGCTGCTGTCGTAGCAGGCGATTCCACCCACTGTGAGGAGTCCAGCTCGAATCAGGGTGGGAGAAACACCCGTGAAGAACGCAGAAACCCCTTCTTCCCGGATAATCGTGAAAAAAGCATCGGTCGCATTCTTGTATCGTGGCTTTTCTCCCATCATGATCAAACGTCCATCTGCTTGCATGCGGACTTTAATGAGGTCTAAAGGAAGGGAACACGTTTGTCCAGTGATTCCCGTCGTTAGGGAAACACACAGACGTTTGGGGAAACTGAGGTTTTGGTTTTCTTCTCCCGGATACATTAGACGACGCAGCGGCTTGTAGAAACCTGTGCAAATACCTCCATAAATCACTTGACGCAATGCTGCGGGTCCAACACCTCCAAAGAGTGCCCAAAAACCTTCTTCTCGAACAACACCTGTCATCGTCCTCCAAAGGCCTCTCGACGGTGTTTTCACTCCATTCATAACATTAGCAGTGTTTTGAAGCTGAAGTCGAGTCTTTGCCAAGTCAAAAGGCTGAGTGACTATTCAATTTAGAACGTAGAACAAGGTTGTATACCAGACTCGGTAAACGAAGACGTAAAAGCACAAATTAGCCACCTTTTGAACATCAGGTGGTCGTTTTTCTTTGCTTCTCCACTCCGCATCAATTACGAAATTGGCAAACCAGGAGTACTCCTTTCGAGAAATAGAATGCCATTTTCTTTTTCCCTACACAGCGAAACAATGTTTAAGAAGTATATTTGTGTATACTAATGGATCATCGATAGATTCTACCCCAATGAATTCGTCATTTCCAAGAGTCAAGTAAAAGCATCCGCAGGACGCGGTATTCGGAAAGCGATCATTGAGCAGTATCCGGAATTCGAGAAGTATGCAGATGAGCTGTTCCCCAAGAAGGAAAACGTGGTGGTAGCGAAATGGTAGCTTCCGATCGGAATTGGTCTAACTGTTGTAGCCAGAATCACATCGAGATTGTAATTGTGAATAATAAGCCTCTTTTCTATTCTGTGCGTGATGGTCCCTTCTTCCCAGTCATGCGTGTGCTTCTTCGCGGTTCGCTTTGTATTTGTTATGTTACCGCTAGCTCCTGATATGATGAAGAGCGTTCAGGTCGATAAGGGTGCCATTAAGTTTGTTCTTGGAGGAGCCAATATTATGTGTCGTGGAATTACCTCTCCTGGAGGCCGTCTTCCTGACGGTTTGGAAAAGGGCGAGCCAGTGGTAGGCACTGAACAAAGTTGTGCGAGATAGGCGATTTTTGCTGAAGGAAAGGAGAATCCGCTGGCAGTGGGTGAGATGGCGATGTCGTCTGCGGAGATGTGAGGATAAAAAGATGTGGTGATGTGTAGCAAGGAAAAGAACGAGGGTATTGGTATTTTCTTGGGAAATTATCTGAACGATGGTTTGTGGCAGTGTCTGAACCTTGAGTAGCCTCTAGTTGGATTTGTTTGTTGAATACTGAGTGGTTTGAATTGTTGTAGAATGAATGAATGAAAGTACAAATGAATAGAAAGTATGTGATAATGAATGACTACTGATGATTGGTTTATGGTTTATATCTCTCGGAACTATAAGAACGAATAGTCTAGTGTAGATTGATTGAGTCGATAAGTATAAAAGATAATTATATGGGGTCAACTCTCAGGGTATATGTATATATACATTCGTATATAAAGTAGCAGTGCACATCCCTGTAACAAGCACAGGATCATAAATGATTATGATCGCTAAACAATGTGAGCTTCCATAGAGCCATATGTGCACAGACCTGAACATTTTCTACAACCAATCCTACGATGACCTAATTACCATGCATTCAAAGACTCGACATCACAGAAATACAAAATTATTCATATCTTCTTGCAATATCATTTAGCATTTTTGCGTGAATTCACAAGTTACCCTCCATTTTTCAGCAAGTGATGTAGAAGCCTGGCCATTGCAAGTATAAACTCTGACTTCTCCATTCATATGTTCTAAAAAGTCTTCTCACTTTCCTATTCGCATGTTTCCAAATGAGGCCCTTTTCGCTCTTTATCGGGGTCTATATATTCGCTCACACCTCGTCATTGCTTACTGTGCATAAATCAAGCATATCATAATAACCTGGAAGACTTCTCCATTTCCCTAGTTTAATCGCTTTCTTCAATTCAACTATTCATTTCCCCTATAAAATGGCACAAGCTGCTCGTACAGTATGTCCTATATCACCATAGTCACTATTAGCTCACAAAAGTGGCCATGTGGTCCTGTGGTTTAGGCCTTGGAGTTTATGTATTTAATGAATGTATTTACGATGGTAAGAATGTGGGATAATGCTTTCTAATGCTTTCAGTGGACGGAGGCAAACGTGCGGTAATCTTCGACCGTATTCGTGGAGTCTTGCCTAAGACCATCGGTGAGGGAACCCACTTCAGAATCCCTTTCATTCAGGTCTCTATGTGCGTTCGTGTTGATTCTTAGTACCCTTTCATTTATGATATTCGTACCACCCCCAGTGAGATCTCTACGGAGACAGGTACGAAGGATCTGCAGACGGTGGGTATTTCTCTTCGAGTGCTGACCCATCCTGATGTGAACCATCTTGCAAAGATCCACAGAGAAGTGGGTGCTGATTACAGAGAGCGTGTTCTCCCCTCTCTGGGTAACGAAATCATGAAGGCCGTGGTTGCTCAGTACAACGCTGAGCAGCTGCTCACAGAGCGAGAGAAGGTTTCTCAGCGTATTTCGGAGCTTCTGGAGGAGCGTGCTGAGAAGTACCACATCTTGTTGGATGATGTGTCCATCACTCACCTGGCCTTCGGCTCGGAGTTCAACAACGCCATTGAGCAGAAGCAGGTGGCTTTGCAGCGTGCGGAGAAGGCCAAGTTCGTTGTGGCTCGTGCGGAGCAGGAGAAAATCGTAGGGAAGGTGAGGATGGAGTGAAGAAAAGGCGGCTGTGATCGCTGCAGAGGGAGAGGCCGAAGCCGCCACGCTGATTAGCGATGCGCTGAAACAGGCAGGATCGGGTGTGATCGAAGTGCGCCGAATTGATGTAAGTAGCGTGAAATTGAATCGAGTGGAATTGAATGGAAAGGGAAGAAAGGGTTTGATTGAATGAATGAATTGAGTCAATTGAATGAATGAATTGAGTCAATTGAATGAATGAATTGAATTGAATGAATGAATTGAGTCAATTGAATGATTGGATGATTGAACCATCCATTGAATCAATTGACGGAGTCAGTGACTTGGCAGACCTGCTCACCTCCACGACTCCCTTCATTCCCTTCATTCCTTTCTTTCCTCGCGCCTGGCCTCGCTCCCTGCCATCTCACTCCTTGGCGGGGATCGCTGCCTCGGCGCTACATACTGGAGTCTCACTTTGCCGGCCGCGCTCTCTGAATCGCGTCGCGTCGTCTCCGCCGCAGCCTTCCGCGCGCTGGACCCAGGCCTCGCGAGTTCTTCGCGCGGTCCCAGGGCGCGGGAGAGGGACGGGGAGCCGCACGGCGCGTGCAGGGGAGTGAGCACCGCGCTGCGATGCTGGGCGACCCGGACATTCAGAACCCCCACACTCACACTCTCTAGGCCGCTAAGGAAATCGCGACCACGCTGGCGCGCGCGCCGAACGTCACGTATCTGCCTGGAGGAAACAATAGCCTGCTGCTGGGCATTGGCTCGAGATAGTCTTCTAAGGGTTGTGTGTTTGTTTAAAATTTATTTGTTGATGGCAGAAAGACAGCGTGGATAGCTCTGAAATGAGTTGATTATGTAGCTTCGAGAGAGAGCTCACCCTATTCGTCGTGGAAAGGAACAAAGTTTGGATCGAGTTTCGGAAACCTTTTCCTATTGAACAGGGTTACTCTAGATGATGTAGAGCTTGCTATTTTTATTTTTTCGTAGGCTGACAACACTCTACTCGACTCTCTGAATTGTACGCCTGATCTGATGTACATCATCGCTGTTTTGTCCCTCCACATGGACAAATTCATCGATTTTTATACTGTCAAAGAAGTAGAACAATAACAGTTTATGCTTAAATTTTAGTATAATGATTTATATGCCCGTAACGGAATTAATGACGTAAAAAGTGTAATAGTCGTCTCATCTAGTTAAATTACGACATGTTAGTGAAAACTGTCGATAGTGTCCAGAAGATCGGAAATGGCTTTGTAAAGCAGTGGAATGATTTTGTTCAGGCGAAAGAACTGGACGAACCGTATCCTCTACAAGAGGCAATTCATTTTGCCCAATCTTTGCAAAAAGAGGTACTTTTATTTTCTATTTGTGTGGCTTAATGTCTAGCAACGCATTTCCTTTATTCGTTTGTTTAACAAGTGCTACTCGACAGTATTTGTTATACCTTGTTATTATAACTAACTAGTATTTCACTTCCTTCCTCTCCTTCCTCAAATCCATCACCACCAACCCATTCGTCCCTATCTCTTTCTCCCTACTCACCTCCAGATCCACCAAATCGAAACCTCCACTCGCGACCAACTCCTCGTAATGCCGCTCTCTCCGCTCCATTCTAGCTCTCCAACGTCACCACCGACTCCCTCCTCCCCCTCACTCGCCTCCTCCCCACCTCCTTCACCTTCCTCCAGAGCATGCATCTCGGCCCTGCCCAGCTCGCTCAGCTCTTCGCGGTCGACTCGGCCTGGACCTCCGACCACATCGCCCAATCCATCCGCCTCGCCAGCCTCGCCGGCGCCACGCCGCAGACCTTCTTCCCCTTCCTCCGCTCCCTCCAGACCGCTCAACTCGGCATTGCCGACATGGACCTCCTCGCCGACCGCGTCCCGCGGGACCTGGTACGCTCCTCGCACCGATTTTCACTAGATGCTCGACGCGATCGGGCTTTTCTGCGAGCACTGGGAATTGCTCGCCCTCTTCGAAGAAGGGCTCGGCCTTTCTCTCGACGCGTCCTCGCTGCTCCGCTGGCTCCGCCACCACGCCGCGCTGCCCTCCGCGCGCGTCCGCGCCCTCCTCACGCACCCCGTACTTCCCCGCGGGAATCCTCACCCCCAGTCCGCCGCGCGGCTGCTGTCGAGCACGTGGGATCCCTCGATTCCCGACGCGACGTTCGCGTCGCTTCTCGGTTTCTCCGTTTCGCAGATCGATTTGATTTTGCGCCACGCCGCGCCGCTTCTCACCGCTCCTTCTCTCCGCCTTCTCCACGCCGATCCCCGCGACAACCGCCTCCAGCTCGCCTTCTCCTTCGCCTCCCGCGATCCCCGCGGTTCTTCGCTCGCCATCGAGGAGCACTCGCTCTGGAATGCCGGGCAGCGCGACGGCTGGTGCGAGCAGACCTACGCGGATCCCGCGGGGAACCGCGTACGCGAAGCGGTGTTTTTTTCCGCGGGGAGCGAGCGCGGGAGCCGGCTGCGGTGGAGCACACAGAAGGGCCAGCCGGGCGTGGTGCTGGTGGAGAACGGGCAGGAGATCGCGGTGCAGCAGGAAGCGCTGGGCGTTCTGTTCAAAGCGAGCACGCGGACGGTGCCGCTGCGGTTCTATTTCGTGTTCCGTGACGGCGTGCGACGCATCTCGGACAACAACGGACCCGATCTCGCGTATCTGGCAAGACTGAACGCGGATGGAGCGCGTAGACGCGGATGGATGGATTCTGACGCGAAGCGTTCAGCCCCGAATTGATGGTGCATCTGCGCGAAGCGTTCCGCAATCATCCCGTCGTCGCCAACTTCGCCATCACCGGTGGGGCGTGTCGGGGGTCTGGAACACAGATGATTGTGTCGCGGGACAGCTGGACGTGCCGCTGGTGCCGATGCCCTCCGTGTTCGCGAGCGGGAATTTCCCGATTTTGATGGAATTGCTGACGATGCTGAAACCGGCGCGGAAGGACGGAATGAAGTTCCAGATGAAAGGTAGAAACGGGGAAATTGTGGGAGATAGACATGGAGTTTAATGGGGACGCGACGCTGAATCGCCAGCTGATGTTCACGAGTTGCATTCTGAGCAGTAGGAGAAATGGAGCGGGGAATAGTATTTAATTTTTAGATGTGAATTTGAAGCGTTTCTGCATTACCGCCGAAATGCCGCATTTGCGAACGATCGTGATTGAAAGTAGGGGGAATGGGGAGTCTGAGAGGCAGACTGCATGGAAATTACGGATGTGACGATCTATGAGAACACGATTAAGGTGATTGAGAAGATTACCATTCGGAGTGCGGTTTGATGGGATTCGTGAGGAGTAGACTGTCCCAAGCTGTGTTCTATTGACATTAATGGTATTGACGAGGAAGATGTGGAGTTGGAGGGTAGGAGGAAAAGAGAGTTGCGTTGAGCGTAGATGTTCCGAATTTAGTTGGTAAGAATATTCAGTGCTAACGATTGTGATGCTCTTCTTGTTTGTTGGAATCATTGCTTTCATTTGAAATGAGAGTGGGTGGAATCTATTTTGATTTTATTCTAGAGAGAGTGAAATCCGCAACCTGCAGTCAAATCGTTTCTCATTGCACATTTGTTAGAAAAAAAATGAATGAAACCAATGATAATGAAAATGAAATTATATATGATGTAGATGCGGTTTATAATGCTAGCATGGAAGAATATTACGAAGATGGCTTCCCTGAGTTTCTACTAAACGGCGATAGTGATTCTTGGTGGCGCCTACGGAGAGAGATGGATTATGGTATTGATGAGCTTGAAGCATATGGTGATTATGAAATTCCTGAAGAATATCGTAATTATACGTTTTCCGATGAGAGCAGTGAGTCAGAGAGTGATCCCTACTATGAAGAGGACGATTATCGAGAAGAAGACTTTGATCTAGAATTCCACGAAGAGGAAAAGGACGACAAGGAGGCTCCTACACTCGAGGAAGCCGTGGATAAAATGGAAGAATTTGTAAAATACGTGCAAAACCTCCCAACACCTGAGGAATTCAAGATCCGGACAAAGGAAGAGAAAGGTATTGATTCGAAAATAAAAAAAGGATGTAACCTTTAGAAATCGTGGAGTTGCTCACGTTTATGGTGCATCGAAGGCAAGAGCTTGAACGAAAAGAAGCAGAAGAGGAGTTAGCGCAAGCAAAAGAGGAGGAGGAGCAACAGCAACAGCAACAGCAACAAGCAAGCGGCCAACAACAACAACAACAACAACAACAACAACAAGCAAAAGGCCAGCAGCAGCAACACCTAGCAAGAGAAGAACACGATAAAGAGAATCCATCCCATGCCCCCCTTCCCCCTATCGAAGCGAAAGAAACGCAAGAGAACGGTCTGCTGCCCAGTTCCAAACGATTCAAATCATGTTTTTGATCAAACAAACGTACAGTCGTCCATAATACTCGATGCGAAGAGATGGCGCCGTGTGGCTCGCCTCTCTCCTCTTCTTCTCCGCTTCGCTCTGTTCGTCGGTTTTAAAGAACATTCGCAATTGGAACACTTTGGTCGTCGTGTTCCAGCTCGTAATAAAGCGACCTTCGCCTTTGTCGATCTCTTTGTTGGGGATTTTGAACGCGATATTCTCGTAAGGAGCCGCAGCAAAAATTAAATATTGAAAGTTCTTATCAGGCGCTTGCACTTTCTGCTCGAATGCACTCATAAAACGATGGCGAGGCTGCAGGCCTGGCTGGATTTGGGGATATTCGATTTCGAAGAGAAGACCGCGTTGGCCAGTAGAAGAGTCGCGGAGATCGTCGACTCGATAGGCCGGAAGACCGATTTTAATACGAGGATGGTGAATTACCTTAGGAATCGAGGGAGGAACGAGAGGCATCGGCTGACTTCTCTTTTCGTCCATTGCCTCTACATATCATCAAGAAAACCAAAATATGAACGTCGGCGAGCTAAGTTGGCTTGATGCTTTCTTCCTTGCGTGTGAGCGAGGAAATTTGCTTCTGTGCTGTGTACTGTAAGACATAATCGGCACTCAAATTTGCCCAAATGGTTTCGGAGTAAATACGGGTTCTACAAGTAAGAAGGGTTTTTAAAACAATCTCACTCTGGAAATATCCGAAGTTTCCTTTGCCAATTTGATAAGTCGGTCTCTTCTTTGAATTTGCAGCTGTTGGCTCGTAACACGACCTGCACCTGTTCTTCCCTTTTCTCTGTGGTCAAAATCCATGCTACGAAAAACAAAAAGACAATCGAGCAAAAAATATTTGAATTCTTTTTTGTCATATCAGAAGTTGTACAAGGCCACGTTTTCGTAACAAACATACACTTATTAATTCATTCATATAGACATTCAGACATACAGGAGGTATATTGAAGGAAATAGAACGAAAAACGTAGTGTCAGACCCTTAAAGGAAATTCTTATACATATACTCAGCCATTCTTCGGTGACACGAACGACGAAGGCGTTCTGCCATGAACTGACCGCAATGACGGATTATCTTCTTAGCAGGAGAAACCTTACACTTGAACGAGATTTTCTTGTTCTTGTTGTCAACAGTAGCTGGCTTAGACTGAATTGGTGAATCAAAGCTGTTTTCAGACTGATCAAACAGCGGAAATTGAATAGAGTCGAAGTCATAGAACCCGTCGGGAGGAACGGAAATGAGGCCACTGTTTGAGCTGAAATTACTCATGATCGGTTGTATCTCTTCCATTTCCCTTGCCCGTGGAGTAGCTTCTTGGAAACGTATTCGAAAAGGATTCATATCCAACAAGCTCATACTCTCATACTCGTCGATGTTCCTGGGAGAAGGAAGAGAGTCAGTTGACAAACACATGTCATCCTGAACTATTTGGTTGTACAAATAGTCCTACAAATTAGTCTCACTTAAAACTGCTACGATATAGTCTTGACTATCGAACGAGAGATCGGGCTTACCGTTAGGATACAAGCTCATTGGAATGAAACAAAAGAAAGAAAAACGCGGATACAATAGAATTAGGGTAAGACTTAGTGAATAACGGTACTCCTAAAAAGGAAGACGCTGTTCAAAATAATTATGAAAAACCACTAATGTCAACTGCAAATGAAACTCCGTTTTATGTCAATAATGGTGTTTTGACAAGTTGCAGACTTTAACTGGTTATTTTCACGCGAATGGATTGCATGAATGATAGACAAAATAATAATGGCATTCGACGGGGCTTGTCAATTAAGGGGGATTTGTGTCTCCAGTGATATAGTTACTGCAATAGATGTGACTCTCAAAGTTACGACGGAAAAAGTTGACTACAATGTAGATTAGCCACTCATTCCGACAATTCCTAAATTCTGAATTCAAAACAAACATATAAAGAGCTCTTTAACATAGCTGCTATTGGATGCGACAAAACCTTGTTTACAGAAATCAATGTCGTAAGAAATTGTCCTAAAATACACACAGCAACACATATGCATAGAGAATGCTGTAAAGGACTTCAATTTTGCACAAAAAGGATATTGGAATGCTCACCGAAAAACCGAGTGGAATATCGATAATCATAGCTTCTTGCTTGCATATAAGAAAACTAACAAGAATTCCGCACAAAATTCCCAAGCATAACGGAGATGCGACAATGGCAAACGTTATCACTTCGTAAGTCCAAAAAACCTGCTTTGAAGTGAAACCTATGGATCGCAAGATGTCTATTTCGACAGCATGTTGCTCCACAAAAATAGACACGTTTGCCACGATCGAAAAGACGGTGATCAAGTTCGCTATGATTGTGATTGCAAGGAAGAGATATTCTAAAAGCGCCCACAGAGGCTTAAGTGTCTACATCAACTCATGGACGAAATGAATGAACTTTGTATTCGCTGATGATCGTTTTCACGTTAATGGAGGGATAGTTGGATGCTAGGTAATCAACGATGCGCTCGATTTCGTTGATTGGGAGTGATTCGTCCTGCCCAGGCACTTTGATGTACACCGAGTCCACTGTGATGTTTGAAGAGAGTTTGCTGAACTCGGAAAGAGAAGAGAGAAGAGGCGAGGGACCATCGTTGACGTACGTGAGAGGTGGAGAAAAGGAGATTAAAGGACTATGTTGAAGCAGGAAAGAAAGTACGACAACCAACGAGTCGAAACGAGTGGCCGAATGGAGAACTGCTGATCGTCTTTGAGGAGTTTGAATTCGCTGGAATCAAGGTCTGAGTAGAAGACGTCTTTCAAATTGGAAGGGAAAATGGCTGAAATGGTTGGAGAATTCGGAAGGGAGGAAGAGGAAATCGCTTGGTTGAGCTGCGCTGCATTGTCTCCAATCCACACAGAGAACAGTGTTGTGAAGAGCTCGTCTGAAACAGCGAGACTACAAATCAAAGAGTATTCCAATTGGAACAGACGAGCAGGACGCTCAACAACACGACCGATCGAAGAAAGAACGGGGAACGAAGTGTCTTCGTTGAGAATCGGATTTGAAATCCAGTCAAATGTGAGAGAGGACAGCATGGGATCTCGCTCCATTTGTGAAACGAGGGAGGAAACGGAGTTCGGATCCGCGGGAGAAGTCGAAAAACTAATGGCAGAGCCGTAGTAGTATTTCAGATTGATGAAAAGGAGGGAAGTTTGCGACTGAGCAATGGTTGAAATGAAAAGAATCAGGGAGTAGCCAAAGAGAATCGCGAGCTGGATGGAATGAATTCGTTTGTGGTTGTTCCGAATAGAAAAACGCGAATAGATGCAGACTCCTCTGGAGCAGAACAAGCCGCAGATGTATTGGATGATTCGGGAGAAGGGATGAAGAATCGGGAGAACAAGGAGAACAAGTCCCACGATGAACAGAATGAGAATGAGCATAAACACATAGAAAACGATCTATGAATGAATGAATAAGCAAGAGAATGCTCACGGTCATATCATTGCTGATGAATCCCAAAGGAAGGAAGTAATAAATCGCTGTTCCACAAACCACAACCATGAGGCAAATCGTTGTTATGAAATAGGATATTAACGGTTTCTCTTTTGCGGTGTGGATTTCATATTCAATCACTTGATTGCCATCTGAGTGGACAGATCGCTCCATTTCTTGAAAGAGCTGGTAAATGACAGGTAGAACCGTAACGACAGGAACTACAATTCCCAGAAAGATGGCTAAGAGTATTGTTTTGACAGTGAATGAGACAGGAATAGACAGATGGAGCTCCGATGACAGGAAGTGTAAGAAAATCGCGCAGACTCCCTGATTCTTAAAAGGATGAAAGTGGAGGCAACATAACAAATCAGAATTCCCAGGATCGTAGCAAGAAGTGAGTATTGTAACACTTGAAGCAGAATAACCCATCTAAAACAATATTATTTCCATGCGGATTACGCAATTGCTGCTTTACTACTCCCTATTTGAAACATTGTGCGATAGTCTGCCAATCGATTATGCACCTGAAAGTGAAGGAAGCAAGCATAGGATTCACAAGGATTTTGGTCAAGTAGTAAAGGAGACTGGATGATAAGTAAAGCAGCAATAGGAGAAGAAGATCAGTGATCAAAGACAAGTACATGGTTGTATTTCCATGTTGGGAGAGTGCTGATAATAGCGGAGTTTCTGTTTGAATCAGTGAGAATCCAAGTTGATAACTGAATAGAACGAAAGCAAGATACACGTACTTGATCACCGAGGCATAGAGTGATAATGACTCTTGAATGTTTTCAAAGCGGGATTGGCTGTAGTGGTTGATTTTCTCGCTTTCCGGCATATTCACTCCGATCTATCCAATGTATTCACACCACAATTATTATTGTACTTGATCACTGAATAGACTCAGAAAGTCGAGAGAGCTTGTGACAGGATACACAAACTCGAAGGACTTGCCAGTGGAAGCGAAAACACCCTGCAGAATATCTGTAGGGAGCGAGGCATCGGTAGCCGCATCAAAGATGGCATAGTTTTCAACATTGTTTGCGAGTTTGTTCTACTTACTATCATCCAACACAAGCCAACATGCATATTCTGACTAATTCTCACTATTCTAGAAAAGGTAGCATTGATACCTGTCTGAAATCTTGTGAATAAGTGCTCAACGATCACAAAAAATACAATGCCAAATCCGATTCTTCCCCTTCTACGATTGTTGCGAACGTAGACGGTAGATTCAGCTTCACATACACCATGTCTCCATCACGAAGATTCAACGAGGTGGCGAGTGTGCTTGACAGCACGACTTCATTGGGCTGGAGAGGCGTGAACTTCTCGATTGGATCGCCTGTGGCGCTGTATCCACGCCCCCATCCGATTGTTTGCTCCTTTTTGTCGTCGAGTACAAGAATGGTGGAATACATTCCATTTTCTTGGCAAATAATAGAGGAGCACAATGCTGAGTTTGGATTTTCGATGCAGAACGCACTCTAAATTGTAGAATAGGAGCGACGCACACATTTTGTTGTTGCTCTGCACAATCTTCACTATCCGATCTATATATCCAACCAACATACATCTGTCGAGGCGCTGTTGCGAGAGACTGGACTCGTAACATAGAATGAACTCCCACTTTTAATATTTCTGCGCTCTTTTTATGGTCATAGAGTGCTGGAGAGGAGAGGAGATTCTGGATAACCGTGTAACGCAAATAGGGATTGGTCGTATTCTTGGCCTTGACGATAAAGTCGATCTTTAACTTTCAGCACGCACAAAAAAAGATACATCGCCTTGCGATTTTTCTGCTTGCATTAGAAAGATGAGCGGCATATATTGAATGATCGTGTTGACGGCCATGATAGATAATACTGAGAGAAGACAGCAGATGAATGACATCCAGAATCTACTTGAAAGTACTTCCATATTGAATACAGGAGTGCATGCTGCCGTATCTGGTTTGTTGAGATAAAAATATGGCAAGTTAAGAATGACTGGCTCAATCGAAAGAGGATATGATATCGAGGATCGATAAACGAGAAGAGACTTGCTTATTCTTCTTGCTTTCCACCATTCCACATTAAACTCCCAGAAAGAGTTGTCAATCTTCGTTTCACCTCAAATAGTGTTCTTCAAACAAACACAACAACTGACAATACACACGTGGTATGCTCTTCACTTCACTTAGTGGTGATGATGAGCACGACGCATCTTGGCATAGAGTTCCTTGATAGCATCTCTCTTAGCAAGAGCTCTCTTGTGAGAGTGAAGCTAGGGGTCATTCAGAACGGTTTGAACCTACTCGCTTCTTGGCGAACTTGTACATCTTCTTTTCGGTGTTGTTGCCGCCAGCCTACGAAAATCAGTACATACCGTCACCCTATACCTTCAGAATATCCATCATGTGCTTCTCGTAGGGGATCATGCCAGTGACCTCGCTGATGAGCTCACGAACAATCTTCGATCTCTTCGAGGTGTGCTACATAATTAAATCGTCTCCAACAGCTACATACTCTCTTCTGGCAGTGGCTCACCTTCTTCTCCAGCTTCTGGGTCTGGAAACCCTTCTCTCTTCCGCAAGCAATGCTTTCCCAAGGTCCCTTCATGGTGATTGTCGCTTTTCTGTATTGGACAACAGTAAACCTGTGGGGGTATACATTCCTTTAAGCCAGCTCCCCAATACCCTTTTCGATCAAGGGGGTATTTCCAAATTCAATAGTTTCGAGTTATGCGATTGTGCTAAATGCGAAAATGAATGTGAAATAGAACTAGGAATCGAGTCATATAAGAAAGTGATTCGATGTTCAATGCTATTCAAGTTTCATCCCTTGTTGATTTTCCATCTATTTCGTACTAATTACACCACTGTCCACATTTCTCATTTTTTCTCCATCCACTATGGTGAAACGAAGCTCATACAAGAGTAACAGTTCGGATAACCCCGATCGTGTGCGTAAGAACTCGAATATGCGTGATCGGTCCACCATCAACCGAATGCATATGTATCGAGAGGGAAAGGCGAAATACGACCGCGATGGAAAGGTAATCGGCGGTTATTTGCGGAGCACGACCAAAACAGCAAACAAGGAAATAGAGGGACCTGCTCGCATTGCCCCCAACAGAAAGTGGTTTGGAAACACGCGAACAATTACTCCAGAGAAGTTGGACACGTTTCGTGAAGAGATGGCGAAAACAGTAAATGACCCGTATGTTGAATGTGACTTTGCTTTTAGCATCTAGGTATTCTGTGGTTTTAAAGACGAAAGTTCTTCCTATGAGTTTGATCACCGATTCTTCCAAAGTGGAGCGGATGAATTTACTCACGACGGAGTCGTTCCAGAGTACTTTCGGTCCTGACAAGCGTCGTAAACGGTACTCGCCTCATGTGTGTATTTTCCTAATGGTTAGTGTGAAATTGGCGGCAACCGATCTGGCGAACTTGGTTTCGGATGTTTCCAAGAAGCAGAAACTGCACGAGGAGAAGCAGGAAGAGAAGCCGCGCTTGAACGACGAGATCTCGCAAGCGGCCGCGAAAGACATTTTCCTGACCGCCGGGCAAAGCAAGCGAATCCACAGCGAGCTGTACAAAGTGCTGGACTCGAGCGATGTGGTGATCGAAGTGCTGGACGCACGCGACCCTCTGGGCACGCGTTCGAAGCAAATCGAGGAGTATCTGAAGAAGAACATGCGTCACAAGCACTTAGTGTTCATTCTGAATAAATGCGATTTGGTTCCCACATGGTGCACAAAGAAATGGGTCGCGATTCTTTCTGCCGAGTAGGTTCTTTTTCCTCTCTCTTTCGACCTTCTAGATATCCGACGTTGGCTTATCACGCGTCCTTCCAGCACTGCTTCGGCAAAGCCGCTCTCTTCGATCTGCTGCGGCAACTCGCGCTGCTCCACAAGGACAAAAAGCAAATCAGCGTTGGGTTCATCGGCTATCCGAACGTCGGGAAGAGCAGCATCATCAACACGCTGAAGAAGAAGCAGGTCTGCAAAGTCGCGCCGATTCCAGGCGAGACCAAAGTGTGGCAATACATCACGCTGCTTCGCAATATCTACTTGATCGACTGTCCTGGAATCGTTCCGCCCACCAACGACTCGGACGCCGAGATTGTGATCAAAGGTGTGGTGCGCGCAGAGCGCTTAGCGGACCCGGAGATGGTGATTCCGGAGGTTCTGTCGCGTGTGAAGAAGGAGTACTTGCAGAAGACGTACAACATCGAGGATTGGGAGGATTGGGAGGATTTCTTGGAGAAGATCGCGCAGAAGTTCGGGAAATTGCTGAAGGGCGGAGACGGCGATACGAAGCAGGCCGCGGTGATGCTGATCAATGATTTGCAGAGAGGAAAGATTCCGTATTTTGTGCCTCCGGAGGAACCGGAGAAAGAGGGGAAACCGGGGAAACCGGAGGAGGAGGAAGAGGAGAATGGAACGATAACGGAAGCGTTTGTGGATGAATTGAATAAAGAAGGAACGAAATTGCTGGCAAAGGAAGAGTCGAATGAAAAGGAAAAGGAAAAGGATACGAAATCCAATGCCAAATCCAAAGCGAAGGGAGCCGAGAAAGGAAAGCGAAAGGAAAGCGAAGCAGCAAACGATTCCACGAATGAAAGCAGCCGAAACGATCGCGAAGACGCGATTCTGTTAACTCTCTAACCCTCGTCGCAATGCACTAGTTCTTTTATTCTTTTTTATTCCATTCATTCATTCAATCATTTGTTTGTTTGTTTGTTATCGCAATTCATTCAATTCATTCAATCGTTTATTCTCTCAAACCTTTCATTCATTCATTCATTCTTTACAACTCCGTTTCCTCCTTCGTCTCTTCCTCCAAATACTCATCGCTACTCTCCAACACGCACTGATCCTCCTCCAAGCAAATCTCCGCTCCCTTCTCCTCCTCTTTCTTCGCCCCCACTCTCCGCGCCAAATAATACGGATTATACTTCAAGTGCTTCTCGAACGCCTCCAACGGCACATAAAAGCTCCGATACGGGAACTCCGTCCTCTTCAAATCCAAGAACGGCACCATTTCCACCACGCGGAACCTCGCATCCTCCAAATAATCGCGTTCTACCTGCTCCTCCAATCTCTGCTCGATCAAGAAATCGCACTCCTCCTCGTCCACCTGTCCTCATTCTCCTCCTTTTTCCCTACATAGCGCGACGTCTCCTCCTCGTTCATCGCGTTCATATGCTCCGGGATCGTCCACGTTCCATTCCCCGGCATAAACGGCTTCCCTTCACTCCTCCTCTCCATTCAAACCTGCGGCAGCAGTCCATCAAATCCGCTCTTCACGAACCGCACGCGCGCCGACGCCGACGGCAAAAAGAACGACGAGCCGAACCGATACCACTCCTTCCCTACGCACACGTTCACTTCTCCCGCGGTTCCAGACAGCTCCACGCGGCTCAAGCGGTTATACAGCGACAACGGCGCGGAGAATCCGTGCACCACGCACGCCACGCGCGCCGCGCTCACCAGCGCGAACGGAGCCAGAACCGCGGCAAAACACACCCCTCCGAACACACTCAATGAAACCCTCTCGGCAAAAATACTGGGTATTTCTGACTCGCAGCAGCGATCGCAGCCAGAGCGTGATGATCTACCGATGATCCCATTCCCGCGGGAAAACGGTCAGGCAGGCGGCGGCCGCGAGGTAGAGGAAGGGATAGACGATGTAGAGGAAGCGTTCCTCCTAGATCAAAACCCGATCACAGAGCGACTTTGTGCGGCTGCGCGACGAAGATTCCGAGGAGCAGATAGCCGCTGTGCAGCACCAAACCCAGCTGCAGCTTCGTTATCGGCAGCTGCGACGGCAGGACCGCGCACTAAATGGGGAAACGGGGAAGGTTTCTACGAAAGGGAGCAGCAGGAAGAGGAGGAAAACCGCGGAATTGTTGAGGAGACCGTTTCGGATATAGAACCACCAGGGCTCCACGCCGTACAACTACATGAAAGGGGAAACGTGGAACCACTTCGGGGCCGCCGCCGATTCCCAGGACGTTGTAGAGGACGATGTTCACCGCGGGGATGCCGATGCGATGGGTGAAGTGGTAGTTGACGGCGAGGTCGAGTCCGAGAACGACGAAAACGATGCAGAAGAAGTAGGAAAGCGTGCGGAGCCAGCCGCGGCGGTAGAGACAATCCATGCCCATCGGGATGAAGGCGATGCCGGCGAAGGGCCAGGCGTAGATGACGGACATGGCGCCGAGGAGAAGGCCAAGGAAGTGGTTGTCAAAGCGCATCCAGAGGCCGTAGGAGGTGAAGATGAAGATCATGGCGAGCGAGGAGTTGACGAAACTGGTGCTCGCGATGAACATTCCGGAGGAGAAGAGGAGGAAGAGGTAGAGCAGTGTGGAAGTGGCGTGGCCGAAGAATCTTCGAACACCCGCAATGAACAGAGTTTCCCCGAGCGAGCAGAGGAAGGCCAGAAGACAGCGGATCGCGTAGAACACCGCCGCTTTATTTCCACCGAGAACCCAGTACATCACTTTGGCAAAACAGGCAAAGGGAACAAGAATTGTGTAGGAACGCAAACCATATTCAGCACTGCATAAGTCACAGAATAGAGATAGATATACCTGTATTCCCACGTTTGTAAACCAAAATCGAAAGCCAAGTAATGTGTTGGCTCCCAGAAATTGAACGTGTCGTCTGCATCCGGGATTATGTTATAGAATGCACTGAATAAACGTGCCTAGCAAAATCAACGACTCTGTATAATTGTACCATGAAAATCGTGGCAAAGATTACATAATCCTGTACCTTGCACTTCTCTGTATACTTTTCCAAACCCGCAGTTTCACTCATGATTATTTATGTAAAGATTGGTACATCTATTTTTTTATTAAGTACTAATTGCAAAATTTTCTTTTCATCATCGAAATTCGATGTGTTTTGGAAATTGGAGTATAGTCGACTGTTTTGTTTTTCCTCTCTAGTCAACGATTCGACCTTTATCCCTTCTTTTGATTCTGGTATATCGATTGTTCCGTTCTGTTTCTTTTGCAAAGTGATAATGAGACATGTAAAGTGGTTTTTGATTTATTATAAGATCATGGTTGCATTGTATTACTTTATTCTCATTTTCTTCTTTTTTCTGTTGTGATGCCAGTCATACTGCCAAAGTTGGATTTGGAAAGAGGAATACTATCTAGGTATTGTGAAGAGATGCTTTCTCTTCTTCCGAAGCCAACTTCTGTTTGGAAATACATGCTTGCCATGACACAAGTTCCTCGAGGATCAAACGATGACGGGGAGCGATTCCGCCACAAGAAAGTTTTGGCTTTCTTGAAGCAGCAGGCAGAGGATCTGAACTGTGAGACGTATGTGGACAAGGGCGAAAATCTGCTGATTCGCAAGAAGGCTTATCCTGGTATTTGTTGAAATTGCTCGTTACCCTTTTAGGTTTGGAAAACAAGCCTTCCATTTGCTTACAATGCCACATGGACATGGTCGTCCAAAAGAACGACGATGTGGTGATCAACTTCGAGACAGACCCTCTCACTCCCCGTATCGTGGACAACAAATGGCTCATGGCCACCGGCACCTCCCTGGGCGCCGACGACGGCATCGGTGTCGCGACCTGTTTCGCCATCTTATCGGACGCCTCTCTCAAGCACGGTCCTCTCGAAGTCCTCATCACGCGAGACGAAGAGACCGGCATGTTCGGCGCGCTCGAGCTCGAGCCGGGCCTCCTGCGCTCTCCCTACCTCATCAACGTCGACTCAGAGGAGGAAAACGCGCTCTGCATCGGCTGCGCCGGGGGTTTCACCGTCGACTGCACGCTCCCCGTCACCCGCTCCCCCGCCCCCAAAACCGCGGTTCTCCGCGTCACCCTCAACGACTTCCGCGGGGGACACTCGGGTTGCGACATCGACGTGGGACGCGCCAATCCGCTTCACGTGATGGGCCGCCTGCTTACCGCGGTTAACGCGCCGATCCGCGTGGTGGCGATCCGATGCGGAACCGCGGATAACGCCATCCCGCGGAAATGCGTCGTCGAAATCGCGGTTAATACCGACGAAATCCGACAGGTCGAGACCGAGATTTCCCGCGGGTTCGACGCCTTCCGGCGGGAGTTTCAGCGCACGGAACCCGCGGCAAAACTCGAAATCGAAACGAAACCGACCGATGAAACGCCCGTCGATGAAACGCCCATTGATGACGATGCGTCGCGCCGCCTGCTCCACTTCCTCAACGTGTGTCCCTTCGGCGTCCAGCGCTATTCCCCCGCGGTGAAGTCCGATGTCGAGACATCATTGACATGCGCCATTGCGCAGAGTTCCCCGCGGGAGGTCGGCTTCGTGGTGTCGGTGCGGTCGTCGGTTTCATCGCAGCTCGACTGGATGTACGGCCGTCTGCGCTGTCTGGCCGATCTCTGCGGCATGGCAATATCCCCGCGGAAATCCGAGTTTCCCCGTTTCGAGCGTTTCATTTTGTAGATATCCGGCGTGGGAGCCGAAGGAGAGCTCGCCGCTGACGAAGGCGATGGTGGCGGCGTACCGCGAGGCGGTGGGCGTGGAGCCGCGCGTGTATTCGATCCACGCGGGGCTGGAATGCGGCGTTTTCCTGGAGAAGTACCCGATGATTGATTGCGTGTCCATCGGACCGACCGTGCTGAACCCGCACAGTCCGGAGGAGAGACTCGAGATCGAGACGGTGCCGAGGTTTTATAAGGTGGTGGTGAAGGCGCTGGAGAAGTTGAGTCAATGAATTGTTTGTTGGAATAATGTCGGCGGTGGTACCGTGGGGCGTGGGGACAGAGGATGTGAGGATTAGGAAGGTGTACCGATTTTCGGAGTTGGGGAGCTCGCTGAATAGCGCGTTGACGAAGATGGTGCAGGAAGGGAAGATCACGGAGGAGCAGAAGGAATTGGTTATGTTGAAGTTTGATAATGTGGGGTATTCGTTTTATATCCTTTATTGTAGTCGATGTCACAAGAACTGAGTAGGAGGCGAAATGAATTACCTAGGGCACAGTTACGAGTGAGAAATCAATTGGAGATAGTAATTTGAAGGGAGATATTCAGTTTTACAAGCGCTTGTACGATACTTGGTCTTTTTCTTTACTAAATTGGTGTATGGATGTTGAAGGCAGTGAGAGTTACACGGAGCAGACAGCAAAATTCTTTTCGACCCTTGCACCCAAGTTGTCGTTTGTTTGTTTAAAAAAACACTCCAGTGATGATGTCTGCGATGCTTATGGTGTCGATGTCTTCGACTTCTGCTGTCGCTGCGACTTCGACTTCGACTTCGACTTCTGCTGTCGCTGCGACTTCGACTTCGACTTCGACTGCGACTGCGACTTCTGCTGTGTTCCCTTTCTCTTTGATGACTTTTACTTTCACTTCCACACCGCTCTCGTTTCTCTCGGTCAGGAGCCCGGATGATGCCCGCATCACTATCTCCCTCGCTCACATTTCCCTTAATTTGTTCCTCTGGCGGAGCCAAAATGAATCCATCGAACTCGTCATCGTTATCCACCTCCTCCTCCTTTTTCGCATTCCCTAATGCTGCCTTCGCCTTATCTTCGTTTTTGCTTTCCACTTTTCCTTTCGCTTCTCCAGTTCCCATCGTTTCCACCGTTTCCACCGTTTCCTCTGTTTCGTCAGCGCGTGAGTTCATCATGTTGGCGAGGAAGCGACCCTTGTTTCCCTTCGCCAATTCTTTCTTTCTCACTTCCTCCATCCATTTGCGATCCGCTTCCAGCTTTCTCTTGTAAGCGGACGTGATGAACTTTTCTTTCCCTGCGTAGAGTGCATCCTCCTTCTCTCTTTCTTTGATTCGATTTCTATAAATTAAACAAAAAACAAAGTAAAATCGGTACTTTTCGTAGATGATATCCATTTCTCGTTTTCGCTCTTCAGCGCGCTGCTTTAAAATTGCAATATATTTACTCTACAACTCATTACAAGGCAACAATCCATACTTGTTTCTTCACTTTTGTCTTTTTCTCTTCCTGCTCTTCTTTCTTTTCTTTCTCTTCCAAATAGGAGTCATAATCATATAAATCTCCCAGCGGTTCTTCCGCAGTCTCTTTTTCAGTGAACTACGCTCTTAGCACGAGTCTACACTCTCCTTACATTCTTATCGATTCCATAATTTATATCACTCATAATCTGAAGACGCCGAATTCGATCGGCTGCAGATTCCGTTTCTCCATTAAACAGAGACTTCAGCTCGGCAGATGTCTCCTGCACCTTACTCTGAATTAACTTTCCAGAGTTCATTCTATTTCCGAAAGAAAAAGTTGTTCATGTTTCGCTCAAACACAGATTCAGTATAACCCACCCTCAAGTATCGACTTTCTTAGTTCTTGAACTCAAAGGTAATGTTCTTGTTGGTCAGCTTCTTGTAGATGGTGGACAGAGCATCGAGCTTGTTCTCCACCTCCTGCTGTCCCTGGGGTCCCAAGAACACTCTAATCACCTTTCCAGAGCGTCCGTTGATGCTGGTGTGCTTTCCGACGCATTCGCAAGGATACACCAGATCATCGATGATGGCGTCCTGCACAGCCGACACGGTGTGGTTGTGAGGGCGGACACCTCCGAACTTGTGAGAGCGCTTGTAGTCCTTGGTCAGAACGGTTCTCTGAGCCACGAACACCACAGGGCGTCCCTCGAACTTCTTCTCCAGCTCAGCGGTCAGGCGAGACTGAATCAGACGGAAGTTCTTGAACAGCTTGTAGGGCACGAACACCACGATGGCCTTCTTGTCTCCAGCGACGGACACCTCCTTCGCAGCAGCCATCTTGAAAGACTTCAGGGGCTGGGCAAGATCCTTGGTCTTCTTGGCAATCTCAGCAATCTCGTTGGCAACGGCGATCTCGAAATCGTCGGCCTTGGTTCCTTCGGGCTTCACAATCATCTCCATGGTCTACACAACGAATTAGCGACTATTCGAACTTCAAAGGGGCACAAGCAATAAGCACAAGGTGGCACCAACTACGTACATCAAATTAGTCTTGTAACAAGGGTGAATTTGATTCAATACTACCAACCACCGAAATCTAGGGCTCTATTTTGATCCTATTATGGTTCTTGTCATGATGGTCCCTATATTCCTAATTTCCCTTGTTATTATCATTATTTTTGATAGGGCCCTTCGCCCCTTCGATTCGACTTGATTCCCGATTTTTGACCTTATTAGAAATCTCTTTTGAATTGAGCTACTAAGCTGGAATAAAAGGCAAAATCATTGTAGAATATCACACGTATATGAAACAAACAGTAAAACTGCAGAGAGGATTATTACAACAAGGGAAATACTATGAGAATGATGAAAGAACGAGCGCTTACTGTATTTTGGAACGATGCGATAAAAGTTATGAAGCTTTATGACAAAATACATGGAAATGAACTAGTCTGAGAAGAATGAGATGTAGATACTAGGAAAAAGCAATACAGGATGCATTGCTGAATAACGAATAGTTGAAACAGAGTCTTTTTAGCGAATTTGAATAGAATATGGAACTGAATGTAAGCAACACCAATGGTCGAAAAGCATAGTCCAACACAATACTACAAAGAATCGATATATTCTATCTACAGCTACGATAATATATCCATAAACGCTCTTCACAAAGGGACAGAAAAAAGTGATCACGGATCCCCCCAACAGAAACAATGAATAGGTGACATATGGATTTCCAAAAACAGTAACACTCCACATAATGAATGCAGCTGAAATCTATCGGTAATAGAACAATCGAATCCATCCCAGCAACAAAAGATGCACAATCCGATCTGTGCGAATAACAATCGATCTGTATGTCTTGAGTTCGGAAACAGAAAAGTAGTGGTGACGAACTGTGACGATCACAGATTGATCTCGTTGTAAGTTTGCTTCAATGCTAAATCGGGTAAAAGGAAGTAATGAACGTACAAATTAGGTTGATACATAATAATATATAAATAAATGAAAGAAAGAAATAAGTAAAAAACAGATCTAACACAACACGACTTTTTGTCTGCAGTTAGAATATGTTTGCGAGAATCAATTCGATATCTCTACGACAATTTCGACCTGCTCAATTAAATAAATTCGTTGCCATTTCATGCCGCTTGATCGTAACAACTCCTATTGGGAACCATGAAAAGGAAAAGAAGCCAGTGGGAGTACTGAGTGAGTAGAAAGCGATTTGTCGTAACTGTATAGTGAACGATGTTGTTTTTGATACGTTGATCCGTAAACCCTACGAAAAGCAGCGACATAACTTTAGACATATCAGCAATGCAAAATTTTTCGAAGTGATCGCGAAACACGGTGCTATTGACACTTCTATGGTGTACGGGTCCATTTCGTGTTCTAATCATTAGCGTTTGCTTTGTTTTGGGAGCATGTGCGCTGTGCTCAGAATTTGGATTTCTATCTTCTTCTCTAATTAGTATGTTCGACGATGGATCCTGGATACTGAATCGTATGTTTCCGTTTTTTAAGTCCATTTCTGTTCGCCTATTGTACCGTTCGTTTGATGTCTAGGGAGATTCCATGCGCCACACCTTTCAGTTAATGACTTTACTGTAAATTCTTGGCTTATTATCAACAATAGAACTCCTTTCTGGGCCACTAGCTCGGTCGGCTTGGCTTGGCTAGGATGCCGCCGCGAGTTCAACCGCATTTACAAGGAGTATGAGAGGGAAAACAAGCTGCTGCTGGAAGAGCAGGAAGAAAAGCCGGGGTTTATTCAGAGCTGCAGCTTGGAGGACGGGTGCTCGATGCGATTCTACGGGGATGAATGCCAGAACAGCGGCGGACATCGGTTTTCGATAAGAAGCACAAAGCAGCGCTTCTATGACGGCTACGGAGGGGACTGTAGCTTTAAAGCTGAAAAGAATAAGTGGTTTGTTTGTTTGCAGACAGATTGGGGAGGATGGGATTGGGAGTGATTTTGGTTCCATTTTTCTTGGCTTCGATGCGTGTTGTTCTGCAGAGAGTACTGTCAGCATCTGTGACTGTCGATGGAAAGACAATTTCCAAAATCGGAAAAGGTATTATGTGCTTGGTGGGCATTCGCGACAATGACGACCAGGCTTGTTCTGAAGTTCTTGCCAAAAAGATTCTGGTCGTGTACAAATTCGATTTCTGAGTTTTAGGATGTTCGCTTGTGGGATGATGACAAGGGAAAGCCCTGGTCGAAGAGCGTGAAAGATATGGGCTATGAAGTTCTGTTAGTGTCTCAGTTTACCTTGTTTGGCTCCGTAAAGCGTACTTTTGGCTTTCCTTTTCTTATTTGTAGAAAAGCCGAGACCTGACTATCATCGATCGAGTGATTCCTCTATGTAGTTAGGTGATATGTAGTGGGAGCCGATGATGCGCGTGTCTTCTTTAACAGATTTGTAGACCACGTAAAGAAGACATACCAGGAGGACAAGGTACAGACAGGGGAGTTCCAGGCGTATATGAATGTGGAGTTGCAGAATGACGGTCCGGTGACGCTCATCATGGACACAGACGAGTACGACGGAGCTGTAGACTACGTCCGAAAGCAGTTAGAGAAGGCAGAGAAGTGTAAGAGATGTTTAAGTAAGGTGGTAATGTTCAGACGCACACAAGTTTGATAAAAAACAAAAGGAACCCAGCACAGAAGAATAACCCTTCTTTATAAAATACCTTGTTTTTTAAAACACTCAATAACAGCTAGTCTGCATTCATCGGGGAAAGGATTGTTTCCAGGCTCTACTTCCGGATTCTTATTTCCGTGATAGTCCGAACCACTGGTAGGGATCAGATGGTGTTGCTGCGCGAATTGGAAATAGAACTGTGTGTTGAATACTTTTTCGTGACTTGGCGGGAAACATTCCAAGCCATCCATTCCCAGATTTGCGATTTCGTTGAGGATCGAGAGGTCTAGATGGCTACGCCTACTCATGAGAGATCAAAAGGACGATCCTACCAAGGATGAGCTAGCGAGGCGAAACCATGATATTGATGAATGAGGTCGACTGCTTGTTTGGTTGTCATGAAGTTCGCAGGGACGAAACTAAGTGAGAAAACAGAAAAAAGTACAAAATACTAGGGACTCTTTCCACTAACAATCGTTTGAAATGCATCTGCGACAGAAGCAACGATCTTTTTCTGCACGAGAACCTCTGCAATGCGAGGGCGCGAAGGGAGACTGTAGCCGCAGTGCTTCTCGACCTCTTCCCAGGTAATGTCAACTCCTCCCTCAATCATTCTTCGAACCATCTCTTTTCCACGCTCAATTCTAGATCGAATTGAATGAAAATTCGTACCGTTTTGTTGCAACTTCCTTTTCCAGAAACTTTTGCAGAGACTCGAAATCTGCGTCTTTTGGGAAGTAGCCAGCAACATGGAGAGACTTATTGTTCCATGTGGTCGAAAGTTCAATTCCATACATCACAGTTATTCCTTCCACCTTCATTGTCTTCACATTTAGGACTCCTTTTACCGTGTCGTGATCATTTATACACATTATGTCGACATGTCGTTGTTTGGCATATTCGATAAGCTCAGCAGGTGTTTTGACCCCATCTGAGAAATTCGTATGCATATGCATGTCGATAAGAGGTGTCATCGTTGTTTTGAAAAAAATAATAATAATAATAATAATAATAATAATAATAAAAAGAGTAGTACAAAAAAAGTATTGGAAGTATATGGGAGGAATAACGGACTACTCTCAAACCAGTTGTTTTTTGCCGTACAATGGGAGGACAGGAGGCAACATCAAAGTGTTGTCTCATTATGTGATTATTAGGAAAGTGCCTTTTTATGAGTAGACACGCAGTGATATCAGCTGTGGAATTGATGAATGCACGGAATGCAAGGATATAGCGCCTTTTCGTAAATTTGCTTGTCTCCTATGATTTGTAGACTTGTCTATCCCTGAGAACGGCATGATTTATGTTCTGTCGCCATCGATTCTCCTGTATTACATATCCTGTGTCAAATGCATCTTTGGAACATCCTTCATGACAGATGGACATAGTGGAGAATTTTCCCGATCTTTTTGCAAATATTGTGGTGTTTGAGTCCTCATTATCCGAGTTTGTGAAAGAGAAGCGATTTAACGTTTTTATTGCTATTTGAATGTGAAGATAGGCGAACCGAAAGATCCGTTCTACCTTTCTCTCCGGTGTATACAATTGTTCACTGTTCAACGATATCCACTTCAACCAAACGTATTTCTCCTTTCCCTCTTCTAATGATTCTAACATTCTAGTTATTCCTATGTGGAAGGCAGCGAATCATCAGCCTCCTTTTCTCAGCGTCGTTTCGCGCACTCCGCCAATTGGTACATGGAGCACGTCACAAAAGCATGCGAAAAAACCCTTCTCGACCGAAACGCCTGCATCAGCATCTTGTCCGATGAGCTGCTTCCGGACGTTCCATCGAATTCCATCACGCTCGTTCCCTCCTTTCTTTCTCTCTCACTCTTTTCAGCTCTCCTCCCTCAGCCCCTCCGAAGCGTTTCAGACCTCCGTGGCGCGCTGCTTCGCCGCCAAAACCGCGCCAAAAACCGCGGTTATCCCCCTCGAAATCGACGAAACCCGCGTCGTGGAGGGCGTTTTAAGCGTACGAATCGTGGAAACCGTGGAACGCAGGTGGAGGAGGACCGTCAGCACGCGACGGTGACGGTGAAAACCGCGGAAATTCGTCGAATTCTGAACAAATATTTTGCCGCGGAAATCCTGTCGACTTTGCCCAGCGCGGATTTCGTGAAGCTGGACACCTTGTTAGGCCTAACGAGGAGCGAAATGTACCCCGTTGCCGTAGTGGAATAGTGTTCCTTCGCCGTAGATCGCGGGGATGGGCCGGATTCGGCCGGGAATCCACGGCGACCGCGTGGCCGTTTCAATTCTGCCGTTCGCGGAGTGGGTGGATACGGTGCAGGACTGGATTCCCCGCGATTCGGACGAGCTCCAGAATTCGGGGGGATTTTTGGAGGTGAAGGCGGGAAATGGGGCGTTTCATCGGTCGGTGAGCGGGCGTGTAGTGAAAGTGGTCCGCGAGGGCCCTCGTGAATTTGTTTGTTCGGTGTCGTTTACGCATAACAATCTTGTTAGCAATCTTGATACCAATGGCACTACACGGAGTCATAATGATCAAGGACATGGACATGATCATGATCATGATCATGATGCAGCCGCTTTGAATGTGAATATGAATATTGAGTATGGATGGAAATAGAATGTCATTCTAAGGAAAAATGAAACGAGTTCACTCATCATGGCGCCATTGAATAAACGAATTCCTTTGTGTGTTGTGCCCACTTCCAATGTACCCCCTATTTTTGGAATTCCAGAAATAGGGCAGAATGCTGGTGGGACAGAAACATATGATTCGGATTTTGGGCTGGAAAGAGGGCAATCTGTGGCCCGACGGCCAGCTTTTATTCTCTTTGGGCGAAGACGGGAGTTTCACCACGGAATCCGAGGCGTTACTCTACGAGGCGGGCGTTTCTTCGTTCTTCGCAGAATGAGAAATAGTTGGGATCGCACATCCATCCGATTCCCTTCTCCATCACCCGATCGCTTCTCCATATTCCCCTTTCTGTCCTCCAAAACCCGAACACTGTGTACGAGCCATCTCCGGTACCTCCGTTTCCCCTTTTTAATTTTGTGTAGAGCGACCTGGAAGGGCGGGAAGACATCCGTCAGAGCCACAACGTGGTGAGCATCGATCCGATCGGGTGCGTGGACATCGACGACGCCTGTTCGCTTCGCGAGATCGACGGTTTCTACGAAGTGGGCATCCACATAGCCGACGTCTGTCACTATCTCGCCGTCGACTCCGCGCTGGATCGCCTCGCACGCGAGCGAGCCACTTCCGTCTACCTCGTCGACCGTCGCATCGACATGCTTCCCGCCTCGCTCTCCACCAACGTCTGTTCTCTTCGCGCCAAACACGACCGTCTCGCCGTCTCCATCTTCCTCACCTTCGATCCCCGTCCCTTCCCCGCGGTTTTCTCACCTCCAGACACGCTCGACCTCGTGAAACCTCCGCGTTGCACGCGCACCGTGCTTCGCTCGCGCTATTCGCTCGCCTATCCGCAGGCGCAGGCTTTGGCCGACCAAAAACCCGTTCCGCTTATCGAAAACCCCTATCCCAACCCCGATTCGCCCTATGAATACACCGGATCGCCCGTGCAGGAGGCCGATTCGCGCTGGCTTTCGCACGACATCGCTCTCCTCATGCGCAGTAATCGTGGAAACGGGGAAATCGAGGGTAGTCGGTCGCGATTTGCGTCGGCGTCGTCGCGAGAACGGCGCGATCGAGCTGGTAACGCGCGAAGTAGGTCGAAATGCGTGTGTTTGGAGCGCGTAGCTACAATTTTCGAACGCGCAAAGCGAAGAAATCGAGGTGAACGAGTACGGCCATCTCGAAATCCACGAAACCATCGAGGAATTGATGGTCGTCGCCAACTCGATCGTCGCTCAAACCAACGTTCAGCACTTCCCTTCCTGCGCGTTGCTTCGAAAGCACGCGCCTCCTCCCGAGACCAAGCTCCGCTTTCTGAAGGACCTCTGCGAGTATCTGCGGATCCCCGTGGACACGCGGTCCAATCAGACGATCGCGGAGAGCATTCGGAGGGTCCGCGAGATTCCGGACGAGGCGCAGCGCGACATGCTCATGATTTTCTTCCGAAAGTCGCTTTGTCTGGCGGATTTGATGCACAGCTCGATGAGTGAAGCGCAGTACGTGTGCTCGGGAGAGCAGCCGATGGAGGGAGAGGAGGGCTCGGCGAATCCGTTCGCGCATTACGGTCTGGGGATCGCGTTCTACACGCATTTCACGTCGCCGATTCGCCGCTATGCGGACATTATCGTGCATCGACAGCTGCTGCAGAGCATTGCCATCGACCGAGAAAAGGAGAAACGTGGAAACGTGGAAGAGGAGAAGGAGGAGAAGGAAAAGGAGGGATATGATTTGTATGGAGTGAAGAGTAAAGTGGTTTCGATTCGGGACGCGGAGGTGAAAGTGAAAGTGACGGGCGAAGACGTGAAGCGAGTGCTGAAGCGAAGGGACGGAGGCGAGAAAGGACTCGTTTTTCGGCATGAAGACGGTGGAAATGGAGAAACCGGGGAAGAAAAGAAGGAGATTGATGATGATTTTTTCAATGAGATGTTGGAAGATTCGAGTGATGAAACGGCCTCCACGAAGGATGAAACTCCCATTCATAAGGATGAAACTCCCATTCATAAGGATGAAACTCCTTCTCATCCGAATAGTGAAATTGATGATGATTTCTTTAATGAAATGTTGGAAGATTCATGCGATGAAACTTCCACTAGTAGTGAGAATGAAACTCCCATCCATAATGATGAAACTCCCATCCATAAGGATGAAACTCCCATCACCCATAATGATGAAACCCCCATCCATAATGAAACCCCCATCCATAATGATGAAACCCCCATCCATAATGATGAAACCCCCTCATCTCTCCTCTTCACCAAAGGCGAAATGACGCTGGTGTCCAAGCAGCGTAGGTTCCGCGGGGAATTGACATCTAGTGAACGAGCAGCATCGCCGCTCGAAGGAAGTCTCCCGCCTTTCCGATCGCCTCTTCATCACCTTGTACGTCCATTACAACCAGCCGCAAATCCGTCCCGCGATTATTTCGAAAATCTACGGGAACGGGGTTTCGGTTTTGATTCCCTTTTTCGACATGACTTTCACGATTCCCTTCTTCGACAAGGCGGGAAATGTTACTGACCGAATGAGGGATTGGACCGGGGCAGAAAAAGTGGAATCGGAGGTTTTTCTGGAGAACGGGAGAACCCTTATCGACAAGGACGTCACTTCCGCGATTATTTCCATCCTCCTAAAAGACGAAAATAACCGCGAATGCTGCAGGTTCGACCTCTATCAGCGAATCATGGTGGGCGTGGAAACCGTGGAAACCAACCCCGTGACGCACGCCAAGCGCTTGGAGGTGTATCTGGTGAAAACCGCGGTTATTTCGAAAGAGCAGGAAAAGTTGGAGGGAACGATCCGCGACGTGATGAAAAATTTGGAGGGAAATGAGCTCGGCGCGAAGAAAGACGCCTATCATTCCATTCGAGACGAAGAAAAACCGCGGTTCGAGTCCACGAAACGCCGTATGCTGCAACAAATCGAGCAGATTCGGAGTAGGCCCGATTTTTGGAATTCCAGAAATAGAGGGTATTTTGAAATCGGAATCGAACGGCGCCATGAAACACCAAGAATCGCGGTTTTCCTTCGGTGGATTCAAAACCCCGCGGTTAACGTTGGCGGAGAAATGGAGAAAAGAGTACGGAGAAACCGAGGAAACCGTGGAAACGGACGGTGGAAACGAGGAATCGCGGATAACCGACGAAAAATGTAGGGGAGAGAAATACGAATCATGTGTGTAGTCGCGAAGAAACTGCAGTATGATTCGATGCGTCGACAGAGGAAACTCGGTGCGGAGAAGTACAATCAGAGGCGAAAGGAAAAGATCAAGCGGCAACAGGGATGAACCATTTTCACTTATGTTTGTTTGAATATGTCGTTTTTCTCGTTTGCATTGGGATTTATCATATTCGCGTCAATATTCCCCTTTGTTTTCTTTTCGAGAACGATTATGAGCCTGTACAAGGAAGACGCTTTGTTAATAATGTAGAACGGATTGCAAAGAGAATAGTACTACAAATTCGGTCATAAAAATGTCAAATTCGAGTAAACCGACTGTTGCACCGATTTCTTGGGCAAACACTAAAATTCTGTTTTCAGATAGTTTTGGTAGTGGAAATCCTCCTACAACGAATGACAAAAATCTGTCCGATGCATGCAACATGAAAGTTTTGCCTATCATTCTGAGGCAGACGTATTCTACATATAAAAAAGAGATTATGAATTAGAGGCAACTGGGACACTCCTTTTGATCGCTATAAACGTTGTGTTGCTTCCTACAAAACAAAGTATGTATTCGTTATCCTCACCACCACCAAATTGTAGTAAGTGGCCTGCATACGAATCGTTAGTCAACTTTGCCGAATCCAAAGAATCTCTCTACGAGTTTTCCCTCGAGTCCATTCACTGGTTTTTATTACGAAACGTTTGCTATAACCCACAATCAAACTCATTCGTTCACTTTAGCACCATCGATGCAGATCATCTCTCCCGTCTCCAATCCCTCCTCCCCATTCCAATCGCCCAATCTCCCGCCGATCTCCCCGAATTCGCCCACCGCGCCGGCACAAACGTGGAAACGGAGAACGTCTGGGGGTGGTTCGTGTCCCCCGACGATTTGGAGGGAATTGTCCAGCAGCGAATTCTTTTGCATTCGATTTTCGCTCACCCCGATTTTTTCCCGCCCGTAGGCCATCCCCGCGGGTAGCCAGTAGATCCACGCCTACTTCCTCGCATCGATGAACCGCGGGAACGCCACCAGGAGGCGAAGAAAACCGCGGAACGCCGCGAATTCGATGGAATTCGGCCATCCGTTCGTCGATTTTTTGGTTCAAAACGGCGTCAACGAATTGAATTCCAATCGAATTCGACCGATTCCCTTCCCTCCGGTTTCCACGGTTTGTTTCTCCTTTTTGGTTCCACGTTTCCACTTTTTATGACGAGCAGTCCCTTCTTTCTCCGGTTTCTCCGGTTTCTTCTATTTCCACGTTTCCCCAGTTTCCCCGATTGGGTTCCTCGCGGTTATTCACGCGGTTTGACTCGATTTCCCTGCGCGCCAATTTCTACAAACATTTCCCGCCCAATCGTAAAAACGCCAAAACGCGAAATGGCCGCTGGCTTTCCCTCCTCTACATCACGCACGATTTCTCTACGGGGAGTCGCTACACGATCTACGATCCCGCCATCGCCTATGTGCGCAAGGAGATCGTATGCATGATGCGAGCCGTTGTCTGTAGGGATCGATCGGAATCAGCCCTGTGGATCTTTCTTCGATGAACGCCGAGGAATTGGTGGAGAAACTGCGCATGACGGACATTGTGATGGCCGCATCGGGGAGCAGCCTGTCGATTAGCGTGCTTCTGCTTCCGAACTCGGGGGTGGTAGAGGTGATGCCGGAGAATTATCGGAGTTCGCTGTACCAGAAGATGGCGGGAGATTTCGGACTGTACTATCTTGCACACACCAATTTCACGGGAGGCGCGTGGGAGGACGGAGAGTGTGCGTATACAGAGGAGATGGAGGATATCCGAGAGTTACCGAAGTCCTGCAGAGAGAATTTGGAGAAGGGTGAAGTTTACGTCCACCCGATAACGCTATGGATGATGTTGGTGGATATGAGTAAATCGGTGAGTCACAATAAGTATAACGTGTAATGTTCCCGAGTTTGTTCAAAAAAGGAAAAATAGTCATAACGCAGTCTAGAAAACATAGTCTTGGACAGCAAATAGGAAAAATAAGAATAGATTAGTAGGGTACAGAGGGTAATGAGAGTTCCGATAGAGAAAGTGGCGATAGTCGTTTTCATACGCGATAACATAAAAAATGTCACAAAAAGAAAAATAAGATGTCCTACCGTTGACATCCTTTCAAAACAAATCTAGAAAAATGGGAGTTTGACAAAAGTGTATCCTTCCCTATTTGTAAAAATCAAGTCATACTTTTTGCATGGCTCCCCAATCCTCGAAAAAACATATGTGGTTGATCAGACCAGTGTAATCTTCCGTTTTCGTGGAGATTCTTTTCGAGCCGCTACCCGCGGGGAAGAAGTCCAATGTATCAGCTTCATAAATAATACTTTTGGGAGTGGTAAATTAGTTAGTTTACTTCTTCCAGAAGAATAATAATACGAATTTTCTTCTGCTTTGGTTCGCTTGAACATTATTGTCACTCTCGCATCTCTCCTATTTAAAAGAAATTCTACCAAAGAGAATTATCTATGGAATCTACGAAACCGGTGAAGTTCAGCAGATCCATAATCAAACAATTCCACAACTTGGTGGAATGTCCTTTGACAATGACCAAACGAGTCAGTATGCTTGAAGATATGGAAGACATTATAAGTCTACATACTTTTGGTAACGGGTAAGCGTTTGCTTCTCTGTAGAGTACGATTCTGAGGACAAGCGAATCTTGGGAATGAAGTATTTGTTAGGCACGTGGGAGGTCCTTTTAGATGGAATTAGTAACGTAGTTGTTTTGCTTTGTGTGTCAATCTAGCTTCGTACACGCGATCAGTACCTTATCTATCGAGTCATCACGAAGATTTCGATTCGCAAAGAGTTCTTACTGGTATTTACCCGTTTTCTCTCGCCATGTAGGAAACGAATGGCTACACGCCCGATAAGAGGACGATTTCACTGCGTCGCTATCCTCTGCTCCGTAAGTACTCTAAACTGCTACTCTCCACCTGCCTATTCTGTCAATCCATCTGCGAGACAACTTCATCTCCCGTTCCCATTCTGTTTGCCTCCAAAATTATTGTTTTGGCGGGAATGCGGATTCCCTCCATCGGAAACGTCATCCGATCCGCCATGTTTCACCTCCACCCGCTGACCTCGATCGCCATTCCGGATCTCCGTTACGACATTTTTCTCCATTCGTCGCTTGCTTCGAATGCCGCCTCCAGCCTTCAGTTGCAATACAACTCCAAGTCCACTCCGCTCACGGGCTCGCACGCCGCGCCTTCGAGTCCTCTGGCGAGTTCTGCGCGATCGGAGCGATCCAACAAACCGAGCGAACCGAGTGAACTGAACGAACTGAACGAACCGAGTGAACTGAACGAACTGAACGAACTGAACGAACTGAACGAACTAGACGAGCTGAGCGAGTCCACGGAGTCCAAGTCCTTTCCGTTGAACCAGAACCACCCATCCGATCACGTGTCTGCAGCGAAGGACGGTCCCTCCGTGCCTCGTCTGCGTCGCTCCCTTTTGTCCTCCCGCGCGGGTGTGAGCGCGTCCATTCCGAAGAGCCAGAGCCTCACCGCGCTCTCCGACCTTTCGGCCCTCGCTTTCTCCAGCGACGACGACGCCGACTATAACGCCGCCAAAACGCCGCCGCGTTGCAGTGACGACGAAGCGCTTCAGCGCTGGACCGAGGACCGCGCGGACCCCGACGAGGCCTTCATCGACCTCGATTTCTCCCAGGACATCGTCGTCCCGCCCTCCGCGTCGCCCAACCCTGCCCTCCATCTCAGCCCCAACCGCTATTCCCCCGTACCCGACGCCGAATCCCCGCGGACAGACCCGGACACCGCCCACTCCCCGCGGTTCGACCCCGCTCCCAGCGTACAAGCGAAGTCTGCGGCGAATTATACAGCGAAATTCGAAGCGAATTCGACAGCGAATTCGACAGCAAATTCTTCAAATTCTACAACAAAATTCGAATCGAATTCTTCAAATTTCCAATCGAGTTCTTCGAACTCCCAATCAAACTCATCAAATTCCTCATCGAATTCCTCATCGAATTCGGTGCCCAGCGCGGCAGCCTCGTCAATAAGAACCGCGGGACCGTCCGACGTGTCCGGGGAGGTTCGATCGAATTCGACGCTGCGCGTGAAGGACTACACGCGGAACGTGGACCGCGCGGTGCGCCGCGAACTTCGCCGCATGCGCTTCGCGGACCACCAGGAACTCCTCGCGAAACTCCCGTCGCTGTTCCTCTGGGCGGATCTGGTGCGGTACGACAAGCCTTCCCCGCGGTTCAAGGGGGAATCGTGGTGGCGGGAGCGACTGCAAGTGTGCGACGGGCTGCTCTTCAATTTCATTCGGTCCTGGTTCGACCTGGTCAACGAGGCGCTGCACTTCAGCCACGCACGTAAAACTCGTGCGTCCAATCAACGCTAGACATCCCCTACTCCATAATTCCGGGCTATTTCCTGCAGGTCCGCTGCCTGCTTCCCGCCCTCCAGCATTCCCTCCTTCTCCAGCTCCACTGCGGAAAGACGAAACGCCCGGGCCAGCCGCCCGCCACCGAGTACGCCGCCGCGGGGCTGCGCGCCAGGTAGGCCGCGATCCCCGCGGGGAATGAGTCAATACATAGTGGGGGATCCGCTGTGGGTTTCGAGTCTGCTGGAAATACTGTTCTCGCACTGTAACGCCTTCGTGTATTCCGACGTGATGTGCTGTAGCGGAACCGCGGGAATCTTATCTAGGCTTCGAGTACCTCGACGCCTGGATGAACGCGCTGAAAACCGCGGGGAGACGGCAGGACTTCGACGATCTCCGCGCCGCGGTGCAGAATTGGGCGGCAAACGAAGCGGAGGGCGTTTCATTGGAGGAGGTGGAGCGAATGCTGATTCGACGAGGTAGGAGCGATTCCCGCGGGAATTCAGTTTGTAGAATACGTGGTGGACAAAATCGAGGCGAATTCCGTCATCCAGCAATTAACCGCGGATATGGTGCTGGTCCCGCATGCCTCGCTTCCCGCCCTCTACACCGCCACGCGTTTCCCCGTTTCCCCGTTCGAGGAGCCTGAGGGCGTTTCTTCGGGGTTTCCGTGGAATTTCCCGCGGGGATACTTGATGGAGGGACTGCGGCGCATTCTGCAGCAGGACCAGATTTTTGTAATTCCCGAAATCGGGGGTTTTATCGTGTAGGTGCTGAAGCGCGGCCTGGTGTTTTTGTACCAGCATTGCGAGCTGTTTACGGGGACGGCGCGCTATTCGGTCCGATTTTTGGAATTCCATGAATCGTAGCTTTTCGTGGATCTGCTCTTCAAGGACCATTTTCTGGAGTTTTTCCGGCATTACGACACCGGAGTGCGGTAGAAGTTCCATCGAATTCGCTATAGAAGAATGCTGTTCCGACTGCTCCTCGTCTATTCCGCGGTTAAAACCCATCGCTCCCGCCTCCCCGCCTTCTCCAGCCAGCAGATTCTCGCCATGCTCTCCGACTACGTCCTCTTCCACGTTTTCCCCGGGTTAACCGCGGTTCCCGCCGCGAAAAAAGTCGTGGAAATGGCGCAGAAGCAGCGGAAGGGAGCCAAATCGCGGGGATCCGCCGAGAATCCACGGCGGAATCTGGACGTGCTGGAGGAGTGCGTCGAGAACGAATCGATCGTGGAAACCGTGGAAACGGAGTAACGCTTAGGCGATCGATTTGTCGATCGCCAGTAAGATCGACTCGTACTTGCTCATTCTGATATCCCAAGTGAACGAACCGAATGGAAACCGAATCCCGCGACATCAATTGGTGGAAACTGGAGAGAAGCGAAATCATCATTAGGGATGTCTGTATACTGCGATGGTTGAATTTATCTATGAACTATCTCTCTATGAACGACTGGATAAGCAGGTCGAGGAGAAGGTTCCTATCCCTGCTCCGAAGATCAACGTCGCCATCATTATGATGGATCCTCATAAACAATAACTGTCTAGCGTTTGTTTGAAACACCTTGTTGAATGGAACCGAACCCTGCTCCAGGTGCTTCTTCTATCGAGAAGGACTTGAAAGACTTGAAGGAGACGGAAGATGTCCGCACTTTTGCGAAATCGCTCAGAAATAGAAGGTGGTGCAGTTGCTCGATATTGTGAGGGAAGTCACCAGCATTATGGGCGATCCCCAGGCAACGACCGACGAAAGCATCGAACGCACGACCCAGTTGACGCGCCAGTATTTGCAAACTGTAAATGTGGGGACCTCCGTGCCTTTGGTGAGGTTTGTAGGAAATTTGTGATTCGCTTCGAACGCACTGTGAATTGGTGAGCAACTACAGAGAATTGTATCGTGTGGATAGTCGGCAGTGGGTTCAGCAGATAACCGACCAAGCGCGTCTGTCCTCCGAGGACATCGAAGATGTGATTAGTTTCGTGGCCCGTCGCTCCAAATGCCCTGTTTCTTGCAACAAACAATCCACTAAAAACACCAAAATCACATCAACCACCATTACGCCTGCTTGGCGCTCTCGACTTCCACCTTCACTTCTCCATGATTCTCGTTGCTTCCTTCCTTCTTCTCCTCGCCAGCGACCTCCACCTTGGCTTCGGTTTCCACCTTGGTTTCCTCCTTGGTTTCCACGGTTTCCACCTTCGGCACATCCACAACCTCCTTCGCGGGCGTGGCAGGCGTGTTGGCGGCAGCAGCGGCGACGGCGGGAGGCAGGGTGACGGAGGCGGGGAGCGTTGCGGTGGGAGAAAGCGAGTGGAGCTCGCGACGACCCACGTGATAATCCCACTTCTTTCCGAAGGCGGAGAGGAGGAGCGCGAGGAGCACCATGATGGCGAGGAAGATGGTGATTCCCGTGTTGCCGAGAATGGTGATGAAGGCGTTGACGAGGAAGGCGGAGCAGAACGCCGAGATGAACTGGTTGGTGAACACGTAGCCGTAGTTGCTGGTGAGGTAGAGCGTTCCGAAGGACAGCGACGTGTAGGCGGGGAACATCGCGTAGAACCCGCCCATGCAGAGATAGATCAGACAGATCCACAGGAAGAAGAACGCCTGCGGGAGCTTGGCGGTGAGGGAGAGCGTGCCGATGAGCAGCGCCGTGCAGAGGCAGAGGAACGGCATGGCGCGGCGATAGGTCCACTTGTCCATGAGCATGCCCCACAGAGGACGGAACACGCCGTTGCACACCGACGACACCGAGCCCGCCAGCACCAGGAAGCGGTCGTCGCTGATGAACGACTGGCCGAACACCTTCCAGTACGACGACATGAACGTGGTCGTCAGGCCCACCAGCAGGAACGTGCCCCAGATCTCCCAGAACTTCACCGTGCGCATCGCTTCGCTCGGCTTGTACGGGTGGTCCACCATCGCGCCCGTGCTCGTGATCACGTGCTGCCCGCGCGGCGTCGCCTCCACCGTCGGACGGAAATCGCGCGGCGTGTAGCCGGTGCTTTTCGCCTTCAGGTCGCCCATGATCGGAACCACGTGCTCCTTCATCGCCGCCAGCTCCGCCTCCGTCGGCTCCACCACCAGCAGCAGGCCGATCGCCTGCAGCACCACGTAGCACGCCGTTAGCAGCAGGAAGACGTTCGGAACACGCGACGCCACCTCGGCAGGGAAGTACTTGTCGGTCGTGGCGCCGGTCGGATCGATCACGGTCGGCAGATTGTTGGGGTTAATGAAGCTCGACTGAACCTGATTGAAAATCAGCGGGCCACAACCGAATCCGGCGACGATGATGCCGGAAGCAAAACCTCCCTTTCCGGGCATCCACTTAATGGCTAGAGAGTTAGAGGGTGGGGGAACAACACATACACATCGTAATCGGGGCAGAGTAAGCAATACCAATGCAAATTCCGAAAAGGAATCCATATACCGCAAGCAGCAAATAGAAGTTATCGGCTATCCAGTAGCTGACGAGCACGCAAATGTCAAAAAGAACACACCCAAGAAGGGTACACCAACGCGAACCAATACGGTCCTCAATTTTTCCAGCAAACATCATAGAGCACGCCTGGCCCATAATGCTAATAGCAAACAACCAAGCTGACATAGTGTTGGTTACACTCTGCCAATCATCGCATTCGATGCAACACCTACCGTGTCACCAACCACGACATGAATATAAGAGATAATGTAGGTAATCATGTTCGCAGCCGTATAAAGAGAACCCAGTGAGAGCTCAATGAGTACACCTCCCAGGACAGTTCTGAATGCTTTAAGATTCATAACAAACCTTAATAAATATGTAAGACAAAATCTGTGGAAAACACCAAAAGTGGGCAGTTTCAGTCGATGGACAGGAACCAATCAATTTCACTTCATATGCAAATATGATCGGGGATTCTAGAAGGTCATTGCTAAGGTCGAGATTGGGATGATTAGGAGGGGAAACATAAGGGAGACTTTTATGGAGCGACTTTTGAAGAAGTTTAGTGGCGGTACCGTACGAGCCGCCAAATAATATTTTGAGTGTTTTCAACTATCAGCTAGCTCTCTCCTAGTTCGTCTACCAGAATACTACCATTTGATGGTTTATCTCTGGTTGCCATGAACCGGAATATTATTTCACATCATTGGAACAAATCTTCTTTTTATATACAAACAATAGACAACTATTGTACAATTCTAAATGACCTTCTCATGATTTGACTTGTTTGACGAAGTCTTCTCCACGTACGGAGTCAATCGTACAGTACAGCACATGTCAGGTAGCACAGCTCTTCTTATTTCTTCCACTTCTTGTACACATCTAGATTCCAAGATTCCCTCTTTTGTTTCTTCAAACCTCCGAATCGTCCGATCTATATTCTATTACATTTTCCCATGCGTTCCTACCAGGAATTTCCAGTCGTTTCCAATGAGTCCATTCATGTCGCTGCGATCCTTTCCACAATCGAATCATTCGGTTTTTCTGTAGCATTTCAATGCGGCGATAGTCAGCCGATTCGATGATTGCTTCTCCATGGTATCCATACATCATCGCATCATCCGGATTGACAGAAAAAGCCCCGATTTCTGACTTTCTCGCGGGGAAAATGCGCTGATAGAATGGCAAAAATCGAGCCGAATAACGCAAGAATCGAAACACCAGCAGAGCGGAAATGCCCAATCGATAGGAAATAACGAACTCGACGGAATAGAGGCCGATGGGGCGAATCGGATGTGGAGAGAGCAATCGATCAATGATTACGGTGAGTGTGTGATATTCGGTTATTGCGGTCAGCACGTTGTTTACGATCGAATTCGCTGAAACCATCACTTGAAAAGTGTCTTTGAAGGTCCAGGAATGAATGTATGCTATGTGAAAAATAACCGCGGGAAATTACGCCGAATCCATTTCCCCATCATGATCAAGAGGTAGATAACCGCAGTAGCGTAGAAAACACGGAGAAGTGACAGGTAACAATCGAACCAGCCGATTTCTGTCAGTGAAAAAGGGAATGAAACTCTCACGGAGTAGCAAGTTCAGCGAGTTTCGAATGAATTTTACGATGGTGGAACTGTGTTTCATGAGGGGAAGTCGGATAATTCGAAGGGTTTGAAGTCCGATGTAGAATCCGTGGAAATGAATCGAGTGGGTAAAGGAAATGATAAATGGAAAAATGAAACAGAAGTGAAAAGGTTAATCAATCAATCAAGCGAGCAATCAATCAATCAATCAAGCAAGCAAGCAAGCAAGCAATGGGAGCATTGTTCAATGATTCAATTCATTCTCTTTTCATTCAATTCATTCAATTCATTCAATTCATTCAATTCATTCCCTTTTCATTCAATTTTCATTTCCTTTTCTTCAGGATATATCAAATAGAATGAACAATAAACAAAGCAACGGCAAGAAAAACATAACAAAATCCATCGAACGACTTTCAGAATGCAGCGAAATTCGATAGAGTTCAGATGCAAGGAACACAATCAGAAACACAATTTGAGGCACCTGACGTATTCGATTTCGAAGCCATCGAATTCGGACCAACAACATTCGACGAATCAATTCGATCGTCGCTCCATTCCACTTCTCCGCAAAGTTCAATTCCCGCGGTTTTACCACTGGCAATACTTCCACAAATTGGCTGCTTTTTACGTCACTTTCACTCGCACTGATTAATGGAATTCCAGAAAACAAGCCGAATAAACAACACATCAAGATTTTCGATTTTCCAAATAAAATACCAAGGAACAATGTTACCAGTGTTCCAAAAATAACCGGGTTTTTGACCAAAATCCATTCCAATCGAAGCCACACTTGAAACAGTGGAAAAAAGCCCGATTTTGGGAGTTTCATACTCTGCAAATCGGGAGTTTCCATGGTTTGAACCGCGGTTTTTATCTCTGAAAGTGCGTCTCGCATCAATGAAACTGTCTAAACCTGATTCGATCAAACGGAAGGCAACCTGCTGAACGTAGAAATGCAGTTTCATTAATTTGAGTGTTCCGCTAAGGATCAGAATCGCGGGGAAAGGCAAAAAGTCAAGGAGAAAAAGATACAATGGAAAGGAAAGCGAACTTGAAAGCAGCGAAAACAGTGGAAATAACCGCGATAAAGAGTGGAGCAGTGTGGGGAGGAGAAGAAGCAAGAGAAACAAATCGATTAGAAAGAGGGAAACTGTGGAAATGGAGGATGGAGTGAGAAGAAGGTAAGAGAGAAGAACAAAAAGAAGGGGAATCAATGATAAATAGGCGAAGAGAAAGACAAAACCGCGGAAATATGAATAGAATGGAATCTTGTTCCACGATTCCCACGATTCGCAAGACTCTTTCGCGACGAATTCTATCGGAATCACAAGACAAAGCAAAAACAAACGAGAGAAGTAGTCGGAATGAATGGATTCACAGAAATTCAAATCAGCGGAAGGAGGAGAGGCGGAAGACTGCTGCAAAGACATGCAATGAATCAAAGCGATGAGTAGAAAGACACGGATCCACCAATGCGAAATCCGCTTGTTTGTTGACTTTGAATTTAAAAACCAGCGATGGAAAGAAGTCAACAGAGATTCATTGCGATACTGTTGGTAGGCGAATAGATAGCACGCTCCGGATATTGAGAGAATAATGAACGAAGCGCAACTGCGTAGTCGAGAAGACATCTACCAATAGGCAAAAGCACAGGAAATACGGTGTCAAACCAGTCGTTGTTTGAACCGAGAAAACTTAAAATGCGATTCTACAAAAAAGCAACGAATGCGACTAATACGCCTCCGATCACCGCCGAGACTGAACCGAACGTAAGAATATCCAGCATAAACAGCATCTCACGTTCAGCAGTCGATAGATACGAATGAAGCACAGACTTTTCTAGAACGGACGGATACCGCAACCATAGCGCAGCATTCAGCGTAGCTATATACAAAACGAAGCTGAAGACGATATCCCTCGGCTTCATGAAGGAATTATCGTTGCTGTGTGGAACAAACAGAGCTACATATTTCCGATAATCGCGGAGTGCAAATGTCTCAAATAGTCGGAGAACGACGGCTCCTTCCGAATGCGATCCTCCGTCATCATCTCCATGACCAAACTCGCTTTCGGCGTTCCTCGCATCACGACGGCAGGCTACTCTCACACCTCCTCCCCTCTCCTACCTGCAAGTAGCACCCAAGCTGTGCCTGCAACTCCTCCACGAGCGTGTTAACGCGTTCGCAAAGCTCGTCTCCTTCTCTCAGCAGCATCAAACCGTTCGCCATCGCCTCGTCCGTCACGCCTCGCACGCCGAACAGGCTCTCCATCACCTCTGCAGGCACCTGATTGCTCACCACCAGCATCAGTCTGCACATCACCCTGCAAACAAAATCCTCACCCTCGCCAGCCGGCCAATAAATACACGAATCCCAGATCCAGCGCCGCTTCCGTGAGGAATTCGAACGAAGGCTTGCTCACGAACCCGGTGGCGGGGTCTTCGCGGCCCCACGCGTCGTTGGCGGGGTCGAGTTTGTAGAGAGCGGGGTACACGAAGTTCACGAACTGCATCGGATTGCACTGCGAGACGAACTACACTCGAATCCTCCGCCGAGTCCCACGTGGATCGCCCAGGCGCGCGTGTCCCCGCGGGGATAGACGGTGTCGAGGGAGAAGCGGGAGGCCTCGTTGAGGAGGAGGAGCGGGGATTTGAGGAGGCAGTTGGCGAAGAGCGGGAGCAATTTTCCGTTCTCGGGGAGAACGAGCTGTCCGGTGGAGGAGGACGCGCTGCACTGCGCGCGGTACTGCGTGAGAATCGTCTCCACGGTGTCCTCGAAGTTGCTACGCACGTCCGGGAGGCGCGTGGAGTCCAGCTGGAGCGCGGCGGTGCGGGCCAGGGAGAGCATCACGGCCACGCCGTCGAGGCCCTTGAAAAGACGAGGGTAGGTGGACGTGGACTGGAGACGCTGGTTGAAGATGCGCAGACGACGCTCCCCGGAGTCCGTCGTGTAGGTGCCGTGAAGGAACCAAGGGGACAATAATAGGGACAATAATAGGGACAATAATAGGGACAATAATAGGGACAATAATAGGGACAATCAGGGGGACAATCAGGGGGACAATCAGGGGGACAACAATACAGCATATGAAACAACAATGCTCACAAAAAAGTCAAATAGAGGACATCAATGAATGCATCACAGACAAATAAAACCACCACAAAACACAGTTCCACCATTCTTCCAATCAAAATCAACACATCACAATACGGCCACCATGACCCAAAACTCCCCAAATCGGACCCATCAGACCCCGAACCCCCTTCTCCCAATTCCTCAAAGGATATAGAATGGCGAACTGGAGATAGACGTCGTTTCCCTCGATGTACTTCGGGAAATCCAGCGTGAATTCGAACGAGGACTGGCAGTCCAGCATCGGCACGATCGGGTCCTGCTCGTCCGACGTCACGCCGTTCCCCGTCACGCCCTGCACCTTCAGCCCGCCCGACACGCGCAGCTTCGCCACGGCGTCCCAGTAGTGCTCCCGGATCACCAACGTCTGCAGATAGGCGTGCAGCTCGGCGAGTCCTGCAGCGCCGTCCTTCACCAAATACACGGAGCCGCCGCTCTGACTGGCCAGCATTTGCTGCTCCGCGAGGTGCACGTGCTCCTTGCTCGCCACCACGAAGTCCACGCACACGCTCGCCATCGCGCACGTCACGCCCAGCTCCGAGTAGTACGCCTCGTCCTGCGACCGCAGGTACATCGACGACTCGTCCTCCGTCCCGTACACCGCGCTCTGCTCCGACGCCGACACGCGGCCCACGCCCAGCAGCGGCGCCGAGCACTCGATCAGCGTCACGTGACCGCCCGACGCCGCCAGCGCGCCGATCGCCGTCCGCACCGCCGCCGTGCTGCAGCCGTAGTCGGGAGGCGGCCGCGTGCTCGGAGCGTAGCTGCTCGCGATGTAGTCCAGCAGTTGGAATAGTGTTTCAGCATCGCTGGCCGGCGCGAGGAGCCAGTTCGCCTCGCTGATCACTGCGTAGGCATCGTCGGGATCGGTCATCAGCACCTCGTGGATGTGTCCGTTCTACATCGCACGCGTTCCCCGCGGGTACTCGCATCGAAATCACGTGCACCGCCGTGTCGAACACGCAGAACCCCACTCTCGCCCGCGGGGCATCGCGCAGCGCCTCGACGCACGCGCGAAGCGCCTGCAGAACCGCGTCGAACACGCCGCTCTGGTGCGCAGCGCGCGTCGTATCGATCACGAACGCAAAAAGCGGCCGCTGCGCAGCGCGCGTGCAGAACTCCTCTCCCACTTTGTACTCCACGGTCCCGCGGGACAGCTCGGGGCGGTCCTGGCGGTCGAAGCGCACGCCGGCGCTGTTGGTGGTGCCGTAGTACCAGGAGGGCGTGGGGTTCTCCGCGCCGCAGAGGTTGCAGAGGAAGTGGTAGCCGCCGTCGGTGAATTGCACGAACGGATTCATGTACGCCGAGCACTCCGAGCAGCGGACCAGTCCCGCGGTTCCGTCGAGGAGCGGGATGGGGTCTTCCTGAGGGTGCTGGAGGTGAGACGGAGAAACGGGAGAAACGGGCTCGGCGAAGGGAGTGACGAAGACGGAGCACGGGATCTTGGTTTTGTTCAGCATGTAGTAGGACTGCGGGAGCACGCGCATGGTGGACCGCATGTAGCGAGGACTGCTGATCCCCGTGTCTTGGAACGTGTACTGGTACGTGGGGAACGGCAGGGGCTAGGCCTCAGGGGAAACGCGGAAGCACACGCTGATCCAATCGTCGTCGTCCTTCCAGCTGTAGGATCGAAGCGACGCGTCTTCTTCGGGGTGCGGAATTCGGTTCAGGTTGATCAGGTCGTTCGAATTGCTCGCTTTCTGCGGCTGACCGTCAGGGTAGGCATGAAAGAATCTACTTTCGCGTCTTTCGCAGCCTCAGGCTGCTGTTGTTGTTGCTGTTGTTGTTGCTGCTGCGCGTTTTCTGCGGAGGATTGGTTGGCGGGGCGGGAAACCGGGATTTCTTGGACATCAACCACTTGCGTCTAGCGCCTACCGGACCCGATTACGTTGAGCGAGTAGAGCTGCGCAGCTGTGATGCCGGTACGACCGTGGGTACCCGTATAGTGAGAATAAGTGCTAGATTGCTCCTGGGGAAGCGGGGACGCGCCAGGCTCGCTTGACGGCTGTCCTACGGGAGGAGGAGGAAGAGTCGATGTCGGTGGAGGAGGAAGAGACGAGCCTGGAGGAGGTGGATAAGAGAGTCCCGACCTTGGCATAAAAGGAGTTGCATTCGCAAATTGGGGGTGATATGCAGGGGTATAAGGTGCATTTTGGGTTTGGGAACTCGTTGGAGGAGCCATTTGTGAAGGAGGAGGAACCATAGAAGATGGACCTCTATTAAAAGGAGAAGCATTTGTAGAAGGAGTATTCGGACCCGATTCAGACTGTATGGGTGAAGGAATAGGATCAGACTAGGAATAACTCGCAAACAAACTCATTTACATGCTTAATAAATGGATTAAAACGAGATCCAGTAGGTTGATTTCCTGGATTCATAGAAATACTTGCCAATATTAAATTTCTGCGGAAAACACGAACTCGTAAAAATCTTGGCAGATTCTGGAATTCCGAATGCAGATGGATGATACGACATTGATCCCTGATTTATTCCATTCCTTTGCTAGTTCGTGTTGTAACCTATTCTTCCAAGTAGACCCAAATAATCCTGATCGACTCACACTCGAAGGAGTCGTATGTCTATTCGATTCTCTAGGGATTGATGTAGAAAATGTAAACATTCAATAATAGAAAAATTGTAGGATTCGCTCGTTCTCTATATATGCTACAAAATGAACTGCGAGTGTATGTATATTATTACGGTGAACAATATTAACATGCTTTCCACAAACTATGGGTTTTTCGTGTTTTTTGCCATCTCATTGTAGGATCGATACATTCGGAAAACTCAAGCAGATCCTTCCTGCATGGAGAGAAGAAATGAAGAATCCCACATTGTTCAAAGTTTGGTTGTTTTGGCTTTTTCTATGTCATAGCCCTTCTACAATTATCTCTTTCTCTATTCCTGTAAAGCTCAGGCTGACGGAATGCGAAAGAGACTTCACGCAGACCGCGCTGTTCTTCTCTGGCGAGTGTTGTTTGGTGAGCAAGCTCCCCTTCTCTCCTCCTATTCCTCGTTTGTCCTTTCTGAACGTCCTGGCGAAACGGGGATCAACCATGATGAGTGGCAGATGAGCTTCTTGCTATTCCAACTCCAGTCGCGCTCTTCCGATGCCTCCTCCCTCCAACGTGAAATCAGTACCTCTTTATTTTCCTCTCTCGTTTCTCACCTTTGCAGGCTATTGGCCGCCTCTAATTCTACGTTTTCTCCAATCCCATTCCATTGTTTGTTCTCTCAAACACCCATCACATAGCAACTGCAGTTTCCTCCACCTCTTCTTCCTCCTTCTTCTTCTTCTTCTTCTTCGTCTTCTCATCGTCATGAATATGCACACAACAGAAATCGCCGCTCAGCCAGGCATCCACAATCTACCCATTACACCCCTTCTCTCGCTCCTACCTTTGCGTAGGGATGTCCGTTGTTATGCAGCGCGATCTTGCAGCACGCAGTGAGTGGAACCGCCAACACAGCGCCGATGGATCCCAGAATAATCGCCCAGACTACGAGACAACTGATAATCACAATCTAAGCAATCAAATTAACAACAAGATATGAGATACAGGGTGGAGGTGAAGAGAGTCGCCAAGGACTTTGGGCTCAACGATGTCTTGAAGGATAAGGTTCATAAGCTAGAAGGAATAATGATATAAGAAAGAAGAAGAAACAGTGGGGAGAAGAATGGCGAGGATAATTTGCAGAAGCGAAAAATTCGGATGGAAGAGAATGAGAGGAATGGGGATACAAACAGCAATAATCGGCCCCTAACGAGATAGGTATGAAATAGGGACGGGTACGATATGGGGGATATAGTTCAACACGAAAAAGATGAGAGCAAAAATGAGAGACATGGGGAGATGTAGAATGGGGCCATATAACAAAAAAACAAGGCCGCCTGCAATGAAAGATAGAACAGTCTTGATGAGCAAGTACCGAGTGATCTTTGTATTTGAAAACTCACAAGAATGGAGTACTTGGTTTTCGATTTTGTAACGAATCGAAGACTCGTCGAATTTACGCATGCTAGAGCCAAAAAGCAAAAACATGTAAATAATGATCGTAAAACCACAGTATACAATCGACTTCCATACAATCTTTGTCAGGGAATCGAGAATTTTGCTTAGTGAAATATGCTTTGACATCTCGTCAATCAGATCTTCGATATCGAGGCCTAGGGTATTGTTGAACCAGACCTCGGCAGTGTCTACAAGCTATACGTAAGCTTCGATAGAAGAGTGATCTATACATCGAGCGCATTGTCCACATAAATGCTGTAATCATGTGAAATAAAATCACTTATCTTGGGTTAAATGCAGCTATTAACAGTACAGAAACAGTTACAGGGTAGATAAGGAGAAACAAACCACCGAACAGTAGGATGAGGGTGATCAGAGAGCATATGGGGCGATAGGGAGTTCCCCAGTGTAGAATAAAACGTTTCTTTCCTCCCTACAAGGAAAGCGATGTTCACGTGCGTACTGGTCTCCTTTCATTCGGATTTAGGAGCAAATGTTCTTCTTCTGGAAGAGGCTCCTCTTCAAAAGTAAAGTAGGGGATGATCGGACGATGAAGTCTTAGCACGATGGGCTTGGATATTTGAAACAAGAAAAGTGCCATGAGGACCGGGATGATGATCTCACGAAAGAAAGACAGCAAGAACCCAACCACGGTTACCGCAACGATAATAAGAGGCACGCTGATCAGCTTCAGATAGACTTCCATCTTTTCCCACATAGACAACCTGTCCACATAGACATCCACAGTCGATCCCGGCTCTGAGTCCAAATGGTAGGGAATGTAGTGCCCGAAATCCTGTGCTGAATCGCTGTCACAAAGAATATCAGCCGACATTGAAACGACCCAATTTTAGTCTGGTTATCAAAGAATAATAATAATAGTATGACAAACAAGTTTCAAACAAACAAACCAACCAGAAGAACACCTTACAGCTTAGGAATTCCGCCAATAGGGCCCACCTCAATTCCGCACTCGCCCTTACCAGCAACAATACGGAAGTAACCATTCTCACCCCAATCCTCATTCCAAGAGTTAGCAATCTTCCAGTACTCAATGCCATCCTCGACACCCCAACCGACCAGCTTCACAGCGTGACCGCCGAGGTATTTACCAGCGACATGCTGGTAAATTCCGCTCTTGTACGTGAGGAAGTCCTCGTACACAAAGAAGGACACTTCAAGAGGACCGTTGGTCATCAGCTCGGTCTTGATAGCATCAATACCTCCCTGGACGTAGTAAGCCTCTCCAAAGAAGTGCTTGTCCTTCTCATATTCAACGGGATATCCCTCCTGGCACTGCTTGACACACTCAGGAGTCTCCTGGCTCTCTCCGCAAGGAGGATACTTGCCCTCAGCGTGATGCTCACACTTGGGGAAGGAATAAGCATTGCACCAATCCTTGCTTCCGTACTCGCCTCCAGTAGTCACTCCAGTGCTTTGGAACCATCTCCAAGCCATATCGAGCCAGCCTCCATCACATCCAAATCCGCAGGAATCGCAGCAAGTCAGAAGATCTTGCTCCGAAAGACGGTCCTGGATCTTTCCCTTAGAAGCAATGCAGAGACGATCAGTGGCAGCCTCAGCAGCTCCGAAAGCCCAGCAAGAACCGCAAACAGACTGATCACGAATCTCCTTCAGAGAAGGGCATTCAGGCCACTTCTCCACGGGGTCGAAAGACTCAGGAAGATCACCACGAGCAACAATAGTCTTCGAAGGCAGCTGTCGGTCACCAAACAGCACACCAAGGTACTGAGTGTAGTCACGAGTGGGAATAGCCTCATTGGCAATCCAAGTGGTCTTCATGGCGTTGACCTCCTTAGCGACCTCGACGAGTCTGGGAGGGTGTGCCAGAGCAATAGCAACGATAGTAAAGAAGAGGAAATACTTCATATTTACTTACTAAATATTTTCTGGGAAAGAGGATAACTGGTGCGCACCAATTGGGTGACACAATTAAAAGGTCGACAACAGCCTTCGAAAGTCTTTGTTTTGTATTTCGAAAAATAATGCACGAAGGGGAAAATGAAAAGAGACTGAACGGAACCTAGACCAACCCAAAGGAACCCAACGGAACCCAAATCGAAGCTTTCGACACAACCTTTTTCGAACAAACAAAAAGAGCGCCTTACAGCTCAGGAATTCCAGCAACACCGTCGGACTCAATTCCGCACTCGTTCTTTCCGGCAATGATACGGAAGTAACCATTCTCACCCCAATCCTCATTCCAAGAGTTAGCAATCTTCCAGTACTCAACGCCATCCTCGACACCCCAACCGACCAGCTTCACAGCGTGACCGCCGAGGTATTTACCAGCGACATGCTGGTAAATTCCGCTCTTGTAGGTCATGAAATCTTCGTAGACAGAGAAATCGACCTCAATAGGACCGTTGGTCATCAGCTCGGTCTTAATGGCCTCCACATTGCTAGGAACATGGTAAGCCTCTCCAAAGAAGTGCTTGTCCTTCTTGTACTCCACGGGATATCCCTCCTGGCACTTCTCAACGCACTCAGGAGTGGGCTGAGTCTCTCCACAAGGAGGATACTTGCCCTCCACATGGTGATCGCACTTGGGGAACTCGTAGGCATTGCACCAGTCCTTGCTTCCGTACTCACCTCCAGTAGTCACTCCAGTGCTGTGGAACCAGCTCCAGGCCATGGAAGGCCAGCCTCCATTGCAACCAAATCCGCAAGACTCGCAGCAAGTCAGAAGATCCTGATCCGAAAGACGGTCCTGGATCTTTCCCTTAGAAGCAATGCAAAGACGGTCAGTAGCAGCCTCAGCAGCTCCGAAAGCCCAGCAAGAACCGCAAACAGACTGATCACGAATCTCCTTCAGAGAAGGGCATTCAGGCCACTTCTCCACGGGGTCGAAAGACTCAGGAAGATCACCACGAATAGCAATGTTCTTCTCAGGAAGCTGCTTGCCTCCACGGAGAGCACCAAGGTACTGAGTGTAGTCACGAGTGGGAATAGCCTCGTTAGCAAGCCAAGTGGTCTTCATGGCGTTGACCTCCTTAGCGACCTCGACGAGTCTGGGAGGGTGTGCCAGAGCAATAGCAACAATAGTAAAGAAGAGGAAATACTTCATAATCGCTTACGAAAGAAAATATGAATAATTGAAAAGATCCGTGCGCACGAGATCTAAAATATTATTTCTCCGATCTTCTTTCAACTTCTCTGATTTTTCATTTAACCGACCAAACCAAATTTTCACGAAACTGAGCTAGAAAAGGAACTCTTATTGAATACCACGCTTGTTCAAACAAAAACAAACCACGACGTGTAGAATAAACATCCCAAAACGGTAGACAAGTAACCCAATAATACAAATATTTGAAACATCATTGTGAGTGTAGATAAGAGTCATGAGGCAAAAGAATATAATTAGTTTCGTCGGTGAACAGTTTTCATGTGATACTGCAGTCCGGAACTTTGCCTTGCATAAAATTGCTTGCAGATCTCGCAGCGATAAGGCTTTTCTCCTGTGTGGATACGCTTGTGATTCAAAAGTGCAGATTTGTATCGAGATGCGTAATTGCATCCTGGGAAGGAACACTTGTAAGGTTTTTTATCCGAATGTCTGATCTGATGTAACTTGAGTTGATTTTGTGTAGGTGCCGCAAATCTGCAACCCGGGAATGTGCATGGATAGGGGCGTTCGCCGGTATGAATTCCGCGATGGTACGTGAGATCCTTGAGGAATACAGAGGTAAAAGTACACCCGGGATACATACAGCGAAAGCTGCGCTTTTTGGGATGCTCCTGGAAGTGAGCTTTCATTTCTTCAGCCGTTTCACACACAAAGTTGTAAGTTGGGTTGCAGCAACGGAATGTGCATTCTGAGCTGGTTATTTTACAGGGTTCGACGGGGGGAACAACTAGGTCGCAGCCGGAAAGCAGAGATACTTTCGGTGTACAATACCCTTGCACCTTTGAAGGGTTTCGGCGCATTCACTGCAGAAGCCGTTAAAATCCAAAAATCGTTGATGCTGGGATAGAAAGAAGAAGGAAAAGCTGTAGGTCAGATGCATAACGAACCAAAACGAGAAGGAACCGCGCTAACACCGTCCAATTCTGGAGAACAAACAGAAGATATGCAAATCGAGTTGCCAACAACAAACTCGGTATTTGTGGCAAGTAACGGGTACCCTGATGCAAGGCTGTTCGGAGACGGACTCGGCTGATTCTATAAGGTCAGGATTCAACAGAATTCAGTACTAAAACACAAGGGACATTTACCAGGCTGAATTTTACTTTTCGATTCCTTCTCATTAAATATTACAAATTATGGATTCAAAACGCACGAACTACTCACTCTTTTTTAAAATGGTTATACAGTTTAAGATGCATTTTTAATTTTTTTCAAATATTACGCCCTTCTGGAAGCAATTATATTAATTGAATGAATTACCAATTCGTAAAAGATTATTATCTTGGTAGAAAAATGCAAATGACGAAATGCCGCCAAAAAGTGTTTTGTCGACTTTGTAAAAATGCAAAGTGCATATCGTCACCATCTCTTAGAACCCCAAGGCGTAAACTCACTTTCATTTTTAAACTTAATCATTCGTAACTTGACCAATTCCCTATTCATTATAATTTGATGGGAAATAAAATAGGGAAAGAGGTCAAAGTTGAAAGAATTACTGTACGAATTAAGGAATTTGTGTCAGACGGTATGGGTTGGTACTACAGACTGATAGAGTAGATAAATTCTGGAAGATATATCTCGCGTTGGATACAAAAACCAAAGAGTTATACGATCTTCGTTTGTGTGAAGTAAAGCAAGGAGATGTGAAGAGAGTGTATCGTATGAAACAGGAGATTGCATTATGGGTATGGATATGAGAGGTACGCTTAGTTTTTAGCAACATGTTCCTGTACACAAGAATCTTGTTCAATACTATGCTTCGGCTATGCTCGAAGAGAACGGGATTGTTCGAGGTGTTATTTTAACTGAACATTGCCAAGGAGGGTTGTTGGCTGGAGTTGTGATCCAGTGTTTTCCCCATGGATTTGCAGAGCGAACACTTCTCGGAATTTTGAGAGATGTCGCCTGTGGTCTTTACGCACTTCATACAAATCGTCCGTGTTTTAGTCATCGCAATATTCATGTGAGCGTCCTTTTTAAATTTAACACCAAGCCCAATTTCATTTTAATCGATCAAGACGGTCGATGCAAATTAGAGGTTTCTCGCTCCACCACTTCGAATATTATCGTTCAAATAACTTATTATAATGTCTTATCACGCAGACCCCTCGTTCTCATGAAGAAGTCCGAGTGGTTCAGCAACAAACCGAGTACATCTTCGAAGCGGGTTACGTCCCTCCAGAACTTTCCGATTTGTTTCTCTCTCTTTATTCTCCTCCCTCACCCCCAGATCTCCTTCTCAGCGCGCTGTCGTCTCGGAGAAGGTGGACATCTGGCAGCTGGGCGTTCTCATGTATTATTTAGCGTTCTATACGACCCCCTTCGAGAACGACAGCGGCTCCATCGATCTCAACGCGCTGCGCAACGGACCTGTTTGCTATCCCCAAGCCGACCTCGCCAACTACTCCGCCGAGTTCATCGAGCTTGTCAACTCCCTCCTCGTCCCCGACTCCTCCAAGTGTGTTTCTGTGTTCCTCCTCACGCCAGACGCCCCACCGCCGCGCAGCTGATCGAACGCGCCTGCTCCATGCAGTGCTGGCGCATGACCCAAGAGGTTTCGCTGGTGTTGGCGGCGTCGCAGCGCTCGCAGCGCTCGCATCGCGCGCCGTCGCTTCGGTTTGTGCGCAAGCTGCAAGGCCCGCCCATGCTGAGCGACTCGGACTTGTCGTCGAGCAGCGAGGCGGAGGAACTGGCGCAGCAGAAGCGCGAAGCAGAGGCCGTGTTTGACAAGCAGCGCGTGACGCTGTCGCACTATTTCACGGACCAGAAGAACCACAAGCGATGGGTGTCGAAGTGCACGTCGCGGATTCCCGAGCCGCCGGCGCACCGGTCGATCAAGAAGATCGCGATGGCGGCGTCGGAGATGCAGTCGATGGACTTCTTTTTCCAGTTCCTATCGAAGTGGGCGTTGCGCGCGGGCCTCTCTCTCTGTAGATTGGCGCTGTTCAGCAATCAGATCGTCGCCGTGAAGGCGCTGACCACCACGCTGTGCGTGTTTCAAATGAGCGCGCTCGACATGATCTACCAGTCCCTCAAGCACATCTCCCTGCTCAAGGAAATGTCCGTGCGCTGGCGGATGATCCAGGAGAGCGACGAGAAGGCCAGCTCCTCGTCCTGGGCGCCGTTTATCTCCCGCCTCGCGAACATTCTGACGAACAAGGTGTACTTCCTGAACAAATACACGGAGTTCGGAATGAACTACGCGCTCGTCGAGGGCGCCGAGCTCGACGTCGAGGACCAAGTCAACGTCCCCGCGCGCCTCTCCACGCTCCTCGCCAACCTCAACGTCTCGCTGCAGTGGGTTCTCATGAACCCCTGCTCCGTCCTCAACGGCACCGTGCGTCCTCTCATCGAGGAGGCCCACTCCATCTACCTCGCGCTCACCGTCGTCCTCGCCGACCTCCTCGAAAACCCCGACGAGCCCGAGACGCTCCAAGCCGCCGTCGCGCGCTACGAAGAAGAGCGTCTCGTCCTCCGCGACATCATCGCCCAGGTCAAAACCCGCGCCGAGATCAACGTCTTCGACGACGTTTCCACGTTTCCCTTTTCTAAGGATAGTTCCCGTCGATCTCTCTCCGCAGCCCGCTCAGCAGCCATCCGCGGCAAGCGCAGGCCGTGGCACGGCAGCAGCTGGGGAGCCACGTGACCGTGGAGAGCTCCGCGTTCTCCTCCGACGAGCTGAGCGGCGACGACAGCGACGAGGACGACGCCGAGGAGGACTCCTGCGTCCTCGCCCCGTTCTACCGCATCACGGCCAAGGGCGTGATCGTCCCGCTCGTCTCCAGCGCGGCCATCGCCGGCCCGCACCAAGCCACGGCCGCGGGAGTGCGCAAGGTCCTCGCGGCCAAGGAGAACAAAGTCTGCGTCGAGTGTGCGCGCGGCCCCGTCGAGGCCTTCTCCGTCAACCTCGGCGTTTTTCTCTGCGTCGACTGCTGCAAGCTCCACCGCATGCTCGGCGTCGAATCGCCCCGCGGGACTCACGCGTAGACCGGCATCAGCCGCTGCGTCCGCGTCAAAACCAAGCCCGTCCGCCCCGAATGGGTCGCCATCGCCGCCGAAATCGGCAACCGCAAGGCGCGGCTCTTCTGGGAGAACCGCCTCCCCGCGGGGGAGCACCCCACCGTCGACGACAGTTCCACCGGTGGGGGTGTGATCGGGGTTTGACGTAGTGTGGCTCCAGTTTCTCCGGCAGAAGTACATCCAGCGGCTCTGGATCCCCGCGGGAGTCGAAATCAACCCCGCACGCCGGCAGAGCGACGACAGTCACGAGTCCCGCGGGGACCTCGCCGAGCCTCCCCGCGGGGCGTCCCCCATCGCGAAGTAGGTTCCCCGTTTCCCCTTCTCCGCAGCATCCAGCGGCAGCCGTCGTGTCCGCAGGTGCGTTCCCGCGCGATCCCGCTTCGCTCTGCCGCCAAAACCCCGCTGGACGTGCCGCGCATCCCGCGGTCGGGGAGCCTCCCCGCGGTGCTGCCGTCGTCGTCCGGGCCCCGCGGGGGCATGGTGCGGAGCCAGAGCGAGGAGTACTTGATGCTGCGCGTGGTGAACGCGCTGCAGGCGACGCTGAGCGGCGTGCAGCTGACAGGCTTGCAGATCAACTGGGAGGAGGTGTCGATCGACCAGAAGGTGGGCGCCGGGGGCTTCGCGGTGGTGTACCACGGAATGTACCGCGGGTGCGAAGTGGCGGTGAAGAAGCTGCGGGTGAACCGGATGTCGTCGAAGTCGATTCGCGATTTTTCGTCGGAAGTGATGCTGCTGCGAACGCTGCGGCACCCGAACATCGTGATTTTCATGGGGATCGTGATGAATCCGGTGTGTTTGGTCACCGAATACTGCCACAACGGGAATCTGTTCGATCTGCTGCACGAGACGGTCGACGACAAGCGCGGGGAACACTACGCGGTGCAGATTCCGTGGCAGCGGCGCATTCGAATCGCGCTGGACGTGGCGCGCGGAATGAACTTCCTTCACACCTCCACGCCGGTGATCATTCATCGCGACTTGAAGTCGCTCAACATCCTCATCAACGAGAAGTGGACCGCCAAAGTCAGCGATTTCGGGCTGTCGCGGTTTAAAGTGGGCAATGCCGGGCGAGTTGCGAATAGGCGGCGGATACGGCGCACGATTTAATGACCGGGCAGTGCGGAACGTTTCAGTGGATGGCGCCCGAGGTCATGGACGGGCACAACTACACGGAGAAGGCCGATGTGTACTCGTATGGGATCAATCTGTGGGAACTGCTCACGCGGAAGATCCCGTACGATGGCATGCAGCCGATGCAGGTAAGGTCGGGGAGGAGAGGTGAGGGATAGGTCGCGATGATGGTGCATACACATAAGAAGCGATTGCCAATTCCTGAAACGTGTCCTGAGTGGTATGCGATGTTGATTCGGGATTGTTGGGATCCGGATCCGGAAGCAAGGCCTTCGTTTGCAGAGATCATTAAGAGGTTGAAGAGAGGAGGACCCGCTCCTACTGTGCTAAACTAATGTAGAATATGTGGCGATGTGTTTGTTTGACAAGGGAGGGAAATGATGGGAGAAGGGAAGGTTGTGTGTTGAGTTGGAATGAAAAGGGGACAGGGAAATGGAATGATCAATGGAAAAAGAATAGAGGCATGATGGAATTTGAATTTGAATTTGAATTTGAATTTGAATTTTAAAAATGTAAAAATGATTCATTCATTCATTCATTCATTCATCGTCTATAGATCGGGTTTTTATAGTAGTGTGAAGCAAAAAATATATGTGTTTGGATCGTTTTACAAGCAAATTAATATTTCTGGAAAATATCAGAATCCTTATTACTCACATATTGATAGTTAGAACCTCCTGAAAGACTACTAAAACCCTTCTATTCAGGCTATGCGATTATGCAGGTGCTCATCCCTTTACACAGATTGCCTGAGCAATACCAATTCAATAAACCAGATTTGATGACTCCATTGATACATGAACCAATACTAGAAGCTGTTCATTCAAACTATATTCTTGATTTCGCATCATTCTCTTATTTTTATGTACCTTTCCTATCCATTCACATTTTATTCGACTCTAAGGTTTACCAATGAAACACCCTTATATCCATCCCATCGAACTCAATCAATCATCCCTTCAGCACCCTTTCACGCACATATAAACAATTTTCCATCCCCATATAATCCCACTAAACCACTTCCAATCCCATGCCATTCCATTCCTTTCCATTCCAAGTATTCACTTCCATCCCATTCAGGTTTCCCTATCCTAATTACCTTATTTCCAAATGGCAATCCACTCCACCTCGCCTTTATTTCAACAAACACATCAGTCAAACAGCATCTCCTCTCTTTATACGGCGAACTGCTCCGCGTTGTTCTTCTTTTCCTCTCTCTTCTGTCCAGGCTTGATAAACACATAGAGAATGGCCACAATCGAAACAATGATGAGCACAATGAACACCACGACGACTGCAATTACGGTTCCAGACAGCCACGACATTCCCATATTAAATTCCGACGTGCACTTAGCATCGGCCTTCATGTCATTTAAAACGGGCTGGCCGTTCTCTAGAGTGTTATTCCATATATTTAAAAGCTACGGAAATCAATGCAGCGATACAGCGAACTTCCAACCGTCTTCAGTTCATCGGCAAACGGATGTGAACCAGCGACCGTGCATGAGAGAGTTCTGCGGGTCAAACAATACGAAAACAGAAACGAGATATCCACGAAGTCCCGAGTGAGCTTCGATCCACACTCCTTCACGATAGATTGCATGTGAGCGTCATTCGCGTTCTCAATTCGCACACTTATTGACTTGATCTCTCCTAGGCAAATCGCTTTATCATAGGTAAAACTGAATAGAAGAAAAAGAAACAAAACGTACTGTCTCACTTCAGTGTATGTGGGTTCGGTGCAGGATGCATCGCTATAGTATTGGGTGACCATATCAGCATAAAAGGTGTAGAATGCTGTAGCATTTTGGTATTGATTAATGTTCCTGTAGGAACCGCTTCCTATTCTATCAACAAACTATGTACGGCGATCTACCGTTCGGTATACAAACAGACGAGTATTGGAAGCATTCTACCAATTTAAAAATCGCAATGTTTTCTACTCGCATCGGCAAACTGTAACAGTACGATTAAAGCAAAGACGACCGGCAGAATCATTTTAACGTGATTGTTAACGCTAAAAATAGTCGCGATTTTTGAGTTCAGAAAAGGACTTTTAAAACACTCTTAGTTCTGTGAGTTGTTTTATAAACACATGGAGACTGAGAACCAGATAACACAATTAAAAGAGGAAGAAAAGACGATTCCTATCCCAGAGGAAGTGTCTGATGAAAATAAGTGAATATTTGCAAACTCTTTTATGTAGAGAATCTGAGCAGGAGGAAAAAAAGGAGAACATTGAGGTAGAAAAGGAAGAAGACGGGGAAAACAAAGAAGAGGGAGAGAAATGTGAAAGTGAAGAAGAAGAGGAGGCAGAGGAAGAGAAACCGAGTGGTATAGAGGGAAGAGACGAAGTGGTTGCCATTGACAATCAAAGCGAAGTGAAACAAAATACAGACCCAGATGTTGTAGAGCTTAGTGATAGCATGATTGCTGTAATGATGCGTAAGATGCTAAGCAAAGGAGGTTTGCCTGACGATATGGAGGAAGAGGAGGAGGAGAAGGAGAGGAGACCTAACAAAAATTCTCGTCAGAACAAGAAGCGTCTGGAGGAACAAAGAGCGGCTTTCCGAAAAGAGAAGGAAGCGCGTGAAAAGAAGGAAAAGGAATTGTTTGAAGCGCACAAGAATAAATCTGCCCCGACCATCATCAAAACCCGTCCTTTATCGAATGCAGGAAGTAAATTGACTGCGTTAGCCCTAAAACAGAAGAGCGCTGAGAAGGCCAAGCCGAAGCCGAAGGCTAAGCCAGAAGCGGATGCTCCGGCCAAGAAGGATTCTCCCAAAGTGGACATTCACAAAATCTTCAATCGCAGCGGTAATTTTGTGTTGCTCTCTTTCTTATCTCAAGATCGCTCGATCGACCCGAAGCTCGCCCACATTCTCTACAACCCCTCGACCCCTTCCAGCCCCTCGCCTCGTTCCAGCACGAAACCGCTTGCTCCGAAGCATGTCCAGACTCCAAAAGATTCAAAGGATTCAAAGGACTCGAAGGTTTCAAAGGCTCCGAAGGCTCCGAAGGTTTCAAAGGTCCCTCAGCCCGCAAAGCCGTTGAAGAAGATGGCGAAAGACGCCAAGGTGTCCAAAGGATCCAAGTGGTGTGTTTGTAACAAACGCTCGATTTTCGCTGTCGCTTGGCGGCGGGCTGCGCGTCGTCGTCCTCGTTCTTCTCTCGCTTCAGCTCGTCCATTTCAATCACAGTATCCCCTTCCTCTTCCTCTTCTTCCTCTTCTTCCTCTTCTTCCTCCTCCTCTTCTTCTTCTTCTTCTCTCAGCATCGATTTGATCTTCCTCACCTCGCTCTGCTCCCTCTCAATGATCTTCTTCACCGAGAACGCGTCCGCCTTCTCGATCTGCCTCGCACTCCCTCCCCATCCCTACATTCTCCGTCACATCCAGCGCCACCTCCAGCAGCTCCTTCACCTTCTCCGACAGTCCTTCTTTCCCCTGCAGCGCCTTCGCCGCCTCCCTCAGTCCCGCCAAATCCGTCTTCGCCTCCACCTCCTTCTCCGTCGCTCCTTCCTTCCTCGCCTGCTCCAACGCGCACCGCAGCAGCGCGCTCTGCGCCAGCCGCAGCCGCTCCGCGCTCTCCTTGGCCTCCTTCTCGGCCTTGGGCGCCAGCTCGGGGTCGTCCTCCGACAGCAGCGCGTCGTTCTCTGCCAGATAATACTGCGCTAAGCCGCACAGAAACAGACAGTTCGCCTGCTCCCGACTCGCCGCGGGGTACAGCTGCTCGCACAGCGCCAGGCTCGCTTCGTGGCTCGCTAGGGAGCTCTCGAAGTCGCCCTTTTCCATCTCGATCTCGCCGAGTTTCTGGTGGATGTCCGCCAGCTCCTTGCGGTAATCGCCGGGGGTTGTGGGCTGCGAGTACAGGACGCGAGCTAGAGAGAAGGGGACGTCGAAAAGCTTACCAGTCTCCAGATTCTCCCAGGCGATTTGGAGATCGTCTTCGATGAGACCGAGGGTCTTTTCCTCCTCATCCTCGTTGATATCCTCGTTCTCGTTCGCATCGTTCTCCTGCTGCGCAAGACGGTCCTGAGAGTTATGGCCTCTTTGGGGAAATGTACATGGGCAGAGTCAATAAGGAAAGTGGCAAGCCTATAGTGAAGGGGGGCGGCCTCGAAGAGAGTGTCCTCATTTGGGCAGCTACATTAAAAAAGAAAAACTCAAATGTACACTTCCTCCAGAACCGATGAGATCAGAGCAATGATGTCCTCACTATTCTTCTTTTCTTTCACCATTTCGTCCACCTGGCTTAAACACTTAGTCACCTCTATCCCTTATCACCCACGCAATGCATTACTGTCCTTGACTTCTTTATTGCTGTCGGCCATTTCAATCCAGTTCCCACCTATTTTTTTATTTGATATATGCGTGTACAGTAATCCTTCATTATCAAACAAACAACTCCTTTCACAAACTCTTTCGTTTTTTGCTCTAAAGAACTCCCACATTAAACAGCGTTTGAGAAACGAGTTCCCATTTGCCATCCACACGCACCAGCGAGAACGTGGCTGCGTCCGAATTCTTAAAAGCCCCGGCGGTCAGAATCTTCGTCTGTCCAAACTTGGAGATGTACAGGTTGGATCCAATAGCATAGTGACAGTGACCGTGCAGAACAACGGGGACATTCATCTGAATCGCATAGACAAAAGGAAGAAATACATGTTGAAGTGCCTTGGTGACAAGGGAATCCAGCTTTTTACTTCCAGCAAATATCTTTTTATTTAATTTACTACTATACAAGACACTCGTAGGAGCAATCGTTGGGGGATTATGGGTCATGATGATAAGCTACGTGGATAAAATCAGGGATTCAAAAATACAGAACTGTTTTTAGGAAGCTTGGTAATTGATTTCTGCAATTGAGAAACGTTGAAATCGCCCTTGGCAACAGGGTATCCTTTCCAAACCAGTTGTTTCTTTATGTCGAGGGCAGAAACACTTCCTCCAAACCCAGCAACGTACAAATCTTCGGCTATTCGAATCACACGATTGTGTACATTCACAATCTCCTTCTTCATGTCTCCTTTTGGAAAAAACGACTCTGTACTATCATGCTACATATAATGGATGGCTATTTATTCGCAACATTTCCAGGAATCCAAAGAATGGGAATGGAGAGTACCGAAAGGGCTATATTCTAAATCCTACAGCAAGAAGAGTACCATGTAGAAGCGATTCTTCATATGTACGTGTACGTTTCTTGTGTGCTGTATTCTCCATTTCCTCTTCTTCCTCCTCCTCCTCCTCTTCCTCTTCCTCGTTATCCTCATGTTGAACATTTCCAAAATCGCCTCCGATAAACAAAATATCGATTCTACTCACAAACCCTTGGAGAAATGTACGCATCTCTCTTGATAATGGTACGAAGTATCTCTAACAGAGATGAAAAATCGAACTTTTGATGAAGATCACTAAGAAGGAATACGCTCGTCCCAAAAGTACCTGATAAAGAGAACATTGATTCTATTCTTTTCAATTAGCTTTACCATGTCTGGAGAATAATAAATGCATGTATCTTTTTATCTCCTTTGTATGCAAAACAATTTTCCAAAAATCTATTATATATATATATATATTTATCTCTATTTGACACAAATGGAGTCTGTCTTGTGCATTTGTCTTGGAGAATCCCATGTAACAAGCATGCTGATTCAGAAGAATGAGTGTGGAACTGGCTATGAAGCTCATTGCGAGCGGCGAATTCCCCTTTCTTCTCTATGCTTTTTGGACGATGGCTCTCTGAAATTTGCATTTGGCATTGATTCATCAAATTTTACTGACATTATTCCTCATTTTTGTGTGTTGCGTTCTCTCGACGAATTTTTACGTCGTCCTCTGTTGTTCGACGAAAGTGAATCAGGTAGGATCATGCGTATGACATTTTCTTTCGTAGCTTCCTCTGAAAACCAAACTGATCATTCCCATCTCCCTTTATACTACTTGTTATGCCATCTTCGTGATCGTTACATCTCCTGGAGTCATGTTTCTTTGGATACGATTGTGCTGTGCTGTTCTCTCGATTATTTCATTTCCTATTCGTTTCTGATCGGAGAGTGTATGAAAGAATGCGGCTTTACGAATTGCCATGTCATTGATTCGACATCACTTCTGGGGTATGCTGTCATGCCCTCCGCCTCCTCCAAATCCCACTCTCTCATCCTCAACACAGGAATCGACACTTCCCACTGTCTCCTGTTCTCCACTTCCTCCAAACTGGGCTCCTACCCTCTCTGGGAAGAATGTCCCTATTTAACCGTTTCATCCCTTATTTCGCAATTCCAAAATTCGCTTTTTCCTTCAGAACCATCCGAATCGTTCGAATCTCTCCACACCTCTCTTTCCAAACTGCGCTGGCAGAGCGAGCACGGAAAACTTTCCCACCAAATTCTTGCCGCGCACTTCAAGTCCCTCAGCGATTCCCTCGTTTCCACTTTTTCGAAATGCATGGCTTCCCGAAAATTGGAATTCCAGAATTTGGACAAAATTGTGATCACCGGGGAATTGGCGAACCCTCCGCTTCTCCAGCAAATCCAGTCCCTGTATCCCCACATTCCCGCGGTTCTCGTCGAAAACGACGCCATGGAGCGCGAGGGACTTCTCCGTTTCTGCTCTCTGGCGTTTGTTTGCTCCGAGAAGGGCGCGGAGAACTACGTGGGCGAGATGGAGGGAAACGTCCCGAGCGGGTACGGGGAGCAGTACCGCTTCGGCGAGTGCGTGTACCGCGGTTTTTTCAAGAACGGTCTGTTCGAGGGCATCGGCGAGAGCCTGGAGACAAACCAGGTGATTTACCGCGGGCAATTCCAGCGCGGGCGGTACCACGGACGCGGGGTTTTGTCGCTGGGCGAAGACGAAGTGATTCGCGGCGTGTTCGCGAACGGCGAACTCGTGGACGGGAGCTACGACACGTGCTACGGCGACGGCGCGGTGCGGTACCGCGGTCCGTTTAAACGCGGGAAACGGAACGGTGTGGGCAAGGAGTTTCGACGGACGGGCGAGCTGCTGTACGAGGGCTGCTTCCAGGACGGAGAGTACTGCGGATTGGGGCGGCTGTACGTGGACGGAGAGCATTACGTGGACGGCACGTTCGTGCGGGGCAAGCTGGAGGGAGAAGGGTCGGTGTATTCGCGAAGGAAGGCTGTGCAGCGTGGGAATGTACCGAGAAGGAAGACGAGAAGGCGCAGGACGCGAGTTCGATGCGAACGGGTATTTGGTGTATGAGGGAACGGCGGACGAGAACGGGTTTTACGGAAAGGGAGTGCTGTACTATCCAGGAAGCGGGATTCGCTACGACGGGGAGTTCCTGCACGGGAAATTCAGCGGGTATGGACAGCTCTACAACAAGGAAGGCGACCTGCTCTACATCGGAGAGTTCCAGAACGGACTTTTCGAGGGCGAAGGGAAGGAGTACACGCAGAACACAATCCTCCTCTACGCGGGGGCGTTTCATCAAGGCCTGCGGCATGGCCGCGGGAAACTCTTCTTCTCCGAGGGCCACTTCTACGAAGGGAGCTTCGCGAACGGGGAGCTCACGGGGACGGGCCGCATGGTGTGGGCCGACGGCCAATCCTACGAGGGGGCGTTTCAAAACGGAAGGAAGGAGGGAGAGGGAGTGTTCGTCTGGAGCGATTCCTCGCGGTACGAGGGCCATTTCGCGCGGGATCAGCGCGAGGGGTTCGGGAAGCAGTTCGATTCCCGCGGGAAATTGGTGTATGAGGGGGAATGGCGGGAAGGCCTGGCGAGCGGGACGGGGAAGCTGTTTTTCTCGTCGGGAAGCGTGTATGATGGGGAGGTGGTGTGCGGGAAGCGGTCAGGGAAGGGAAAGCAGCTGAGTGAAGACGGAAAGGTGGAGTATGAGGGAGATTGGAAGGATGATGTGCCGCATGGCTTCGGAACGTACTATTATGTGGAGGGAAATGTCTACACGGGGCAGTGGGTGAATGGAGAGAAGGAAGGAACGGGAAGAATGAACTACACAGACGGCTCGTACTACATTGGATGTTTTAAGGGCGGCGTTCGGTCCGGAAAGGGATGTATCGTTAGCAAGCAGGGGAAGATTTTGAAGGAGTATCTGAAGTAGAAGGTGGAACATCTGTACCTGTTTTCCTTTCTGCTGTTTCACAACAGTTTATTTTCGTATATTTATATATTCATTTGTATCCTTGTTAGTTTTAATAAACAATGCACTAAGTGCGGGACCTTCGGAGTAAAGACTTCCAGGAATTCGTAAGCGCTGTGACTCGCTCCATGGAGAGCTGCATTTGATCGATGTCCTCGTCGATTGATTTGACTACAAAGGATAAAGTGACCAAGCACTTTCTAAGTTCGAAACAGTTCTAAAATGGTACTTCACTTCCTGTAGCATGGCTACCTCATCCATCTACCGTTTCTTTCCGGGCGAATCTTTTGAAAAGAGAAACAAGAATGGGATGTTTCACCGCGGGATATTTAAATGAAGGTTGAAAATCTCATTATTATTCGGTTATAAAAGTCCATTATTATTTGTGAAGACTTGTCCACAAGCAGGCTTGCGCTGATTCAAAACGTTTGATACTCGCGGAGTTGCACTTTCCGGGAAAACAAATGTGTGAAGTCACTGAAGAAAAGCTATCGGAGCGAGAAATTCGTGAGTATTTCCGCAGTATATTGTTATGTTTGGGTTTGTTTTAGAGCTATTATGTACACAGAAGGATACTCTAAGCGAATCGAATCCTAGCGCACATGCCAGTTGTCAAGTATGTCTTTGGTTTCTCCTTGAGTGCAAGTCGCCTCGCCAAAAACGTCAGAGAAAGAAGAGCATTCATCTGGACGTTGCTTGCTCAAGCTACCATTTAAATCTAGGGCAGTGATTCAGAGATCTACCGATTGAGCCGCTCTAAAAGTAGTCCCTTTCTCGCTTATTCGTCCTCTTCTCAGCTGTAATATCGATCGTTATCATTAATGGCAGCTTGTTTTTTTCTGATTCCAACATCGAACCAGACTCCGAATCTGAAGCCAATACGAGTAGCGCAGTTCCAAGAGAAAAGTGCGGAAACGCTTCGAACTGCCTATCTGCCACAATCCCCAGAGGGTGTAACAATCAGTTACTTGTACTCTCTGGGACAGATCCATCCTTTGTCCGTATACTCTCGTTCTGCACACTTCATGAAATAGATTCTGTAGAACAGCAACTTGAGGGAGTGTGACGAAATGCAGACTGGAGGTCTATTGAACTTTGTAGATTGTAACGATTCCATCTTTTCCATTACCTTTCACCAATTCATTGCCAGTGCCATGAAACAACCAAGTCTTTGTCAATTGTGTCTTGCGTTGTAATTGTGTATTCTTGCTGTATGCCTTGTTTCTGTTCCAACAAACACTTCTTGCTATTCATTATTGTGAAAAAAGTTCGAGTCTACTCCGTACATAGGAGTTTCAAAAACAGAAAAACATCAAACTTCTGAAGTATGGTGGACAATAAAGACCAGCGTAACGGCGATGGGTTGTGTGGCTGACGCATAGGAGGAAAAGCGAGTTATTTGTCGAACTTCAACCTGATGATGTATAAAGTCTGGTTGGAAAAAATCAGGAGACCTGTATCTTTCCTTTTAGAAATGGTAGTTGCAGTTTGATCGCATAATGGCCAGTTGCTACCCATTACGTTGTCTGGAATTATTCTTTGGATTTACACACTCCTTGTGTTGGACTTTATTCCATCCAAAGCGTAGACGGTTCTTGTGTTTATCACCTCTAGGTACTATTCAAACCAATACTCCCCCTTGGAGACAGGGAACTTGGCTCAAACTCTGCGAGAAAGTAGTAAAATCATCATGATCGCCCCTGATACGAATGAAACACGGGCGTTCCGCGATTGGTGGTGTGAGAGGAACCCTGGCTTCCCTGCCAGTGAGCTGTGGCCTGACAAAATGCCAGAGTTGGAGTTTCTGAATGTTCCCAATCTCTGTAACTATATTCGTATGATGAACTCGTCGGAGGAAATTGAGGAGTATCTCCGAACTGAAAACATTGGTTACAATCCCTCAATTCCGGACGTTTTTATGGGCATCGTTTTTGACAAATATCCTGCATCGATTTTCTAATTTCCCTTCACTCCACGATCACCGAAGACAGAAAGGACTGGTCCTACACGCTCCGTCCCACGCAGCTCGACGTTCCCATGCTCTACACTGAAGAAGCGTACATTCCAGAAATCGGGGTGATTTCCAGCATGATGAACGACTACCGCAAACGTATGTCGTCAAGCGAGCTGAAGGCGTACACGCAAGCGGGCATCATGGTGTACGACTCTCTGGAGAGCCAAATCGACACGTCGCAGCCGACGATCACCGTCCACAGCGAATCGTTGCCCGGATTTCTGTCCATCCAGCGGTCGGTGGATCGGTACATCATCAACGAGAAGCAGGAGGTGGAGCTGAGCGCGGCGGAGGTGCGTGACCGCGTGAAGCGAAGTTACTCGCTGAAGAGTCCGGTGGAAACTGGAGAAAGGGGTGATGCGTAGTACGTGGAGGAAATGGAGAATTGGCTGGATATGCTGAACGAAGAGGAGCTGGAGGCGATGAAGCCGTACGGGCTGCGGTTCATTCAGGAGCAGTTCTATGTGCCGCACACGATCACGTCGGTCCCGTTCCCGACGGACGCTTATGTGGAGAGAAGGGGGAGGGAATGAGGCGTAGAGAGAAAGCGAGTTCTTCGATATGATCGGAATGCTCTACCCCATTTTCTTCCTCATCACGTTCATGTATCCGTGCTTCTGGATCCTTCGAAACATCGTCACGGAGAAGGAGCGCGGCATTCGCGAGACGCTCAAGACCATGGTCCGTCTTTTCTCTTTTCCTCATTCTGTAGGGACTCAAAGATTTGGCGTTGGTGTGGTCCTGGCTCATCATCTACCTCTTCGAGTTCCTCCTCATCTGCGTGGGCTGCACGCTCATGCTTCTCCCCGTCTTCCAGTACTCCAGTCTTCTCCTCTTCGGATTCTTCTTCTTCTGCTTCTCCTTCTCGCTCACGATGCTCTGCTATCTCATCACGTCCTTCTTCTCCAACGCCAAAACCGCCGGACTGCTCGGCGTGCTCATCATCTTCATCACCTACATCCCCAGCGTGCTCCGTGGTTCTCCGTTTCCCCTCTCATCTAGTGGTCTCCAACAACTCACGAGGACTCAAAGTGGGTCTGTCCTTCGACGCCACGATCGCGTTCTCGCTCGGAATCGAGCGCATCGCGTCGCTGGAGGCCGAAACGACCGGTCTGAACTGGGGCAGTTTGTTTATGTCGATCGAAGGGTACAGCGTGCTGGAGTCGGTCATCGCGATGCTCGTCGACGGGATTGTTTACTACTTCCTCGGCCGGTATTTCGACCAGGTGATTCCGAAGTCGTACGGACTCACGCAGCCGTGGTACTTCTTGTTCACGAAGGCGTTCTGGAAGGGCGAAATGGTGCAGAAGAAGGTGCACGTCGAGCGATCCGAGGAGGACCAGCGGTATCTTCGCTTGGAGAGAGGCGTGATGGGTAGACACGTGGGCAGAAAGTTCATCGAGGAAGTGCCTGCAGACCTCCACGCGTTGGAGGGCGAGAACCGCTGCATTCAGATCAAGAACTTGGTGAAAGTGTTCAGCACGCCGGTGGGTCCCAAGATCGCCGTGAACGATTTGAACGTGGTGATGTACGAGGGCCAGATCTTCTGTCTGCTGGGCCACAACGGCGCCGGCAAGACCACGACGATCAATATGCTGTGCGGCATGCTGCCGGTGAGCGACGGCACGGCGACGGTGTACGGACTGGACATCTGCGAAGACATGCCTGCGATTCGGAATATGATGGCGGTGTGTCCGCAATTCGATATCTTATGGGACAACCTCACCGTGAAGGAGCACTTGTACATCGCGGCGAAGCTGCAGAACGTTCCGAAGAACGAAATCAACGAGCGAATCAGCTCGCTGGTGTACGACGTGGGACTCACCGAGAAACTGAACAAGAAATCGAAGACGCTGAGCGGAGGACAGAAGCGAAAGCTGTCGGTCGCGATGGCGTTGATTGGAAACAGCAAGGTTGTGTTTTTGGACGAGCCCACGTCCGGAATGGATCCGTATTCGCGTCGAATGATTTGGAATCTGCTTCGAAACTACCGCAGCGAGCGCGTGATCATTCTGACCACGCATTTCATGGACGAGGCCGATCTCCTGGGTGACCGCATCGGCATCATGAGCGGTCTTTTCACTGCGATTCTCTGAGATCTAGACGGACAGATGTTCACCTGCGGTACCAGCCACTACCTGAAGCACACATTCGGCGTGGGGTACAATCTCACCATCGTTAAAAAGCCCGACTGCGACGAGGATAAGCTCGAAAACACCATTCTCGCGCACATCCCCTCCGCCTCTCTCCTCACCAACGTCGGTGCCGAGATGACCTATCAGCTCCCGTTCAACACCTCCGATAAGTTCGTGGCGCTCTTCACCGAGTTCGACGACAACCTCGCGAGGCTCGGCATCCAAACCTACGGCGTGTCGGTCACCACCATGGAGGAGGTCTTCTTGAACTCCACCAAGGTGGTCGACAAGGAGTTCGCTCGCTCCCTCAGCAGCAAGCGCAATCTCACCGGGCAGGGCGTGTCCTGCGCGGAGGGCGCGCGCCACCTCGCCGTGGACCGCGAAGAAGAGAAAAAGCGCGCGCAGCGGAAGGACTTCACGCGCACGTCGTCCGATCTGAACGAGAAGCTGTTCGGCCGGCACTTCCGAGCGAACTTCCAGAAGCGATTCCGCTACGCGATGCGCGACAAGAAGATGTTCATTATGGAACTGCTGATCCCCGGAATCTTCACGCTGCTCGTCTTCACCATGGTGAAAGTCATTTTCTCCTTCACCAACGTGGACTCCTACCCGATGGACACGCGCTACTACAACCCACAGCTCAATGAGACGTTCGAAGGGCGGAGCCGCTTTGTCTACGACGATTTCTCGCTGAACACCACCGACACGCTCGCGTTGTTCGACAGTTTCCCGCGGGACCGCTTCACGCCGCAGTCCGTGAACATCACGGACCTCAAAACAAACGAAGTCTGCTCGAGCCTCGCGAAATATCTCTGGTGCAACGACCCCGTGCGCGTTCCTTCGAGTCCCTCACGGAATAGTATTACCCTCCGAGCGATCTGGAGATGGAGATCATCGCGATGTCGCGCTTCCTCCTCGACGACCGCTCCAACCATCAAGACGCGTTGTACCACGCCGGGTTCTTCCGCTCCATCGACCTCGCTGCGCGCTCCTTCGACTTCTTCAGCATGGTGAACACGACCTCCGCGCACGGCTCGCCGATCTTCCTCAACGCGCTGGACGTCGCGCTGATGCGGTACTACCGCGAGGACGACGCGGCGGATATTCACGTCAGCAATCACCCGCTTCCTTTGAATCAAGCCACGCAGGAAGTCACGTCGCAGGCCATTTCGATGGGCATTTCCCAGGATCTCGTGATTGCCCTGGCCTTCGTGCCGGCATACACGGTTCTGTTCTTGGTGAAGGAGCGCGAAGTGGGGATGAAGCACCAGCAGATCATCAGCGGTATCAATATCCCCGCGTATTGGCTGAGCGAATTCACGTTCGATACTTGTCTGTACATCATCGTGGTGGCGATTGAGGTGCTTCTAATGGTGCTTTTCCAGATGGACGACTATCTCAAAGACGGAAAAGCGGTCGCTACGCTATTGCTTTTCTTCTTCTACGGAACGGCCAGCACGTCGTTCGTCTCCATGCTGCAGTACATCTTCAAAAGCCACACCATCGCGCTGATTGTGGTGCGTGCTCGCCGAGCTCTTCTCACGCTCTAGACGCTCTTCGTGAACATTCTCTGCGTCATCATGGAGCTCGCCTCCTTCATTATGACCACCATCAGCTCCACTTGTCGCGTCGCTCGCGTGCTCAAGTCGCATTGCTCCTCCTCTCTCATCTAGCTTCGTCCTCTTCTATCTCTTCCCCGGCTTCTCTCTCGGAATGGGCCTCATGCGTCTCTCCATGCTCTCCATGATGAGTCTCTTCGACCAGATCTGCGACTACTACTACGATGGAACCATCAGCTTCTCTACGGGCACGCCCGAGCCGCTCTCGTTCGACGGCATCGGCTACTCGCTCGTCTACCTCGCGTGCGAGACCGTGGTGTATCTGGTGATCGCCATTCTGCTGGACTACGCGACCAACAGCATTCGCGTCAAGATGTACTTCTCTCGCCGCGACATCAACGTGAATCGCAGCAAGGAGGTCGACAGCGACGTGCAGGCCGAGGAGGACCGCGTGATGCGCTCCAATCCCAAGACGACCGACGACGTGATCCAGCTCCGCCGTCTCCGCAAGGTGTACAACGGCGAGAAGGTCGCTGTGGATCGAATCACGTTCGGTCTGCAGCGCGGCCAGTGCTTCGGACTGCTGGGCATCAACGGAGCCGGTAAAACGACGACGTTCTCGATGATTTCGGGCGAGAACGCGCCGACGAAGGGAACCGCCGTGCTCTGCGGCATGGACATGATCGAAGAGCCCGTCAAGGTGCGTCGACTGCTCGGCATGTGTCCGCAGTCGCACGCTCTGCTCGATCTGCTGACGGTTCGCGAGCATCTGGAGCTGTTCGGGCGCATCAAAGGCGTGCCCGAGGCCGACATGAACGACGTGATCGAGTACCGAATGGAAGACATGGGCATCAAGCAGTACGAGAACAAGAAGGCCATGTCGCTCTCCGGAGGAAACAAGCGAAAGCTCTCCGTGGCGCAGGCTTTGATCGGCAACCCGCCGCTGGTTCTGATGGACGAGCCGTCGACCGGAATGGACCCGGTCTCGCGCCGCGCGCTGTGGGACATTATTAGCATGGTGTCCGCGAAACGCAAGGAATGCACGATTATCATCACGACGCACTCGATGGAGGAGGCGGAGGCGCTGTGCACCAAGGTGGGAATCATGGTGGGCGGTCGTCTGCGCTGCTTCGGCACGATCCAGGATCTGAAGAGCAAGTTCGGCCATGGGTACACGCTGAACGCGAAGTTCTGCGAGCCCACCGATGAGGAAGTGGAGGAAGTGAAGCGGACGCTGCCGAATAAGCACGAAATGCTGAACCGAACGGAGGTGTTCGAGGTGCTGTCCGCGTTGGAAACGACCGATTTGGTAGGGGATGGGGGAAGAAGCGAGGCGTAGAAGGAGGAAATCACGATTAATGGCTCGGGCTGGGTGATCGACACGGAGCTAACGAAGCGAGGAGCGGTGGCGAGTGGGCGAAGGAGGCAGGGATGATGACGTGTAGTGGACGTATTGATCGATTGGTGGATTACGGAAGTGCGGTACATCGACTATATGGACTTTTTGGAGGAGAAATTCAACGCGGTGGAGCTGCTGGAGCGCCACGGCAACATGGTGACGCTGCGCGTGGACACCAAGGGAATGAAGCTCTCCGCGATCTTCAGCTTCATGGAGGAGATCAAGAAGAAGTGCAGTATTGAGGAGTACTCCATCGCCCAGATGACGCTGGAGCAGATTTTCAACTTCTTCGCGTCGCAGCAGGAGGAAGAGACGCGCGAGATCCAGGGAGTGAACAAAAAGCGAAGCGCTGAGGCATCCAATTAATCAATTGATTCGTTGGTGCGCCTCCCTTTTGTTATTCTTGTTGTTGTTGTTGTTTCTTGTATGATTCATCGCCTGTTTCCAACAAACACACCGCAATAAAACATTCAAAACACCACCCTGTTGCCCCATTACATTTGCACGCCGATGCGTCTGAGCTCCTCCTGCTGCTTCTGCGTGATCTCCATGAACGCCTTCTGGAAGGTGGGATCGTTCTGATACACCATCATCGCAATCTGCAGGATCTACGCCTCATCCCGCCTCGCTTCTCCCCTACCGCCTTATCGATCTTATACTTCTTCAGGATCTCCTGGCGCTGCACGTCCAGCTTCTGCATGTAGCTCTCCATGATGCTCTGCTGCAGCTCCTCGTTCGTCTCCATTTGCTTCGCCAAGTCGGGGATCGACGCCGCGCCCAGCTCCTTCTGCTTCTCCTCCATCACCTCGCTCATCGTCGCGGCCGACTTGCCCACGATTTCTTCGCAGATCTTCATCGTCAGCTCCATCGTCATGAACTCGGGAAGCTACGCATCACATCATGCACACCACCTCGAGTACATCCGGGGCTTCCGGCTGCTCTCCGTTGAGCATCGCGAAGATGCTGCGCAGACGGTACGTCGCACGCTTGAAGTCGCGATCGTTTTGAAGAATCTGGTAGGACGCGTTGGCATCGTCTTTGCTAACGTTGTATCTCTTGTACGCTTCGTTTTCCAGCGTGTCCAGCATTAAAGTGAACTTGTTGTTCATTTCCTTGGCAACCATTTCGGGACTATAGGCAGGGTTCGTGGAGAGCTGCTCTTCGTATTTGGCCAGCTGGAGCATCACCAATTCAACACCCTCAGAGATCTCGCTATATAACTTGATCATCAATTCCTTTGAAACGGCTATTAATTAAAAGACACAGTGTTATCATACGCAAGTTGGGATACTCCTGCTTCGGCTCCTCAGAAACTTGGGGCTGCTACTCATAACACGCCATAAACAATAACTACAGTTTCCTCGTCTTCTTCCTCATCATCATCGCTGTCATCCTCGAAATATTTGTTCCAGACCCACCACACAGCAGCACCAATTACGGCAGTTCCTCCAGCAAGCAATAAAATCTTTTCAAGTTTGCTATCCATCTACAGCTAACAACCTTATAGATCAAGGTACAGTAAGAGTTTAATTTAAAGCTCTTCACAATATTTTGACCACAAAGGGTTTTTGCACGTACAGTCATTGTATGGTGATAATTATTATTAAATGTCCTTCTCTTTTTCGTCGTCCAATATTCATCGAATTTCTTGTTCATAACTACCAACAGAACGAATGTCAGTGAAGGTCATTGGAGCGACTATTTTATCACTTCATTTCGTATCTGTGCTAATTTCGTTTTCAGTGCGATTTCCCTCCTTCCAACCCATCGCATTATGCTTCTGTTTCACATCAAACACAAAACTGGGTGTCTAGGCCCAAAGCAGCTACATAACTCATAAGTCTGGCTTGAATCTTATCAACCTCTCTAGAATACGTTTCGTTATCTCTATAAAGCAGTTCTGCAATGATCATATGGGAGTGCTCAACTCCCTCCGTCTCCAACACCTTCTTCTTGCTCTTCTTCTCCGCATCGACGACCAAGTCCAAAACTTGTGCCTTAAACTGGTCATTTTCCTGCACCACCGCCCTCACCTGATCAGGAGAGAGCTGCGTCTGCTCGCAGAGCATGCGCAGGATCTGCTCGATGCATCGAACGCTCAAATCGCAAATCATTTGAAGGATGGAGATCAGTTTGTCGATCGTGAGAGACGCTGGAAGCACTGGCGGTTCGATCTGGGTGTTCTCGATTTGACTGAGGAGGAGTCGGCAGGGGTAGAGAGCCGAAACAAAGCGAGGATCGTTCATGGCGGAGTATGTCGCGAATGCTTTTTGGAACTGATCGTAGGTGAAGCCATAGACTTCGCACGACTACAAATGGTGCAGATCGACTGCAAATACCTGCTTTTCAACCACAGCCATAGTGCTTTTGAACTTTTCGGAAAGTTCCCTGTTAATATCCTCCTCATTCATTCCCTTTTGAACCATGTCGATGGCTATATTCCCCAAATGTTGCTATCTTTAAGAAATAGAGGTGAACCCTACGAAAACGATGATCATGGTCTCTGAGACATTGTTAATAATCTCAATTATATTATCGAGCGTAATGCCTTCGGTAGAACCATTCGAATTTGACTCATTCTCCTCGGAAGAGGTTTTCGCTTCCTCCTCTTTGGACTCCACTGTCTCTTCAGTCTGTTCTTTCTTCTACCCTAAATAGTTTAAAAGAATACATACCTCCTGATGTTTCGGTCCTACCCAAAAGTACCACATTGCTGCAGTTCCCAATGCAGCAGCGGCCATAATGCTACAACGAAGAATAACGGAAGTCAAATCCTTCATGGAGTTAGAAGAACAACAAAATGCTGATCACTTGTTTTCTGTGTGATGATCCTTTTTCACAACTGTCAGTCAGTAATCAAGTTCAAGAAGTTGTTGACCGCGCAAACAGTGTATGGGATGTGCTGTGTAGCGGGATATGCTGACTGGTTCGTCTTTGAGTTGATCTGTCACTGTAAAGGGATCTGACGATTTCGTACATCACTTCACCTCAAATTCGAGAACTCAACCGTGTTTACAGAAACATCGATTCTCCCACGGATATTCTTTCCTTTCCCACACACACAGTAGGTTTTTGAGAGGAAGTTGAGTGAGTAGTTCATAACCAACCCTGGGTACCTTCCTTCTGAGAAGAATACAGTAGGATCCACAGAATGACTGGCATCATAGATTCGCTCGCTAGGCGATATTTACATTGCTACAGATTATGTCGATCTTTATTGCAAGGAGAACAGTAGACATTGAATAGCAAGTTGATAATAGAAATTGATCGATTCGAACACTTCAATGTCCTCTATGCTCACGGAATCTCTCATTTACTCGGATTCGATCACGTAAAAGACGAAGACTACATCAAAATGTCCGCTTTCGAAAAGAAACTCTTGAAAGAATACCCCAAGTACATGTCAAAGTATGATCCTCTAGACCAAGGACTGTATGAATCCTGGAACTGGGACAAAGAATGTCCTGTATCGACTGTTTTTTGAAAACACATTCAACGGTTTTGCGGAAATATTGGCGGATTTTCGTTTGCAACTCTGCTCCCAGAAATTGATCTTGTTTTGATTTATTTTTTGCTAGATCTGTATACTATAGGGCGCTCTATATGGATATAAATCATATTCCGATTCCAACTTATTCAAAAGAAATGGAGAATGAATATGCAATGAGCTCAGTGCGACGATGTGCATTTATCAAGATAGACTCATTGGAGTTTGTTCGTTCCTTTGAATCGACTCCTGAGATTTTAATCACGATGAGCATGGAGAACCGTCGAAACAAGAAGCTCATGTCCCCTCGATTCTCTGCTAACAACGGAAATCCATTTTCCACAGACATCAACGCAGAATATCAGCTCATATACTCTCATAATGTGAAATATCACCGCGACCCAATTCTCCGGATCGCCGTTGAAAACACGCGGGCCAAAACCTTCTCCCGTCATCGATCGATTGCAGCGACCCTCGTTAGTATGCAGCAAATCGTGCAGCACGATTTCGACGGGACCCTGATGCTCTACGAGTGTCACGTCAGTGAGAAGACCGTGCTCGCTCGCATTCAGCTCCACATCCGCTCCCAGTACATCGATGACCAAGAAAGCTGGGAGGAAAACTCCGAAGACCCCGACGAGAACCCCGAGGTTTTTATTTTTATCGCCTCCCTCTCTCACCCTCAGAGCTCCGATAACGACATCTCGGGAGGTTTGGCGCGCTTCAGCCGCTCGATTCGAAACATTTTCCAGCCCGGAAACGGCTCCAGCGTCCCGCACAGCCACTCCCGCACGCCCGTCTACGACAGCATAGTCGACGGTCCTGTAGAACCCTCGGAAACCGCGGAATCCGCCGCTGCCGAAGCGCTGAGCGACGGCCTTGCGGCCATTTCGCCGGTTCGCGGGCACGACTTGGGGGTGGAAGTGGCTCGCCGCGCGTTTTCACACGTTCCGCAGCGTAGTCGCCACGCTTTGTACACGAGCGACGGAGGCAGCAGCGTGGGATCCCACGGATTTGAATGGGAGTCGACGCCCACGATGCTGCTGGAGGAAGAAAAGGCGGAGAAAAGCGATGGAAACGCGCTGCGGGCACTGCAGGCGCTGCAGGCGCAGCTGGACCGGTTTGAAGAGGGCGTAAAACGCGAGGAGTGGAGGCCAGTGGTGATGCTGGTGGAAGACACGGCGAATCTACGGGTGCTGGCGCAGTACTTAACGAGCAATGTGGGGAATGAGGGCGGAGTGCGAGGTAGGAAGGGAGCTTCGGGGAGATGTGGCGGTGGAATTTGTTCGTGGTGCCGCTGGAGGAAATGAGCGGATGCATCCGATCGGTGTATTCGATCTACTCGGAGAAGTATCTTGGCTGCAAGGCGAGGGTAAGAAGTGTAGAGCGAACGAGCACGATCTCGAGCCGCTTCGCTGCCTGTTTTTCGGAAGCGACGCGTACGCCTGGGGGCTGCTTCTCTCCTACGTCATGCTGGTCAACGAGAACCCCAACGAATCCTTCAACCTCCAGTTCCTCCCTCTCTGTTTCCCCCGTTTCTCCCTTTTTCATTCTAGCTCTCTCCTGCTCGCTCACGCATCTCCTCGCCGCGCAGAGCCCTCAGTTCGCCTCTTCCGTCCACACCTTCCACCAGTTCATTACCGCGCTCGCTTCTTCGCGCAGCTGCGATGGCCAGAAAGGGCTCTGGAGCAACTACCACATCGCAGAGCAGCTCGACATGCTGCTCCGCGCGGACTACACCTCCCTCCCTGTCGCCGTGAAGGAAGCCTCCATCCAGCGAAGCGGGAGCGAGCCGTCTGGCGTGCTGCAGGACGCGGCTGTGCTCCGATTGCTCAGCAATGACCACGGAAACGGAACGAAACTGCGCGTGCCGTTTTTGTCGACGGTGTCGATCGGCTCGCAGCTGCCGTTCTCGCGGAAGCTGTACACACACTTGCTGAAGCGGCTGCAGGAAGAAGAGAACTCGGTCGTGCTGCCGAATCTGTTTAATCTGTTCCCCACGAAGCCGGAGAAGCCGTTTGCGGGACTGCTGGATTATTGGCTGTTGGACGGAGAGCAGAAGCAATGCTCGGTGAAGGCGCGCGATGTGGTGGATTTGGTGGTGATTGAGAGACTGCCGCAGACGGAGGATTACGAGGGAGAACGCGGGTTCTCGCTGTCGTTGTCGGTGCCGTTGGCGAAGCTGACGAATAAAAAGAAGAAGGTGTTTACGGGGAAGTATTCGTTCCAGGAAGCGGAGAGAGACGAGGCGACGCAGACGTTTTCGTGCGTGGTGGGGAAGACGGTGGTGACGATGAACGATCCTGGATGTGTGTTTATCGACAGCGTGGAGTTCGGGAATGTTACGTTTATGACAGTGTCGAATCGCTATTTCTCGCGTGTCAAATCCTTTCCGCTGAATCTTCCGTTCAGCTCTTAAGAAGTGTTTGAGACAAACAAGCAGTGTTTAAATTGATATTGATTCACGGAACATTCGTTCATTCATTCATTTATTCAAGAATGGTCAACCATTCAAACCAAACCCCATTATTACATCACCCCCTTAAACATACAAAGAATCGATCTGCTTCTCGTAGTGCTGATGCACCACATTTCGCTTCAGCTTCATCGTAGCCGTCAGCTCGCCATGGCCCAAAGATAAATCTCGCTCCATCAAATACCACTTTCGGATTTCCTGAGCACGGCTGATTGCCACTTTGTTATAACCATCGATCGCTTCTTGAATCATTTTGTTCACAGCAGGATCGTTTTTAGCTTCCGCTACAGTGGTCGCAGAACCGCCATTCTCCTTCAGCATGCTGATCACAGTGGGCAGCAAGTCATCGCTGGGCTCGCCAGTCATGGGATTCACGACCGTTTTCAACGATACCAGTGCGGACAAGAACTTTCGCTTATCTCCCACAACGACGCAATTGGCCATAATGGGGCAGAGCTCCAAAATCTTGTTCTCAATCGGCACGGGCGAAACGTTTTCTCCTCCAGCGGTGACAATGAGTTCCTTCAGACGACCGGTAATCTTCACGAATCCGTCCTTATCGATGACGGCCTGGTCTCCAGTGTGCAGCCATCCGTCCTCGTCGATCGCTGCTGCGGTCTCTGCGGGCATCTTCATGTATCCCATCATGACCAAGCGTCCCTTGAACTGGACTTCCTGCGTGTCCGGGTCGGTTCGCGCGTGGATTCCGCGCATTACGCGGCCGGTCGTGTACATTCTCCATTCCTGGTTGGTGTCCGTATTGAAACAGATGGGAGCGGTTCCTTCCGACTGGCCGAGCACATCGAAGATCGGCATTTCCAGCGAGGCGAAGAAGTTGAGCGTGTCGTCGGTCACAGGAGCCGCGGAAACAGCCAAGCAGCGCGCTTGGTCGAGTCCGAGCTTCTGACGAACGGGATCGAACACGAGATATTTGGCCAGCGAGTACGTGTATCCGTAGTACGGCTTTTCTCCGTACTGGCGAGACGTCGCAGCTTGATAACCGACCGAGCGGCACCACGAGATCAGCAGCGATTTCAAATACTACGAATAAGAGAAGACAGGAAGAGCGACCGAAGCCTGAGCGAAGGAGCTGCGAATGCTCTCCGCGAATTTCTCCCACACACGAGGAACAGCCACGAAGAAGGTCGGTCTGGCCTTGTGGAGCGTCTTGATGAGGGTTCCACGGAGAGCGTTGGGATCAGCGAGGTAGACAGTGACCTTGTTGCAGACGGGGATCATCGTATCCACGTACTGCGCAGCGATGTGGTTCATTGGAAGGAATGACACAAAACGATTCTCCAATCCTTGGAGATGGATGTAGTAGTCCACGTTTTGCGCGTTGTACACACAACTGTCGTGAGAACACATCACAGCCTTCGGATTTCCGGTCGTTCCCGAGGTGTAGATTAAAGTTGCACAGTTTCCTGGCTTGATCGCTTTCGCTCGGTTCAATATCACTTCATCAGCAATATCGTTACCAAGATTCATCCAATCATTCCAAGTGTATACTTTTGCATATTGATTGTCTTCCACGTTCGGCACTCCATCTTCTGGCCAATATACAATAATGGCCTTCAATTGAGGAAGCGATTCTCGAATGGAAGCGATTTTGGCAGCATTTTTGCCACCTTGACAAACGCAAATCTTGGCTTCTGAATGATTGAGAACGTATTGACAGGCGTCAGGAGAGTTCGTGGTGTAAATACCCGCGGGTACGCATCCCGAAATCCAAGTTCCTTGGAGAGAAAAGAAATACTCCGCCGAGTTGAATCCAATCATGGCGGATACATCGAGCGGCTGCATGCCGATTTTAACACAGGACTTGGCAAATCTAAATTCAAATCATCAAACAAGTCATTACCTCATCGCTTGCTGGAAATACTCACCATATGTGTACTTGACATCGTTCTTATCAACGACGGCCAGTGTATCTTTCCAGGCTTCACAGTTTTTTATGAATTCCTACGCATCATATTCAAAAAATAATGCATACGGCAGCCAGGGTTGATGGTTCCGGGTTGAAATCGCAGTCATAGTTGCGTTCAATCTCCATGACATCGTGGATATCGGCTGTTCTATACTTGTTTCGGATGCTCATCTTGCTTTCGAAAAAAAATTTGGTTTTTCCAAACTTTGAATTTATGAATAATAGTTGATGGGTTGATGACGTCATCATAGTTTTGTTGACCTGGGCGATTTTCAATTGATCCCCGCGATTTTGATTTTAGGCGTAATCTTTTTTATAAATGATGTCATGGAAAACCCATCATTCTATTATGGAAAAAGGAATGGTGCAAAATGAAGCGATGTGTTTTTAACAAACAATATTCATCTAAACATACAAAGAATCGATCTGCTTCTCGTAGTGCTGATGCACCACATTTCGCTTCAGTTTTAGTGTAGCTGTCAACTCTCCGTGACTGAGCGACAGGTCTCGCTCCATCAAATACCACTTTCGGATTTCCTGAGCACGGCTGATTGCCACTTTGTTATAACCATCAATTGCTTCTTGAATCATTTTGTTCACAGCAGGATCGTTTTTAGCTTCCGCTACGGTAGTCGCAGAACCGCCATTAGCCTTAATGATACTAATGACTGTAGGGAGTAAATTCTGGCTAGGTTCGCCAGTCATGGGATTCACGACCGTTTTCAACGATACTAATGCGGACAAGAACTTTCGCTTATCTCCCACAACGATGCAATTGGCCATAATGGGGCAGAGCTCCAAAATCTTGTTCTCAATCGGCACAGGAGCCACATTCTCTCCTCCAGCGGTGACAATGAGTTCCTTCAGACGACCTGTGATTTTGATAAACCCATCTTGATCGATGACGGCCTGGTCTCCAGTGTGCAGCCATCCTTCATCATCAATCGTGGATGCAGTCTCTGCGGGCATCTTCAAATAGCCCATCATGACCAAGCGTCCCTTGAACTGGACTTCCTGGGTATTTGGATCGGTGCGTGCCATAATACCTCGCAAGGGACGACCCGCAGTGTACATTCTCCATTCCTGATTGGTATCAGTCTGGAAGCAGATGGGAGCGGTTCCTTCCGACTGACCAAGAATATCGTAGATCGGCATATCCAGTCTAGCGAAGAAGTTGAGCGTGTCGTCGGTCACAGGAGCCGCGGAAACGACCAGGGTCCGTGCCTTATCCAATCCCAGCATCTCACGCGCAGGATCGAACACATAACGCTTCGCAAGGTTATAGAACATCTTCTTGTGGAACTTCTTTCCATACTGACGAGTTATGGCAGTCTGGAACCCAATCTTCATTGCTTGCTTGATGAACATCTTCTTAAAGCACGAAGCATGGGCGAAGGAGCTGCGAATGCTCTCCGCGAATTTCTCCCACACACGAGGAACAGCCAGGAAAAATGTTGGTCTCGCTTTACGTAGCGTATTGATAAGAGTACCACGGAGAGCATCCGGATCGGCAATGTAAACAGTGATTTTGTTACATGTCGGCATCATAACATCAATAAACTGAGCAGCGATGTGGTTCATTGGAAGGAATGACACAAAACGATTCTCCAAATTAAAGTGAGCATAATAGTCCAGGTTCAAGGAATTATACACACAACTATCGTGAGAACACATCACAGCCTTCGGATTTCCGGTCGTTCCCGAGGTGTAGATTAAAGTTGCACAGTTTCCTGGCTTGATCGCTTTCGCTCGGTTCAATATCACTTCATCAGCAATATCGTTACCAAGATTCATCCAATCATTCCAAGTATATACTTTTGCATATTGATTGTCTTCCACGTTCGGCACTCCATCTTCTGGCCAATATACAATAATGGCCTTCAATTGAGGAAGCGATTCTCGAATGGAAGCGATTTTGGCAGCATTTTTGCCACCTTGACAAACGCAAATCTTGGCTTCTGAATGATTGAGAACGTATTGACAGGCGTCAGGAGAATTTGTAGTATACACACCCGCGGGTACGCATCCCGAAATCCAAGTTCCTTGGAGAGTGAAGAGCAGCTCCGCCGAGTTGAATCCAATCATTCCAGTCACCTCAAGCGGCTGCATACCGATTTTAACACAGGACTTGGCAAATCTAGACTCATAGAGATGCAATCACTACCTACCTCAAAGCATTCTGGTAATACTCACCATATGTGTACTTGATATCGTTCTTATCAACAATAGCAGGAGTGTCTCTCCAAGCATCGCAATTCTTGATGAATTCCTATGCATAAATAACCGTAATTTGCCTATACGGCAGCCAGGGTTGTCGGTTCCGGGTTGAAATCGCAGTCATAGTTGCGTTCAATCTCCATGACATCGTGGATATCGGCTGTTCTATACTTGTTTCGGATGCTCATTCCTGTGTTAAAATAATAATGACACTTTGCGGAGATTTTATCATGTCTAAGAGTGTTGGAATGATGACGTCATTACCGAAGAGTGTACACTAACTGGAAAAGTCAGTATTCCCGCGGTAATTATGCTAAAGCGTATGACAACTTGTGTATGATGTAATAATTATGGAAGCAGTTTACTATGGCTTCCAAAATTCTTGACTTTCGGTAGAATGATTGTACTGAATAGTGTAGAAAAAAAGAAATCCGTTGAACAGAATTCTTTCACTCTTTTTTACTCTTCGACTATTTTCTTGTGAAAATGATTGTTAATTGCCCTACATGTCATTATACGATAGATGTGCAGCCTAATACTCCTCCTTTCTATGTATCCTTGTCATCTTTTTTGTAAAGTGTAGTGTCCTGGTTGTTCGAGCGTGATTGACAGTTTGCTCCTATCTGTGCGTAATATGTAGCGAATTCTCTCCAGCGGCAGCCAGGAATGCCTATGACTCCAGCACAGAATGTCCTTGGTGCTGGCATGGACGTTAATAGGGCATTCTATACGGTATCTCAAAATAGGTAAGGTTCAAAGGAGAGTTTTGAACTAGTCCTCAAATCAGCTGTTCAAAGCTGGAGCAAGCGATGAAGCTGCTGGGTTACAACATTTCTCCGGACGTTTGCAACCAGCTGACCATTAAGCACGATAAAGATCGCAGTGGTCTGTTGAACATCAACGAGTTTGCTTTGATTGTCTCGGAAGTGAACCAATGGAGAGATGCTTTCTGCTTCTTTGATTCAGACCGCTCGGGTCGTTTGGATTACCAAGAGTTTAGTAATGCTCTGTTGCGCATTGGGTATCGTTTCCCACCTCAGCTTGTGACTTTGATTTTTTCGAATTTGGATTCAAATCATGCGGGTTATCTGGATTTAGACGCGTTTATCAAAGCTTGTTCTGTGGTCCAAATTGTGATTATGAAAATGCAGCAGTATGATCCCCAGAAAAAGGGAATCGTTACGGTGGATCTCAACCAGATGCTAGATATTGTGTTTTCGATTCCGATGTGAGTTGTTTGTTAGCAACAGTTTTTCGTGGGATTGCGAGCTTTTTTTGTGACTGCGTGCATCCCATGTTTTTTGCTGATCACCCGATAAATAAAATCGAGGTTTGACAAAAATGGGATGTATCCAGCCAAAAAACCCTCCTATTTTTGGTTTCTTCATGCTTTTACATTCAAACAGATAGTTGTACTGTTATAGCTGAGACTGCGTCAGATTTTATAACAGTTTGTTTTTGATCCAAGAATTATAATATAGGATTATTATTCTCAATTGTCATACAAACCCTAGAAATGGAATTTTTATCCTATATTCGTGAGCATGGACTCTTGCCCATGCCGATGTTAAAGACATTATGTGAGTGCGTAAGGCAATTTCCATTGGGTGAACTCCAGGTTAAAGAGATACTTATTGAAGAGAACACAGTCCAGCCCGTGAGCAGTCCAGTAAATGTGAGTTTTTCTTGGTGGAGGGTGTTTTTTAGATTTGTGGAGATATTCATGGCCAATACAGCGACCTCCTGGAGTTATTTAAGGTGGGAGGCGAAATCCCCCAAAATAGTTACATTTTTATGGTGAATTGTGGCTGTTCCCCGTGATGCGTAGGGAGACTACGTTGACCGCGGATATGCCAGCTGTGAGACCTTTGAATTGCTTTTATGTTTGAAACTCTGGTCCGGACCGACTTTCCGTTTTATGCGTAGTTATCCCGACAAAATCACACTTCTACGCGGAAATCACGAGACGCGTGAGATCACCCGCATCTACGGATTCTACTGCGAAATTTCGCACAAGTACAAGAGCCCCGATCCATGGACATGGTTTACCGAGGTCTTCGACTATCTAGGCGTTGCAGCCGTACACTCCTCTTCTCTCCTCCCTTTATTTTTAGCTCGTCGACAATCGCATCCTCTGCATCCACGGTGGTCTTTCTCCCTCCATCAACACAATCGACCAAGTAAAAAACCCCTAGATTTCTGTCATTCCAAGATTCGAACCATCCCGCGAACCGAAGAAATCCCCTCTTCTGGCCCCTTCTCGGACTTGGTTTGGTCGGACCCGGACAATGTGGATCGGTTCCGTGAGTCTCCCCGCGGGGCAGGCTTCGTTTTTGGGGAGAGCGCGGTGAACCAGTTCACGGAAACGAACGGACTGGAGCTGATCTGCCGCGCGCATCAGATGGTGCAGCAAGGATTCCAGTATATGTTCTCGCGGTCGAACCTGGTGACGGTGTGGTCGGCGCCGAATTACTGCTATCGGTGCGAGAACGTGGCGTCGGTGCTGATGCTGGACGAGAATTTGAATAGGACGTTTAAAGTCTTTAGGGAGGTAGGAGAGAGAGCGATGTGGCATGTAGAATAAGGACGAGCAGGCAAAGGAGAGTCGATCTGGTAACTTCGTGTTCTTTAGCTTTTAGTGATATAAGAATATTGGGTTGTTTGTTGGAGAGTGGAGGAAGAGAGAAGAGTGATGGAGCGTAGCAGACTTTTTCTGCTTAATCTTTTTCTATCAGCGGTCGATTCGTTCAATGCCCCTAACACCATTTCAACGTCTTATGGTTGCGGTGCACAAAGTTATGGTAGAACGCACCATTCTCAATGTTCTTATTCCGAAAACGCTTCTTGAGGCACTCAGTGTTCTAGAGATTTCTGGATCTAACACATAGACGCAAGATTGCACCACAACTCAATTCTGCAAGTCACTGAATAAATGTGCTATTAAAACAATCATTCTCACAAACCGGAGCAGCGTTTTCTCCTATTCGTACAATGATATCTAGGTTGGGGTTGATTTCGAGCAGTATTTTTACTTCCTCCTCGCATTTCCACTAGATTCTACTGGGACGAAAAGAACGCTCCGTCCATTCTACACTCCATTCTAGTAAATGTCTTTTTGGTGTGTTTTCTCCAGATCTCCAACAACTGCTCGCTCACGCACCCCACTCACTTATCCATTACTCCCAACACTGTTTATATCGATAGCAAGCCAGTCCCTGAAAGCAGGTATCCTTTTTACCTTTCCTCCCTTCTTCCTCAGTTCAATCCACTCTCTCAAAGAGCTTCTTTCCTGCCTCACCGGGTGTCCTCGCATGGAGAGCGATCTCTTCCTTCCTTTCGGGTTCATCCCACTTCCCCTCTCGCAGATTTTCGCTCTCACAAGTCTTTCGTTTTGCTCGGTAAACTTGAAACCCTTCTCTCCAGGACATGTTCTCGTGATTCCTCGCAGACCTGTTCCCACGCTCGATGATTTAACCGACGAGGAAATGACGGATTTGATGCTTCTCGTGAAGAAAACGGCGCGGATGCTGAGGAAAGTGCATCATGCAGATGCAGTGACGGTGTCGGTGCAGGACGGACCGGCAGCGGGGCAGACGGTCCCTCATGTAGGTTTTTTATGGGTGACGTGGATGTGAATTGTGTAGGTGCATGTTCATGTGATTCCGAGAGTGTTCGGAGACATTCCAGGAGATGCGATTTATGAGATGATAGAGAGAGCAGACCTCCATCCATCGATTTCAAATAAGAATACGGCAAGTAGGGGCGGAGATGGACTGTGAGAGTAGAACCGGATGTAGATCGCGTTCCTCGGAGTGAAGAGGAGATGCGAAAGGAAGCCGAGCAGTATATGCAAGCTTTTCAAAGTGTGGTATACAATTGTTTGTTGTATAAAAGATGCTACCGTTCTGTTAATATAGCTTGAGTATCTGATAAGTTGTAGATATTGTTATTGGAGTCGGGATCTGCGTTGGCGGTGTACTGATAAAGAGACGGATTGATAGTAGATTCTCGGACTTCGATGGTTATTCTCTCCAATTATAAAATCCTTTTCACAGAAGAAGCACGAAATCGTGCAATCAGAGACAGTGTTCTTCGATCCTATTTCCTCGTACGTGCCTTCTATTTGGCTTATGAGCAAAAGAAAATCCATCAAATTCCCATCTCTTTTCGATAATCCTTCCGTTACACTCAGTGTAATCATCCCCGCATACAACGAGCGTCTCCGCCTCCCTAAGATGCTCGATGAATGCATCCCCTATCTAAAATCGCGCTCCGAACGTGACAAGTAGTCAAGACCGCCTCTTTTTCCTTAGAACTTTCACTTGGGAGATCATTATTGTGGACGACGGGAGCATGGACGGCACAAAGGAGCTTGCCTACGAGTACATCAAGCGCTACTCCAATCCCAACATCCGTGTCCTTGTAGAGGCGCATAACCGAGGTAAAGGAGGGGCCATTCGTCTCGTAATAACTTCAAAATGGATTTGAAATAGGGAGTTCTGTCGTCTCGAGGAGAACGCATCTTGATGGCGGATGCCGATGGTGCGACGACGTTTTCAGAGGTAGAGAAGTTGGACGCGCAGTACGAAGCGGGAGCTGACGTAGTCGTCGGTTCTCGCAACCACTTGAAGGAGAACGCCGTTGCGCAGGTTGATGATGTGGCGGAAGAGACTGAAGGGTAGCGCGCATGGTACCGAAACCTTCTAATGTACGGATTCAATTTCCTGGTGAAGGTTTTATCGGGAATTCACGGGATCTACGACACCCAATGTGGATTTAAGCTGTTCTCGAGGAGAGTGGCGCGGTGCGTTTTTCCGTCGCTCCACTTGGAGAGATGGGCGTTCGACATCGAGATTTTGTATGTGGCGAGCCGCTTGGGTTTCGTGATTAAGGTAGGGTCGAAAAGGCGCATCTATTATGTAGGAAGTGCCTGTGAAGTGGGTAGAGATCGAGGGAAGCAAAGTCAGCATCATCCAAGCTTCTCTCACCATGTTCCGAGACATGGTCGCTACACGACTTGCCTACTTGCTATCAATTTGGGAGCTGCCAAAGCGGGATTCACTAAAGCTAGATTGAGGTTTCTGTGTTTATTCGAACAAATTTTGCGAATTAAACCCGCCTGTTGATTTGATTGGACGGTCAATCGGGGAAACGGTAGTTCTAAGATAATAATCATAATATATTTATTGATTGGAAGCTATGAGCGCTGAAAGACCTGTTTATTACCTGGACGGAGAGTCTCTGACCCCCGAGATGGTGATTCTCGAAATGGCGGATAATGTGTAGTTGATGGAGCTTGGATATGGAAAGTACAAGCTGGATCTTAGCAAGGAGGCTTGGGCCAAAGTGGACGTAGTGTTTCGAAAGAAGATTGAGAATTAGAATGGAAGAAAGGTCGTGGATGACATTGTGGAAAATAAGATTGTAAAGTACGGAATTAACACCGGATTTGGAAACTTCAAGGATGTCGTCATTCCTCCCGAATCCGTCGAGGAGTTGCAGGTGAATCTGATCCGATCCCACGCTTCTGGAGTGGGTGAGAACCTCAGCTACGAGCGTTCGTTGCGCATGCTCGCTCTGCGCTGCAACGTCCTCGCCAAGGGCCACAGTGGTGTGAGCCACGAGTCTCTGCAGCGCGCTTTGGGTAGGTTCTTTCCTCAAGCTATTCGATGCAGACTTCTTCAACGCGGGCGTTGTGTCTGCGATTCCCCTGAAGGGAACCGTCGGCGCTTCTGGCGATCTGGCCCCTCTGGCGCACCTGTGTCTGGGTCTGATCGGTGAAGGCGAGTCGTGGGACCCTGCCGACCACCAGATCAAGCCGACTGCGGAGCTGGTGGCGAAGTACGGTTTGACCCCCGTGCACCTGCGTGCGAAGGAGGGTCTGGCGTTCATCAACGGCACGCAGTTCATCTCCACGCTGGGCGCGGAGGCGCTGGTGCGCGCTGAGCACGCCGCTCTGGAGGCCGATGTGATCTGCTGCATGACGTTCGAGGCGCTGCGCGGCACGACGGCGGCGTACCGCCACTTCATCCACGACGCGCGCAAGCACGGAGGCCAGCGCGCCGTGGCGCAGCGCATGCGCGCGTGCCTGAACAACCCGCTGTACTCGAGCGAGATCTTCGAGAAGCTGACCGACAAGAAGAAGGTGCAGGACTCCTACACGCTGCGCTGCGCGCCGCAGGTGCACGGCATTGTGCACGACACGCTGGCGTTCGTGCGAGGCATCCTGACCACGGAGCTGAACAGCGCGACCGACAACCCCATGATCTTCCGCGACGATGACGGCGAGCCCGTGATCATCTCCGGAGGCAATTTCCATGGCGAGTACCCCGCCAAGGCGCTGGACTACCTGGCCATCGCCATCCACGAGATCGCCAACATCTCGGAGCGCCGCATTGAGCGTCTGGTGAACACCTCGCTGGGCGGCCTGAACCCCTTCCTCACCCAGAAGGAGCGCGGCGGTCTGGACTCGGGCTTCATGATCGCGCACTGCTGCGCTGCTGCGCTGGTGAGCGAGAACAAGGTGCTCACCCACCCCGGATCCGTGGACTCCATCTCCACTTCCGCCGGACAGGAGGACCACGTGTCCATGGGAGGATTCTGCGCGCGCAAGGCGCTCGAGGTCACCGAGAACGTCGAGAACGTCATTGCCATCGAGCTGCTCGCCGCCTGCCAGGGAGTGTGGCTGCTGGGAGAGAAGCCCACCGAGCCCATGCAGAAGGTGTACGACCTCGTGAGAGAGCACGTGACGCCCTACACGCGCGACCGCTTCATGAGCCCCGACATCAAGGCTGTGCACAAGCTGGTGAAGGAGAACAAGGTTTGGGAAATCGTAAAGCCCTATATTGAAAAGTATCAGGAGTACGAGAAGGAGCATGGCGAGAAGTAAAAACAGAAAGGATGATATGAAGGTGTGTTTGTTGATATGAAAGGAAAGGAAAGGAAAGGAAATACTGTGGAACGAAAAAAAGAAAAGGGAATCTCAGTCTTTGCTCGTTATGTATTCGTTATGTACATTGTAAAACGAACAAAAAAACAAAGAGGAAATCGCACAAAAAACCGGAAAAAAAACGATGGAAAAGTGGAATTCCACTAATAATTTGATGTTTGTTGATATTCTTATCAATTCTAACCTGTTACTATAATTGTTATTTAGTATGGTATGAGCGAAAATAGTGATAGTTCTGTATATAGAAGTCATGCAGGTAGTCAGCAGGCATTTTGCTGACATTTTAGACGCAAATACTTCCAAAAGCCGAATTATAGGAAGATGGTCTTCCGATGAGCAAGACTTGTTTATAAAAGGGATCTTTTTATATGGGAATGATTGGAGGAGCATTACCAGTCTCATAAACACTAGGACGATGGCGCAAGTAACTAAATTCCTATATGGTGAGATGTAGGTGCGAAGTCATGCGCAGAAGTATTATTTTCGTGCTAAAAGGGAAATGGACTATATTCTTGTGGAACAGGAATTCTTTAAATCATTAAGAAGTCGGGAATTTGAGGCAAATAAGTCGAAACTACTTCCTTTTGTTCTGGACTATTCGGCTTTGGGTATATCCGAGTTTGCTTTTTCTATCTTTCTCTCTGATAATTAGTCTCCAGACGGTGTTCGAAATAGCGAGCCTGTACCTCCTGCGGAAGCGCTCTCGTTATTTGCTACATTGTCACAAAAGGAAGAACCGTGCTACGCACAGTCGTCTTCACTCAATTGAATGCTCTCTACTCTACTTAGTTTACGTCGTTTATCACAATCCAAAGCTTTCCGATCAATGCAAGCTCTTCATCATTTCTCCGATTCTCTGGTCTCTCCAGATTCGGACACCTTCTTTTATGTCTTTCTCGGCTCGCACTCTCCTCCGGCAATTCAACCATCCCCCAGTATCCCTGCTCCTTGAAGACATGCCACTCGATTCTGCGTTTTCTTCTTCGAATTCCAGCCACGTGGTCGATTCTTCGCGTCCGAATTCCACTCCGAAGGAGCAGAGAACGGCCGTCCCCTTCCCAATGCCAGTGAGTTTGCTTGGAGAGCGGTCGTCGATTCGCTGCAGACCGATCGGCTCTTTTTCTAAAGCGTCGATCGGTCCGAACCCAAGACTTGCAATGCCTTCAAGGCCTGCGTTGCTGCCGTCAGGACGCTCTCATGCTGCGTCTGGTGGCACGGCGCCGTTACCCGACTACAAAACCTTGGTTCCTTTTCCCAAATACGCGACCAGTCCTTCTATCGATTACTCTATTGATCTTTCATCGGAGCTTCAACAATCCGCGAACCCATTCAGCCAATCCTTGAAACCATCCTTTCTTTCTTCTGATCACTTTATTCGTCCCTCTTTTGACCACTTTACTCTTTCTACGCATTCGAAGCCCGCGGCGTCGCCGACCCAGCCTTCCCCCAGCGGTTCTCCTTCTTCTTCTCCTTCTTCTTCTTCTTCTTCTCCTCCGAGTCCAATTTCCATTCCTTCCTCTCCTTCCAATTTTTCCTCTTTTTCTCTCTCTTTCTCTTCTTCTTCTTCCTCTTCTTCCTCTTCTTCCTCCTCTTCCTCCTCTTCCTCCTCTTCCTCACCTCCTTCTCCATCCAGTGCTTTCAATCCTTCCATCATTCTCCCTTCCCTCCTATTGGATAATCGCTCGATGGGGCAGTTCGAGCCTGGCCTGCCGTTCTGTGTGGTGACATTCGATCGTTCGGAGCTGCTCGCCTACGCACAGCGATTTACGGATGTGTATCGTCTATGTCCCGTGACCAGCAGTCGCGTGGTTCGCTTTGTGCCCACGAGCAATTGCGACGATCCTGCCTCGAAGCACTTGTTTTGCGTGAAGAGAGAGGAGATCCACCTGAAGCGATTACCTCTGGCTGAGCTGATAGGGAAGGACGGGCAGACCGCTGGTTTTTTGGTTCCCGTGGCGAAGAAATTGGCCCAGGTACCGAATGCGGTGCTGGTTCCCCAGATTTCGAATGCTGCTAACTGTATATTCTATTCGTTGAACATTCCCTTGCGAACAGGAAACTCAACGTCCTGCCTTGTTTGTTCCAACACACAACCAATAAGAAGAGACACCAAATTGAGTTTCCTTGCAGTGTTTACAACTTGGGGAAGAGCGCTTCACTCTTCAGGTTCAGCTTGGAGCCGCGAGGCTGGTTGCGTCCCTGTCCGCGACGCTCTCCGCGGCGCTCGCCACGGCGCTCTCCATTGCGTCCCTCTCTCTTCTGCTCTCCGCTTCCCTCGCGGCGCTCCTCGAAGCGGCGTCGTTCGCGAGGCACGAAGTTGCGGGGGGTTCCCTCCACCGCCTGGAAGTTCAGGATCACCTCGGTGGGCTTCTCCTCGGCCTTCACCTTGCGCTCCTTCTTCTTGATTCCCTCCGCCTAGTGCCTCATCGTCTTCACGCGAGTCCTACCACAAACAGATCCTCCTCGATCTTCTCGATCTTCTCCGTCTTGGGCTCCTCCACAGTGCGAGGAGCCTTCTTGGGAGGCAGATTGCCAAGCTTCGCCTTGCGCATCGCCTCGTACTCTTCCAGGGTGAACACCTCAGGTCTGGGCTCCGTCTCCTTCTCCTCCACTTCCTCCACAGGGCTCGTCTCCAGAGGCTCCGTCTCAGCTCTCCTACAGATAAGCGGTTTCAACGAGTGTTGTGTACAATTGCTCGTTCACATCCTTGGGGTTGCCCCAGTTTCTGTTGCCAGAACCGTTCTTGGGGATCTCGCGACTACGAATCAACCACCACAACCAAGCCTTACCCACGACCCGTTCCACTGTGGCGCTCAAACTCACGCTTACCAGGGCGGAGATTAGCCACACTATCCAATCACGAAATACACCTATTCCGTACCGCTTATCGTTGCCACGAAGCTTCTTCTCAGTCTTCACCTCCTTCTGCTCAATAACTTCCTCTTCCTCGTCGTAGAGTGATGCAAAACGATTCTCACTGGACTACAGCAATATTAGCAACGCAAGCTGGGATCGCGGCAACTGCCTGCCGCTTATCAAAAGCAAATGGCTCATTTCCCTTTACTTACCATCCTTCTTAAAAAATACACAAATCTAATGAATAGATTTATTCTATGTGTGACTAGCAACTCTAAATTCCCTCGCGGAATAAAAGCAGTTATTACTCTTATACGTTTTCCACATCCACATTCCGTAGTGAACTCTTTCTATTTCGGTTATCTTATTGGTTTGATCCTTGGAATCTTATTGAATGACACCATCAAGACTTGAAGAAGCAGAATCAGGAAGGAATTGGAAATCTGCCACCAGTGATGTTTATAGGTAAATCAAATGTATAAATGTAGTATATCAAGAATTCAATGTCTCAAACAAAAGTTGAAACATGAGCACGCCTGCGATAAGTCAAATGCGGATCTTTGAGTTACGAAGTCAATTAAAAGACTATGGGCTCTCTTCGTCTGGAACGAAACAAGATCTGATTGCACGTTTGACTAAATATCTCGAGGAACATGAGGGTGGAAAGGCTGCAAAAGAAGAGAGTGAACCGATTCAACAAGAAAAAGCAGCAATTCCAGAAGGTAGAGTTTTGCGTCCTATTTGTTACGTCTAAGTACCTATTTCGGAGCCAACAGAGGATAAAGGAAAAGAAATTGAGCAATCTACTCCTTCACAGGATGTACTTCCTACAAAGGAGGAAATACCTTCTACGATCTCAAATCAGGAAGGAGCAGTATACAAAGAACATGGAACGAATGTTTCTTCGGTGCTTGTACCGCAAGAAGTAGCTGAGGCTGTGCCTATTGCTGAGCCTCAGCCTGCAACTGCACCTACGACGGTACCTGTACCTGTACCTGTACCTGTACCTGCTCCTGCTCCTGCTCCTCAGTCTGGATCTGGGTCTGGATCTGTAACAGATTCAGAACTTGCATTAGAGTCTGTACCTATGGCTGTACAAGAATCTGTTCCTGTTCCGGTATCTACTCCAGAGCAAAAGCCTGAAAAAGAGATCGTGAACGACGTGGATACAAGCCTGGCTATCCTGGAAGCACGCTGCAAACGTTTTGGAATCCCGTTTGACCCCGAGAAGCACAGACCCAAAGCGCAAACGGTCCAAGCTCCCCAACGCCAGCAGAACAATGTATGAGAGAAATGGCATTGATGTTGTAGTACAGTCAGAAACTCTTGGAGCGACGCAAGCGGTTCGGCGCTACGACGACAGAGGAGGAGAAGAAGAACCAGAGGAAGCAGGATAATAATAAGAAGAAGAAGGAGAGAGAGAATACAAAGCAGCCGGCGTCGAATCGACGCATGTTCTCTGGAATGAGTGAAGAAGAGAAGAGCAAAATGGAGGCTCGCATGAAGCGTTTTGGTTTATCGGTACAATAGTGTCGTATGTTTGTTTGGAATCAATACTTCTTGTTTCTCCTTACAGCAAAGAATTATTCTTCTTCACATAACTAGTTGCTATGCTCTCAAAGCTGCTTCTCTCTAAGTATAGATCACTCTGAATTACTCTGATCGTAGTGTCTCTGCTCTTCGAGTGGGAATGAGACCTTTGGCTCGAAGCTTCGCCACACGCTTCTACGATTCTCCTCTCTACAGAAACCTGAAGTCTGAATACGAATCCGTGGCGGAGACGCAAGAAAAAGGTTTGATTGGGAATTCTGGTTCAATTTAGACGTCACAGAGAGTCTCCAGAAAATGACGAAGCAGTTTAACAAAATGTATTATCGATAGGGAAGGCATCTGATTCTAGGGGTTGGGAAGTATCGAATGAGTGGGGCTCCTCCGTGGTTGCTCTTTCGAAGCCTATCGCCGAGGACGAAGATGTTTTTATCTCGTTCAAAGCAGACATGCAGAGCGATCTTTCCATTCCTGAAAATGTCGCCATCGTAAAGTGTTCTCACCTCTAGAAGACCTCCGAGGACGCTGAGCTCCAGTTCAAGGTGTTCCAGAACGTGGGCACGCACACTCGAGAGACCACGCAGGAGAATGGCGAGCCGGAAGAGAGCTTCGGCATCGATCTGCAAATGATTTTTGTGGTAAGCCCTTCTTCTGTTTGCCCTTGATCACGTAGTGCAACTCATCCAAAGACAAGCCTTTGGAAGTTGTGCACATGGATAGTGCGGTGGGAGTCGACAGCGAGACCGAAGAAATGGACATGGAAGAGGAGAGATACCCGGGTCCTCCTTACGATGAGTGGGACGACTCGATCAAGAACAGCGTGGTGGCGCACTTAAAGGACCTGGGAATCACAGAGAACTTTTCCAAGTTGTTGCTGCAGTTCGCTCTGGATAAGGAGTACAGCGAGTACATTAACTTCCTGAGAAATGTTGCTGTGGTTCCCGAGGAGGAGGGAGACAACGGAGAGGCCGCTCCGCAGGAACAATAAATTTGGTTTCCGGACTTGTTTGTTGGAATCAGTTTGAGCAGACAGGATGGAGAACAGTGAAACGCAGTATTTTGAACAGGAATGTGGGGTGTAGAGAGCTTTGATTCTGTGTAGCTATGATCGATCCTGAAACGTCGAGCTGCGAAGAGGAGGGAAGCTTTGTATGAGATAATCGTAATCTGTGAAGTGTAGCAAGAATATCAGAGTTGTTTGTCTACAAATCAGAGTTTCATAGCAGAAGAAGGTAGAATTGACGTAGAAGATCTATTTTGTTAGAGCCAACGAAGGCGGAAGAAGAGCCAGACAAAGAAGAGGATCTGACAAAGGAGATTCCTCCACAAAGGACTTCGCACGGGTTTATAATGTTTAATGTGTTCTTTGTGTTGGTAATGGCGGTTCTTGTGTTCATGATCTTTGAAGTTCCTGCTTTTTCCGTGTCTGACTTCTAGAGTCCGATGGTTTCGAAGGAAGACTGCTCAGATGACCTGAAGGGTTGCGCCGTGTCCCTCTGGAAGGACTTTCGGCGCTATTTCGATTTCTATTTTTAACAAAGAAGTAACTCATCAAGCCAAACTACATGCACGCTGCGAACAGGCAGCTCTTGGAATAGTTCTTGCAAAGTGTCTTCGATGTTTGTTTGGATCGACTCCGGAACAAAAGCATTCACGCCTACGATAACTCCACCATAGAATCCATCACGCTTCTCCACTCCGCAGAACTTCACCCCATTCGTTAGTTCCTTTATCTTGGAAGTAAGTGCTTCCATGTCCACATCTTCCTCCGTCGCTATTTCGATTTGGCAGTTTGGATCGATTCGATCGATGTCTTTGTTTACAGAACCACGAAGAAGCTGGTTTTCATATTCACGCAGATAGATCTCCATCTGGTAAGGAATATCGATTTCTGGCCGGTGGCTTTCCACTAGTTTGTAGGCCTCTTCATAAGGGCAGCGATCCCTCCAAATAAAGTAGCAAATAGCGCAAGAGCAGGATCTGGTTTGTCCCAAAGTACAGTGAATAAGAACATTCTTATCCTTATCCAATGCATCTTGGATCTTCTTGTTTATATTGTTTACATGATCCAAAATAGAAAGGCTTCCGTGGTTAGTGACATTATGGCGAACCACTTCAATCGATGAATCTTCGAGTTGATACGACTGTTCACAGCAGTTTACCACCAGTCGAATGCCGTTTTGGTGTAGCCAAACCTAAGCATGAGGATTGTAATAGGTTAATGCCTCGTTTTCTGCAGCTGCGATTGGGCCGACATAAATACCGCCGTCAATAAAGGAACCCTGATCCATTAAGAAAAATGTGCAGGCTATACCAGTGCTGCGTACTTGGTATATCCTACACTGCTGTACATTCTTTTAGGAAAAGCCGCATGCCTTTCGAAAAAAGGACTTGTACGTGTAGAATGAAGGATATTTCGGCATCGAGAAGACAGGCTTATAGTTTGAATCGTCTTAAGAAACCTATGCTTGGTGTAATGCCAAATCATTTGTATTGGATAACCGCGGTATGAACTACGTGTGTTTTCTTCCTTCCACACGTGCGTTTTTATTTAATAATGTCTACACTTCCATCAAAGAGTGAAGACAAACTCGAGAAAAGTCCTATTAGTACAGACCAACTGCAGGCCTCTAGTACTACCTCGAACTACGATGATCTTTACGACGATATATCCCCCGAGTTGCAGTCTTTGGCATCTCGGAAGGAGTCACACAGGGCAAGCGAGCGCGTATTAAGCTAACAGATCTGCATTATTCCTAGAAACGGAGGGAAAGACTGAGCGTCAGTATGGCAGCTCTAGATTCCATCATCCGTTCTACGCGTAAGTTTGCGAATAAGAAGAATGTGAAGCTGGATAAAAACTCCGTTATCGAGCATGCTATTGCCTATATCAAGGAGCTTCAGCAGGTGAACGAAATCTATGAAAAACGGCTTGAAGAATCGATGACCCAAATAAAGTCATTACGAGAAATAATATCAAATTATGCCTGTATGATTAGGATAGTGGATTTACGAAAAGGTAATATGAACGTTTCCCCATTTTTGCCGAGGAGCACCCAAACTCCCTTTCCTGCTCCTCCTCCTGTGTATGTCTTTGCAACTTGTTTTCACGATTAGAGATGTCACTCCTAAACTTAATCAGCAGCAGTTTTACGGTTATATGTCTCCTGCAATGAACTATTCCATACCAACCATGCCCATGCCCGTAGATAACTCGAGGCAGGTGCAATGGTCCTATTTTCCACAGCCTGTTGAGGTGCAACTACCTCCGCGTCCTTTTGATACCTTGGTGAAGGTGGCAACACAGACCCTGACCGACAAATAATAATGATAGTAGTGCATAATTGTCCCTTTATGGGATTGTTTGTGAGCATACAGGCGAAGAAGTGGTGATGTGCAATGATTGCGAACGAGATGGTAGTATGCAATCCTTTGAAAGAGGGAAGAGAAAGTGACTGATGATTGCTTCCAGTCGATTGGTTTCGTAACAGGTTTAGAGAAAACAAAGGAATTCAGAAAACGATAAATGCCTCCTGCTAATAGCATGCTTCCTAAGAGAAGAAGAAAGGTTCCGTTCTTTCGATTGTTTATCTGCTCCTCTTCAATCGACTGCGTTGAAATGATAAGATTCGATCTCTTCCCACACTTCAGAACCAACTCCTCTCCTTCCTTTCGAAGCACTCCTTGGAGGAAGACACTTTGACCACTGCGTAGTCCGTGCTTGACCATATAAACCTTCGAACTGATCAACTCGTGGTTGAAAGATGGATTGAAGTGAACTGCCCAGTCGTATCTGTCTTCACTCGATGCAAACATTCCTACTTGTCCTTTTCTTCACCTGTAAGTTCGCGCTCCTCAACTTTTGGAACAGAGAGCAAAGAGACATGGCGAAAGACAAACTCTGTAGGCAACACTATCTTTATACGGATTCCGTTATTTGTAACGATATAAAAATCGTTAGCTGTCAGTTCGTGACTCACTAAAAATGAGAGATACACTAGATGAAAAAACAACCTGTTGTTTCTCGACTTCTCCAGCATTTTGAAGATTCACTATATTCTGTATAACGAATTTCCACGAGGGATTCTTCTAAGGGATTCACATTGTCAAGTCCTCCTTCGACCTATGAAACATACGTTTCAAAATACCAGGATCTACTTTTCCTGAGAGTGAAACAGGAATATCAACATCAGTGTCGAGTTTTTTCAAAGCTTCTCTCAACGAAAAAGGAACCGATGAAATGAGCGGTAATCTATTTTCAAATACGTAGTATTACACAAAACTTTGCGATTTTCGAAAATCCAAATAGAGAAAGGACAGCTCCTGAAAACATCAGAGAATAGCATCCAGTATGGTCTCGCTTCTCCCAGTCCTTATTCCCTTTCCACAGTGATAGTTTATTATATAGATCTTCCATATAAACAAAAACTCTAAGGAACATGGCTCAAACAAACAAACGAAAAACATAAAACCCATAGATTACAACTCGGCGTTCATCACCTCCTTCACCTTGCGAACGTAATCTACGCTCGAAAACCACAAATTGCACATTACCACTCTTTTCGTAGCAACCCACGCACTTCTGTCCTCTTTCAGCAAGGTAAGCCTTCAGCTGACTAATGCGCATCTTGCTAGGGTCGAATGTCTCAGAGGACTTGGGCTTGTCAGCACTGTACTTGACAGAGCAGAACTCGTTGTTCTTCTTATTCAGCTTACGGATGCAAATGTCCTCAGCAGGCATTCCATAAGACAGGGGAAGAGAAACTTCTCTCTTGATAGGATCAATGTGATAGCACTAAAGATTATCACGATGAGCAAGCAGTAGTACGATCTTCTTTTGCTCCTGAGACAGTTTCTTTTGTTTGCAGTAAGTAGAAATCTTGTCCTCAATCAGCGTAATGTCTTTCTTGTCGTCATCAGTCAGGGTCTTTTCAATGCCGCTCACAACATCAATGCACACTAGAATAAACAGAATAATGCCCATTTTCTACCCTTGCACTCCTCAGGAGTAATTTTCTTTGACTCAGCAATAGCTAGCAAAGTAAATAACAAAACAATAGAAAACAGGAATCCAAATCTCATCTTTCAGGAAGTGTAATAATAAGTGATAATTCCATAATTATTACCTTGATTCGATTCGAATTTTCCAAAGGAGTATTTTTTTGAGTTTTTGATTGACTCAGGTTTCTGAAGCAGTATCATTCTGTCGCAACGTTTCTGAGGAAAACTAGGAAATCTCACATAGATTTGGTAGAAGTCGTGAAGTTATATGTTTATTCGTGTCTCCTTGCGTAAAAATCAATAAAAAGAGAAGAAACTCAGTTTGTCAGTAAGTGTACCATTGCTTTGTAAAATTCAGTTTAAATAATTCTTTTCCATACAATTAAGAACTCAAAGCAATCCCTACTCTTCAATGTTCTATTTAATCAATCAGCGATATCATCTGAAAAAGAGGATTGGACATGGAGCCTTCGGAGAAATATATCTAGCCATAGATACAATCAATAGTACGAGTTCATTATCCCATTTCCTTTAGACACTACTGTTGTAGCTAAATTGGAGTCAACATCCACCCATTCGCCTCAGCTCTTCCATGAAGCGCATGTTTACCAAAATTTGGCGCAAGGCGTTGGAGTGCCAGCAATCCATTATATTGGAACAGAAGATACTTATAATGTTATGATTATGGATTATTTAGGACCGAATTTACAGCAATTGTTGGATTACTGTAATGGTAAGTTTTCGCTTAAAACAGTTTGTATGATCGCTCGAGAAGCTATTCTGAGAATCGAAATGATGCATAAAATGGGTTACGTTCATCGTGATATCAAGCCAGATAATTTTGTGATTGGCTTAGGAGAGAAAGCTAATCTTTTGTATCTTATTGATCTGGGACTATGCAAACGATACTGGAATCCGACAACAAACACACACATTATGTTTGTACAAGGCTCGGCACCTAACATTCTAGGTATTCTGAGAATAAGAGCATCGTTGGAACTCCTCGTTATGCTAGTATTGGCAATCATCTAGGCATTGAGCAGAGTCGGCGGGATGATTTGGAATCTCTGGGTTATGTTCTAATCTATTTCCTCCTCGGCAGTCTTCCATGGCAAGGACTCCGTGCTGACACGAAGAATGAAAAATACCGTCGAATTCTGGACTGCAAACTGAATACCAGTGTGAATGACTTGTGTTTGAACATCCCTCATGTGTTCTACGTATATATAAACTATTGTCGTGGACTTCGATTTGACGAAACTCCGCGCTATGAATATCTTCGTGGTCTGTTTCTATCTCTGCTAGAAGAAAGGGGAGAAAAGGATGACGGCGTTTATGATTGGATGATTTCGAGCATCCCTCATGCTCCGATTGCATTGCTGAAGCAATTCTTGGAGGAGGATGGATCACTGTTGGAGGAATTGAAGAAACCGGCGCCGTTGAAGTATCGAAAGTGCATGTTGTTGGCAGGTGAGAGTAGAGGGGAGGGATGAGAGATAGAGGTGAAGGAGATGGAGAAACGAGAGGAAGAGAAGGAGGAAAGAGAGAAGGAGAAGAAGGAGAAGAAGGAAAAGGAGAAGAAGAGAGAGAAGGAGGAACAGGAAGAGAATGGAAAGAAGGAAAAGGAGAAAGAGAAGGAGGAGAAAGGAGGAGTAATAAAAGAGCTAGAGAAGAAGTCGGAAGAAACAACAGTGAAAGAAGGAAAAGGAGAAAGAGAAGAAGAAGGAAAAGGAAAAGGAGGAAAGAAGGAAAAAGAAGGCGAAGAGGAGTTGAAGAAAGAGTCCAAAGAAATGCGTAGTCATACAACATCCATGTCTGTTGCTGTGGGAGATGAACAGGATGGAGGTACAGAAAAGTAATTTAAAAGAAAGAATTGCTTCAAGTCATTGGTAGACATTGTAAAATGCTTTTTGTTTGTTTGAAATGGCGCCATTGATCGAAGTTATTGAAGAAGAAGAACAATTTCGGCATTATTCTCCGCACGATATTGTCTCTGATGTGTTAGTTGTCACTCGGTCCCCTTCTGATGTTCTTAATGCTATCCAATTGTACAATAAGCTAAAGTCAGCAGATCAACGACACGAAATCGTATTCTTGCTCTATCGAATTGCACTCTACTGCCAAAACAATAGCACAAGTAGTATTTCGCAAAAACATTTTATTTCAAGGCGATCTCGATATTCATCAGATAGCAAAACCTGTACTCGACATTCTAAAGCAACCTACAACCTATCTTCAATGGAAAAGCAAGTGTCTTACTCTATTCATCGTAATCAAATTATTGGATTACCCAGAATATCGACAATCAATTTGGGGGACACTCACTCCTCTCTTTTACCTTCATTTCTTATCTGATTCAAATCAAACACTTCGCACATGCATCTTTCAACTTATGGAGAAGGCTGTTTCTGTCAAAGATGGATCCTGGGTGGATTGGTATGATTGTCTTGTGGGAATGAAAGAAACATCGGAATGGATGAAATGGCTGCGAAAGCAGCTTCCAACCCTTGACGATGTTCACCGTGTTCACAGCCGACTGCTATTATGCATCAATACTCCTGCGGAGAGCATTCATCGAGAAGAGATTCTTCACTATTCTATTTACATTTTAGAAGGAGTAGGGATCGTTCGATTCGTAAATTTGTAGATTGTAACTCGAAATCGCAATCCACAGATCATCAACGAAGTATTCTCGTTGTTAGAATCTATCCTGACCGTCTTTCCAAAAGAATTCGATGTATCTCAATGTGTGCAGCATGCTTCGCAGCAAGGCTCCGTCATTCAACATCTCTGCTTCTTCTTTCGACACCTAGGGAAGTCTGGGTCGGACGAATTTCCTGATCAACCGCAGTTGTTCAAAGAAGTACATTTGTGATGTTGCACGTTGAGTGGTCAGAGCGCTTCTTCTGTGATTGAGGCATTCAGTTGTCTCCTTCTCAGCTTTGTTTCCGGCCTCATAGAAGCCGCTGATCGGTCATCTTGTGGTTGTCTTCGCGAAGATTGACCTGTAGATGACCTGTGTCTTCAGCGGAGCCTTCTCCAGATTCTTCAAGCCATCAACATTTTACAGCACCGTTCATTGTTGTTCGATCTTCAGCAGGAATTCTGGAATTCCATAAATCGGTTATGTTCTGTAAGAAAAGGATGCTGGCTTTCTGGACGCTGTTTGTATTCTATCCAAATCGATGATTGGTAGTGTGGGCTCATATTCTATTCATTCAACAAGCTTCCAACGACCGTTTTTCGCTATTCATCGATCCTCGCGACGCGATTGCGCATTTAGGTGGGGAGGCGAACAAAATCGCGTATCAATTGATGCTCTTTCTCGATCCTTTGCGCGAGAAGCGCGAACCCTGCGAATTGGATTCCTATTTAGAAGGCGATTTCTCGGTGTTCGCAGCTATCCGATTCATTTTATTCGTGCTTCGATACAGCTCACTCTCGGAAGAAGCGGGACGCAGTGGACTTTACTGCCGATGGCTTTTGAAATTGCTGACGCGCGTGAGCTACGCAGATGAGAACGCGAAGAACGAATTTGATCATATTTTGGAGGGAATAAAACGCGTTTTGCGTGATGCTCCGGCGCTTTCTCTGCTTCCTTATTATTCGAAACTGGTCGATGGGATGAAAAACGTTTTGCTTTTCGCCCAAGATGCGGAGCAGATCAGAAAGTGTTACGCAGTGATCGAATTGGCATTGAAAAACATGATTCGAGACCAAGCCGAGCAGGAACTCAGCGTGTTAGTGATCGAGACGATTCATCAGTTGGTGGCTTCGCTTCCATCGCTGTCACTACGTTGCTACGCAGCGCATCTCGATGGAATTTGGAATCTATTTTCGATGCTGGACGCTGGATACTGCTTCTCAGAGTTTCAGAATATTCTCAAGTTCGCAGAGGGAGGATTTGCAGATGCAACGGCGATAGGGAATGTGGAAGCGTTGCTGCGCGTTTTGATTTTGATGTGTGATCGATGTCCGGAGCAGGTGCGTCGAATGCTTCGAGATTGCTGCTTGCGCGGATTTGATGCGTATTGATTCGAAAAAGAATATGATATAGACTCATCTATTCTGGGCGAATGAGCGTCATGCAAGACATGAAGGCTGTGAATGAGCTGCTAACGACCTATTGGTTGCAGCTGGTGGAAATCGCAGGGGAGCAAGCGATGAAGTATTTACAAGTGTTCTATGATGAAGTGGCTTCGCAATCCGTCGAGAATGTATTTGATGTGAGAAAGCCGCTGCAGTTGGCGCTTCAGAAGCATGTGGAAGAAGATCATTGTGAGTTTTGTCAATCATTCTGTTCGTGTGTTTGCTCAAAGAACGACTATCCCTTTCTTCTACTGATTCTCCATGCGTCATCCACCATCTTGTAGTTATAAATTGCCTGCAGCTTCTCTCCCTTCTTCGCCTTCGACAGATGCTTTCCATCCGATCGTTTATAGAACTTGGGAGCGATTTCAGGAAGCCAGCGCGGATCGATCGCTAGACATTACCTTCCCATTCCTTTCCTACCCATCACGTTCATCATATACTCGCGCGACGTCATCTTGATGATATCATAGCAAACCCATTCCGGCTCGCGACCAATCACACTGCTCGAGGGATGCAAATGGACAATATTCCCTTCGAGCAGCGTTTTGTATCCTTCCGTGTCTCGCTTCGCCACGTTTGTGAAATAACCGCTTAAAATGGACTTCTGAATGGCTCGATAATCGTGATCGCTCTGCAGCAATTTCATGTTGAATCGAGTCATAATTCGCGTGAGCTGCTGTCGCACATCCGCAGCTCGCTTCATCGATCGTTCCTGAATGAAATAGTCATCGCACCACCGCTTGCTGCGTCCGTTCCGTTCCCACGCGTTGTAGATCGACAGCAGTGTGATGTGATCGCCCTCCGAAGCGAACAGAACCGCGTGCTTCTGGTCGGCCTGCGCCTGCTTTCCCTTCGGGCGAATGTACACGTTCTCGGCGCTCAGCATGGACACAACGGTCAGCACTTCCGACGAACAGCCCAATTCCTCGCTGGTGAGCAATGCCTTGGCTAGTTGCGGATTCAGCGGGAATTCGGCCATTTTTCTGCCAAGCGGCGTGAGCAAACCGTCGTCATCGAGACAGTCGAGAATGTAGAGCCGCTCCATGGCGTTGACTAGCGACTGCGTGGAGGGCGGATCCATCAGATCGAAGTGGATTAGATCGTTGATTCCCATCGCTTTCAGCTGCAGAACCGTACTGTCCAGGTTCGATCGCTGGATTTCCGGGATGCTGCTGGGGAGCATTTCGTTCTGGTACGCGCTCTGCGTGTATAAGCGGTAGCATTTTCCAGGACCCGTTCGTCCAGCGCGGCCTGCTCGCTGATTGGCCGAGTCTTGCGAGATGGGCGTGACGATCAGCGAGTCCATTCCAGTTTTGGGGTTGTAAACGGACTGCTTGCAGAAGCCACTGTCGACGACGTAGTAAATTCCATCGATCGTAAGAGAGGCCTCCGCGATATTCGTAGCGATCACCACCTTGCGGCAGCCCTCCGGAGTCTGCTCGAAGATTCGCTGCTGCTGCTCGTAGGTCTGCGCGCCGAAAGCGGGGAGAATAATCATCGGCGGGATGGAATCATCCGCGCACTTTCTCTGACGCTCTTCCAGCATCTACGCTTCAAAACCCCGATCAAAATGAAAACATCGCACGCGAACTCGATCTCTTCCTGTCCCGTGAGGAACACCAGAATGTCGCCGGGTCCTTCTTCTTTGTTGATGTCCCACACGGTTTGGAGCGCCGATTCCAGATAGTTCGGCTCGGGGGCGCTGAGATATTTCGTCTGGACGTGGAACGTGCGACCGCTGATGTGGAGAATCGGCGCATTGTTAAAGAACTCGGAGAACTTCACCTCGTTCAATGTGGCCGATGTGATCAGAACCTTCAAATCGCTTCGTTTCGCGACGAGCTGCTTCAAGAGCGTGAACAGAACGTCCGTGTGCAGCGAACGCTCGTGTGCCTCATCGAGGATAATCACGGAATAGCGCGACAAATCCGGATCGGCCAGATATTCGCGCATGAGCATTCCGTCGGTCATGTACTTTATGATCGTTCGACTGCTCGTTCGGTCCATAAATCGCACCGAGAAGCCGACTTCCTCTCCCAGCTTGCAGCCAAACTCCACCGCAACACGCGCAGCGACGGACGTGGCTGCAACTCTTCGAGGCTGTGTGCAGCCCACCATTTTGTGGCCGTTGATCCCTGCTTCGACGATGTACTGCGTCAGTTGTGTGGTTTTTCCGCTTCCCGTTTCGCCCACGATGATCAGAATGCTGTTCTCGCGGATCGCCTTGATTAGCACGTCGCGCATCGCGTAGACAGGGAGACGTCTGCGCTGCTCTTGGATCGACAGCGAGCTGCGCGGGACCGTGCTGATCTTCGGCTGGTAGGAAGTCGTAGGTGCGGAGGCAGAGGAAAGCGCGCTCAGATTCAGCGAGCGAACCTCCGAAGAAAGCAGATGGATGCCGCCTTCCGGCATGGGATCTGCGAACGAGGACGAGAAATTCTACGGACAAGAAGGAGGAGAAGAGAGTACATCGGGGAGCTTCTCGCGCTCTTCGCGCATCTGCCGCTCGCGGAGGAGTTTTCGCTCTTTCATCATTTCCTGGCCCGCGATGGCCGCTCGATTCATCGTGCCCTCGGGGTTCTTTATGATCTTGGTGGGCTCCATCGCTTCCTTATTCGTTACGAACCCCGTCAAGAACGGCGCGATCTTCTCCTGCACTTCGATATCCACGGCTTCCTCCGGCTGCAGCTCCACCGCGTCGCCTTCTTCCTGCTCAAAGTCCGCCATCATTCGCTTTCGCTCCTCCGGCGTCAGCACGCCAGAAGCCAGAAGCTGCTGCATGTCGAACAAGTCCATCGAGTTCATGCGACGGCGACGGCGCGGAGGCGATTGGTTCCCGCCTGCGCTGCGAACGGGAGAGAATGAGGAAGAGGCGGGGAGGGCGCTGAGGTCTTCGCCGGTCTGCTGGTCGATGTCCTTCATCGAAAGACCGATTTTGGTGCCTTTGATCTGTGTGACTTTGACTTTGACGCGTTGATTCACGCGCAGAACGTCGCTGGGATGGCGGATTCGCTCGTGAGCGATGCAGCTGATGTGGCAGAGACCGTCCTGGCGGGGAGAAACGTCCAGAAGCTCGATGAATGCACCGTAATCCATGATGGACCGCACTTCACCATCGTAGATTTCGCCCATCACCACCTCGCGAGTTGGCCTGGAACTGTGAGAATGATGCGTGTGGGAGCGAGAATGGCTGCGAGAGCGAGAACGAGAACGTGAGCGAGAGCGAGAGCGAGAGCGACTTCGGTGAGAATGGTGGTGAGAACGATGACTTCTCGAAGAAGACCGACTTCGAGAACGATCTCTGGAATAACCTCGATGTGAAGAGTATTTTCTACATTGAATTGATTTTTCAAAATCGAACTCTGATCGTGAATCACTTGTCGCTGCTTTGGAATGTTGACCAATTTTTGAAGATACGGCATCACTTCCAGTAACTTGAACAGAAGAGTCGTTCTTTCCAGAACGTTCGTTTTCACGATCAGCTTGACTTTTGGGGTAGAGAAGGTGAATTGTGTGATATAATTGTTCCGAAAATGCGTTATCGATCGGCACGTCTTGTTTGGTAAGGGAGGTGAAGAACTCCTCAGGCGTATCACTACTCATCGCAATATGTATCAAAAACTATTTCTCAAGGAAAAATACATGCAATATACCTCTGCCACCGACTTATCACTAAATCCCAAACGGCTATCCATTTCCTTGCAAACCTTAGAAACGGTGGATAGATATTTCATCTTCTGCACCGCATTCATATCTTTCGGTTCAAGGAACTCCCTCATTTTCTTTTTTAAACAAACAACTAGACAGACCCAAACCATCTTAATTTACTCCCGCAGTAAACCTACATAACTAACAAAAAGACATAGAGTCTTACGCCAGGGCGATCTCTTTTGACTTGATCTTCTCCTTCAGCTCCTCCATGTTCTCGCTCTCCATTTTTCGGATGTCCTCAATCGTCAGATTCTTCCACTTGTCAATCGTGCTCGTCATTTGGCGTTCACACACGCTACGCCTAAGAAAACATCCCGGCTCGTACCGATTCATGTAACACTGCTGATTGTACACCATGTTCTCACCAATGGTCTGAAAACCGAAGAACTTGAAGTCGATGTGAAGTAGCCAGTATTGACAGGACATGTTATTGATGTCTACACATAGAGAAAAGCAGATAAAGAAAACCCCAGTTCTTATACCACCCTGGTTGCAGGGGACTTCCCGGAATGTTGTCAATCTTCAACTTGGTGAGATCCTACGAGTCAGAAATGATAAAGATGACCGACCTCCGACTCTGGAATCGTTTCACTCTTATAAACGTCACACATGTCGTAGAATTCCACATAGCGCTGCTTCTTTTCCTCTTCAGAAAGGTTAAACACATTGTCATTTTCACCCTACAATGCAGAAACATGCAGAAAAGTACCTTATCATTCTTGAGAATCTTCATTTCCAAGATGATGTGGAATTTCTGACGACTTAAATAGCCATTCGTGAAAACGGAATAACGGTAATCGTCAGAGCACCAAGCTTCTTCCTCAAGAATCATAGCCTCTATGATTTAGAGATAGAAACGAGAGAAAAACCTGCAGGCAGAAGTTTCGTAAGCCAACCAGGGACTTTGGAAGCCACAAGGTAACTACTTTTGATAAAACCAGGTTATCTCACTGTTTCAGAGTGTACTGTCCCTTGTTCTTGGGCACAGAGTATCCGTCGATCTTCAGATCCCAATGTCCATCAGTGTTATCATATCTAAATGGTAGAACTGACACCGCGCGTACGGCTCGTTTTTAAGCCATTCCACACCCTCGCCTCCTCCAGTTGCCTCGAGATTTGCCATCATGACCATGTACAGATATCCAATGAATGGGTCTTCGACACAGTAGGGAAGAGGGACTCTGAACTCAAGAAGCATGAGTAAAAAGATCGCAAACAAACAAGAAAAAAAGTATGAAAATTATACAAAAATGTCACTTGATCGATTTTTGCAATCGACACATTTACACTTGGGTGTACAATATCTGCCAGACTGGTAACACGAACAGTACTTCTTGTTACACAGACTTTTCTGGCAGGCACAGCACCGAGAATCCTCATGGCCCTTTAGGTTGGAAACTCGTAGAAAAGCCTTCGGGTTGGTCTTTTTGATATGTTTTAACGCCTTTTTTCGCTCGGGAAATTTCGCACGATTAAGACAATCTACGCAGGCACAAAGGTCGGTACATGTCCGGCCCGCCTTGAGGCATTCGCAATATAGTTTCAGACAGTGAGTCTTGGTACAAGTACAGCGAATGGAAGGGGGCGGAAGCGTCGGCTCAGGGAGCGCCATGGACTCAACCGGCGGAAGTGGCAAGGAGTCGACAGGGGGGGCTGAGGGGCACGATGGAGAAGCAAAAATAATCACTGGTTGGATCACCTGCAAGGGCTGGGTCGAGGGATGCATCGGGAATGGGCAAAAGCGGGAAGGCAGCGACTGTGAACCCATGAAAGACGGAAGCACAGCACGGGGAAGCGAAGTAGACTGCTCCGCTTCGCTACCTGGCGTTACAGTAGATGCACTCGTGGTAGCAGCAGAAGCACTCGTGGTAGCAGCAGAAGCACTCGTGGTAGCAGCAGAAGCAGTACCGGCAGCAGCAGTGGTAGCAGTAGCAGCAGCGGTAGTAGTGGCAGCGGCAGCAGCAGCAGCAGCCGTGGCAGCGGTAGTGGCGGCGGCAGCGGCGGCAGCAGCAGCGGCAGCTGTGGCAGCGATAGAGTTAGGATCACTGAAAGCATTGTAGGATTGACTAGATAGGAAAGGAGAGCGAAGAGTACAATGCAGGGACACAATTAGATGAAAGAATTCGAACGGGAGGCAATACTGTAACAGATTCGCCGTCCGAAGAAATAGACTAAAGAGAAAAGCACGCAAGTGCAACATACAAAACTAATCTGTGGCTTCTGAAAACGAGACAACTGACTTGGGAATGTTTGCACACAAAATGAATTCGAATTTTCCATAGGAAAGGGCACAGGATGTCTCAAAAGAGAAGAACTTTTAGGCAGTACACTACCGTCCGTCTCAGTACTTTCGGTAAGTTGACTCCTCAAGGTCTTAGCTTTATTTGCTTGAGACTGAGAACTTTGCGGAAAACTCTACTATTTATCGCATTCCAAAATAAGACGTTGGATCCCTCTTCACATGTATCTATATTATCCTGATCCGAGGGAACATTACTGGTGGAGAAATAAGTATCCATTATTCAGGATCAGAAACTAAAAATAAGAAGAAAATTCGTTGTATCTACATAGCACTTACAGGGAAATTAACCCAAGAAAAACACAGTAAAGTTCAAAAAGAAAAAGCACGAAACCCACCCTTAAAAAGAGAATTAATTTGTTTAAGACGTGAAACTAATTAATCTTGAAAGAATGTAAGAATTCAACGAAACACTTTTTGGGCGCACGAATATTTTCTCCAATTCTATTGGATCATCTTTCATTCAGTAAACATGTCAGAGAAACAAATTTAATAGACTGCATAGAAGAAGGATTGCTTCATTAAACTCGTATATCGAGATATTCGCTCCCTGGCGTAGTCGTTCCTACATGGAAGAGTAAATTAGGTTCTACCATTTTATCTGCGCAATCCTTTTTATCTAGAACCTTTCCTAAGTGAGCAGAAAGCATTTCCAAAAAGAAATCCTTGTGGGACTCATAGAAAGCGAACAACAAAGTTAAAGGAGTACCGCATGTTTCATACACTAGATTCGAAGAATGGTGGTTCTCCAACACCCTAAACTACCGTTTAAACCAAGAAATCCACCACAAACGCAACAAGTCACAATCATCTTTGCATTCATCTCGATCGCACTTCGTAGAGGGGAGCACTCTTCTCTGCGATCAAAAACTATCAAGTCCTCCAGAAGCTTGCAAGCAGCGCACGATAATTCCTTTTGGAAGGAAGCGATCGCTTCCCCTGCCGTCTGCACAATCCAGCAGAGAGAAGGAAGCGAAAGAACGAGCATCGAACAAGCGCGCAAGCAATTATGCAGCGTATCCAGCAAAGCCTATGTAGAGAAAGAATCGAAAGCGTACAGTGAGTTGAAAAGCACTTTCACAATAATCGTTTTCCTTGTCCACGCCGCGAGCGATCCACTCAATACTTTGCTGCAACGAACCCTGCATCCATGGCTGAAGCCTAGGGGAGAAAAGATGCCCGAGTTTACAGATTGCACGTCGCGCTGGTGACCAAGAGATCGCCTAATAACGTCATGAACACGGCATTTCCGCTGTTTTGAATCCCTTCCAGAAGCATTTCAGAGACAGAGGCAAGACTTGCTGGATCGATCTGGATCAGAATGTGAACCAAACTCGAGATGCAGTCTTTCCACAAGTCCATCAATTCCCTACCAATGAGAGGATGGATATCAGCTCGCCAAACTCGTCTTTTTCGACAGTTCCGCGGAGAATGCAGAGATAATTCAATACTTCTTTGTACACACTTACAAATTCGATCGTTGACGAAGACGCGAACAGCTGGGCGTTTGTAAGCAACACTTTTAACGCAGACAAATCGGGAAAGCAACGAGCCTTCTGCAGCTGGGCGACAAACCAGGAGCTGCGCACATCGCCAAGCTGCGTGGCAACGCTGCAACAACCCTCCAGAAAGCTCGGCACGACGCTCTGTCGAAGATGTGCGATGTCGATCGAGAGCAATTGGTCTAGAGTCGAAGAAAAGCATCAAGAAGGACAAAACAAGGGGTACAGGGATGGCACGGACGATCCCTGCTTACACAAAATAGCGAATGTCTCTGCGGCATAAACGTCCGACGGTCGAGGCGGCGCATTGGCCGTGAGCAGAGCGAGAATGGCTTTGAGGACTGTTTCAAAGAGCGAGGGAATGGTGGTAATAGCATGGGCGAGATGACGAATGAGGAGAAGCATCGACTGCGTGGTGTCGGATGTCTGAAGAAGCTCGGAACAATTCGATAACAACTGAAGAATAAGAACACGAAAAGAGAATCACTTCGACTAGCTCCTCGTTTTCTATAAAATCCATTGAGCGGCACAAACATCCGAGAGCGTAGAGCATTCCATCCAAATGAACGCGATTTCCTTGCTCCAAATCTTGCTGCACCATGGAAATCACAGCATATACAGCATCTTCTTGGTCTAAAAGACGACTCAACTTCACCAACGTTCGCTATCTGTCAGAGAATGATGCTTCAAAAACTCCCAAATCTTGGCGTAAAGACTGAACGGAATCTATCATGGATTCGTCGAGAGGGTAATTGGGTAGAACGAAAAAGTTTAGAATCAAATCGCGAAGCTGGCAGAGTTGAGCAAACAACGGATGCGACGCATTCTTCGGTAAGACATCCTCGCTCAGAAAGCCATCCAAGAAATCCATCGTATGAGAGATTAAACGGCAATCCGGAAGTGAGGACAAGCGAAGAATCCACTACTCTCAATTCGAGTCCAAGCTGATACGCCCCAAACCAAATTCAACACGCTATTTGGCTGTGAACAATACAGTTCCATTCCTTCCTCTGCGATTGTGCATGCTACTTGGAGCCACGCACTCGCTACAGGTCTCTGGTAGGTATCAGAGAATTGGTAAATCGAAGAGGAACTATCCACGTCGCGGAGGAGCGAAACATCGATGTGAGTGATCCATTGGGAGGCGAAGGCAGCGATGTCTGCCTCGTCGGCTGAGGCATGCAGCAAAAGAGAGAAAGCAGTCGCCATTTCCATACAACTAGAATCGCTTTGAAGTTGCTACAATGGTAAGAGAGAGAGAGAGAAGAGGAGGAAACGATAAAGAAAAACGACAGCAGAGAAGGATACTGCTGTAGCAATGTTGAGAGTGAAACCATCTTCAAGGAGATCCACGCATGGGCACATTCCACGATTACATCCTACGCATTAACATGAGAAATAGCATTCCACTAAAAGAGAACTCGGAAGCTCGGTCTGCGATTGAAGAATGCACGATAAATAACGTAAAACGGAGGGACTTAATTCCTGTAGTCTCTCTGTGTTGTATTTGCAGTAATAGGAAAGCGAGGGAAACTATATCAGAACACGAAGCAATGTGTAACCCTCTTGTCTTGACACTCTTGTGGGAGTTGGGTCAAATAAAAGAGAACGAGAGATTGGGAATTCGAACTAAGTAGGTTATCTGCTATATTTTGAATAAAGGATGGGTCTTCGGTAGTCAGCAGTGCTGCCGTTGAAAAGGCACTTCCTAAAAGCCGACAGAGAACAACATCTAGGATCAACCTCAACAAAGGATATCTACCATCGTTGACTATGTTGACTAAGGAAAGCAGATCATTAATAACCGTGACTTTTCCTTCTGCAGAAAGCACCGTATACGAGCGACGCAAATAACTAATATTAGAAATAGGCAATATAGATACTTGATCATTGTATTCAACATAAATATTGAATAGTACTGCTTTTCGTTTTGTAAACACACAGTAACGCAAAGAGACCAAACGGAGCAGCTTTGCTGCCATTCTTGAAGCCACTTATCTGCAATCCCAGACTGAATCGTGTCCACAGGTTGATATAGCATCTACACTACACTATTTATTATCTCTTTACATCAACCATGCTCAGGACATCTTTAATATCCCACTCCGCACCAGATATACTCATTCTAAAAGAAATCAATGGAAGAGAACCTAGAACTACAATGGATTCTGAAACAAACAAATTCAAAAGGGAATTAAAATTGATAGTAGTTAGTTAACACGTTTTGTAGTTCGGTTATAAATCAAATTGAGAATACTCCTCATACTGCGATCCTTCTTTATATCTGGTTTGTTCAAACTGCGCAAGGGACGACGAATGGCATTTACGATTTCGTTGTCTCCATCTTTTGACACATTGGAGTAGATCTCATTCCAAATCATCCGAGCGCATGCCGCCTTCGACATGTACCCAGATTCAACAAGATTATAGTAACAAGACATAATATACTCTCTCTCCAATGGAAGAAAAGGAACTCGGTTACGCTTCTTTGTTGAAGGATCGTCTGGAATAACCGGTTCTGCGTTAAAAGAAGAGGTATCGACCGAAAATACACAACCATCTTTCTCAATCAGTAGTCTCTTTGTAGTACTAGGAATGTGGATCTTTAGGGTATCTCCTTGCATAACGTAATTAATATCCACAGTGCTAGGTTCCTCTGGTTTTATTACAGGAGGAGCAACGGCCTCGGTATCTGAATCAGAATGAGTGTGGGGATAAAAGAAATCCTTATATTCCTTTTTAAATTGCTCATTCTGAATCTGCTGCGATATGGGTAAACTAAGAAAATCATCGCTTAAAAAAATTGAATCAAAAGGAGGAGAATCAAGGTGCGTTCCATCTATCACATCAAACATCAAAATAGAGACTACTCGGAATATTCTCAAGTTCTGATGTAGAGTAATCACTCTGGGAATCGTACTCGTCATTGATAGGTTCATTTTCACTGTTTTCCGGCTTTTTCTTTCCTTGCATATTAAAAATGAATAAAAAGGAATCGACATCAATAACCCTAATCTTATATATAAGGGCCACACAATGATTGGGTCATTTCTTATCCAAATTCGTTATACTATCTCGTTTATTATAACAAACATATCGTTAATAGACTGATTCAGTAAAAGTGATAAACCACGATTAAAGATGGGAAATCGGCAGTGTGCTGTTTCGAAGGAAAGTATTCTTTGCATTTGTTGTGGCAGAATAATGATATTTGGACTTCAGTGACTTCAGTGACCATAGTAAGTCCAATGACTTCAATGACTCCGATGACTTCAGTGACTCCAATGACTCCAGGTGTCTTTGAGAAAACTGTATTATTAATAATAGTATAGTTTTTCATTGTGCGAAGTGGTGAAGCAAAAGTCATATTATTATGGCAGAATATACATCCCCACAGACAGGAACAATTCATCTTGATTTTCAAGGAAGAGATTTCGACTCATTAAGTACATTAGCTAAAGATCGTTTAAAATATCAACCTCGCGCTCCTCTAATCCTTCAAAATCCATCTTCTGTATCAGTATATAGTTTTCTTTATGTTTACTGTAGGTTAATATCTATGACCAAGTTACCTTCCGGAATTGTGATAGGAAAATACTTCAGCGCTACTTCCCCAACTCGATTCATTATCCTATCATGAAGTTTGTAGAGTACTTTCAGTTTGTGATATTGAGTAATTCTAGTGAAGAGGGCCGCACGGATGCTCTGAACGTTGGTATTGTGTTCTGTGGTCGTCAGAGTTCTGGAGGCCATAATGTGATTACCGGCGTGTTCGATTACCTCCACAAAATGAATCCCAACAGCAAGCTTTACGGTTTTATCGGAGGTACGTCGGGTCTGTTCGAAGGATCTTCCGTGGAGCTGACGGAAGAGAAGCTGAAGCTGTATCGCAACATGGGCGGATACGATCTTCTGGGTCGTTCTGCCGATAAGATTTCGGAGGAAGACTACTCGAAAGTGGTTGCCACTTGCACGAAGCTCAATCTCCATGGTCTTGTGCTGATCGGAGGCGCCTATACGGCCACGGATGCCACTCTTCTCACCGAGTTCTTCCTGAACAGTGGCGTAACGACTCGCATTGTGGTGGTTCCTTGCGACTACTCCCGCGATTTAAAGAACCATTTCATCGAAACGACGGTGGGTTTCGACACGTTCTGCCGCACCGTCTCGCAGCTGATCGGCAACATCTGCACGGACTCGCGCTCCGCTGCGAAGTACTACCACTTCATTCGTCTGCTGGGCCGTTCTCCTTCCCACGTGGTGCTGGAATCCGCCTTGCAGAGCCATCCGAACTATGCGGTGATTTCGGAGGAAGTGGCGGCCAAGCGAATGACGCTGCTGCAGGTGGTGAACAAGATCGCGGATATGATTTGCCAGCGCGCTGAGAAGGGATTGAACTATGGCGTGGTGCTGATTCCTGAGGGTTTGATCAAGGCGATCTCCGAGTTCTACTACTTGCTAGAAGAGATTTCGACTTATGTGGATAAGGGAATGAAGCACGAGGAGATCTACGCGAAGCTCACGCCGTGGAGCAAGGCGCTTTTTGATTTCTTGCCTGCTGTGATCCAGAAGCAGATCTTCAATCCTCCCGAATCGCGCGGAAGCTTCCAACTCCACGCGATTTCGACGGAAGTCATGATCGGCGATTTGGTGAAGAAGGAGCTGCAGCGTCGTAAGGAAGAGGGAAGCTACAACGGACACTTCGATTATCAGACTCACTTCCTCGGTTATCAGGCTCGTACCTCGTTCCCTTCTCTGTTCGACTGCGACTATGCGTATGCGTTGGGACGAGAGGCAGCCGCATTGATTCAGAACAATCTCACCGGATATATGGCGACGTTGCGGAATCTGAAGGAGGAACCATCGGAATGGATTCCCTATGCGGTGCCTCTTCTGGCCTTCTGCACCGTGGAAGCGAAGCAGGGAGTGTATCGTCCCTCGATCCCTGTAGATGGAGAATGGGTGGTTTGAAGTGTAGGAATCGAACGTGGATATGAACGATATTCCGTTCCTGAAGTTCGTGGCTCATCGCGACAGCTGGGCTGTGAAGGACGACTACTGCAACCCGGGATCGGTCCAGTTCGGAGGAGCTGGAAGCTGGAACACGACGCTGTCGCTGCAGATCGAAAAGCACGACTATCTGAAGCGAATCCAGCTGCTTCGTGATGAACTGAAGGCTGTGGAGAAGATTTGCCTGCCTGGATGCGATCCGTTGCTGGTGGATTCTGCGATTGCTGGAGTAGAGGGAGTGATTGAGCAACTCAATATAATGAGTCCATTGCGCATATAATATAGTACAGATTGTAACAAACAATAATCATTTCAAAGTTCAGGAAGATCCGAGTTAAAATGTAAATCTAAAAGGATTTGACGTATTTGTTGCATATATTGAAAGTGAGATTGAATCTTGTCAGAAGCATCATAGTTCTCGATCCCTTCTGTCTCCACTCCAGTAAGACCGGAAACAGAAACGATTCCTGATTCGATTCGATTCACATAGGCAAGCATTCCATCATTTTCTGAATGAACAACGACAAAGCGATTACACACCTTCTGCCTCCATTCTCCCCATTTCGGTGAATTGGATGCAAAAGGACATCCCAGCAATACAACTACGTGTTATGTCTTCGTGCACCACTCGTACCATCCTGAATGATTGAACAATCTTCAGGCAGATTGTCGAGGATTGACAAAATTACTTGACACCCCACAGACGTTCCGACAAGGGACAATGCCCGGTTTGTACCTCGCTCCAATAATTGGTCAGCAATTACTTTGCCCGCGATTTCCGCCTTGTTCTTTGCGACACTCCACACATTATCCAAAAAACTCATCGGAACTAGCGCCCACAATATGGGCGACATCACAAACGCTCCTCGGAGCAGAATTTGATTGGCGATCTGCCCTAAAAATGTTGTGGAAATGGATTGAAACTACAAATCAGGGGCTAAACATACACGAACAGCCGTGTCTAAAATCATTGTCGTGATTCGATGTAAGAGTTCGTTCTCCCAGTCGAGGTAATACACATGTCCTCCGGGGAAATCGGTTCTCCACCAAGAATAGGACGGGTGAAGTCCCCAGATTTTGGAAACACTGCTATCTGCATCCAGAAGTCCATTAATCAGCATGATGTCGTATGTTTCAGGCACGGCCGTCCACGTTTCATCCACAGCATTCACCTCGCTATCCACAATGATCATATCCACATCACTGCTGAGACGATTCGCCATCTTCTTGCCTCCGTAGCCCGCACCTCCAGCTACAAATCCAGCGGTTAGGATCGAAAGCCCTGTGCTGGACGCGAGAAAAGCAGAAGTGCTCAAAATGGCAGTCGAGGCAGCGCCACCAACGATCCCTGCAACGCCTACAGCAGCTTGGAGTGCCACGGGAAGCAAGATGGGAGCGGCTACCAACGCTGTTGCACCTGCCACAGCAGCAGCCAGTCCAATCTTCAGCCATTTCTTTTTGGGTTTGGCGGCTTTCGCCTTGTCGTTTAGCTTTTCGTTGTCTTTCGAAAGCCGTATTGTAATTGCGTGTAAGTCAGAGAGTAAACTGCGTTCGTAACCGACCAAATCGGAGCAAGACATGCCCAGTTTGACACTGAATCGAATCAAAAACGAGCGCATCACACCATCGTATTCATTGGATAACACAAAAAAGATAAGTAACTCGAGTATGATACACAAATTTTGATGACTATCCGGCAGTCTAACTCTAGTAAACACAGAGAAAAAAGTACAGCGATTGGAACTGGCAATGATAGTATTGAGGTATTTGCACAAATTGGTGTAACTAATAATATAAAATGATCTATGGAGTCGCTACCTCGTTTCTGTACTGCTTCATAAAGTCAAATCGAAGTCCATCACATAACACATGCATACCGACAGAATAAAGATCGTTTTTTCGTTTTTCATTACAGCCACTCCAAGGAAAGGACGACATTATGAGCTTGGCTACGATAAAACGGCAAGATTAATCTTACAGTACACTGTCATGCGATCTAAGTTAATTTCATTTACAACACGTGGTCTAAATATTATTTCCTTATAATGATTAAACTCTTTGTCAGCTTGCTTTCCATTAGTGAGTAAATCTCATTATTAACCATAAATATTCAATACATGTAACAAGTTCTTGCACGACAGAGTCGTCAATCATGTTAACGAAAAAAACGAAAAGAAGAGTTTAGGTGGGTTTGAACTGGAAGGGGGATGTTACTAACAAATCACTTGTTCATCTATCTTCTCTAATCAAAAGGAATCGGATGGATAATGCAGCACAGCATATCTTCGCGTATAAATCAAACAGCGAACAATCGTTCGATCTCGACAAACCAGTTCTCTCGCTCATACCAACTCTCCTTTATACAGATTTCACTAAAAGACCGCAGCAACCATTCAAGCTCACCTCCCTGGAACATATGGTAGTACCGTTGGTACACTGGTTCTTCCTCCCCATCTGCTGTATACTTCTTCTGAAGTTGCCATTGTACCATCACGTCCGCCTTCTCATAGCCTCGGTTTGACTTTGTTTTGGCTCCCGAAGTATCCTTTTCCATCGCCCAAACAACAATCAAGGCTCTGCCTCCAGGTCGTAAGACGCGGATGAGATGTGCCAAAAACCTCCTTCGCAAAGCGTTCGTTGAGAGATGATGAACGACAGCGATGGATATCACCGCGTCGAAGCAGCTGTCTCGATAAGGAAGGAACACTCCATCCACGAGACTAACATCGAAGTTGTGCTGTCGACAAATGCGAAGCAACTCCACGGAACGATCACATCCAATGATACTCAATCGCTGCTCCTTCTGAAACATATATTTTCCATTTCCACAGCCTAGATCGAGGACTACGGAAGCGTAAGGGAGTGAAGATAGAAAGCGAGCAACGCCCTGCCATTGCATATAGCGCGTCGCCGAAAAATGGCCAGCGATCTTATCATACACAGCATAAACATGGTCGTTTTCGAGAGACATTGGCACGCTTGTCTCACTGTCTTGAAGCAAACGAGTATGGCAGAAATCTGGATATGCGCATAGGCAAGGACCCTCTCGCTTCTGTATATGAACTCAAAGCAAAGAGGATACGGAAACAAAAACGAACAAAGTCCCATCGTTTGAACTTGCAAAAACGGAGCGAAGCGAAAAACGAACCGCTCCGCTGATTTGAACGATCTGATTTTTCCCACAATGGCGATAAGTCTTGTCTGAACGAACCTCTAGTGTCCATTCAATGGACTCCGGAGAAATAAGAATTGCCGCAAAGTCGTCACCCCACAAATGATGCTCTAAGAAAAGCGAGTATGGATCTTTGGATACTTCAAACGACAAACAAGAGGTATAGGAACACCCCAATACAGAATTTACAAAGGAAATCAACGTATCACTTCTCGAATGTGTGTCTTCTGTCGAGAGACAGTTCAAAAAAGCAGTAACACTGGCATCATCCAAATCAGTAACAGCGATACCTATCAACATAACACACATACAGTAGTACTACCATCCATGGAATCAGTAATATTCGTAACAGGAGCTACTTTCGCCTCGTTCGGCTTGGAAATGGAGCAATAGGAAGGGTGAACGGGAAGCACGTTATTTATCTTAACTGGGTCCTTTTCACACGCAGCAACAAAAGAAGAAGCTGCCTCAACAGAAGAAAACTGAACTATGGCTTTTCCTTGCCTACATTCCATCTATCGCGTTATAAATACTTTGGAGTGAATGAAAGAAGAGAAACATCCTTTTCAGGAAAGCAATTCAGTAGAGTCGCAGAATCAACGCCAGCGCCTTTTCCTTTTCTGCTCCAACGCAGAAGAAGCGTGTCTGTTGGATTTTTGGTGGAATCAAAATGAACAGAACTCATTCTATAAAACGCCAAAGAAGGTAATGTGGGGGAAAAGTGGGCGATTTAGAATACCGGTGCACTGCTGTAACGAAAACCATAAAGGAGTGGAACAATAATGGTACCTCTGCAAACAGTTTGTTTGCATCGTTTCTGCAATTCAAAATGGATAAAGATTATTCGAAATAGCTGCAACATTCAGTAGATATCAAAAACTCTTGCCAAATGAACCACCCTATTGTCTTCCCTCACCATCTGCCACTAGCATCATCTCTGCATTCATCTCAATCGTGTATATTGTTGGATTGAAGAACCAACCCCGAAAAGAATTTGCTCCTACATCCTACAACGTTCTTCGTACTCTCGAGTCTGGGTTGTGCTTAAAGTAGCCAACACAAATATCGGGCTTCAATCCCAATATTCAAAGGCAATAAAACGTGGAAACGTAGAAAAGTTCCCCAATATCTGATAGATCGCAGATCTCAAAAACAAAAACGAATGATAGAAGCGTGTCTATAAACGTGTTATCTCACTAGTAAACGTATGGTCGACTGTTTCATTTTTGGAATCGGCAAATACGATTGGGAAAGCAGTTCCTGTAAATAGGCCGGAACATCAACAAAAAACCAAAGTCAAATAGAAAAAAGAGAACTGATCCCAAAAGAGCTATCAATTCTGGGTCAATTTTAGGATTGGAGGTTCTCCTAGTTTCTCCAAAAAATAGATATGCCACAGAAACAGAAGGGCACTAAATATGCTCTTAGACCCTTCGTGTCGGGAGGATTTGCTGCTTGTTTCTCCACGTGCTGTGTAGGGAGTCATGGGATGGGGTAATTCGACTAGATATTCCCATTTGACATGGTGAAAACCCGTATTCTTTTATCCACCAAGGACAGCAATGTTCCCTCAACAATCACCACTGTTGTAAAATATATTTATAAGAACGAGGGACCTCGAGGATTCTACCAGGGCTTGTCTGCAGCATTCATGCGAGAAGCTGTGTATGGTACAGCCCGCTTGGGAATCTTTGATACTCTTTCTGGCGCGCTTAAAAAGAGACAGAATGTAGACGCAATTCCACTCTGGCAAAAAGCACTCTGTGGAATGACAGCCGGTGCTTTGGGAGGAATTATGGGAAATCCATTTGATATCGCTTTAGTACGTATGCAGGCGGATGGGGTAGCTCCCCCAGAATTGAAGCGCGGGTACCACAATGCGTTTCAGGCAGTGTTCAAGATTGCGAAGGAAGAGGGAATCCTTTGTCTTTGGAGAGGGGGTGTTCCTGTGATCTGGAGAGCAGTGGGTATGAACACAGGTTTACTTGCCTCCTATGATCAGGCAAAGGAATTCTTGGTGAAGCGGTACCCCGATAAGCCTGTTTTGTGTTCCTTTGGAGCGAGCGCACTTTCTGGATTTATTTGCTCATTTACGGCCCTTCCTTTTGACCTGATAAAAGTGCGTATCATGAATATGCGTATCGATCCAATCACTGGCAAGTTCCCCTACAAGGGATTTATAGACTGCATGTGCAAAGTCTATAAGAAGGAAGGCATTTTACGATTCTGGAAAGGATATTGGGCATTTTATTCAAGATCAGCGCCCCACGGCATGATCACGCTTATGACCAAGGAGTTTTTCACGAGCTGCTATAATAGGATTTTTAATTGTAGCTAAGTGAAGTTCTGCTGTAACGAAATCAATGTTATTAGTTGAAAATCGGTGTTTGTTGGAAAAGGTCAGTTCCCGCGGTAAAACCCTAAATAGAGAAAGGAGCTTTCTACCTAGATTTTTGATATTTATCAAAGTACGGCCCGGGGTTCTCTTTCTATTTGTTGTAGAAAGCCGTTTCCACTTGATTTTCGTGAATATTGTGACCAATGCTCGCTTTCACAGGTAAGAAATTGTTTTTCGGCAATTTTGCTCATGCATAGGTTTAAAAATGATGGCTTCGCGAAACGGTATAGAGAGGATAGATTAAGTGACCCGTAGTTCGTCTGGCTTCTACTGTTGTCGGTTCAACGTTTGAAGCAGTCAAGGTTCTTCCATATAAGAATGCTATCAAGTTTGCCAATGAAAATATTCACTTCAACTACAAGACAATGATGGTAAGTTGGTGTTGGAGAAGCTTCGGATTTTTGTGCTCACTTTTTTGCAGAACAATGTCCGCATGTTGGCGAATGGCTTTTACGAGTTGGGTATGAAGCCTGGTGATTCGGTTATGGCTTGGACCGATAGTCGCTCCGAAACTCTCACTGCTTTCTATGCTTGCTCCATGACGGGCCTTCGTCTCGTGACCGTCGATCCCAAGATCAAGGATGCCGATGTGTTTGTGTATGCGTCTCTACAAAACTTCTCACGATTAGCGACGTTCTCCGTGAGGCAGATCCGACCCTCCTCCTCTACAGCCCCTCTTCGACCCAGGGAGAGCGTGAGGGAGTTCTGAAGAGCTTGGTCCCTGAGTTGGATTCGGGTAGTTTTCTTCTTAATCCTGGGTCATTTTCAGTCCGTCTGGCGACCATGGTGGAGCCTCTGAAGAGTCGTCAGTTCCGCCACCTGCGTGCTGTGGCCTCCACGGAGTGGGACCACTCCTCGCTGAACGGTGTGACCAACTTCCGCACTCTGCTCGTCGATCAGGTCTTCCCCGATTTGGTTGCCGAGGTCTCCAAGCGCCTGGAGGCCGAGCCCGAGACCGTGCTGCTGCGCAGCTACGCCTACTCGGACGGTCGCGTGCTGAAGGTGAGAATGCGGAGCGAACTCGAGCGTAGAGCAAGGATTTGACGCAGAAGCAGGTGAATGACGCGGCGACGCGCATCGCAAAGAAGCTCCAGCTGACCGCCGATTCGATTCTGTGCCTGGATCTTCCGATGGTAGGAGCGAAGCCGGACGAGGAGTAACGCGCAGTATCTCCCCATCTCGCTGATGAGCGCTGTGGCGTGTCTGCAGAAGAACGCGATGTTCGTGGTGCCCAAGGCGAGCTGCGTGCAGGTCGTGCGCGAGACTCTGGAGAAGGAGAACGCGTCCCATGTACTGACCTCCAAGACTCACTGCCCGCTCCTGCAGGAACAGCCCGCGAAGACGCTGAAGATGGGATTGTACCCGGTAGGGGAGCAGTCGGGGGAGAGGTGATGGATAGACGGAGTGCTGCGTGTGCAAACCCACGACCGGATTGGAGACTGTCAAGTTTTAAGAGGATCGTAATAAAGCATGTTGTTGTTGATTGCCCTTCTTGTTGCAACAAACATTGCTACACACCAAACTCAGCACTATAGTCATGAACTTCCGCTCCATCGTCCTCTGCATCATCGACATCCACATCGTCGTCCAAATCGATCGAGCCCGCCAGATCATTGAGATCCAGATTTGTGGGATCCATGTCATCTTCGTCCGATTCGATGTCCAATTCCTGCATGATAGAGTCCAGGTTCTGCTGCTCGGCTTCGGTCAGTCCCTTCTCCTGGATCGTCTCCGTCTGCATTTGCGTCTGCGAGAGCGAGCTCTCCAGCATGGCCAATTCGGTCATGTAGTCTCGCGCGGGATCTTTCTTGGGCACTGGCTGCGCCTTGACTGGCTCGTCTTCTTCCTCGCTGTCGATATCGAACACATCGCCCTTCACCTTCGCGCCGGCATTCGCGCTGGCGTTCGCGCTGGCGCTGGGTTTTTCGACCGAAGGAGACGCATCGGAGGTGGAGCGGCCTTCCTTCCGGTGCAGAACTTCGCGCCAGAGCGCAGAATTCGAATCGAAGAGCAAGCTCTCGTACACCTCCATTCGATTCACGCTGGCATCGGCGACATATTCCTCCTGCGATGCATCGAGCGCCAGCTCCAAACTCATCGTATCGGGGCAGCGCGGGTCGCTGGTGGCTCCGTCCAGCTGATCCTTCGTCAATCGGAACACTGTTCCATTGATGTACCCCGTGTGGATCATGCAGCGACACAGACTTGTTCGCACGCCGTTATCGCGCAGCTGGCGGCAGCGAAGAATAATGTTCCCCTACAAAACACGAGCCGATCAATGCAAACTCGAATGGGTCGACCGCACACCACTTCCGTTGTGTAATTGATATCTTCGTCCGCACCCGCCTCTCGCGGGATCGACACGCGGGTCGCAAAGACAAGCATTCCGCAGTTAAACACATCGACCTGAACGACCGGATTGGGTCCACGCAGCGGAACGTCGATCAGCTTGATCGACTTGAGCAGAAGCGGTTCCTTCTTCGGCTGTACGCAGTCCAGCAACATGCTGAAGTATTGAATGTAGCGGCGCTGCGAAGGCGTCGTTAACTCCTCGATCTTGCCTCCACGACGGTCACAGCAGAGATGGAGGGCTTCGGAACAGTTCTCGACCCATCCTAGCCAGGCTAGCAGACACGAGCAGACGGTAACCGTGCGGCCTTTACCCGTCTATTGTGTTAACATGAATATCGATGTCAAACCAGACAATGAACGACCACCACGTTATTCTCGTCGTCAGCAAGCCACGTTTCCATCGCAATACACATCTTCATAAGCATTCCGAGAGAAGGAGCAGGCATTCCGTGAAGATCATACGATACGATCTTGACATTATATGCCAGGAAACTCACCAACATGATCCCCAAAGAGAAGTGATTCGTAAACTTCATCACTGAGATTAAAGATCATATAGTGATCTTTGTGATGCTTTTCCAGGAAACTAGCTACCACTTCGCGCGAATTGTACCGTATCGACGGATTGGGGTTCTTTGGCCACCCAGGAAAGCCCATAGCTAAAATAAACCTGGATCACGCACGAAATACCGATAATATTGCTCGAGATATACGTTAAATCCTCTGGGCGTCCCGTAACATATTCCTTCATAACATCAGCGGCATTTGCAGAAACTATTCTTTACTCTGTTGTATTGGTATGTACTCTCACTCGCCTTGTCTTTGGCAATTTGAATTCCCTAGATAATCAGTTCCTTCTTAACACACTTCACCTTCGTCACAGCTATTGATGTCGCTTGCAGTGCATCGGTTGCACGCTTTTTCGCATCGTCAAACCAACTTGACCACATTCTACACAGATAGTTTGAAAGATACGGTTTGTGCGAAAGACGTTAATTAGAGTGAATGGGTAGTATTGTGAGAGGCAGAGGGATCATGAGTTGTTTGGAGTGTTGGGCGCAATGAAAGTAAGAATGGAGTACTACGATAGGTATGTGTAAATAATAAATGCATTGAGAATTAATCCTTTTGGAATAATTGAATTTGAATAATCCTAGATATTAATTGAATAGAAATATTATAATATTAATGTTTCAAGGAAAAGAATGGAACCAATTATATAATTTGTATTCGTATATAGAATTATTAGAAAACTAATAAATAATGAAATCTGCAAGAATTCAATAATTGTGAATCATTAATTTTTGTGAATTATTGAATCCTCATTAATTGATTCCATTTATTTTTATATAGTATTGTTGAGATTTCTGGTAAACATATTTATTTTTCTGGTATTGAATAGGAATTTTGTCTTTTGATAGAATTACTGGGAAGTAGTTTTGTAACTAGCTATTCATTATTCTCAAGTGAGACATTTATGCTTTCGTTACCTAGTTTGGTAAAGAGTGATTTTGAAGGAAATGTATAATGAATACCTATTGCAAAATAGAATCATCACATGAATTAGTTTGTAGTATAGAGGATGTCAAGTATACATCGCACCATCACCCTATACGCTTTGCATAATGATTTTTAGTCCTTAGATATGCATTGACGCAAATTTATGGTTTGGTCAAGTGTTGACAAGTCGATGTATCTCACTCCATGTTTCCAGTATCCGTAATCAACAATTTTCCAATAGAAATAGTTTTGCTATTTGCTGATACATCTAATATTGCTATTATCCGATTATGTTACTTATTATAATCCAATATGACGGCTATTTGAACATTCTAATATGAATCAACTCGGAAGTATAGGCACATATTATAATATGGCCATAATGGTACTTCCGCTAGATTTCATAGTTAATTGTTATTTGAGTGTCCATTTATCAAAGTCAATTAATACTCACAACTATCAAATAATCACGTCATTGTCAAGTACAACAAACACTAATTACAAAATGAGGTATCAAACACTGTCACTAACTTATTCTCAATAGCTATAAAGTATTCGTAAGAAACGTACCAAAGAATGCAACAGAAGAAATAATCAGGGTACAAACTCACTCAACTGTTACTAGTTTAGGATGCATTTACAGAGTTTGGAGAGGTTGACGATGTGACTATCCCTTGTGACAAATATACAAAGAAACCTAGAGGCTTTGTCTATGTATTATTCCGAACAAAAGAATCAATGGAAGCTGCACTTGCCAAGAAGTCATGCAAGGTTATGGGTAATTTTACTTTCGATTTCATTAGTCGTAGGCGCTGTCGTGGATATCTGTACAGCCAAGGCAAGTGCACACAAAGAGCCAGAAAGCCCTCGTCTGTTTATTCGAGGCATTCCAACAAACGTCAGCGAGGAAGAGCTTCTCAAATTCTTCAACTCTGTGGGAGAGGTCGTTCTGAAAATTTTCCCGAAAGATCGCAACAATGGACTTCTTCGTAATTTCTGCTTTATTACCTACAAATCACCGGAGCTGGTACTCTTTGAAAGGGGACTCTTAGATAGACTCAAAAGTTGCTGAATGACGGCTATATGATGTATAATGACACGAAGCTTTCGGTTGAGCCTGCCAAACCTCGCGATGAGCTTTGTAAGTCTGTTGTTCTGCTCTTTGAGACTAGATCCTGAAGCATATCATCAGCCCACTGAGAATGAGCGCATTGCTCAAGTCGTGTCTGGTGAAGCATATAACCCGCTGAATGCTGGTGAGGCCGAATCGGGCTATCCTCCTGCCGGTCCCTACGATCCCTATATGCCGAGCTCGTACGTGGATCCAAACGCTATGTACGGAGGATATCAGTACAATCCAGCCGATTACAATGCGTATTACGCCGATGGGTCTGCGATGTATCCGCCCTCCATGGATCCCAATGCGATGTATCCTGGAATGCCCGGCGCTGGCTATTATGGCCAACCTGTCGACCCCAACTCCATGTATCCTCCCCAGCCTTCCGCTTCGCCTTATGGTCAGCCCGCCAATGATCCGTACGGTCAGGCAGGAGGCGATCCCTACGCTTCGCAGTCTGCCGATCCCTATGGTCAACCCTCGGCGGATCCTTATGCTGGAAATGCGAGTGATCCGTATGGCGCGGCTCCCAACGATCCCAACTCATTGCATCCATCACAGAACGCATCGGCGTCAGGTCTGGCGGCAAATGATGGCGCTTCCACCTATCCGCCTCCTCCTCCTCCTTCTTCTTCAAACATATCTGCGATGCCGAATCCAGCGGATCCGACCAATCCTACCAATCCTGCCAATCCTACCAATCCTACAAAGCCAGTAGATCCAGCAGATCCAGCAGATCCAGCGAACTCAGTGAACCCTACGAACCCTACGAACCCTGCCAACCCTGCCAACCCTACGAACCCTTCGAGTTCTCCTTATTCGTCTCGTCCTTTGAATCCTCCCAATCCCAATCCCAATCCCAATCCCAATCCCAATCCCAATCCCAATCCCAATCCTTATGCCTCCAACCCTCCGAATTCTGGCTATCCTCCCCAGCCAGACGCCAATTCTGCGTACCCCGCTCCGCAGAATCCTCCCTATCAACAACCCGCTGATGGGAACTCACCGTATCCTCCATCCGCTTCGAACGCCCCTCCTTACGCCTCGCCTCGCAACCCTCCAGCCCAGAACATGGTGCCCCCTCCCAATTACTCTTATCCGCCAATGAACAATCCCAACAATCTCTACCCGTCTTCTCCCTATCAGGGCTTCCCTCCCACTCCTCCCACAAACTATTCCATGCCGCCTGCCGGCTATGGAGAGCCAATGGAAAAGCGAGATGGCTATGGAGCGGATGGAACAGGCCCTTCCAAGAATCCTCTTCCCCCGTACAACAACTCTATGCCGTCCCCCTACCAAGGCGCTCCCTATTCATCTACTGGCAATTATCCACCAAATCCGCCCTACAATTATTACCCTCCGAATCCTGAATATCCTGCGGGAGGCCCCTATTATCCAACCAACCCCTACCGAGGTAATGGCTATGATCAGCGTCGCGAATCGGGGTGGAATCAGCGTCCACGGAACGAAAGCAAATGGGGTACGCGAGAGCATCATCGAAGCAATTGGGACTCGAAGCGATCGCCCTCCGCCGATCGTCGCGAACCAAGGCACTCCAACTGGGACTCGAGGGAGGATCGATATCAAGCCAATCGCCCCGTTCGCAGCCGTAGCCGTAGCCGTAGCCGCAGCCGCAGCCGTAGCCGCAGTCGCAGTCACGCCCACTCCGTTGATTATCCATTGTATGATGAAAGAGGAGAACAAGTGAAGTGTAGAGAGGATAAAGATCGCATCTTTATCTCTGGATTGGATTCGCATGTATCGGAAGCGGTGATTCGCGATCATTTCGCTCCCTATGGGCGAGTGAAGCATGTGAAGCTCCCCATCGATCACAAAACTGGAAGACAACGAGATATCGCTATGGTCACAATGGACTCGGCCGAAAGTGTGAATCGTGCTCTGCGAGAAGCGTCTCGAACAATTATGGGAAGAGAAGTTAAGCAGATGTGTGTAGGTAGAACTCCCCTTGTCTTAAGAATAGCGTGCTCAAACAAAGATTTGAACATTGTTCTGATAACTAGTATATGGCATTATTTGCTGTTTATTTGTTTATTTGTTTGTTTTACTCATTCCTTTTCCAACTTTGAAGTGATTTTTTCGAGTAGATTGGGAATTTGGTATTTCATCAGCGGTTGACCTCGCTGTGTGCGTTTTTGCATCTTATGGGCAGTTACTTTTCTCTTCTTGAGTGCATGCTTCAGCGCCTCTTCCTTTTCCTTCTTTTCTCGCTCCAATTCCTCTTGATGTCGCTTATATTCTATAAATATTATTCTACTTGCGATTTAGCATCCTACCGTCTGCCTTTTGCTTTGAATGATAGAAGGGATCAGGCTTGGGCGATTTGGTTTTCTTGGCTATCTATTAAACCATTCACTCAATCCTACATTTTCCGTTTTTCTTCTCTTTTAAATTGGAAGGTAGCTCTAGCCATAACTTGGGAATGGGAGGGATTTACCTTTATTCTCTTCTAGTGTTGCCTCATTCTTCGTATCTTCAACAATTCCAGCCTATAAATAAGGAGAATTCTTGGTCATGGACTTCTTCATAGAGTTTTCCCTTTTGCTTGCGATATTTTGAAATGATATTAGAGTTTTTATTGAATTTTTGTCTTCGTTTCCGTTCTAAAGGTAACCAAAGCGAACAAAAAGGGATTACGATAACGCTGCAACGAAATGGTGGTTGGATCGACCTTTTTATCACCAGCGTTCTCTTTGGATCTCATTCTGACAAAACCAGTAAAGGCTTTACAAAGAATAAAAAATACTCCTTCTAACAAACACCAATAAATATATATATTATTATCCCCGAATAGGTAATATATGAGCCTCCGTAGTAAACACCTCCTTATCGAAATCCACAATCTTCTTGGACGAAAACAGCAAATACAAGTATTTCAGCGTTTCCGCTGTAAAAAAGCTTTCCGCAAAGTCCTGGACCATTCCATCACCATGTACATCAGAATACATCCCATATCCAAACTGTGCTTTGCAATGTGTTTCAATGGCCTGGTAAAACAACCAGCCCCACTCCCTACACAAATAGCTACAATATTTAAGAGCACCTACTGAGCGATCGGATCCCCAGTAACCTCCTTCAGCAAGAAAAACGACTCGATAATTTCAGGACGAAGAGCGTAGTGTTTCAATCGCTGGCTGATCGTCATTCCTTTCAATTCGCTAAAGGAGCAAGACTCCGGAGGAAGGCCAGACGTAGTACTGTTGCACATCATGAAGCAGGTATACAGGACGGACCGCGCAACACGCTCGTTTCGTTGATTCATCTGCTTCCGGTAAGCCGATTGACTGTTGGAATGATAAAGGTCCAAAAACATCATTCCTGGCGCAAAGCAAGTTAGGGTTTGCATCGAGTGAATAGCTCGCTTCTTCAGCAGCTCTCCCAAGAATTGCCATCCACTTCGTTTGTTCCGCATAAGCAATAGCTGATTTACTCCCTCGATCGCCTCATTGTAGTGGAATCGAAGCTGTTGATCCTTCTTTCCCGACTGGATCCAACCTTTTAGCAGATATTCGTAATAGCTGTCCGAGCACCCAGAAATAGTGTAATGCGTGTTTAGTGCAGCACCACTCACACGCGAAAAGTAAATAATAAAGGAAAGACAAAACGAGCTAGACACATCGTTTAGGATATGATTTCGGGAAGCAATCCATGGTTTCGTGTGTTTTTATCCAAAGCCTCATAGATTTGATTGATCAGATGCGCATACTTGGGATTGCCCGTTACAGCACTCAATTCTCTTTGCTTCATCGATTTTGAATAGAATACATACCTCAATTCCAGGGTCAACGTTCCAAACTCGGCAAGAGTCGTTTTGTCTTCCTTGGTAAAAGGAATTCGAGTTGCCAGATTGATTTGGGTCTATACTATTACTCTTCTTTATGACAAAAAAATACATGGGGAAACACGCCCTTATTAAATGAGGCAAGAACCACATCTCCAGCTTCAATCGCCTTTTGTTTCAGTCGCTCATCCTGGCTCAAATAATAGCCAGAGAGAAGTCCTCCCACAACGCGAATTGTGAATTCAAAAACCGAGATATTGAAGTCCTGATTAAAGTGTAGATTCTGGTCAACCCACTGCACAGCTTCATCGAATTCTTCCTTCATATCCATAACCCACAGCGTATCCAAACTGTCCACCAACGTCATTCCGACGCCTCCCCAGTTATTCCGTCCAGTTCCAGAGACTGGACGCAGTTCGTCAAAGCCCCACGCATGACGTCGATAGTTTTCCCAAACAAATTGCATGCTTTTCTTTACCATTGCAGCCCTGGAGTCAAATAAGGATTCCCACTCTTGGCGCAGATGCGACGGAATCGTGTAATGATAAGTGCCTTCAATCATTTCCGCGTGCGGTGCTTGCTGCAGGAACAATTCCATGGATTCCACAGATGTACACTCAGAGAGAGGGAGGGAAGGCTGCGGATAGCGTGGAACAGATAAGATCGAATACGCAGTCGTCTGGGTGAACGAAGAACCATTTGAAACTGTTGTACGACTACTTGTATTGGAAGGTACAACAATTCGTTTCAGCGTGTAAGTAGAAATGTGTGTTGGCTCGAGATTCAAAGTAACAATCTCGTGCGGTTTGATCAATTTCAGTTCGGTTTGAGTAGGGAGAATGACCATGCGAAGCTGAAACTCTTCGTTCATGAGAATCTGAGCCGATTGCAAGGAGAGTTGCGATCGAACCGTCCAATCATTCTCTGGGAAAAGAGGGAGTGAGTAAAAAAGCAGAGAGCCAAAAGCAGCCGAGATATAATCACGACCATCTGTGCCGGACCCAACGAGCAGGCAGGCTTTGCTCTACAAGTAACCATTCATATTCAAGATAAGAAGTACGCGAGATCGCCGCTCAGCTTCTCGAGAAATGAGTTGCTTTCCATTCAGATACACTTCTATGAGAGAAAGCGAAGGCTTGTCGGCAATTCTAGAGACTCTAAATAATATATGAGACCAAGAATTCAGTATAGAAATGGGCTTGCTCTGGAAGTATTGCATCCTGTGCTGTGTGTTATAATAATACACTTCCAGAAGCCTAGAAGTAAAAGCAGCGTGCGAACCGAACTGGCTGTTGGAAGGAGATTGAATCAACGACAGTTGCACACCACGCTTGTCAACAAGGTCGCGATTATCCCAGATAACACCCCGAGCACCTTTCTCCAGTTGATGAAGAAAGAGAGTTGTAGAAATCTACATTCTTCAAACACAAAAGAGTGAAACAGAATAGAAAACGGGGTCAAAAGGAACTGATGAGTTTACACGCACAGTATTGTTCACTTCAAACCCAAATCTACACTCAATGAGACCAGGGAAGTTAAATGAAATACGGAAAATCTTCCAAAGAAACAACATCGGGTCCTGTAACTCCAACTTCAGAAGAAATATTACGAATGGTATTGTTCCTATTTGATTATTTAATGTTATCATCCAAAACAAGAAATTGCTTTCAAAGCCGAAACACGCACTAAAAGTGAAAAAAATGATAGTGGAACAACGTAAATAACACACCAATGAGAAGAAGAAGATCCATCATTCTTGGCAAAGAAAACTCATTTAACAAACAAGGCACAAAATTAACGATACTACAGTGTTTAATTTACCGGGATTCATCTCAATACACTTAGCACTTGGGTGCAGTCCTATCTGGGTTTCTAATTTGGTCTCTTGCATACTCTTCACTTGATTCATCATTTCCTCGAACTGGATCTCCGGGTGTTCGCACAAATACTGGGACCCAGATATCATTTCAGATCCAGCCTCATCCGTCTTGGGTTCTCCAAACTCCGAGTCGCTCTCTTTCACGCTATTTCGGAAGCTCATCTCGCTTCCATTGCTCACATAACTCAATCGATGCGAAAGCCGAGGTATAGCATCTTGCACCTTCTCTAGCTCCAACTCCTCTTCTGTGAACGGCTTTCGAAGCAGATCTGCGAAGTCGCTGGGAACTAATCGTTATAACGGTACAAAGAATGAAACCTTGCGACGATAGCAAATAGGGAGATCGTAGAACTAGCTGAATAACGGTTTCTTTGTGGATCAATGCCAGCAAGCCATCGCAGCTGTTGCTTTCGATAGGCTCGATGGATTCGGCGAGCTGGGGAGTATTCGGCCACTGATACTGAAGGCGATACACATGGATCTAGAATGACAGAGCTAAACTGGTAACTACAGAATGCTCATAGGCTAGCAAGTCTTCAGAACGCACAGCCTTGCCGATTTCTTGGAGAATCCCGAGTTGGATGGCAAACAAATACGCCAATTGGCCTGAAGGACGCAACAACCGATACTCATCGACCGATTCACTTTCTTTATCGACCGGAATGACCTCCAGACTCTCCGAGTTCGACTCATCAGGAACCTTCAACTCTTCGTCATGCTTTGCTATTTCAAGTTGTGTCAGCGGAATCTCCACAGTCGCCTCCGATTCCTCGGGCGGCAGAGCATCGCTCACGTCTTCATCCTCTTCCTCCTCGGACACGACCGTATCCAGTGCATCCGAAACCATGAACAAATTGTTCGTGGGGATCGGAAGCACCGTGGAGAGTTTGGCGAATGCTTGTGACGAGTTGAGAGCCGTTACGGAGTTGATGTACTGCAACAACGGCTCCGCTGTTCCACTAATATCGAGCTTTTGCACAGTGACCGTTTGAGCATGGAAGAGAGAGGGAACGATCACCTCCAAAACAGATTGCGTATCTCCATGAAGAAGAGTCGAAATGAACGTTTGAATCGAATCATAGTGCTCCGAGGTGTTAGAAGGCAAAAAGATGGATTGTAAAAGAGTCGGAGCAAACGAGTTCTTGCAAATTACGCGACAACGAATTTCCGACTAGATGATGATGGGAAACAGGAAGAGTGCATTACCACTTCGTTCTCCTGAGAGTGCAGAAGGCGATCGAGAAGGCGATACCACAACAAACGCAACTATAGCAATCACCCACTGCATGCTAGATAATACATCGTCTTGTGGAGTGAGAAGACCTGAAAGCAGAACCATCGAGAGAGTGGATGGGATGGAAATGCGCGGCGGGAGATAGCGGACGTTCACCACATCAAAAGCAAATAAAAGCAATTCCTTCTTTATCAAATCTTCTGAATCTTCCTGCAGATAAATGACACTTTCCAAGATATCGTAGAACGGACTATCTGGATCCACAGCACGCGCCATAACGAGCAAGCAATGCTTGCAGGCACTGATCGTCTGAGTAAGAATCTCCCCGATGGCTTTCTCATCGTCCACATGCAGGTACTGCAGTGGATCGATTGGCTCCTCGGTGGTGGTGGAAATCGGCAAGGGCACGCCGTATTTCAAAGCTTGCTGCAGCAAATACTGAAGCAGAATTAGCAAGTCATCCGTCACTTTTTGCTCGTGATTCAAAGAAATCGATCGAGCCTCTTGCAGCTGGGATTCGACACACTGCACGATAAGACAAACAAGCGATCAACCGTACATATAAAATACATCGAATCACAGCAAACAGGCAGGGCTTCATTCTGAAATCTGCCATTTCGACCTCGTGAACAGCAGAATCGCCGTTCTTGCTCTGCAACTCCGCTTCTGATTCGGAATTCATCACAGAAATAGAATCGTTTCCTTCCGATGATCCTTCACACCAACGCACTCTACCTGAAAAGTCTTCACTGGAAAATAGACCAGGAATCAAATCTCCGATGTGTGAGATAATGTGAAGATAGATCGGCTTCACGATCGCATCTTTGTTCTACACATCAGCCAATCGCTTTGCAGACCACCTTGTTTCCTGTCAGCGTGTGCATCACGTCATGAGAGAAGGATAATGGATGCCATCCATAGCTATCCAACTTGCGGAACAAGGGCGTTAGCAGAGCGGAGAGCGTAATCACGTTCGTTGTCTGGTAAATGCTGGACAAGCAGCGACTTCTATGCATTGAAACGTCTATCAATGGAACGAACGCATTGGTTTTCATGCTCTTTATGTACTTCGCTTCTTCCCTATGCATTCACCCAACAGACTCAAGACGAACTCAGAAGTTTCGTTCAGACGAATTACGTCAACTAACACGGGGACGAGCTTCGGAATGATAGAAGTTAGCGATGCCAAGGGACAGATCAACACTAACTGATAGAGAACCGATATAGCCGTGTCGTGAAGGTGAAGCGTTTCTAGGGGAGTGTCTAGCTCAACTTCACAGTCAGCAAGAATAGAATCTAGAAGATCAAAATACTTTCCATTTGTCGAGTCGTCGTTTTGATCTTTGCACTGACAAACCTTTATAAACTATTCCTCGCAGAATTCCAGAAAACTTACGAGATTCATGGCACAAATCCTCGTCTGAACATGCGATTCATTTAGACACTCCTCCAACTACATGAAACTCATTGCGAAAGGAGTACCACGCGGTATACAAAAGTTTCAAAACGACTCAAGTTGTCATGACACATATCAATGAGTGTAATGAATGCGTTAATAGAAATTGAAACATAGCTACGATCATATTCTACCTTTTGTACATACCCGTATCTCTTCTTATGCAAATCGCGCGAAATGTTCTTTTCCAATGCTCTGCTCTTAATCCAATTCCCAATAGTACTTTGAAATGGGTACAAACAATTTGTTGTTTCGCAGCGCGTGTTTTGCCAATTCCTCTGCATTCTGCGCCTCGACAGTGTCGTCATAGCCAGTTGATTGAGAGGGGTACAAGTTCTTGAGACATTTCTTCCAGGGAAGAGGCCTGCAGTACTTGCATGATAAAATGCTTATACATGCATTCATTACTGATTAAATACAATTAATATGAAAACTTTGAAAAACAGAACTATCGCGGTTTTTACAGTTTTTTAATTTCGATTTGTTGATGAGTGTATCCCATACAGTACTCAATCCAGAAGAACCTCTTCTCAGTTCGGATGAAGAAGATGACGATTTTGAGCCCGGTTTTGTTTAAGTGTCTCAAGTGATCAACAGAAGTTCCTGTTACCGATGACGGACTGTTTGTCACAACGAGAAGTGGCAAAGGGGGAAATCAGGACCAACAGACAGAACTCGATGATGTCGATGCTCTACTCAAGCGAAAGGCACAACAAATATTTGCAGAGCTGGAGCGAGAAAAAGAGAAAGATGAAGAAATAATCCGAAGTAAACCAAAACTCAGCTATGTCTTGTTTTGAATGATTATTTAGATGTAGGGTTTTATGGATATGATCACAGAGCAAAAAGATGGGTATTCGTATTTCCAGAATCTGTCAAAGCAGAATGGTGAGTCCCAATGTACTATTAATGGATCTAAAGTGGACCTTTCAAACGAAGATTTCCTTCAGTCTGTGAGGGATGCGGTAAAGTCTGTTCGTGAAGAACAGTCCAAGCAAAGCACAAAGCACATAGTCAAGTTTGCAGGAGAAAAGATTGAGTATCTCATGAATTTTGTGTATCACATAGAATAACTGGAAGCGGCTCTACTTCTCAAGAACTGGACACACTTGTAAAGTCTGTTGAGTCGAAGAAATCGATGACGACAATCGATAAATCATCATACGATTGGGACAAATACAAAGATAAAGAGGGAATCAAGGAGGAGGTGGAAAAAGCAAAGAAGGATGGATACATCGAAAAGCAGGAATTCTTGCGGCGTGTCGATGAGCGTCAATTCGAAAAGGAACGCGCTCAACGTGAACGAGAGCGTATTCGACGTGAAAGTGAAAAGAGGCAACGTATGCAATAGCCCTGGTATGAGTTTAGTCGTGTGTGTTTGCTTTTACTGTTGTTTCTATTATTGTTTTCTTCAACAAAACAATCCAAATAGGAGAACGATCTTCAGGAAGCGTGTCGGGGAAGGAATCTTTCACTTTCCGATCCTCGTCATTCAAAACATGGCTAAGAATACTCTGCAGGTCTTGTACTACACATAAGAAACCAAACTCAGCACAAACAAGTTAAATGATCATGGAGAATGATGGCAGGCTTGCATTCTGGGTCTTCTCCAAAGTGCTCCTTTCCATCCTACAACAATGAAGGCATCAGCAAAAGCCAACAATCACACATCCCGGAGAGAACGAAAGCTCCACTCGGAATCGCTTGGGATCGGTGAGATCGTAGCTCGTGTTTTCGTACATGCGAAGAAGAATATGGCTCAAATAATCATATTCCGTCACTTCATCCAGAGCCGCCAGTCCAGCGTCGGTGACTGCTCGCTGACCGGTCGACGAGCTTCCATACCGCAGCACGTTGAGAATGCCGTGAATGTGGGATTCCGAGGTGAAGTACATACGCGTGTACACAGTTCGACTGTGTCCGGAACTCTCCTCGGTGTATCGCTCGTCCGCCTTATAGCTGCTCACTTCCTGCAGGTGGTCGGACTTCTCGATAAACTTGCTGCAAGGACCAAACGCAGAGATTCGCAGATCCTACGCGTAATGAAGCTCTTTTCGCTCCCTTACCACATCGATCTTGATTAGTAAATTCTTCACGATATTCCGTCCAATCAGCATCTTTTCCCAAGTATACATACCGTACTCCTGGGGGACGATAATGTCCGCCAGAACCTTGCTCTTCATAAACAATTCATCGCGACTCTTCAGCGGGAGTCCTGCGTTGTGGATGCAATCAAACTTGATGCAATCATACAACGTCGGGATCTGTAATCTAACCAAACCAAGAACAACGCCTGCCTTGCTCAAATCAAACTTTTGCGTGCGGATATCGAAGAAATCCTTTTGCAGCTTGACCCATCGGCCGAGCGCCAGATTCACCGTCTCCATTTCGTAGCCCATCGCAGCCTTTCCCTCCGCCGTTCTTCCGTACGTAAACAGAGAATGCGTGAGGGTTTTGATGTCGCTGTATCTATCGGTTACACAGCCCTTCGACTCTCACATGCTCTCAAGATACTTGCGAGCATTTCCCACTTGGTGCAGTGCATTGATCACACTTTGATTTCCAGAGGGACAAAGCCGATGGATTCGTTCTTCTGTCATGTCTCCCTCTTCGATTAGTGTCGAGTACAGCCGTGCCTTCACGTTCTTCAGCATTTCCATCGCCTTGCTCGTATTGTCCAGCATGTAATCTGCCTGGCGATGGCAGTGAACCATGCTCACCATAATCGGAGTCAAGTGCTCGCCCTCCACATCCAAACACCCCTTCGCAAAGGCAGCGGCTGTGGTGCGAACGCGGCCTTCTTCGGAGGAGTAGATTTTCATATCATGCCGGTAGGTATTGTGCAATCGCAAGAAGAAGGCATCCCCTCCATACACTTGGCGACGGAACATTTCCCCTAAATGAATCGCCTGCTTCCTGCCGGTTTGGGTCAGAACGCCTCCCCACTTTACGATGAATAAAGCCTCCGTCACGACTAGACTTCACTCCAATCCCGAAGCATTACTCATCTTCTTGCTTTTGCTTGACAAATCTTCGACAGAAGGAGATGAAGCGATCGGAATATTGGGAAGACTCGGATCCTTCTTGTCTTGCTTTTCGATCGTCTATACGTTTTGATCCCGTCATCCAAATCACCTACTCGTTGAACTCCTTCCTTTAACTCGAAGCAAGGATTCATCGAAGATAGTCCATGAGACTCTTTCGAATCTTCTTCCCCCTCCATACAATTGCTAAAAGAATTTTTGCGTTCCGATTGTTCCGCTTCTTGGGACCCTGCCGCAGCCCCTTTCTTCTCTAATCCTAATGTAGAGAGAAATAATCTTACTATTCGGCAAACCAAGATCGTCAAGGCTTGTGCGCAGCTCGTTGGGTGGAGCGAACGCATTGTCATCGTTTCCAGCATCCGAATTGTCGTCGTTCTGCTCTGCGTCTATCACTTGGGGCGCTTCTTTCCACTGCAAAGGACGGAGCTGGATCTTTCTGTTAAATCCTCGGAACTGTCCGCCTTGCTGCAAAACAGCCACGAGCTGGAGCAGCTTGTTCTTCAGCACAATGTCCTTATTCTTTTCTCTCATCTCCGAGGACTGAGCATCGCTCATATCCGAATCGTAAGTACACGGAACAGACTCCATTTCGTGAATCTGGTCCCTCACGACCGAGACAATGTAATTCATCTGCATGGCTTCTTTCACTTTCACCTCTTTTCGATGGTCCTTAAATAAACTACAGATCAGCACGGGTGCAAAATTAGGACTGTTGAAGCTTTTCAAGCAATGACTTGGTTGAAACCTTAAACTTCAATTTCTGCTTAGGAGTTCTACAAAGGTTACCATCCCGTAGATATCAATAAGTACCGATCGCCATGACGACAAACACAAATCACAGCACGCAACGTTTCACGATCTTCGCAAGGCACAGGAGTTCTTTTATATTCATCTTCCAACTGTTGTCTTTCTCGCGTTGACATCTCAAGCTCCTCCGTATCCACTTTCTACTCCATTAACCATTAATATGCCTTGTCCTTACTCGCAGGATTTCGGGACACAAGTTTTTATAAACGATCAGCATGATCAAATGGGCAGCATCGTTCCAAAACTTGGCGTTCTTCTTTACAAAGCTGACTCCGTTCACATCGCAAATGTACGAAGTACCACGGTCACGCAACAAATCAAACCCACAGATCGTTTGCTTAAATATTGTAGCGATCTTTCGACAAATCTGCTTTTCATCGTACGTCAGCAAAATAGGATATCGAACCTCCTTTCCGTTCTCATCCCGATCCACGCGGCCATCCACGGTCGGCGACTTTCTCGCCTCGGCATGGACGTACGAAACGCCCACCGAGTACACTTTCACGTCTGTTCCCTCGGTTTGGAGAAAGCGTTCATAAATGTAAGACCCATCTGTGCGAATATGCGAGTGGTCTGGATAGTACTGACTACTCTGATTGCTGTGTTTGCGGAACAGTTCCTTCATTCCACCTCCATCAACGCGAGAATAGTAAATGCGAACTCGATGGTCCTCTGCATCGACTGGTTTTTCCACAAAAGGCTTTTCTAATTTGACACCTAGCTAATAAGGGAAAGAGCAAAACGATCGTACCGTTGAGCATAATGTATTCCTCATGCTCTTCAAAATCTCCTTGAACCACTCCATTCTCATCGCGCTCCACAATCAAATAGTCAGGAACTTTGATTCCCTGGTAGGTGAGACATATTACGTTATTGGTACATTATCCTTGAGCATCTTGTGAATCGTTCGACGATCAAAGAACAAGTTCAATAAAGGAACCAAAAGATATTATCATTATTATTATTATTATTATTACCACAGGATATTTTCTGCATTGACAAGTCGTTGAGGGAATACGGCTTTCGGAGCTCCACATATGAGATTGCCTTGTCCAAAGGATAACCTATATTATAACACGCTTGCAATAAGGTACCGTCCGAGTACCAACCCATAAGAACATCTACAATGGGCCATTCCTCGATCGGAGCATGAAGAATAGTTTCTTCTTCAAAAATCACGATTTCGACAAAAGGGCGGATTCTCTCCATGAGCATCTTCATCGGCGATGCTTCTACCTAAACGTTATGAACCATTTTCGTCAAGTACTTTCTTTCTCATAGCACAAATTCCGAATCGATATTTCTTAGGGGCTACAGGCAGAGACTTGTCCATTTTGCAGAAAAGAAATAGCTATCGAAAGAATCTACAAAAATACTTTAAAAAATCAGGATTTTTGTCAATCGGGAGAGTGAATCATTTCGTTTAAATGGAGAATTTGGAAGGAAAAGTAATAAACATCTGGAGATTGAGCTCTCTAGTCAGTAGTTCAAACTATGGCTATGTCTATCAAGGTAGGTTACTTGGTATGGTTTGTACTTAGTGACTTTGGATTCGGATAGAGAGCAGAAATATTATATGACCATTTTATGCGATGATCGCGATACTTTAGAAAACGAGAAAGCGAATTCGACAAAGAGGGTATCTTTCAAGGCAAATGTGATCCCAACGTTTAGCTACTATGACTCTCATTGTTTGTAGCTACTTATAGATTAACGAAATAGGTTTCCCTATTATTCCTTTGAATGGCGCTACGGGAGTTTATGAAAGTCACAAATATTTTGTATACGAAAATGTATCCAGGGATTTAAAATCAGTAGTGTTGGATAACACCTTGCATGTGTCTCGGGATGATTTAGTGAATATTGCTATTCAGATCTTGACAATCCTGCAGTATTTATTTGAAAGAGGGATGGTTTTGAATAATCTCACAATCGATGACTTTGTTCTTCGTCGCACGACCAGGGGATATAGGGTTATTCTGCTCAATCAGGAGTTTTACACGGGTGAGCTTATGAGCATCGATGATACGACCTTCGTTTCCCCCTCAATTCTGCATGGAAATGGTAGAAACAGAATGTGTTTGTTAAATTGCAGAGCCCACAATGCGTGATAATGTGATCTCGGCCGTGTACATCATGCTTTACCTGATTAATTGTATCTTATTTCGATTCGATTTGAGAACTAGCGACTCTTCCTTGGATCGGAAAGACAGAAGAGGAAGCGGAGTCTATGAAAATGGACGAAGTTGTGATGAATGCGGCTTGCGGAGAGGAGTTCCGTGTATTGTACGAGATGTTGCAGAAGTTTAACCTGCACTCGACACAGATACCGCAGTTGGACACGTATCTTGATACGTTGCGCAGTATGACGACAAAGAAGAACGTTACTTTTGGGGTAAGTGATTGGGAAATGGTAATAATAATGTATAGCATGTGCTTAGCAAATATGCCAGGATGAGTAGAAGTCATTGAGGAGGAGAATTATGTGTAGAGAGAGTGCCTAAACAGGAGGAGAAGGAAGAAGTGAAGGAGAAGGAGGAAGAAAAAGTCGAAGTGAAGGAGGAGGAGGAAGCGAAACAAGAGGAAGCGAAACAAGAGAAAGTGAAGGAGAAGGAAGTGAAACAGGAGGAAGAAATTGACAAAGACGAAAGAGAAGAAGTGAAGCAGCAGGAAGAGGAAATTGACAAAGAAACGAGGCCGGAGGAAGTGGAAGCAGAGGTGAAGCAGCAGGAAGAGGAAATCGACAAAGAGGAAAAAGAGGAAGTGAAGCAGCAGCCACAGCAGGAAGAAGAAATCTCAGCCTCCAACCCAACCGAAGCCTCTCGTGCTGCTTGATGTCTCTCCTTATTTATAGCCAATGACAATGAATTGCCATCGAATGACCCAACAACGGCCAGTGAAGTCCTTCTTCCCGTTCCTCCTCTGCGTTGTCCTCAATTGTAGAAACCATCATCCAGAAAGAGAGAAGCCCCGGAAGAGACTGCAGAAAAGGAACAACCAAAGAGACATCGGTTATCGGCGAAGTGGACATGGTTTTTGATGTCTTCCGGAGTAACATGTAGGAAAGAGCGCATTCACAAATATGCTTCCTCTGCCACTCTTAGCAATCTTTTATTGCTTTCTGCCACCTTCCTGGCTGCGCAGTAGTAACTTTTCATAATTAAATGTTTGTTCCAATAGATTTTGAGCACCAAATTTTGGTGCAGATTGTGTCAATACAACCTCATTTTTACAGATTTTTTTATTTCGCGGTATGATTCCTATCTCTTCTAGTCAAGTCGTCACTCCAACATCACCTCCGACGGTTGAGGAACAACCATCTTTAGATTTAACCATTAAAATTCCAGAGGACTCGAATGTTGCTATTTCTGAAGAGAAAAAAAAGCAAGACGGGTTAACACCTCGGACCATTGAAAAAATGAAGAAATCCGAGTTTCTGGGAAATGGTCCCTTAGTTGCCACAATTTGGAAGATGACTTACCCAGATCTGGTTGCAAAGGTTGTCAGTTCGTTATACACTTTAGTAGATTCTATCTGCATTGGACAATTCGCAGGTGACACCGTTGAAGAGAGGAAGATTTCCCTGGCGGGTCAGTCATTTGCATCGCCTATTGAAATGTGTATTATGGTGGGTCTTTCGTTAATCTTTGCACAGGGCGGAGGCCCTTTATATGGCCGTTATTTGGGAAGAAGAGATGAAAAGACTGCTCGCCGCGTAGTTGGAAATACCTTTACTATGGATATTATTCTTGGAATCGTTATGGCAATTGTATTGCCATTGATCGCTGAGTGGTTACTTGTTCTTTTAGGTGCTTCCGAGGCCGCTGGGACCTTGGAGCCTGCAAAAAAGTATATTTATCCTTTAATGTATGCAGATATCCTCTATAACTTCTGCTATGGAACTAATAATCTGATGAGAGGAGAGGGTGCTGCTCTGTATTCTTGTAGTCTAATGTTGATTTCTGCAATAATCAACATGATTTTCGATTTTATATTCCTAAAGTTCTTAGGATTGGGGATTCAGGGAGCTGCTTTTGCTACTATTATTGCCTATATTTGTTCGTCGTCATTTGGTCTCTGGTTTTTCCTGTCCAAACGCTCGGCTGTCATTGTTCGCTTAAAGGATATGATTCCTGACTGGAAACTGGTTTTAGAAATTATGAATACAGGTCTCAGTGGAATGGTGATTGGGCTTTCTAACGGAATTATGACGATCGTCTCCAACCAGTTGGTTCTCAATTTCTCGCCCTATCCTCGTGACGATCCGCTTACTGTTGCTGCAATCGCTGCGTCGGGCAGTCTTTCCAGAATGCAATACTTTTTATTTATTCCTATCAATTCTATTGCTCACGGCTGTGTGGCTCTTCTAGCCTATTGCCGAGGAGCGAAACTAAGTAAGCGCTTCATAAATGCCTTGCGCGTGTGCTTTATCGGGCAACTCATAGTTTGTATCATTTTATCGGCTGGTTGCCTCGTTTTTTCAAATCAATTAGCTACCTTATTTAACAGTGATGAGGAATTTATCAAGATTTTCTCGAAGGGTCTTCGCTACATGACAGCGCTTCTCTTCCTTTCTCCCTTCTCTTGCACATTGTATCCTGGATTGCAAGCGATTGGACGTGGGTTTGGAGCTGCAGTTGTTCTGTTCGGAAGATCTTGTCTGTTTACGTGCTGTGCCCAGTTCATTATGTGCTGGATCCGACAAGATTACTGGGGTACTTTCATGGCTTATCCGTTCGCAGATATTGTCGCAGCCCTTTTCGCTACCATCTACTACTTCTGCGTCCGTAAGGAAATACACGGAGAAGAGAGAAAGAAAGAGTTACCTATTCAGTGTTCTGTTTGTTTCTATCAAACGCTTTCTTGGTATATATATATATATATAGTGTATATAGTAAAGGAAAATACCAGACTTTCAAAACTCCAAAATAAGTCCCCTTTTTCTTCCAAGTCTTATACCATTTCAAAGTTTATTAGATTCTGTAAGCTAGCTCAATGGCATCGATTTCTGAGGTCACTGCTAAAATTGAAGAGTTGGAAAAGCGTTTAGACGTTGTTGAGGTTCCTTTGGTAGATTGCTTTCATTCATTAGGAAATGGAGAGAGCACAGGCTGTTTGTGACACACGCTCTTTAGAAAAGGAAAACGAAGAAGTACTTGTTTCATTTGCCTTTTCTGATTGTTGTAGCTCCGTGCTGAAAACGAAGCACTGAAGGTCATGCTTCAGAAATACGAGTATCGCGTTAACCACCTTATTCGTTCTCTGGAAGAGGAAGAGAAGAAAATGGAAACGGTTGACAGATTGCAGTACCGTATTAATCACCTTATTCGATCCCTTAACGAGGCCGAGAATGGAACGTAAGGAGTTCTCTCCATTCCTTCTAATGTGTTTAGTACCGGTGTCTCTAACTCTGGAAAGCCCGCTATTGAGGAGGCGGATCCTTTCTGGAGCCTTAACTTGGTTGTTGGACGCATTGTGTCCGTGAGTATTTGATGTTTCGATGATCGGCAGGCGCACAAACATCCCAAGGCAAACAAACTGATTTGTGAGGTGATTGACTGCGGAGAATTCGGTCAGGAGCGTCGAATCGTCTCTGGTTTGTATCCCCATTACCAACCTGAGGAATTGGAGGGCAAGCGTGTGATCATTTTCGCCAATCTGAAAGAAGCACTTCTCCTCGAGTCTCCTAGCCATGGCATGGTTCTCTGTGCTTGCAGTGCAGACCATTCTCACGTCGAAGTACGTGGTTAGACAGCCGCAACATGTAGATTCTCGAGCCTCCTGCTGATGCTGCTCCAGGCACGCGTGTGGTGTTGGAAGCGATCCCCAGCTTCAACACTGCGACGGAAGAAATCAATTCGCGAGCGAAGAAGAATAAGTGGAGTTTTGTGCAGCCTGTTAGGCCTTGAAAGGAATGTGAGTCTTAGGAACTGCGCGTGGATCTAAATGGAGAGGCGGTGTACAAGGGATATCATTTGGTGGTGGACGGAAAGCGACTGAAGGCAGCAACTCTCAAGGATGCCCCGATTTCGTAGAGGTACTTGTTTGAGCACAAACACACAAAATCTATGTTGTGTTATGTTACATCTCTAACTCCTCTTTCAGAATGCGTTGCGTTGTGATCCATGACGAGCGGGCAATGAGGGGAGCCTTTCCATGCTCCTTGATGTAGGATCGAAGATAGGCGATGGAGAGAGGGTCATGAGGATAGCCTGTTCCCAATTCAACATCCAGTTCTTGCGATAGATGTGCCATAGCTCGATCTCTTTCCACCTACACATATAACACTCGAGAACCAAGCTCACTTTTGCAATGACTGATGCTGCAGCAACACAGATATAGTTCGCATCTGCGTGGAATTCGCATTTTACGACCGAATTAGGAAAGAGTTTCCGAACTTCAGTATCCAAACGGTTCTTTTTACTCACAAAGGCATCAACGATCACTTCGTCAACGTCATCATCCAAGAAGCGCGATAAAAGGTTGAGAATATGGTTCTCTTCTATTCGATTCATTGACAGTCCTTGTTTTCTTAGTTTATCGATCGACAAAGATGATAAATGGTAGGAGTAACTTCGAGAAACTCTTTCCAAAATAAGGGAGTACAAGGAATCGCGCTTTTCAGGTAGTAACTCCTTGGAATCCTTCACACCTATCTTTTTGAAATATTCATCCTCTTGGGAGTCTAATAAAACAGAGCTCATCACCATTGGACCCAACACGGCTCCTCTTCCAGCTTCGTCAACTCCAACACGCAGTATGGAAAGACACCGCGCATGGAAACTAAATGGCAAATGGGAAATATGCCTAATCGCAGAAGAAAGCATACCCTACAGAATGAGAAAAATAGGTGAAAATTTTGGAATCACATATACACATCATAGGTGGCATAAATGCCTAAACGATCAAAGAGGAAATGGCTGAAGTGGTTTATATGCTGTTTATGCCTTTTCTTAGTTGTGGTCGTATATGTGTCCGAATGTGAATTGATTTCTTATGTTTAGAGAGCTAAAGCTCGTTCTTAATATAGCTAATACATTTTTGAATGGGGATCACACTCATTTGCGAGATGTTGTATTTTCAATTGTATCTTATGACTATTGTAGAAAAAACCGCAATTTGTGGGATTTAATTATTCTGTTTCCTTGATTACTGTTTGTGAGTAGGTTTCCTTTGCTTTGCTTCCTATTAAGTTATTCTCAACTCCATAATCTGTTTTATATTGTGAATGCGTGGATGGAGTATAGTTTCGGGGGTATAACTGATCTACAGCTCCATTTCTGTGGGTTTAGGAGTGTTCTCTACTGAAATGGATTACATAGATGAAGCAATAAAGGAGATGCACCTTCCTTCTCGAGTTACGATTTCAAAGTTATCATCGTATGGTAACTCGTTCCGGATCAATGCGCTACGCAACCTAGCACTTTCAAAAGCATCAACCACTCATGTTTTCATAGCGGATGCTGATATTTTGCCTGCATGTACACAGAATGAGTCCAACTTTGACTTTACAGATAATCTTCGCGACACATTTTTGTCTTTACCGTTTCATCTTTTACAAGACTCAGCCCAGGCATTTATTGTGCCCTTATTTGACGTTCCTTTCAAATCAATTCCCTGTAAAACTTGGGTCTCCTGCATTCAACCGTAAGACGGATGAGGACATCAAGTCAATCGTATAGAACGAACCAATATTTGCGTATGAACAAGAATCAGTTGGTGTGGTGTCTTCGTTTTGGAGGGTGTCGATCTCTCGGTGAGAAGGATTCCAATGTTTTATTTTTGCGAATTTGGATGATGGATTGTAGATGTACTTGCCCAAAGATTGGAGCCAAATCCCGCCTACGAACCACACAATTCCATTACATTGCTGGGACAATCCTTTCCAAGAGCCGTATCGTTGATGTTTGTGGATTGAGAAGCAGGTTCGTCATCGTGAGCAAAACGAATTTGCCTCTGTTTGATGAAGAATTTGTGGATTATGGATACAATAAGATCCAGTGGATTTCGTTGCTACGTTACTCGGGGTACAAATTCACCGTTTTATCCAATTCTTGGGCGTTTCATATGCGTCATTCTCCGTTTGTGTTCACATGCTGAGCTGTGAAATGTAGATCGATCTATCAACGTCGATCAAAGGAGAAGAGCGATCCAACTCAGGGGAAGAAGGGAGGCGTGAATACAAAGAAGATATATGACCGTGTGATAAAGAAGTACGAGAGTGAGTTTGCGAATGTGTATCGATTGCCAATTTGCACTGTTCAAACCACCACCGTAGTGGTTCCGGACAAGAAAGCGCCTGTCCGAAAAGGAGGAAAGAAGCGAATTGTGCGAAAGAGTGCTGGCAAATAACCTATTTTTATCAATGGAGTTTGTTTATTGTATATATGAATTTTTTAGAAAATATATAATTATTTTCCACAGAAATCCATCAAACAGGTTCAATGAACTGACGTTTTAATTCTTCTTTAAAGTGAACACAGAATCAACAGCCGTGAGCGATCCATCGTGCAGCTGAATCAGCGGGTTGATATCAATCTCCTTAATCTGCTCGCACTGCGTCATAATCTCCGACACGATCGCGATGTACTCCGCGAACTTCGCCCGATTCAGCGCGGGCTGTCCTCGGAAGCTTCCCCTCATTCCTCCCTTTCATCCCTACCCATTCAGCATCTTCTGCGTCTTCAAATTATCCAGCGACATCTGCGCCTCCTCCACGCTCACCGGACACATGTTGAACACCACGTCCTTCAGCACCTCCACCAGCACGCCGCCCAATCCAGACACCGTGATCGGCCCGAACGTCGCGTCGCGGTTGGCTCCGATCATCATCTCCGTTCCGAACGGGACCATCTTGTACAGCATCACGCCGTGATAGTCGATGCCCTGCTTGCTGAACTTCGCGTTCAGCTCGTTCACCACCGCGCAGGCCTCTTCCGGCGTCGTCAGACCCAGCTTCACGCCGCCCACGTCGCTCTTGTGAATGATCTACACGCGGATCGATCGATCAAGAACCAATCGGTACATTCGGGGACACGATCTTCGCCACGAACTTGTCCTTCGCGTCCGTCTTCGCCTTGCTCAGGAAGTCCGCAGCGTCGTTTCCGGCGGTCACCAGCTTGTAATCGGGGGTTCGAATGCCGCACGCCGACAGAATCTACCTCGCACGCCTCTCTCTCCCGTACGTCGTAGCCCTCGATCTCCGTGAGCGTGTAGCGCCCCTTGCTCGCCACCTTGTTCACATATCCGTTGATCAGCTGCGCGTCGATCTTCGGGTGCGTCTCGCTCTTGACCGCTCCCATGAGCTGCAGATACTCGCTGTAATCCGCGAGCTTCGCCAGCACGCGCATTCCCTCCTCCGGCCCGCTACACTCGACGCCTTTTCCAGCCCAAACTCATAGACCGACATGCCGACCTGCTTCAGATAGTCGCGAATCACATCGTCGTCCGGGTATTTCCCGCCGAACTCCAGCACGATGAACGGCTTCTTGGTCTTCCCCGGACCGAAGTTCTTCTCGATCGTCTTCGCCATCTCCAGCGGGAGCTCCAGGCCGGGCGCGCCGGGCTGGTACGCGAAGATGACCGAGTCCACGTTGGGGTCGTCCAGCGCGAGCTTGGCGGCCTCGATGAACTCGTGCGTCTTGACGGAGCCCGTGAGATCCATCGGGTTCGAGCACGCGTAGAACGGAGGGAACGTCGCGCGGAACTTCTTGATCGTCTCCGGAGAGAAGTCCGTCAGGTTCATCTTGTAGGTGTCCACCGAATCCGCGAGCAGCACGCCGAAACCGCCCGCGTCCGTCACCACTACCCATGAAAACGCTTTCGACAAGCGGACCTGCAACGCGCCGGCCTTTGGGGAGCGGCTGGTTGCGAAGCACCGTGCCGATGTTGTGGAGATCCGCCCAGACGTCGCAGCGAATCGCGCCGGCCTGGCCGTCAATCGCCCTCTTTGCACGCTACGTTGCGGAGAAGCTGGTCGCAGACGGCGTCGTTCGCGGCGAGGGACGCGCTGTGCGACGCGGAGGCCTTGGCGCCGCTGTTTCCACGGTTGGCTTTGAGCACCATGACCGGCTTCTTCTGGGAAATGCGCTTCACGCTGCGGATAAACTCGGGAGCGTTGTGGAAGCCTTCCATGTAGGCCCAGATCTGCTTCACGGAGGGATCTTGCTCGTAGTAGTCGATACAGTCCTTCTCGTCCACATCGCACGCGTTGCCGAACGAAATGAAGCGAGAGATCCAGGGCTCTTGCGTCGCGCCGGACAGCTGGGATGACGAGAAATCGGAAAAAATACCTCGTTCAGCAGGGCAGTGCCCAGCGCACCGCTCTGCGAGAACAAACCGACAGGACCCAGTTTGGGCTTGGAAAGACCGCGGTCGCCGATAAACATCGTGTCCACGTTGCGAGGATCGTAGACTCCCATGCAGTTCGGTCCGATGATACGGCACTTGTACTCATTCGCCAGACGCACAATCTCCTTCTATCCATTCAACCATGACTCGAAAACCCACTTCTGCTTCGATTCCCTCCTTCGTACCGGTCTCACGGAAACCTCCAGGAACAATGGTGACCCACTTGGCTCCGCGCTCAAGACACTGCTTCAGCGCGTCCACAGTAAACTTTGCAGAGATCGAAATGACGACTCCTTCGATGGTGTCAGGAATCTCGGAGGCAGACTTGTAAATCGGCTGGTCAAACAGCTTTCCACCTAGTGTATAAGCGATCGGACACTATAGGAACCTTTAGGATTCACAAAATAGGTTTTTCCTTGGAACTTGTGATAAAAGTTATCAGAAATAATGTATCCAAGACTTCCTTGCTTTTCGCTAGCACCAATAATAGCATAGCTCTTGGCATCAAAAAAGCCATTGATTGGATAGCTCTTGAGAGAGGTCGACAGAGCACGGACTACATTCCGTGTTTTCAGTACAGAAAAACTTCGAGAAAGCATAGTTCCAGGCAAATTCTCTAGAATACAATGAAGCGCACAGTCATTATTGATTTTCAACTCCTGCTCTTCTTTGTCTCAGTGGATGGCGGTATCTCATTATTCTACTCTATCCCGGATATAGATTATGAGCGAGCAGCAAGAAGAGTCTATTCATTCAAGTAGTGTTGACGAAGTTAGCGTGCAACAGTATGATGTTGATATTACCACGCGATCTGGGGATCAGGGAATGAGTTGTCTCTATAATGGAAAGCGTTTCCCTAAATCTGATATCCATTTTGAAGTGTTGGGGACACTCGACGAATGTAACAGTTTTATAGGATTATCTCGTGAGTTTATGACTGACTCATGTTCTCTTTTGGACAGTTATTTGGAAAATGTTCAATGTTTACTCTTTGATGTTTGTGCTGCCGTTGCTACTCCACTTAGTCAATCGAGGGAGCGTCAAGTGAATAAAACTCATTTTTCAGAATCCCATGTACAAGAGTTGGAAAAGTGGTCCTACTTATTGGACAGAGAGTTACCAAAGCAAGATTCGTTCATTTTGCCTGTATAATACTGTACTTTAATAATAATAATCTGTAGTCAGGAGGCAAAGCGGCAAGTCATTTGCATGTCTCGAGAGCAATTTGCAGAAGAGCCGAGAGATCGCTGAGCATGCTTTTGCAGAACAAGGATGTTAGTACCTCGGTATATCAGTTTGTGAATCGTCTCAGCGATTTCCTTTATATTGCAGCTCGCTACGCATCAATGAAAGAGGGGACGGAGCCAAAAAAGTGGCATAAGTGTGAATAACAAAAACAAACAAAGTTGTAGAGATGTTTGGTTAAATAGATATGGTTGATAACAGTTTCATCATTACGCACTCGTTCATCTTAAGAGCGCAAAAGAGGTCCTTAATGCGATTCATGATAAGACCCAATTTTTCTGCCTTAAGAACACTGTATTGACTTTGTTTCAGCTCCAACTGGGGAGGAATTAGACTGGCTTCGATATCTTGTCTCCAAGCGATAAAAGAGTCTAAAATGAGACATCGTGACGCAATACATACTCCGAATTTCACTATCTATCGAAGGATTCTTAAAGCACAGGTCTAAAATCCTAAATTAAAAAACTGCATAAAACACCCACTTTAAACTAGCATTGATGATTCCAACACACTTTCCGAAAGCGTCTCCTTCCTTAAAGCCAGTATTGAATCCATTCTAGTTGAAAACAGTAATGTCGAGTCCTACTTGAAATTGCTGTTCATAGGACTTATTAGCTCCATCACCATATCCCATCTATCAAATTATCCAGTCAAACTACGGACTACATTGTACAACTCCTTCTCCTTGCTTTTCAGAGTTGCCTCCATCATTTCTCTCTCATTTGCCTCATTTCCTTCAAGAAAATCAGCCATTTGGGTTTATTCAAAACAAAGCTGTAACAATCGTTTCCTTCGATTTACTTCTTTCAGTCGCTTTATCGAAATTTGATAGTTCTGTAAACGCGTTCGAATCGACCAGTCCCGACTTTTGACCGCCTTGCAGGCGTTCCTCACGTTTTTATTGGCCATTTTCACCCCATAAACAATCGTTTCCTCATCAGTTTCGGCTTCTTCATCCGCCTGTTTCAATTGCTGCTCCTTGTAAACGCCGCTCTGCCCCCATTCGATCCTATCGTTCTCTTTGTATACAGCGGTTTTATAGTTGGGAAGGCTGCGGATCTCTTTTGGCTTTTCCTACTGTTAAAAATCAAAATTTAAATCGACTGTGGATGGTTTTGATAGGAGGGGAGGTGTAACGATGTGTTGGAAGAAAGCAGAGGACTTTGACGGATACTGTATGGTACGAATTGATCGTGGTGGCTTGAATTCTCGAAAAGCAGCCACTTGCGCTTTGGGTTTAGAATCAATAGGCGGTTTCATAACCGTATTCTTCTTTATCTGGTCTTCCACAGAATCCAACAGTCGAGCAGCAGGAACGACCTACGCTGATCAGAAGGGCTGTAGGTTTGGGATACCAATTCATCAAACATGCGGAGGACTTCATCGCAGAACCCAATAACAGTACCCACATGTGCTACTTTCTTACTGAGGATATCTGCAGACAAGGATTCCAATCTACTTTGTTTTACTAGTGCGGATCCAAGGAATTCTGATGCAGACCGTTTTCTACCCCATACGACGTCCTTTATTGGTTGTATGGACGCCGGAGGAGGACATGGAAGAGAAATCTCTACCGGACGAATAAGTGAAGCTAGATGTAATATGGTTATGCTGTATAGGTACCATTCATAAAAAATGTGGATTATTTACATAATGAGCAGAAGGAGGGAAAACCTTCTGTTCGTCCAATCAGTATAGAGAAAACAAGAATTAAGAAAAGTTAATAATATTTCCATTACAGAGACCACAAGAAAAAGAAAAATGTGCTGGATTCCAACAGGTGGAGTTGGGAGTTCCATTGACGAAGCAATGCTCAAACTACACTCAATGCCGCTATCAGGACCTACAACGACTTCCCAAGTTGTCGATTGGATGACGCGTACAGTAGCATGCTGCTCTGCTGTATCATCACGATACCAGTGCTGGCTAAACGGTTCACACAATCAATTGCATCTACTTATCTTCAGTAGCAAGAAGAATAAAGTTATTTGAAGGGCAGAACTCCAGAGAGATAATTGAAACATCATTTCGAATGTTAATAAACTCCAGAATCGATCCTTTGGTTTCTGGATCCAAGCTTAGGACAGCTAAGCGGCAATGCACTTTCCCGACTCCAATATCACACTTGGCAGAAGGGTGAAAACCATACTGGATATCGTTCGGATCTATTCGCGACAGGCCAACACACAATACCATGGAACGAGGATTCGACGGCGATTTCCCCCTCTTTGTCTGAATTCAAGTTTTGCTGCATGATGCGAGTAAAGCTCTTCTCATGCGACAGATCGACAGTTTGTGGCTCGAACAGATGGTTGGAAAACAAAAGAGCACGATCCAGAACAGGACCATAGCTCATGATACAATAAGAAGGCTGCTGAATTTCTGGAGGTCCGTCACTATCTCAGAAAGAAGACAAGATCGGTACATGACACAAAGGAGAAACATACCGCACGAACTAACGGAGAGTCCCTCTGAATTAAGAAAAACAGCACTCGTTGTAATCGTGATTGGCTGTGAAACGCTAAAGGTATCTGTGATCTTGAGAAGATATTCTTGGATCGTGCCGAGGTCTTCTCTTTGATTGTTTGGCACTGGAATGGTGCTATTTATATGTGAAGGATTTGTATTTGGAATATTGTTGTGTAGTTGTTGATTTATCACTCGATTGGGTACATGAATATTATTATTATTTCTATCTGTGTTTTGGTTATTTTGAAGATCATTCTCATCATTGCTTTCATTTGTATTGTTATTTTCATTTTCATTTTCATTTTCATTTTCATTCACATCATCATCATCATCATTGTTGTCGTTGTTGTTTACATTTGGATTATTGTTTCGATTATCAGCGATCTTGGAGCCAACCAACAGAAGTTCTCCTCCTCCAGCAAAAAGAGAGATTTCAACCTTCCGATTCACACAATGAATGATTCGTTTGGGAGATCGATTTGACTACTGAAAAGCAAGGATCAAGAGCTACTTCGTAATCCCAGAGAAACACACTATCATCACAACAGAACATAACCAGATCCTTCCTATGAATCAATCGATTTCTACAAAGAAACGTGGGATGGAAGTCGATCGAATTCACCATTGCATCTATATCGAGAAATACGCGAGCTTTTATTCGCTTCTCGAACACATCCCACACTACAATCATTCCAGGCGCTGAGCCACTCACTAGAATGTTCGGACAGCGTGGATGCCATTTCACAGTCCATGCTGTGTGTAGATGAGCGCATAAATTCTACCAATGATTATTTTACGGGATTTGGGTACAGCTATTTCTTTTCCAGTATAGGAATCAATAATTCGAATCGAGTGATCACTTAGAGAGACAGCAATATATTTACTAGATAATTACATACAAAAATAACTTCATACCCATCCTGGCGGTATGTGATAACAATGATAGATAATTCTCGATCATTTTCCCCTTGCAATTCTATAGATCTTACATGGACCTATTATTAAGAAAACTGAAATAGAGTACATTGCGAAATGAGTGCCTTTCGGAAGCAAACTCCAATTTTCGTTCGATAAGATGCGAGTCCTTTCCTATATTGTGAGCAATAGCCTACTGAACAATAAATACCTGTTTTGCGACATATTAACCAATCAACCCTATTTGTAGAAGATACAAGATTTCTATGCAATAGAATTTATAGAAAACCCATCTACTCCATTTCAAACTATTAAAATTAAAATAAATAAAAACGTAAAGATTTGTGACACAAACATTCCAAACATTACAGATACATCCCATTGTAATCATTGTTGTCAGGATTCGAATTATTATTTCCGTTATTACCATTGCTGCCATTATTACCACTATTTCCTCCTGACTCATTTCCCTGACTATTATTTCCTCCAACTACGCCTCTAATTTGTTGCATAATCTGGTTTATCTGCTGTTGATCGAACCCTCTCTCTCCGTTCTGCCCCTACAATCTCATCAAGTACAATGCAACAAACCATCACCATCGGAATTGTTGTCGCGATCACATCAACGCGCTGAATGTCATTTCGATTCGGCGCTGGCGCTGGCAATCGCATGAGCGTCTGCGTGAGTTGAATATGCTGCTGCATGGCTTGCTGCATTTCGCCCCAAGCGCTCGGACGGAAGTTGGATTCGCGGAGTTTGCGCTGTAGAAACGCGGCATACTGTGGAAGATAACTGTTATAAGCCGCTAGCGCGCGCACAGTTGCCTAGATTCAAGAGAAGCGCGAGAAGGCTACATCGTTGCTATTTTGGTGCATGAGTTGCTGGGAAGCTTCGTTGATATTGCGCTGAATGTGAAGCAAAAAGGAGGAATACGATCAGAGAATCGGCAATCGAGCGATTTCTATCCTGGTTACCCGTTGCTTGTTGTGGTTGGTCTTGTTGTTGTTGTTGTGGTTGGTCTTGTTGTTGTTGTGATTGGTTTTGTTGTGGTTGTGGTTGTGGTTGTGGCTGCTGATCTTGTTGCTGATCTTGTTGCTGATCTTGTTGCTGATCTTGTTGCTGATCTTGTTGCTGATCTTGTTGCTGATCGTCTGATAAGCCAAACACTTCGTTTAATACATCACTATATTTGAAACCATTTCATAAACTTACTCAACAGGGTCATCGAGCCCTTCAGAAGGAACAGGAGAAGCTGTAGGGGTAGGAGCAGTTGCAGTCGCAGTTGCAGTTGCAGCCACAGGAGACATATTTACAGTATTGTGGAAAAATGTCCGCACATTTGTTGGGTTTTGCTGAGCTTGCGGTAACTGATGAATAAGAGTATCAACTGTTGAAGTCAAAATATTTAAGATCGGCGCCACAATATTTCCGGGATTTACAGGCTGTGGCTCAGCGGGAGGTGGCTGAGCAGGCTCACTTGGAGGATGTGGCTACAATTAACACTTCCATCAAAATTATACAGTTTGCTTTACTAAGAAAACAGTGTCCCGATCCTCCAAATTACATTCCCCTAACGTAGTTTCGTTCTCAAGAATTCTTCCCCGAAAAATAACTCGCTGCTGCTCGGTAGGTATAGATGTCATTGCCTGGATCTTCTCTTTTAGTGATTGGACTGTGTCGGACAACTTCACGTTCACCATCAGATCTGCACCCTCCATCAATTTGACCTTTAATTCAATATTCTGTTCTGCCATTTCAATTACAAGTACTAGCTTGAAAACAAATTTGGAATTTCAATTTTCTTTGTTATTCTATTCACTTTCTTTGGGATTTCTCATTCTATTTGTTAAGAATTATAGTGAAACGATAACTCGATTGTGTGTTTCCGGGTGAGTGTTGCACGAATACAACGAATACGATCAAAAACGAAAGCTACTTTTACATTTTCTCTCAACTATTGTGTAATCAAACTCGGAAGATCTTCTTTATTTTAAGAGTCACGAATACATGTCGAAGGAAAGTAATTCGCAAGACATTCCTTTCGAAGAGGATTATCTTTCAAAGTATGGAGAACTCCCTGAAATTGACTGTCTTCCAGTGGAATTTAGAGGGAATATCAGCAAATCCAAGAGACCAACTCACTTTCTTGCAATTCGGCTAAATTCTCCCGCTCTATGGAGTCACGTACAATCTAATTTTGAGTTGTTCCTAGTGTGAAGCGATACAAGAGGAGTTGAAGCAGATAAACCCTATCTACGGAATGATGGCCGTTCCAAGCAATAAATTACACATTACAGTGGCAGTGATGAATTTATCATCTGAGCAGCGCATCCAGAGAATGCGGTAGGAATAGGCTTTTCAAGTGAAGCAGAGACGAAGCAAGTCACATCAAGCAGATAGTAGATTTCTTTTTCGATAATAGCAGACCATGTACCAACCCCAGAAAGACTTGCTGTCGTATTTGTATCGAGGGTTTGCGTCTTCTTGGAGACCATGTGCTCTATTTTGGTTTTCGTGACGATGACGATTTGTATTCTGTTCTGGGCAATGCTGTTTTTTAGTGATAGGCTCCGTTGTTGCGTTTTGAACATTCGTAAGCATCTTTTCGATTGTGGTTTGCATATCCTTATTTCATTGTTGATTGAGTGGAGTTGAAAAGGATCGATTCTCCTCATTTGATTCCTTAACGATCACTTACAGAAGATCCTCTCTCTTGGACGTCCCATAGCACGATCGCAAAGATGTCTGCTGCTTATAATCATTTTAAGTCATTTTATGATTATAAGAAGAACAAACACTTGCTACAATTGGTACCGGAGGTTGTGAATCGATTAAATAAAGCCTTGTATGGGAGTGAAGAGCCTCATACATATGGCGATTATTTGATAAACGAAATTGAACTTAATCAAATGAAATCAGATCCATCATGTTATTATGTTGTGGAATACACCATCCCTATTTTCTATTCGAATGCTCGCCTCACTCTTCCCTCTTGCTTTCACCCTATTCAGACATTTGTCCACCGCCATCAGGACGAAGCGTATGACAAGCAGGATCTCTATGGAGAACTACCTCAACGATCGGCTGTAAACGTTCAATGTCCGTTCTGCCACCTGCACTTCTCCTCTGAGCGACAATGCAAGCGCCACCAAAGAGTTCACAAGGATCAGGATGAGGAGCACGCCATTCCTGTCGAGCAAGGAGAGGAAATGGAAATTATCGCAAAAGATGGTTCCTATCTGGTGTCTCGTGAAGAAGTATAGATTTATGAATGAGTTTACTTTAGTATGAGGCCATCACTCACTATTTGCCTAATACGCGATGTCTAGAGATGAAAACGATCCAGCTGTATGCGTCATCCCTTGTAGAATTATGGAATCAACGATAAAGAGTTGATTTGTTTGTTTTATGAAATCGCGGTTATTTGGCCATTTCTTTTTTTTGGCCAAATGGAGAAGATGGTGGACAATGCTGGAGTGAAAAGTATTCTATTTGATGTTGTTCCAAAAATATAGATGATACTTCCGCCCCCAAATCAGGAGTTTCTCTTGGAAAGAGATTGGAGAGTTTGGGCAAGGAGGAAGTGGTGGATATAATGTCCGAAATGAACAATGCAAAGAATTCCAGCAAACTTCCCAAAACAGGCTCTCTAGAAGTTTTGCTTTCCCAGTATTTGGAAACAAGTGATTTTACTCAAATTGATAATATACTGAACGTAAACGACCGAAAAGTGTAGTTTCTGGTCAATTTTGAGTTTGTAGATCGTAAATCAGACCATAGAACGATTAAATGTGAAGTTCGTACTATCGCTCCTAGACACAATTGTTCTGAAGCTGGAAGCTAATCCTAGAGTATTCTCAATGTTCTGTTTTGATGTTTATAGAGAGGTCAGATCCTTTTGCTTTGGGTAATTACAATTCTGCGTTACCACAGTTCGTTTCTTATGTCTGTTCCTAATTTACGTCGTCGTCTCTCATTGCTTATGCGTCTTCTGTCGGATCGCAGTGCGTCTTACAAGAAAATAATGCGTCTCCGTGGCCGCCTCGACTTGGTACTGGAATGTGCTCGTTCTCTGAGTGGGAACACAATTGATTTTACCCAAGCTCAAATTCCTTTGGTAGAAGTGGAAGAAGGAGGCCTAGATACACGAGCCAGAGCATCCAGTGACGAAGAGGATGAAAGTGAAAATGATTTAGAGGATGAGAGTGAGAGTGAGAGCAAAAATAGTTCAGCGAGTGAAGAAGCAAGTTTAGATGACGAAGAATCTAATTAGAGGGTCGACAATCCAAAAAAAGAACAAGAATAATCAATTGTTCTGTTTGTTGCAAATGATATTCCATTTGATCATTGATATGTATAGTGGTCATCTTTTGTTTAATAATTATCAAGGAAATCTCTAAAATAGTTGAGGATTTTGTATCTCATAATTTTCATTAAAATGGAGTATTTCCCAGGTATTTCGAACATTAAGTATGAGGGCAGCGCTAGCATGAATGACCTTTCTTTTAAGTGGTACAATGCTGAGCAAGTGGTTCTAGGAAAGGTAATCTTTGGTTTATCGTGTGGACTTTAGAAAATGAAGGACCACCTCCGTTTCGCTGTTTGCTACTGGCACACTTTCTGCTATCAGGGCAATGATCAGTTCGGAGGACCGACCCTGAACAGACCTTGGTGTGGAGATGCCGACCCCATGGTGGAGGCCAAGAAGAAGTGCGATGCTGCCTTCGAGTTCTTCACCAAGCTGGGCGTTGAGTACTACTGCTTCCACGACCGCGATATTGTGGCTGAGGGCGAGACTCTGGAGGAAACCAACCGCCGCCTGGACGAGATTTCCGACTATATGCTGGAGAAGCAGAAGCAGACGGGAGTGAAGCTGCTGTGGGGAACGGCGAACATGTTCGGAGATCGTGTGTTCATGAACGGTGCTTCCACCAACCCCGATGCTCACGTCTTCGCCCTTGCCGCTGCTCAGGTGAAGAAGGCGATGGACATCACCAAGAAGCTGGGCGGTGAGAACTATGTGTTCTGGGGTGGCCGTGAGGGTTACCAGAGCATTCTGAACAGCCTTCCTGGAAAGGAGCTCGATCACATGGGCCAGTTCATGCGTATGGCCGTGGAGTACAAGAAGAAGATTGGCGCTACCTTCCAGCTGCTCATTGAGCCGAAGCCTCGCGAGCCCACGAAACACCAGTACGACTACGATGCGCAGACCGTCATTGGATTCCTGCGCAAGTACGGACTGGAGAAGGACTTCAAGCTGAACATTGAGCCGAACCACACCACGCTGGCCGGCCACGATTACGAGCATGACATCGTGTTTGCCTGCAACGAGGGTATGCTGGGTTCCGTCGATGCGAACACTGGCGACACTCTGCTTGGCTGGGATACGGATCAGTTCCCGATGGATGTGAAGAAGGCTGTGATTGTGATGTACCACATCATTCGCGCTGGAGGTCTGCACAGCGGAGGCTTGAACTTCGATGCGCACGTTCGCAGAGAGTCTACGGATATGGAGGATCGCTTCATTGCTCATATTGGAGCGATGGATACTTTTGCTCGTGCCCTTCTCATTGTGGAGAAAATCATGAATGACAAGATTTACCAGGAGATGGTTGACAAGCGCTATGAGTCATACACCACTGGAATTGGTGCTAGAATAGAAAACGGCGAAGCCACCTTCGAGGAGTGCGAGAAGTACATCCTGGAGAATGGCAAGCCGGAACCTCAGTCTGCCAAGCAGGAGAAGTTCGAGATGCTTCTCAATCACTATGTTTAAGCATGGTTACGCAGGCTTTCTTGTTTGTTGGAGGAAGCAAGGACACTGAGTTGTTGATATTGCAGTCTTGAGCGACTGGATTCTTTTGCATTCCTTGAAATCGGATCTCTGATTCGAAGTATGAATCATAGACCGTGGTGAATAGAACTAAATAGGTAGATTAGATTCACATCCCCTCATTGTTGTTTTCTCTAGTAAATTGTTAAAGTCCCAAACAAACTATACATTTCATGCTTATAACACGGAGTAATCAAGTTTATTTCTAGTGAATTAGTCAGTACATACTCCAAATCTAGATTCCGTCGTGGCCATTCATTATCTCATTCATTCATTCATTGATTGTGAACCAACATATATCTAAAACTATTGAAATGGTAAGATTCTTTAGCGAAAGCGAGCATCCCGTAACGTTCTATAGAGCGATAAAACTAACGTGATGCGTACTATCCGAGTTGAAAAACTCGTTATTAACATTTGTGTTGGAGAGTCCGGAGATGCCGTCTCCAAGGCCGCTCGTGTGTTGCAGCAAATCTCTGGCCAAGAGCCTGTGTATGGAAAGGGTATGGCTTTTGGTGGCTAACTAATTAATTTAGCCCGTTTCACGATCCGCTCTTTTTCTATTCGCCGTAATGAGAAGATCTCTGTGCATGCCACTATTCGAGGTGAAAAGGCGCTTGAAATCCTTGAACGCGGCCTGAAGGTGAAGGAGTATGAGTTAGTGAAGAGAAACTTCTCTGAGTCTGGAAACTTCGGCTTTGGTATTCAGGAGCATATTGATCTCGGTATTAAGTATGATCCTAACACAGGTATTTTCGGTATGGATTTCTATGTGCAATTGGCACGTCCTGGCGGTCGTGTGAGCAAGAGAAAGGCTCAGCGAAGCCGAATTGGTTACTCTCACAAGGTTACGCGGGAGGAAGCCATGGAATGGTTTAAGAAGACTTATGATGGAATTATTCTGGATAAGGCCAAGTAAAGTTTTTCCATGGGTTGATCGATTGGTTGTATGTTTGGTTTGGTTGGTTTGGCTTGGTTTGTTTAAATAATTTATGACTCTGACTATGGTATCGAATATCATTCTTACAAAAAGTGTAACGAAAGATATCAAAACTGTACTAACTTACGACTCTCTGCAATGGGAGATAGATTAACGGAAGAGGTACATGAATGTTCCCATCTCAAACTCATTACTTACGCTCTGTAGCAATTACTAAAACGATCCATCCTAGTTCGGAATATTCCTCCAACAATAGAAGAAGTAATCCAGGCGAAAGGCGATTATCTATAGAAACATCTCATCGCCGGGTTTTCGCAAATTGGTCGCATAGTTCAAATCAAATGGCCACAAAACGGCGATTCTAACGACAGAACTGCTGGCCGTTCCCAATGCACCATCACATTTGATAAACCCATGCATGCCATACAAGCTGTGATGTGTCTTAATAACCACTTGATTCATGGCTCGCAGCTGAGTGTTTCCCTCATTCCTTTTCAGTCAAAACATACTTCTACCTCGAAAACGTCAGAAAAGCCGTATTTTTGTATTCTTCCTTGTGATTAGTGCCGTGCTAATGATCGAAAATGTAGCGGAAGAGGCTACACCAGAGCAAATTCAGTCCCTGTTTTCGCCATTTGGGACAATCGTTTCCTGCCGACTCTACAAACAAGGAATCGTTCAGTTATCATTCAAATCACACAGTTCTGCCGAGCGTGCTCTGAATGTAATTCTTCTTCTTCTCCTTGCTTGTGTTTAGGCAATGAACGCTTTTTCATTAAAGGGAAAGAAACTCCTCGTCTCGTTTGAGGAGCAGTTTCGATCCAAAACCGTGAAGAGGGAACCGATCCAACAAGCGTCTACCACTGTACGTTTTGTTTGATGCTTTAACATAGCCGATTGGCTTTGTGGAGTATGGCCGAAACCGCGCGGAGAAGCAGAACGACACGGTATCGAAAGTAGAAATGGACATTGGTATTCAGTAGAGCTGTATTGTGTTGGTGACTGGATTCTCGGAGGGAGATGATTTACGAGATCAAGCCAATGTGGCGAAGATAAAGCAGATCGTGTCCGAACAGGGAAAAGTGGAAACCCAAGCATATCTCAATGTGTAGATCAAGGATATGAAATACACAGAGGTGAAGAACGAAAAGAGGCTATTTCTACGCTATGCGAATTCCTACGCGGCGTCGATCGTAGAGTTGTTGTTTATGTTGCTATTTTTAGGCGGCAAAGGGGCTGAGTGGTTTGATGTTTTATGGATCAAGACTGTCGGCGCGGCAGTATGATTACCAGCAGTATAAATTAAAGAATTACACTTTGTTGTGTTTTTGTTTGACACACTGTGGACGAATGAATTGGGTCTAGAAAACACGTTGATCCCTCCTAAGCACACTACCAATCGAATAGAAATTATAATTATAATTATAATTATTATTATTATTATTAATAATTATCTCGATAGAATAGCTGAAAAATACAAAATCATAATCACTCCCCTGCTAAAAATCATCTTTGTAAAAACCCATCCTTCTGATTCCAAATATACTATGAAAGTAATTTTGTTCATACTCATAGTGTTCAGTATTGCCGAATCAGGTACCCATTGTCTCACTATCGTAAATAGATTGCATTACTCTAGCTTCGAAGTGCCTTCCCCAGACACGTCGTATCGATTTTATCGAATCATTATGATATAGAAATTCAAAGGTTAGGGGCATTTCGTGATAATGGGGCTCTTCCTACCCAATTTGTGTTTACTATTACACAGTACGGCGAATCCAATTGCACCACACCTCAGTTTACTCTAAAGATTTCGTAACACTCATTTTGGCTTTCTTACCTTAGGGAATCAATTTCTTGCATAGAATTTGCCAGTAATGCCTGTATAACTACTTACTGACGATCATCCCTAGATGGCTACCAGTGTACGAAGCGCATTGATAGTATTAGCATATCGATTGCAAGTGTAGAAGAAATGCAAAAATACGGATATACTTGCAATAAGGAGGATGAAGGTGTTTTGGTGGATATCTCGTACATCGATCCTGTTAATTTCGACATGTAGGAAAACAAGCTGTACTGTATCGAATTCCTCCGGTTTTTCTTCCGTCGCGGAAGCGCTTTACACCACAGGGACTTACAAGCTGGCAATGAACAGTGGGAACTCTGTGCCTTCTGGAGAATAGAAAACAACACATTTGTCATCGACTCGGTCACCTTCTATCCCGAAAGCAATGAATGTACGCTTGCTGTTGTGTTCGTCTCATTTTTAGTGTGCTACAAGTCTCATTTGAGAGGTAAAGGAGTTCTGGGTTGACTATTGTAGAGATCTTGATAGGAGTTGGTGTCACACTTTGTGTTATTGCCGTGATTGTAATAATAGCGATTCGGATTTATATCTGTGACCAGAAGCATAAAGCTTCACTCCGGTCCAAGAAGACGATAAACCTGGGAGATGACAAGAAGTCTCCCAACGATGCGGATGACGGCAATGGATCTCCTTAAACTATTTTTGTAACGCAGATACTGAAAACTCATCTTCTTACTGTACTATGATCTTGGCTGTTTCCTAAAAACTCGTTCATCCAATCATTTTATTTTCCATTAATTGGGTTCAAATCGTACCTTACACTTAGTTGGAGTATCTATGATCATTGAATGCAACCGCGAGGTACTTTTGGATATACAGGGTAATTTTTAGACTGATTCTCCAAGAAGAGCGAATCAGGAGCAAACAGACCAAGGACAGAGCAGTATGGTACCCCGAGAAGATTCGAAAGCTGTGGATAATGATACCTTAAGCAAAGGTGTGCCTAATGCTTTAGCCCTTCCCGTATTTCGATTTGAAGTATAACTATTTTCTAGCAGTACGATTTTCAAAGAGAGAACGGGGAGTATGCAGAAGAAATCATAAAAGACTCGGAATTGAATTGTTTGGAATATTACTCTCTTTCCACTTTAGACTCGACTGAAATCGATCAGAGAGATGATTCGTGCTGCTCTGTGGAGATTCCTAGGATGGAACGCCAATCTAGTTTGAGAAAGCATTTAGAAAACCGAGCCTCTCTCAGCGAAATGACGCAGAGAGGACTAATTAGTTTGTTTTGACGAGAGCAATTGAGTGTAGAACCAGGAGTAAGCCAAACGCTCACTTCTCGTTTGCAAACGTTGGAACGGCACATTCTAAAGGACTCTGTACCTTTACGATCGATCTCTCAATTCTGATTAGTCATAGCCTTCAGAACCGCCCCAAAATGGAAGACTTGGTTCAAAGAGGAATTCAGTGTATTATTTAAACGATCGTTTGCTCATCCCAAGCCAATCCTCGTTTGACTCCTGCCTTGCGCGCCAAGGCCGCCGGACTCGAAATGAAAATGAAGAAGCATATGATGGAGCAGAAGTAGATTGGCCGCAGCCCTCATTTGACTCCCAGCTTTTCCCAGCGTCCTTCTCCACTCGAGATCCGAAGGCATCATCCAGGAGTGTACGCGCTGCTCAGCGAAGAGGCCAAGCAAGGAACCCCCGCCAACGAAAGCACGGCGATTAACAAAGTGTATATTTCGTTTGCGGTAGCGACTGCGGAGCAGTTATTGGTTCGCGAGAAAGTCGATATGGAGGCTGGGTGTGATGTAGATCAATGCAGAGGCGTATAATAAACTGTATACTATTTGCAGAGAGCCGGAAAACCCACTTCGAAAGGAGATTTTGAATCTGGTGAGATTGTGCTTTGCATCGAACGACATGGAAGCAGTAGAGGATGGATTGTTGTTTGATTGTAGTATGAGAAAGGCATTGTGGATATCATTTCAAAGTGGGGGTGTTTGTTTTATAAAGGAATAATGAAGAGGAGATCAGGAAGTCGAGGCGAGAGGATGAGTTGCAGCATTTTTTAAATTTGCAATTCGTGCCTTGCCGTTAGGCAGACTAAAAGGTGTATCTGAAATACTCTTCACTCCGCACTTTCTATGTCATTTCAATGTAAAACAAATTCTTTCATTAATATGATTAATATTTGCCAAGAAGAGGTAATGACAAGCTATGTCTATTTGCATAGTACACACAAAAACATGAATTACAGCAGAATATTACAGCGATTATACACAAAACTAAACATCCTTGCTGTCATCGTTAACCAAACCGCAAACATCTTTCTGAAACGCCAATCAATAATAAAATCCTATTCGTGGAAATAAATAACAGAAAAATAACAAAGAACTACTTCTAAACTTCATTGTTTTCATTTTTAGCTGAAAAGCATGGTCATTGAAAGTAGCAGATTACTTTTTTCTGTTTACATGCATAGACGTTGATCTTAACCCTGAATTCATAACTGACCCTCTTGCTGGGTATGTGCCCAATGGACTTCCAATCACTATGGAGGAAGATGGGGTAAGATATTTCATTCAATACTTCCAGGGAGAACATAAGAACGAATACACAATTCGAACCACCACGGGAACCGTGCTTTTATATGCTAATAGTGTTCTAAAGATGCGTTGGCATGAAGGGAAGGATGGGAAACCATTCGACCAGATTGTGAGTTATAATAGGGGGAAAGTTGACTATTTTCAAGACGCTAGTTGTATGATTGACAACGAGAAGGTAAAACGCATCGTTAATCACAAGCAAGGTAATCGATTGGAAATCACTTCTCTAAAAAGCGGGAAATTGATCTACCATGGAAAGTTTAACGAACTTTATCAGGAGAATGACTGGGGAATTCAATTTGATGAAGCCAGCGGCAAACTAGTAGCCGAGGGCATTTGGGAAAATGGAAAACTAACGGAAATTACCCGTTGTTTTGATGGAGATACAATGACGGAGCTGGATAGGAACGGAGAAGATAGTTTAGATCCTGTGAAACAGATTCCCATTTATGTTGGTGGATTCTACTATGATGAGGACTGTGAAACCTTTTACCGTAACGATGAGGGATGCCTGATTGATGGAAGGACAGGAATTGCTTATCATGAAGGATTGTGGAACAAAGGAAATGAAATCCACGGGAGAGATTTGCATGACGGATGGTACACGTTGCCTCTCAATGGAGATGTTCTCCCAAACATTATTCCTGTTACTGAACATACAGAAGTTGCTGATTCGAAGTCTGACAACAACAACGACAACAATAAGAAAGAAAACCAATCCACCTCATTCGTCATTTACGACATGAGAGAATTGAACTGGATAGAGCAAATAGTTACAGAGTTGTTCATTGCATCAGATTGTTGTAATGATGCTTACTCTCTTAAGTTGAGCGGATTTAAGAATTTAAAGTCTCTGGAAATTGGAGATAACAGTTTCTCCGTGGCACGACTGTTTCAAATCGATAGAGTACCGAATCTTCGTAGCATAAAAATAGGGAATAGTTCTTTCACCCAAGAGAGAAAGGACGGAGGACGCGATTATGATAAGTCATTCCATATAGTGAACTGCGGATCCTTGCAATCGATCGATATTGGTAGATACAGCTTTAGTGATTTTGCTGGTCAGTTTGAATTATATAATCTTCCTGTAATACGATCGATCAGGATTGGTGATTTGGAGAGTGAGTCCTACAACTTCTTTTGGTGTACCGCTGTTATACGAGGCATTGACTTCTTTTGATACTTGAGCCTGTAGAGCTTCCTCTATTACAATCCATCTTATTAGGAAACCGCTCATTCCGCTACTCTCTTCACACAGTGATCCGAGGTTTGAGATTGCACAATAATAAGAATATTATGAGTAGATCTTCCTTCATTGCAAACTATTGAACTTGGAAAATGGACACTTGAAGGAAGTTGGAGCGATGAATCTTGTTCCATAGAATTCATGAGTAAAACGAAGTCTTTTTTTCATAAATCTAGACCTCCCTATGCTAACATTCATTCATTCCGAAGGTAATAGCTTTAGGATGTGTCATAAGATTACACTGAAAAGTACACACGAATCGAGAGTTGAAAACCTAGACATTCCGAACTTGGATACTGTAGATTTACCATTTTATTCGTTTAGTAAAGTGAGAGAGAGAGAGATTTCGAGTAGGATCTGTATTTACTCATTTTAAACAGATATTTCGTATGCTCTTGCGAATCGTGTCGGAGGATAGTTTCATAGCATTGTTGGGAAAATCTTACAAGAGATATTATGTGTACAATTCACTTAGCTATGAAAGAAATGTTAATAATAATAATTATTATTATAATTATAAATTGTTTTTTATGTATTATTCTGCTAGCTATTTGTTATTGCTTTTTGCTTCTCTGTGGTTGTGTGAGAGATTTGATTGATCAATAAAAACAACAATGCGAGTCCATTAAAAAACACTCTAATCAGAATCACTTATCACTACAGTGCGCTTCTTGGAACGGCTTTCCAATATCGAGTCTTCTTCCAACGAAAAATCACTTTCATTTATGTGCACACGCTTCTCTTGTTTCAAGCCAAGGGAGGCTTCTCTTTTCGTTCCATTCGCAGACTTTATTGCAGCTTTTTTCGAACGATTGCTATCCTCATCCTTCTCTTCAATGCCCTTTTCTTTTTCTTTCTTTTCTTCTTCTTCTTCCTCATCTTCCTCTACCACAAAATCGTCAATTTCATCCTCATCTTCATTCTTTTCATCGTTCTGGCTCTTCTTTGATTTCGTTGACAACGGCTTATTCTCTTCCACAAACGCCTGCAGTTCTTCAACCGCCGCGTTCTGACCAGGCTTCGCAGATCGTTTCAACTACCCATAAGCCAAACCAAATCAATCCAAAGCCTCACCTTTGTAATGATCTGCTCGACAATCTCATACACTTCCCTGTTATGAAGCGGATCCTTCAAATACCTCCGATGTAGCAAATACTTTTCGCACGTATTCGACGTAATCGGAAGAGCAGACAGGCAGAAAGCCAGACATTTCCACTTGTATGGATCGGTCGTGAATTGGAATCGCTGCAGCAGTTTATCTACTAATTGGTCCTGCTGTTTCTCCTAAAGCTCATTCGCCATGTGTTTTCTTTTTACCTTGTCTACAAAGCGAAGCAAGAACTTAATCAATCGCGTGAACTTTTCGTAATCCACTTCCGACATTTCCAGAAGCGACGAAATGCATTCGGGCAAGACATTATACACCGGATTGCTTCCACGTTTTCCCCATTCCATAAAGAAAACTCGCGCGAGACCTTGAATATGTTTCGACGGATCCTCCAGCAGCACAACCAGATAGCTAATCTGCCCCTTCACGCGAATCATATCGTTCAAAATCAAATGCGAAATCACAGAAAGAGCATTCGAGCGAACCAGTTCGGACTACAATTCAAAAACAATCCATCGATTCAACTTCATCGCGCAGCACGCCGTAAATCCGAGACGTCCATTGCTCCAATAAGTTGGGGAACCGATAGCACAAATCGCCGATCGTGATGATCATATTGGATCGAGCGTTCTCATCCGAATTCTTCACGAACAACGTAAAAAGCAGCTACCAATCATTTCGACTCGTTGCGATTACGTTTATATTGTCGACACAAAAAGCGCGACTGATCACCATAAACTTGCAGAAGCTCAGCAGAGCGACTTTCTGAAGGGACTTTCCGTACATTCCCTTTTTGTTCAGAATGATATCCTTCAGCACACCTCCAAACACGCCGATTAGATTTCTACCCATCATCTTTCAGCGACAAAACTGACTGCATTACGATTCCGTTGTTGCTAATCGATTCGAAGACCGAATCTTCCATGTCGTCTGCGGTCACAACGGCTACATCCAGCGTCGAATCCAATCGCGTTTTCTCGGAATCGTCCTCCACACTGCTCCGATTCTTCGACTCTTTTGCCTTCTTTTCTTCAGCTTTTTGCCGGCATTTCTTCGCACGCGACGCGATTTTCTCAGAGAAAAGAAAGAGATGCAGCGCGAATTGTCCCACAATGAAAAGAAGACGAGCCAGTCCTCCCTCACAAACACGCGTCTGCGAATCAGACGAAGCGATTAAAAGTTTCTGAGCGGTTTGCTGAATGACACGCTCCGCGAACAAATCAAATCGAGGCGACAAAAGAAACGCAGCACGAATCGCTGAATCGGCGGCAGGGAACCATTTCGAATTCCCTGACGACTGCAGACATCCATTCAATAGAAATGACGTAATGGAGCTGATCATTCTCTGTCGCTGCTCGTTGGAGATCTACACTCAATGCGATTGGCTTCGCATACACTTTCGTTTAGCGATCCCCACATCATAAAAATGTATTTTGCTTTTTCCGGCTCTTCCAGACGAATCTGTTTCCACAATTCCACGATTCGGCCCAAAAACGGTGCAGCCAAAGACTGAGACGCCGCGATCGCCATCGATAAAATATACAGCGCGCTGCACCGCTACGATTCATCCCTTTCTCCTTCGCTACGTTCGCATACGTCACATCTGCGGCCGTTACATAGCCCCACAATCCATCCAGCACGCGCCGTTCGAACAGTCCTTCCCCCACCAAATGCGGAACCAGCTCGGCGAACGACGTCGTTTCTGCGAGCGTGGCTCCCTGAATCAGCCTCACCAAATTGGAAGCCACGCGATTGGGCGGGAGAAACGTCGATTCGTTGGGAACGCAGAAGTAAAGCTTTCGAACGGCCGCGATGAGTTCTTTGAGAATGGCGGGCGAAGCGCCCCAGACGAGCGGAAGCATTTTGCGAAGGCCGGAGCGAACGTTGGTGACTTGGAACGAGGTGGCGATGGGGAAGAACTGGAGAGCTGCGATGATATCGCTTTCGGTCTTGCTGGAGAGGAGCTGCGTGATCACCGACACGCCGTCCTAGAGTTCGAAGACTCCACACAAACAAACAGAAAGAAGGGAGGCGAAATGAAACGCGTTGGAATAATAATCGTGGAGCTGCTGAATCTTCGCGTTGTCCGTCGGCGACTCCGTCGCTTCCTCTGCGACCGGCGCGTTCATGATCGCTTCGATCTCTTTAAGCTTCGCTTCATACGTGGCTTGCTGCAGATTGGCTTCGTACGGATTGTTCTCCATCAGCACAATCAAAAACTTTGGCATGAAGCAAAGCGTCACACACACATACGCCGATCGCGTTCTTTCGAACGAGCACTGCCTTGTCTTTCAGTCGTTCCACGCAGGATTCCGTGAGACTCACAAACAAAGACAGTGGAATGAATCCCTTCTCGCACAGCGTGCTCAGCGTGCGAAGCGACGCCGCGCGGACGAACGCGTTGGTGTCCTGCGTGTGGCTTTGCAAGAGTGACAGCACTTGCGTGGCTCCCTTCAAATCCATAGGCTTTTCTTCGTTTTCTTTTGGTTCTGAAGATTCTCCTGCGTTTTGATTTTGGCCTTGCGACTCGTTTTGATTTTGATTTTGATTTTGATTCTGGTTTTGATTTTGATTTTCACGCGCGATCTCCGCCATCGATTGTCTTCGAACCAGAATCGACGCTCGTTTCGCGACGACGTTCGCGTACTGCGTCTGCCTCTCCACTTTGCCGCGCATTTTATCCTTCTCTTCGTCTTCCTCCTTCTTCCCGCTCGTTTTCTCGATCAGCAACCCCAGCGACTGCACGATGGCCAAGCGCAGCGTGTACGATTCCCCGTCCAACAGCGACAGAAGCAGCGGCAAACTTCGCAGCACCGCGAACGGAACTTGCTCGGCGCAGATCGTCTATCCATCCACAGTCCATCCCAGCGAATACGATGAAATGCGAGAGATTTCGGAGCGCAGTCGCGGAGGTCGCGGAGCTCGAAGCCTCGCTGACGTTTCGCCTCGCGACTTCTTTGATTAAATCGCTCACCAATTCGCTGTGGTGGCTCATTCGGTCGTAGAGAATCCCGGCCAGCTTGGCTCCGATCGCCGCCATGGGCTCGAGTGACGCGATCATTTCAATGAGCTGAGAATCCACGATGGGGAGAACGCTGCTAGCAATGAATTGAATGAACACAGAAAAAACGGAAAGGAAGCCAGCAGAGAAGCCAGCGTGGTCAGCACGATCTCCAGGAGACGGGGATTTTCGGAGGTGGAAGGACGCTCTAGAAGAGAAAGACAGGGCCGAGAGAAAAGCTGGAGGAACATCTGAGATGGGAGCGAATGAAGGGTTATTACCTCATCGGGAATTCCGAGGGAGAAAAAGCTTCGGACCTTTCCTCGAATGGTGAACAACAAGATTTCAATCGCGTCGTAGATGTACTCTCCCCAGTGAAGATCATTGGTGAGAAGTCGCTTTTTCTTCTGATACTAAATTGGGAAGAGAGTAAAAAACCTTTCTGCCATTCTCACGCACCACTTGGTTCCGATCTAAAAGAGAATTAACAACTACATCGATCTTCGGAATCAAAACGGATATAAAATAGCAATATCTAGTTGTAATGCATCCGGGTCCTGTACATAAAAAGAGCATTTCTGTATGTTGATAAACTTTCGGAGTTTGACTGTTTGTTGACGGTATTTACGATAAATCCTCTTCCTCCACGAAGAATAATTTGTACAAACTTCGCCTTTACGTCTTCTTCCAGCTGTTCAAAGTATCTACATTATCGAGGATATATTTACCTCCCACTTTGTAAAAGAATACACTACATCAAAGTTTTCATGCTCAGAAATCAATTCGTAGCAATGTGACTCCACGACCTCATTCGATAAATCTAAAAATTGACTACGCCAATGAACATCGACTCTCAAGAAGTTTGGTGCAATTGAAACTGTCATAACTTTCCAAATCCAAAACATTGCCAACAGAGAAAGAATTCTCGTCCTCCTTTTCATAGTCAGTCAAATCCTGATAAAGACGGAATTCTTTCATTTTGAAAATGGATTGGGAGTTTAAATATGCTTGTCTCATGGGTCGCTTATTTCAGTATTGTGACAGCTAACAAGCACAAAAACATTTTATCTTGGCTATGTTCGTGCAATAACAACGGAATATAAAAAATCATTCAGCTCAACACTTTTTCTAACATCCCCATTTTACCGTACTTTTTTTGTTACTATTGAATGAAACTTCAATTCAATTCGGATTTCCTATTCCAGAACTCGCTTCTGGCTTGCCTTGCTTGCGCAGAGATCTCGAGTACCCCCCTTGAACTCGAAGCGCAATCGAGCGGTATTCGCTTTGCGAGTCCATATTACGGATAGGCACTGTGGTTCTTAACACTCCCGAAGGTGCTCTGGAAGGTGTTGTGGAGATTTGCAAGTTCCTTGTTAAGGGCACTTCTCTTCTGGATGACTGCTCTTACCTCGAGAAGAGCGAGGTTGCGATTTATTCTTCATGCTTATTCCCAGAGTTTTGCCGCGGCTTGCCGAGAGTTGTTCAAACTGTCTGCTGGCGGTTTGAAGGATGTATCTGACTCCTGCTCTGACGAAATCAAGCAGGTCTACGCGAATGTGCATGCCTGTTAAGATTTGGCTTAGCCCTCACGCCTAGTCCTGGACGAGATCTCCGAGCAGCTGAGTGGCGACAAAGCGTTCTTCCACGGTGCGTTCCATTCCCCCTTGCTCACCCTCAGGCGATCATCCCTCTCTGGACGATTTCCTCATCGTCTGCGCGATCTACCCGTCCATCGCCAAGAAGAGCGCCTACCCGTGCCCTCCCTCGCTCAGCAAGCGCTACCTCTCCTTCATGAAATACGTTAAGCGCATGTAAAACCCCGATCACTTTTTCTCTCACCCCCAGCGCCGCCCTCGCCGTTCTCTCCGGCGACGCCCCCAAAAACGCCCCCACCTTCATCGGCACGAGCATTCTGGTCGCCCAGAAGTCCTGCCCCAAAACGGCCCCCAAACCCGCGGGAGCCGCTACGGCCAAAGCGCCTGCGGCCAAAGCGGACAAGAAGCAGTTCGCCTCTGCGGCCACGGCGGTGGCGACGGAGAAGCGGAAGCGGATCTACGATTCGCGCGAGATTCTTCCGGTAGCGGGAGAGCAGAACATTTTGATCACGTCGGCATTGCCCTACGTGAACAATGTTCCGCACCTGGGCAATCTGATTGGCTGCGTGCTCAGCGCGGACGTCTTCGCGCGGTACTGCCGCGAGCGCGGGCTGAACACGCTGTACGTCTGCGGAACCGACGAGTACGGGACGGCGACCGAGACGCGCGCGCAGGCCGACCACATGACCCCGCGGGAAATCTGCAATAAGTTCCACGCGATCCACCGCGCGGTGTACGACTGGTTCGACATCCACTTCGACTTCTTCGGCCGCACGTCGACCGAGGACCCGCGGAAAGACGTCGACTGGCCGCAGGTGGGTGAACCGCGGGGATGTGAGCGTAGACGCAGATCGCGCAGGGCATCTTCAAGCGGCTGTGCGAGGAGGACCAGCTGGTGGAGCAGGAGATCGAGCAGGTGTACTGCCACCAGTGCGGCCGGTTCCTGGCGGACCGTTTCATCGAGGGCACGTGCCCGATCTGCGGGTACCCGAAGGCGGGCGGCGACCAGTGCGACAAATGCGGGAATCTGCTGAACGCGACGGAGCTGGTGAACCCGGTGTGCAAAGTGGGCGGTCCGACGCACAAGGTGGAGAACCGCGTGACGAAGCATCTGTTCCTGAATCTGCCGAAGCTGGAGCCGGAGCTGCGCGCGTGGGTGGCGGCGACGTCGGTGGCGAACGACTGGTCGTCGAACGCGATCAATATCACGAACGGGTGGATCGAGAACGGGCTGAAGCCGCGGTGCATCACGCGGGATCTGAAGTGGGGCACGCCGGTGCCGCGGGAGGGCTACGAAGACAAGGTGTTCTACGTGTGGTTCGACGCGCCGATCGGGTACATCAGCATCACGGCGAACTACACGAAGGAGTGGAAGCAGTGGTGGCAGAACCCGAAGGACGTGAAGCTGGTGCAGTTCATGGGGAAGGACAACATTCCGTTCCACACGGTGATCTTCCCCTCCACGCTGATCGGCACGCGCGACCCCTGGACCAAGGTGACGCAGATCAGCTGCACGGAGTATCTCAACTACGAGGACGGCAAGTTCAGCAAGAGCCAGGGAACCGGCGTCTTCGGCGACCAGGCGAAGGACACGAATGTGCCCTCGGAGGTCTGGCGGTTCTATCTGCTGTCGAACCGTCCGGAGCAGAGCGACTCGGCGTTCTACTGGGAGGATTTGGCGGAGAAGAACAACAACGAGCTGCTCAAGAACCTCGGGAACTTCGTCCATCGCTGCCTGTCCTTCGTGTACAACCGCATGGACGCGACGGTCCCGCCGTGCGGCGCGAAGACGGAGCGCGAGCAGAAGCTGATCGAGGCGGTGAACGAGACCTTGCAGAAGTAGGCGAGAGGACGACGGGGATGACGCGCGTAGATACAACGAGGCCATGATGGGCACGCATTTGAAGGCCGGATTGAAGTGGGCCATGGAGATCTCGCGGCTAGGAAACCAGTATCTGCAGGACGCCGAGCCGTGGACGGTGCTGAAGAGCGATCCCGAGCAATGCGGAACCATCTGCTATGTGGCGGTCAATCTCGTGTATCTGATCAGCAATGTGTTCGAGCCGTTCATGCCTGGATTCTCTGACAAGGTTTGCTACCAGCTGAACTTCGACCACGGAAAGATTCCGGATGTGTTTGAGGAGGTGATTCCGGCGGGACACAAGATCAACAAGATCCTGCCCATCTTTAAGAAGATCGAGCCGGAGGAGATTAAGGCGTACCGCGAGAAGTTTGGAGGAAAGAGCAACTAGAGCGAGTGAGCGAGTGAACTAGCTAGCTAGCGGGTAAATAGGATATATGCAATGAATGTTTGTTTCTTTAAATAATAATAATAATAATAATAAAAAAAAGGAATGATAATGATTCCAGAATTCGAGTTCATTTTTGATTATCTTTTCAAAACCTTACTATTTTCAGTGAATGTTTATGCTGGATTATGACCTGAGGGCATACGAACCTGTGGACGTTGGCTGGCTCTGTTTGGTTCCTCCGCTACTAACCATGGTGGTAGCTTTGCTAACGAAGGAGGTAGTCATTTCTCTACTCTTGGGTGTGGTGGTGGCGGTTCTCATATATATAATAAAATCTCATTTATCCTTTGTACAGATGTTCCAGGTTTTTTTCTCCATTCTGATGTCTAGGGCAGCTTCCAACATGGCGATTTGCTTGTTTACCTTTTTAATGGGATCTCTGGTTAAGCTGATGGAAAAATCGGGAGGAACGAAGGCATTCTGCAATTGGTTCTCGAAGTTTATCAAGGGTAGAAAGACTACTCTGATGATTGGCGTATTTGTCTCATCGTTTCTCTTCTTGGACGACTACTTTAACATCATCACCACCAGCACGATCATGCACGCAATCTTTGACCGGAACAACATATCGAAACCGAAGGCCGCCTATCAGATCCACACAATGGCAAGCAATCTGTGCATTTTGTCCCCTATCAGCAGTTGGGCAGCGGTTATCGTAGCGCAGATCGAGGATTGCGGAATTAAAGATGCGTTCTCTGTATTTTCCAGCTCTCTCATCTTGAACACTTACCCCATCTGCTGCATTTTGGGAATCTTCTTCTTCAATCTAACAGGAATCGAAGTCGGGGGCATGCAAGAGTACGAAGACAAAGCCAAGCTTGCATCTTCGACGCAAGAAGAGCTGCTCTCATCCAGCGAGTCAGAAAACATCGGCCATTCTTACGATCTCATCCTTCCCGTCTTCTCCCTCATTGTTTCCACTGTTTTGTACATTTTCTATCTGGGAGGCGGCTTCCACGGACACAAATCCATCCAGCAGGTCTTCACGGACTCCGACTCGGCCACCGCGCTCCTCTACGCCTCCTTCACCGCGATTTTAATCGCCTTTCTCCTCTACATCCCGCGCCGCGTCATGACCTTCCGCGTCTTCGTAGAAGAAGCCAAAGAAGGCATGAAAGTGATGCTGGACACGCTCATCATCCTCGTACTGGCGTGGACTGTGGGCGGCGTCGACAGCACGCTGCTCCAAACCGGCGATTACATCGGAAATCTCATCACGCGCTGCCATCTCCCCTTCTGGATCATCCCCTCCGTGGTGTTTCTCGTGGGGGCTCTGCTCACCTTCTCGCTGGGAACCACGTGGGCGGGTTTCTCGGTGCTGATCCCCATCGTGGTGAGCATTTGCACCAAGACAGACCGCACATTACTGGTGCCTTGCATCTCTGCGTGTTTATGCGGGTCTGTGTTCGGGGATAACATATCTCCGATCTGTGATAACACGATTTTGGTGAGTTCCTGCGTGGACTGCAACTTCATTTTGCATGTCAAGACGGAGGCGGTGTATGCGGTCACGATGGCGATTATTGCGTTTATCGGATATCTAATCGTCGGATTCACAGGAGGCAACGTGTGGCTTTCTGTGGGCATCCCGGTGTTCTTGGAAGCGGTGGTTCTTGGCAGTGTTGCCTTGCTGAAGAGAATTCGCGTCATTCGGCTGAACCGAAATGCGGAAAATACAACTCCCAAGGAGGGCGATCTCGTTCTGCAACTAAACGGGGTGTAATCTTGTTAGTTTTGTCCTTAGACTCTTTCTTTTTGCAATCCGATTTGGATATAAAGAGAATATGTTTTTTGTTTTGTTGTACACACTACCATTGATTTCGATGAAACTCCCGATCATCATCTACTCCTATTTTTATTTATTCTATTCGCATGTCCGAAGTCGATAAGGAGGTACTTGTGGAAAAGGAGATTCCGAAAGAACAGGCTGAAGTGAAGGAGGAGCCTGTCGCGGCTGAATTGCCGAAAGAACAGCCGGAGGATGAAAACAACGAGGATGAAGAGAAGGTCTCCGAGAAGAAGAAGAAGAAGAAGAAGAAATCGAAGAAGAAGTTCACAGGTAGAAACGAAAGGTCGTTGTTACAACCAGGTTCTATTCTCCCCGAATTGCGGTGCATCGGCGGATACGTCGATTGGTACGTTCGATCCGGCCAGACAGCCGATCTCCAAACCCCTGTACCCTCTCTTTTTTTTAGATTTTACGTGTAGCTGGATGCCATCTACGGAAAGAATTATCCCGCTGGTCGCGTTGACTATTATGTGGAAACCGACACTCGCAAGCGAATTACGGAGTAGGACTACTTCAGAGAGTTTATCCTAGTGAGGAAGCTCGCATCCGCGACTCTTGCTACGAAGATCAGATAGAATGCTACCGAAAAGCGGCTGAAGTGCACCGCCAGGCCCGTTCGTACATCCAAGGCAAAATTAAACCCGGGATGAAGCTGTACGACATTTGCTGCGACGTGGAAGATCGCGTCCGCCATCTGATCAAGGAGAACGGTCCCTTGGCGGGTATGGGCTTCCCGACTGGCTGCTCGATCAACAACTGCGCCGCTCACTACACGCCGAACCCCGGCGACGACACGGTGCTCAATCAGGGCGACGTTGTGAAGTTTGACTTCGGCACGCAGGTGAACGGTAAGAATTCGATCGAATTCTGAGGTAGGATACATCATCGACAGTGCATTCACGATCGCGTTCGATCCGCAGTTCGACGAGCTGCTTCTGGCCTCCAAAGAAGCGACGTACGCTGGAATCCGCGAGGCCGGCGTGGACGCGCGTCTTGGCGAGATCGGCGGCATCATCGAGGAAGTGATCTCCTCGCACGAAGTGACGATCCGCGGCCGCACGTACCCGATTCGCCCGGTTCGGAACCTGAGCGGGCACACGGTGGCGCAGGGCACGATCCATGCGGGGAAGTCGGTGCCGCTGATTCGCGGTGGGCGGCGAGGAAGCGGATTGAAGCGTAGAGGAAGGCCACGAGCGAATGCTGGAGGGCGAGGTCTACGCTATCGAGACCTTCGCGTCGACCGGGCAGGGAATGGTCGTCGAGAACGGCGAGTGCTCGCATTTCGCGCTGGTGCCTGAGCAGTACGCGATGCTGCGCACGCAGAAGGCGAAGGCGCTGCTGGCGCATATTCGGAAGACGTTCGGAACGCTGCCGTTCTGCCCGCGATGGCTGGTGCGGCCCGATGGAGGGTCGTTCGCGGTGAACGGAGACAAGGGACAGCAGAAGATGTATCAGGGAGCGCTGCGAAGTCTGGTGGAGCAGGGCGTGGTGCGGGACTATTTGCCGCTGTCGGATCATAGAGGAAGCTATGTGTCGCAGTGGGAACACACGCTTATTCTGAAGTCCCACTCCAAGGAGGTGTTGTCGTGGGGAACCGATTATTGAGTGGATTGTTTGTTGTTTATAAACGAAATGGATCGTGGATCGGATGGGAGACTTTGCCAATCTCGAAAAATGGACGCTGCTTTAATTGTAAAAATCATTTCATTTTCTTTGTCGTAACAAACAATGATTAAACCTTCACAGCCTTCTTCGCACTCTCCTTCTTGGACAGAGTCTTCTTTGACGGTGTGGCTCTCGCACTTCTTCCCTTCACACCACCCACAGCCTTCGCTCTTCCAGTCACACGAACCAGAACGAAGATAACAATAAAAATAATTAAAATAGCAATGACCACCAAAATGACGATCATCACAATAGGCATACAATATCCAGAAACCGGACCCCATTCTCCGTCGCTTTCACCAAGGTTACAAGCTCTCTTCTCAGTACCAACGTAGGCTCCGCCCAGAGCGCAATCATAAACATAGACTTCGCCAACATTGGTGGTATCAAAGTGTCCTTCAGGCTTGCAAGTTCCCTTCTTCACCATAATGGAAATCTCAGTATATACAGTACCAGCCTGGTTCTTTCCATAGATCGTGTAGATTCTCAACGCAACCTCTTCTTCAGGAACTCCAGTAATCTCTCCAGTCTGAGCATTCAGCTGCAGTCCAAGAGGAAGTTGCACACCTTCACTCAGAGAGAATTCCTCGATGATATTCAAGTACGTGGGCTTAGGAATCACGACCTTGGTTCCATAAACCAGATTGTAGATAGACTTATCATACAACAGCTTATCAGGCACCTTCTGAGTGCAATACTGGTTGTTGATCTCACCCAGCTGACCATTTGAGCAAGTACGGTACGAATATCCACGATATCCCTCCTCGCAACTAGCAGGCGAGATTTCTCCCTCTCCCACAGAAGGATAGTCGCCGATTCCAGGGCACACTCCAGTTCCGCTAGGCTTGCAGTACTGAAGCATAATCGAGCTGAAAGACACCTCACTATTGGCAGGCACATCCACTTCATACTTGAGCTGCTTGAATCCAGCAATTCCGAGAGGCACACCCCAAGCACTACGTTGCAAAGCCTGCGTGGACTGACCCGTAACAGCCAACGAGGAAGTATACTCCTCATCGCTGGACATACGGACATAGAGAGAGAATCCAAAACCACTACGAGAATACACGGTCTGCATGGCGAAGCTGTTGAATCTGGTTCCCTCCAGGTTCTCTACCTCCCAGTCAATATAAGTTCCCTGAGTGTTCGCCTGATTTCCATAAGTTGTGGGATTCAGATCCAACAAGTTTTCGATTTCAGTGTTAGAGACGGGCGATCCAGTAATAACCGAGTATGTATCCACAAGAATCGAACACTCGTTCACTCCGAACACACCCGTAGCATCGAACACGATCTTATTCGAAGAGGATTGGCCGAGAGGACGATGGATTTCGAACGCCATCATGTTCTTTCCATTCGTTGCACCAACCGTAGTCATAATCACATGGAACTTGGAAGGCGTGTCCACATCATGGACAGCAAGCGACTGCGATTCCTCGTTGAAGTTCTCCTCCAAATTGAAGCGAGCCACCTTGCGGCCATTGAAATAGGCAACAATACCTCCAGCATACTTGACCTGAACATTCAATACAGAATAGCTGCTGATGTCAGGAATATCGACTTGATGACGCACATAGGTAGTGACTCTGGAATTCGTCTCAAACTGGCTTGTCTTCTTTGACTGCCAAGCAGAATCATCAAAGTCAAGAGAGTTCCAATTCTCGACAGTATCAAAGCTGATCTTCCATTCAGAATAATCGAACTGGAACGGGAGGTAAGAAGAGAACATCGTGCTAATGGAAGAAGTAGAAGAAGGGAACTGTCCCATTTCGAAGATCATCGTACCCACATCCACAGTCAGATAGTATCCAGCAGGATTGCTCCAACCATCACCATAGGAGTCCAGCATCTGCAATGTGTAAATATTATCCGCCAGACAAGAATCCACATAGTTCAGATTGGATGATACTGGGAATCCATTGTTTGAGGAAATGAGGGTTCCGCTCGTGCCAGCTCCCTGGAACAGCTTGTAAGAAGCCTCGTAAGGCCAGCTATCAGTACGTACCACCAAAGTGATCAAGGACTTTCCTCCCGTGCAAATCAGGACAGTAAGAGAGAAGGAAGCAGTGGAAGTACCTCCAGTCAGCTTGTTGGCAGTGATCGAGTAAGAGGTGGCCGCCATCTCAGCAGTGGCGGTTCCAGAAATCATACCGGTGTTAGGATCAAGATTAATTCCAGTCGGAAGAGCAGGAGTGACCTGGAAGTTGTAGTAATAAGCAGAGTTCGGATAGACTTCTCCCATCTCAATATCCTTGTAGATGGTAGTAGCAGCATACGAAAGATCAGGAACGGTCATTGTGGTGTATACCGAGGTCAGATCCATAGTATTGAACTTCCAGTAGCATTCAGAAGTATCACCAGTAGCAAAGTTCTCAAAACGATACTCATGATAGGCCTTGTTGTTCTGGAAATAGATCGTCTGAGCCTGACCCGTCTGAGACCAGGTGAGACCAGTTACATTAGTCAACGTGGTCCACTCATCACTTCCACTACGAGCCTTCAACACAAACTGACGAACTTGCTGAGTACTCTGCGTATGGTACAACTTGATAGTGAGGGAGTTGATCCATTCATGTCGATCATTATTGAAGGCAATGTTGTAATAGTTATTAGTACACGAAGAATAGTATACTGTGTTTGAATAGTATTGGTTCAACATGGCTGACGGGCTTCCACTAATTCCACTGTAAGAGATAGTGTAGTCAAAGACACGAGATGTGGTCATGTCACCCATCAATCGAATAGCACCATCGAAGATCGCTTCCTTCTGGTTTGCATTAGCAGCAACAATTCCAATAGCGATGGTATTCGATCCCTGTTGGATGTAGTTCACAGCAGCAGTCTCTCCAACTTGAACCGTCTTGAGGGGAAGGGAAATCTGGTGATAGAGAGTGTTCGTGTAAATGTTGTCAGCATAACTCGAAGTGCTGATCGTAGCATCCGTCAATCCCTTTCTGAACGCTTCGTTTCCATTCAGATAGACAATGCATCCATACTTGAACTTGATGGAAAGAACGAATCCAGCAATGTTGTTGATGTCCGCCACATCGAACGTCTTCTTGTACAGCTGAATCTGGTTGGAAGAATCGGGGTAGTTGGTGTCGTTTCCCTCAGTCCATCCTTCAGTGGAAGTCGACGAATACCAATCAGCAGGAACTTCTCCATGCTTGTAGTACCAGTTGGAATGGGGTTTAATGGAATACTGAGCATTGAACGTACGACTAGGAGGGAAGCCGACATTTGTATCGTATCTCATACGAAGAATCGTTTCCATCTGAGGACCAGACAAAACAGCGCGGACATAGATATGGGAAGTAGAATACCAATAAGTAGAGGTGCATCCAACAGTCACTTCATACTTGGAATTCGTAACACAAGCAATGCTACTCCAATCCTCATTACTAATCTGACCCGAGTTGGCAGCAACAGACATGACCACCTCCTGAGTTGTAGTATCCTTGATTTCGAAACTCTCCTTAACAGCACTCGTTCCATAGGTACGAAGAACGTTGATGACTGTTCCATCACATTCCTGAATGGTAAGGGTAAAAGTTCCAGTGTAGGTGTTTCCAAGAACAACCGAAGATACCGTAACTGTCACACCCGACACAGCATTGGCCACAACTCCAGTAATCACGCAAGTGGCAGCATCAATAGTGAGTCCTTCAGGAAGGTTCTGAGCTGTGCAAGAAGTAAACTCGGAAATATCAGGCTTAATATACACTTCTTCGTATTTGGCCCAGAATGTGTAAGTATTGGGAGTGAAGGTAATCGTGGTGGGAACAGGTATTCCGCAAATCAGAGGCTGCATTTCGTAGACGTTCGAATATGTGGTACTGCTACTCTCGATAACGACACGATAGTAAGGATAAAGTGAAGCATAGAAATAGCATCCAAACGTTTGATATGTGCTCGCTTCATAGGTAGCTCCAGAGACACTGATCACGTCCATCCACTGCGAATTATCGTTCGATCCTTGCCAAGTGAAGGTACTAGGCAAAGAAATAGTACCAGTGTAAGGCCATACACGAACATAGTTGATGTAAGCCTTATCACCATTGAGAGAATAGGTTACAGTCGCAGGGAAATCGGAGGCGCCAACACTGTAGTAAGTAGTTCTCGACCAATCATAAATATCGGCAACATACGAACCTTGGGTGGAAGACACAGATGCATCATCAGCATAGATGAAACAGTTGTTCTCAGAGGTAGAAGAAGCCAAAATAGCAAGATAAGCATTGAAATCAACGTTGGTTTGCGCAGTAAAGAAATGGACTTCAACAGCCAGAATCGATTGCTGGGCAGCCACTTCAGTACCAGGACGAATGAATCCATGGTAATCAATAGCGGGGTACTCTCCAGTAGCAGCAGAACTAGCAGAAATAGGTCCGTCGGGCATGTTATCACGATAGACTTCAACTCCATTGACATAGGCAATCACTCCAGCCTTGTAGTACAATTTTACATTGTAAGCAGCCATGTTCGCAAGACCAACGAACTGCTTGCGGAAGTACTGAGTACCAGAAGCAGACGCAGTCACAGAGCCAAGGGTAGCATCCGACCAAGTGCTGTCAGAGAACGAATAATCAGTCCAGCCATCAGTAATCGATCCAGAGGTCATCTTCCAAGTAGCATCCTTGTCAACACCATAGTACAAAGAGATGTTGAAAGTTTCCAAACGCTTTTCAACCATATAATTCTTGAAGACAATATTACCGTATTGGCCATAAATAGCAAGATAAGCTCCAGTATACCAAGAATCACCATAAGAGTCGATCAGCTCAACGGTGTATTGGTTGTTGGTGGAGGTAGTCACGCATCGTTCAATAGTACGAGTTTCGTTGTTAGCAAAACCACTTCCCGTATACAACAAGGTAGATCCAGAATATACCTTGAACGATTCTTCACTTGCCCAGGACTTGCCGCATTTCTTGATGAACTTCATGTATGTCTCTCCAGTAGTACAAGTTAGATCGCTAAGCGCAATGGCAACTAAAACTCAACATCATAACGAAGATATACTCAACAATACCGATACCAGTACCAATTTCATCTTGTTCACTCACAAAAATAAAATGAATTTTAGATTATAATATTGGTGTATCCTTATATAGACAGAATTAAGGCACATCGGCCATTATTACTAACCAATCATTTCAACGATATCTACAAAAATAGTCTATAATTTTGGAATTGAGACTATTCACTTTTGGATCGAAATCGATAAACTATTTCAAAGAGATAACGATCCGATAATATAATGGAGTGCTTATGTGGGAGTGAATAGATATGATCGGTTAAATATATAATTAAAATCCTTGAGTTTCTATTGGTTACTTGTCAGAGTAGATGATAATTGGGACAGGTTTTTAAATATGGCCTATTTGTCGAAACTACAATCATATTGTGGAATGAATAACAATCGTATGGAGTTCTATCCAGTATATTCTACTGGTCAGAAAGGGTCCATACTATATACTGACCCTATTCTATATCAATTAGCATGTGAAAAGAGGAAACAGTTACTGGCGGTTCTTGTTTGTTCTTGTTTTTCATGCTTAATCTGTAGAAACATATCGTAAGAAGGAGAATGAAGGTTGAAAACAGGCCGGTTGTGCCTCAAGCGAAGTGGATTGCCATCGATTCCATCAAATATAAAGACAATGACTTTACTAAAGTTAAAGCGTTGTATCATAGAATCCTATCGAAATAATATGAGTGCTAGTTGTCTATTATGTTTGTTGAAAATGAGTTTTGTTCATCATATTTGGTCTCTAATACCGTATTATATATGGTTTTGTATTCATAAGTACATATTTATACTATGTTATGTATGAAACAATGTTCCTATTAAGTGAAACACACCGATTCATTATAAGATGAAATAGCTACTTTCGTTCAATACACTTGATCATTGCTTTTATACCATCTTAGGTGATTTCGTCTCGTTATGATTTCTTGGTCTTGTTGATCACACAAATATATTGATGACTGTGTTGTGATACATTGCTATGCATCACTGGTAGAGTTTTCGTGTGTAGAAGAATGTACTTTGAAGGAAATGATTATATTATGGAATTGAATACTACTTTACCATTTGCGATCGATTTTAGTGCGGATCTATAGATGCTGTGTTTGTACGGACTCGTGGTTTTACCCATTCGTGCAATATACTTGATATCCAATTTTACAAACAAGAAAGTATATAGAATAGCAATATGGACAAGATTGGAGTAACTATTCAAATAGGTATTCTTAGTTCATATAAGGCTTTCAAAACATTGGACAATACCGTAGAGAAACAAAATATGAAATTGTAGAGAACAATAGAACAAGTCATTCAGATGAACATTTTGATACATAATACTATTCCGACCATTTCATGTGTTTCCTAACAAAGAATTCAAAACACAGATAGTAGAAATACACGTTTGATAGAGGCTAAGAAATACGAAATACACTATATTCGCTAGATATTCTTGAACTCACATATTCTAAAAAAGAACGAAAGTATCCAAAACACAGTGAAACAAAAACAAAAACAAAAAGAGCACAATTCCAATTTGGGTGTATATATAATATTGATCAAAAAGTAAGAGTTTTAGAAATGTATCTTTGTATCTGAATTATATCATTTGCTGTATATACAATATTTAAACACAACTTTCAGCGTATCGTTGATATACTGTGGATTAAAATGAGGTTTCACATTGGATCCTTATAGAATACAACCACATTTCAAGTCATAACCAAAAACTCTACATTTAACATTACACTACTCAATGACTTGCTCATAATGAATGTATTCTTTCTACTTCATGCTTTGGACTTTTGTAAAGAAGTAAAATTCACAATCATTAGTCAACTATCGAAGTGTAATATACAAAAATCAAATCTCAATACAATTTTAGTCATTGTTAATTGATATTACTGTTTATAGTAAATATATCAATGTCGAGGTTGATAGAATTATTGAATCTGGTCGATTCGCTTTCTATCCATGTAGTTTTCATTTTTGTCACCTTCCTTGTAGGAAGGTAATTTGAATACAGAATTATCAAATAGATGCAAAGAGTGAAGTAGAAAAGTTTCATAGAGCCGTAAATAACGCTGATTATACACTTGGAGTTGCATACGCTATTATGATTCTCCAAAACGCTCGTTATGATATAGTAGTTGTATTATAGATAGAGAAATCAAAAAACTGGCAAAAGGTTTACGAGAGCATTGTGACCTACCTTGAAGGCGCATGTAACGGTACTATTCTTTCGATCTCAGAGCATTGTACGCATTTGAGTAGCTTTCTGTCATTCTGTAATAAGGGTACACTTTGGAAACGATTTATCGAGGATCTTATTTTTTCTTATGAAAAAGGGTCATTTCACATTATGAAACATAAGGAAATGCTTCGTGCTGCCCATTATTTAGATACCCACAGCACAGTGTATCCGAAAGTCGATATTGTATGTATATCCTCGCTTCCATTCCTATTCTGTATCGTTCCCAACTTTGTAATATATTCCTATTCTGATGAACTACTCAACATCATCAATTCTTCCCAGTCCGTGGAATCATCATGTTTTCTTCCATATGTTTTTGAGGATGCTGGTCTATTCACAAGCTGGCTTACTGCGGGAATCGCTCTCTTCTGTAGGAATATGAAATTTAAGGAACAGCTTCAACCATTATCGATGTTTTTGAGTAAAATCAATGATCCTTGTGAAGCATTTGCTGAATGCAAAGAGTCAGATATCGTTGATTTGATGAGTTGGTGTGTGGATGATGAGAAATGCCTGGAACATGTGGAACGATTGATTCGGAATGATTTGTTTGTAATGTTTTGTGTTGTGTTTGGCTCGTCCAAATTGGCGGAACGATTCATTCCATCGATCAAACCCAGAAAATTAAGTGAAGTCTGTCAGCGCTGTTTCTTCTACAAGCAACTTGTAGATTTTATTTTGTTTTCAGTAGCTCAACAGTAGAGAAATCTGAGCTTCTTGAAAAAAGCGGCGAGCAGAGAGATTTCGCTCGAAATCACGCGACAAGTGAGGGATTATCCTCAGTTCTGTGTATATCGTTTTGAATGATTGAATATGACATAGAATACTCTCACTCTCATCGACGGGACTTCTTACCAATTTTTGGAAACGATTCTGATTGTGTTGATGAATCCGGATATCAGTGATGAAGTGGTTTCGTTTTGCCAATCTGGAATCGCGGGTTATATAAAAGGCAACTTGAATCGAGTGACATTTTTGGCAGAATTCATTTTCCAACTCTATTTCGATCGTATGACTTTTTTTCAATGTTTTCTCATTTCATTTCATAGAAACGGATCTTCTTTTATATCCCACTTTTCGAAAAGAGAACTATAAAGCGCAATTAGCTGCGCGTGACTCAGTATTTGTGGAATTGTTAGAAGGAATTCCATTCGATAACGAATCACCAGAACAACGACATTCGATCTTTCAAATCCTCTCTGATCTTTGGCTTTCACGACTGAACATCGATACAGTTTTTACACCCACATTTAATGAAACCATTAACATTTCTCGTTTTGGTTGCCCACACATTTTAGATCCTGTCTTTGAGTTTGGTGTATTACAAACACTGCTTCGTATTGTAATTGTTTTAAACAATCAATCGAGAATAGACTGTGGTTGGTGTAGGGAAGCCAGCATTATCGTGGTTTTATCCGGTTTTGACGACATTTATGGTGAAAGTGTTTGCGAGCCGATTCCAAGTCGGACCGACGAGAAAAGCGCACTATTTGGTAGGAAGTTGAAGGGAATATGTGTCTAATGGTTGTAGAACTGCTTCGAAGAATTGATTGTGACGTGTAGTGCGATGCATCCGGCCTTCCACAACATCCAACAGTTCATTCCGTATCTCCCGATTCTTTCCTATCCTTCTCTTTGGGGCATTCTTCGTCTTCTCGAAGGTATCACGAGCGATGTATCGAAAAACCAGGTCTCCAAACCTTCATTCCGAGACCATCTGAAGAAACTCGTCATCGAAGTAGCCAGCCAACCGAGTGATCATTCGCTTCTACCCGTAATCGCTCAATTTCTATTCCCTGTTTCCAACAAACATTTCATTGATCAGCTAAACGAACAACAACTCGGAACCTTCCTCGCCTTCTCTTCCTTCTATTATGAATAAAAAAGAATCACTATATTAATATTGAAATAACACCACAGGCTTCTTCTTCCCTTTCCCGCTCGTTCTCTTCGTCTCCTCCACCGCTTGATCCAGCGTTTCTTGGACGATATCTTTCTTCACTCCCCACGTTTCCGCGGTTTTTGGATTCGTCGAATTCGCCGGGGGTTTCGCAGTTGGAAGTGTTGGCATATTGAAACGTCCGAGAGCAGTCAACGACGATGATGATGATGACGAAACGCCCTCCGCTACTGGGGAAATGGACGTTGTGGTAGAGATCGTCTTCCCCGCGGGACTGGGCGACACTCTATTTCCACGTTTCGGGTTTTTTTCGTTGGGTATAAGGATTTTTCCCTTCCCTGGAGAAACTGGAGAAACTGGAGAAACTGGAGAAACTGGAGAAGCGCTCTTTATCGGCGGGAAAAACGCCTCCGCACTGTGCGGTACGGAGTTAACCGCGGGGATGGTTTGCCACGGTTTTTTGGAGGTCCGCACGGGGAGTTTCTGTACGAAACTCCGCTCTGGATTGGGTTTGGCGGGAATCATAACCGCGGCAAAACGCTTGGCCTGTTCTTCGGCGACGGTCCTTGTCAACTCGCGAAGACGCCGAATGACCTCCCCCGCGAAAACGCCGAACACCTCGCGGATCCAGTTGACCTCGGTGGAGGAAACTCCCGCCAAATCGCGCTTCGCCTTCTGGACGGCGGCGAGCGACGGCGCGACGAGTCCTTCCTTCCCGCGAAAATATTCCAGAAAAAGGTCGAAATTTTGCCTGGACGCCTCGGAAAGGCCGAGCTTGTCCACCCAGTTGCAACTCAGCAATTCCCGGTTGGTCATCTTCGCCATGGATTCGCTGACTCCGTTTAACCGCGATTCGTCGATTCCCGCCCATTCTTCGCGCCTCGCGCGCTCGCGCAGCAATTCGTCCAGACACCGAATCACTTCCACCGCTCCGTTCCCGCCAAGCAGCAACGTTTCTCCAGTTACCACTTTTCCACGTTGCACAAGCTTCGATTTCAGATTCGCCAGCTCCGACAGTTCCCCGCGGAACGCGCTCAGCTGCTCCTGCGGCGTCAGAACCGCGGGAGCTTCGTCGACCGGGCTGGTTTCCGCGGGACTGTGCGGAATGGGCAGCGCGGGGGACGAAGCCGACCGCGGGAAACCGCGCGGATGAAACGCCTCGCTTTCCGCGGAAAGCTGCGGAGTATTGAATTCCCGCGGGAATTCGGCGAGTTTGGCGGGGGATTGGCCGGTGCGGCAGGCGCCGATGGATTGGAGAAACTCGCGGTCCAGCTGCTCGGTTTTGCGTCCGCGCGCTTCGCGGAATAGTGTTTCGATGACGTGTCGTCGCACGGGGTTGTCAATCAAACTGATCAAATGACTCAGCACGCGAAGATTCGATGTCCCCAGAAGCTACGCATAACCGCGGGAGGCCGCCTCTACGTTCAGCGACACATCGTAGAACGCCGCGGCGGAGACGGTTCCGCGAAGAAACTCCCCGGTCAGTTTCTGGTACCGCTCGAACTTCCCCGGATTCCCGCGGAACACGGCGTGTAGCTCGCGGTCGAGCTCCTTGCCGCGCTTTTCGAGCTCTTCCCGCGACCATCCGGAGGGATCTTCGACGAGGAACACTTTGGCGGCCTCGATGGCGCGCTCGGAGACGTGGGGCGTTTCGGGAGTGGCGAGTTCCGCGGTCGCGAAGAGGTCGCTGAGCTGGGTGTAAGAAGGTGGAAACGGAGGTACGGAGAGGGTTTCTTTGAGGTTGTGGACGGTGCGTTTGTGCTCCATGAGCTCGATCTGGGAGTTGAAGACGGAGAATTCCTGGTCGGCGCAGGCGGGATGGTGGCAGACGTAGTGGTGCTTCTCGTAGTGGTCCATGAGGGCCTGGCGCGACTTGAAGTACTGGAAATTAGGGGGAGAAAGGAGAAAAGGATACGGCGTGGGCGTCGGGGGGGCAGAAAATGCAGAATTGGTGGGAGGTTTCGAGGTGGTGGGTCAGCGCTTTCTCGTCGAATTGGAGCTTGTCGCAGAATTCGCAGCGCTAGAGTGGAAGGAGGAAGAAGAGGAGAAACGGGGTGAGGATCCACGCGGTAGTCGAGAGAACGGTCGGTGAGGCCGAAGCGGTTGTGACGGTCGATTTCCTGGGGATGAGGGGAGAGAGGGGGCGATACATTCTTTTTGTAACACCTCATTTCGAAAGGAAAGATTTTGAGATTGGATAAACACAAATTGCACAGAACCAAGTCATGAGCGGAACTGACGTGTCGGATCAGTTCTTTTTCGTTTCGGAATTTTGGGTTTTCCCCCTGTTTCGTTTTAGCGTATTCTGCATAGCAAATCGGGCAACGATAACCAAGTCGTTCCTTATACGCATTACAGAGGTTCTTTGAATCAAAACAGATGTTTAATGTCTTGTCGAAATAGGCCGTTGGTGAATTGGTCACAGACAAATAGGTTGCTTCGGGATTGGTGGTTATTACAATTTTCTCAATATTTTCCTAGTCATAATATTGAGGAAGCAGAGTTACACGGCAGGTTGGGCAGGTTGTCTCTTTATAGAGCATTAGCCAGTGAAGCATACAATTAGCACATAAATCCTTGTGATCACAAGATCCAAATGCAAAATCTTGAATCGGATTACAACAAACAGTGCAGCTCATTCGAAAAAGTGAAAAGCAACCTGTAGAAGCAAGAAATTTCCTGGAAACTTCTTGACACGGCAAGAAAGACGAAAGTGCTGGGGGATATTTTAAATCATACCAATATGGAATTGGTTGTATTCGAGATATATATATGTATAAAGAGAGAGAGTACCTTGATAGTAGGAAGGATTGATAAAAGTTGTGTGAATTTGTTTTTGTCATTTTCGAAAGTCTTGGTCAAGGGATTTGAACCAAGTTGAATAATAACAAAACTCATCAATTTTGCACCATTCTCACCATTTTTATTCCTCTCCTTGTACCATCAATCAATCAATCACTTCCTGCTCTCCCCCTTCTTTCTCTCACAAACACCGCATAAAAGAACACTCGTTACAACTGCACGTTGCTAAACAACTCGACCAGACACAGCGTCTGCTGCATCAGTCCCTGCATCCTCCTCCACGCTCGTCTCTGCACGCGCTCCATTCCCTCCAGCCTCGTCTTCATCTCCGGCATTCCCTCGATCACCTCTCCGTACAGCTCCAGCGTCCTCTCCAGCAGCGCCTGCACCATTTCGAAGTCCGTTTCCGCGCGCATCGCGCGCTCCAAAAATCGAAGCAAATTCCGCACCGCGGTTTTTCCGACCTCGTCGAAGTCCCCCATGCACAGCAGACTCAGCTCCGCGTCCGCCGCGGATACCGGCAGCGCGCGGAAATGCCGAAGCACTCCGTAGAAACTCCCCATCGCGCGCTCCACGTCCGCCTCCTCCTCCACCTCGGGGGTTTCATCCACCTCGGGGGTTTCATCCACCTCGGGGGTTTCATCCGTGGGGGGTTCATGATTCGATGATTCCACGTTTTTGTTCGGGACAGTTTCATCGGGCGTTTCACTCGCGGAGGGTTCCACGGTTTCCACGGTTTCCCCGATTCGACTCTGTTCCCGCGGTTCTTCGCGTTCGGCGGCTCTTCGCAGCATGGCTTGCAATTCGTTTTCCCCGCTCAGAACTTCCCGCCGCGTGCTGAACCGTTCCCCGGGACCTCCGTTTCCACTTTTCTCCGGTTTCTCCGGTTCCTCGGGGACCGCGAATTTGGGCTCGATCCCCGCGGTGGTGGGGAGGAAGAAGGGCGCTTCCGCGGGTTTTTGGACAGTTTCGCGGGGACGGTTTCGCTCCCGCAATTCCCGCAAATGAACCAGTGCGCACCACTTATCGTGCGGACCCCGCGACAACCGCAGCGTCCCCGCGGTTCCGCCGATTCTATTGGATTCCCGCGGGGAATCGGCGGAAGCCTCGCGATGGCGGGAAGCTTCTTCTCCTTCTTCTTCGTTGGATAAAACCGCGGGGGAGTCGATGCAGCAGGGTTGGCGGGGTTCGCGGGAATCGATCAATTCCGAGTAGTAGGCATTGTTGGCGAAAACCGCGATTCCGCGCTGTCCCACGTGCGTCGTCGCGACGAATTCCCCGCTCACCGAAACCGCCACGGAGCGAAGCACGTGCTCGAACCGAATCCAGTCCACCAATCGGCCTACGCGTTTTTCCCGCCCTTTTTTCCCCACTTTCCGGCACGCTCCACACGCGCAGATCCCCGCGGGAATCCCCGAAGAACAGCCAGCGACCGTCCTCCGCGAACGCCAGACACGTCCCCGCGAAACTCGGATCCCCGCGGAACCGCCGAATGATTTGGCGGGAACCGCACTCCACGACGATCACCTCGCTCCCCGCGGTTTCCACGGCGAGCAGATTGGCGGTGCGGCAGAACCGCGCGTTAACCGCGGGGGAGCTCAGCGCGATCACGTGCGCGAGCCGACGATTGGGCAAATCCCAGAACCGAATCGATTGGTCCCGCGAAACTGACACCACCTCCTACGCCTCATCCCCGCGGGGAACTCCTACCTGCCCGGTGAGGTCGATTCCCGCGGCAAGCACCGCCTCGGTGTGGCCGCCCTCCCCCGCGGGTTGCGCGCCCGCCGCCAGGAAGCCGGTGAGTCCCGCGCGGAGGCGGAAGCCGGGCTTGGATTCCCGCGGGAGCGAACCGCGGTAAAGGCCGCTCTGGATGTTGAAACTGCCGGTGAGGAGGGAAAAAAAACGCCCACAGATGGAGGGAGCCGTCGCGGTAGCCCACGACCACGGTTTCCCCGTTGTTCTCCACGTCGCACGCGGTGGCGAAATTCCCGCGGGAGCGCGCGGCGTCGGGGGGCAGGAGGATTTTGTCGCCGAGGATTCGGTCCAAGTAACGCCACGTGTACCTACCCGTCAACGGGGAAACGGGGAAACCAACACGCTGGCAGAACCCTCGTGGCACGTGACCACGTTCGCCCAGTCCTTTTCCCGCCCTTCCGAGTACGCGAAGCACGTGATCCGCGGTAATCGCCCATCTCCCATTCCCGCGGTTCCAGTGGGTCCAGTAGTTCCCGTGGTTCCGGTAGTTTCACTAGAACCCTGCATTCCCGCGGTTCCCGCGGTTCTAGTGGACCCCTGGACTCCCTGCAGTTTTTGTCGCTTCCCCGCGGGACCCTGGGACAACTCCCCGCTCAGCGGGTCGCGGAGCACGTGGAAGGTGCGAAACGCCCGGTCCTCCCCCGCGGAAAGCACGTTTAGCGCCAAACCGTCGAAACTCCCTTCCCGCGAAACCACACCGTGGAAACCGTAGAACTCGATCAGCGACGCGCCCTCCGCGTGTCCGCACCGGCTCTTCAGCTCCCGCGGGGATCCGTCGATCTCGTCGATGCCCCACACGCGGAGGGAATTGTCGTTCCCCGCGGTTAACAGCTGGAAACGCCCCGGCAAGAAGAAGGCGGAGTGGATCGCGCCGACGTGCGCGGCGTCCCGCTGGAAGCGAAGACATTTCCCGCGCAAATCCCAGAGGCAGAAACTCCCGTTCTCCCCCGCGGAAACCAAAAGCGGCGCTTTGGCCAGATTCGAAAAGAACGACAGACTCGTCACCGCGGAATCCTGACGGAACTGCATCACCGACTACGCTCGTGAATCGTGGAAACGTGGAACCTGGTCGTAGCGGAGGTTTCGGAGGTCGATGGTCCCGTCCTGCAGGCCGATCGCCATCACGTCGACCGACGGAGAGGGCTCCAGGAAGCGGACGGCGGACGAGTAGCCAGCGAAGCTCATGATGAGAGCGCCGGTTCGGATGTTCCACAGCTGCAGCTGCCCCGATGCGCTCCCGATTACCACCTTGTTCAAATAGGTCGGAGGGTGGGATAAACAGGAGGGCTCGAAGGAATGGCCAAGGTTGATGGTGCGGATCAGCTCCTCGCTGTCCCAGTTCCAGATGCACAGAAAACCATCCGCTGAGGCGGACAATAAATAGTTTCCCATTACCAACAAACACTTGATAGCGCCGTGGTCGGAATCCAACCTTCCAACGATCGAAAAACGCTTCCATTTGAGAATTACCTTTCCTACCGCGGTAAATGTATACTCACCTGAAACTTCGATTACACTACCACTCATATGCACAAAAAAGACCAAACTCAATATCTTCCGAGAGTTGTGGAGAAACCATAATCGATTGCAGTTTCTCCGTATTATATACTTGGAACGATTTCCCAGTGGGAACCGTCAGAAAAGAATCTTCTCCTGCACTTCAAAACAACCACACATTCCTACCTAACTGGTTCAAAAGAATTCTTTTGGTCCCACACACATAACCCACAATTTTAAACGGATAGAGAATGCGTGAACCTTTCTTTTCACTCATTTTCTTCTGCTATGGACGTTCAAAAAAGCCCGCTTTTCTGGACTTTTTTTCCTTATTCATAATAATAACCGCGGTTTACAAGTAACAAGGTTTTTCTCCCCATTTTTTGTAATAATATATATATAACTTGTATTATGGATAAAGAAACAATTCAGAAATTATTGTGTGAAGCACGCGAGCTTAAATCGGAGAAAAATGAAGTGGCCGCTTTACATAAGTAAACGTAATGAGTGTTATATTATGTACAGATATATTACGGTGATGAATGAAATTCAAATCAATGAGTATAACGCTCCTCCTGAAGAAAAGGATTATTGGAGTTCACTTCTATCCGAATGTCAAAAAGAGTTTAATGAATTGCGCGGTTCTGTCGATAACGTACACTTATTTACGGACGACTTGACTTCTTCTAAACTTGGGTACATGGTTGACAAATGCGTGAATGGAGCTTGGAATCTTCTTGAAAGCGGATTCTCTGCTGTTGGAAGTATGATGGGCTCCGCATTATCGAATCCTTACGTACAGTCCACAATCTCTGTAAGAAATTGTGTGTTCAAGTGCATAATCTGTAGACAGCAGAAAGCGCAATGGAGTTTATCAGTGATGTGAGTATTGTCACCATGGCGAACGTATCGACTCTGGTGGATAATTATTTGGATGATTCTTCCGAGCACACTCCCGATGTTAATATGGAAGGTCTCGTGGAAGAGCAAGGGTCTGAGCAAGAGTTGGATGTTCAAGTACCAGAAGAGCAGCAAGAAGAAGCAAAAGAGGAAGAAGTTGTAGTAAGAGAAATAAAGAAGGAGAAGCAAGAAGAAGAAAAAGAAAAAGAAAAGAGCCCATTGACAGAAGAACCCAATCAGCCATCCAGCGAAGTTTCTATCGAACCCGAAGAACCCAAACAATCCGAAGAACCAGAAAAAGAAAAAATAGAACCCCAGCAACAACTGGAACCGGAACCGGAACCGGAACCGGAACCGGAACCCCAGCAATCGTCCGAAGAAAAGCCCCGCGAGGCTCCGGCTGCTCCGGCTGCTTCGGTTTGTTTTTCTGTTTGTTTCTCAAACATTCATTCCATCATCAAGCAAAGGACTTCACTGCATCGTAGATCGCCTCGAACACCAGCTTGTACGCGAACGATCGCAGCACCGTCTCATCCACTGCGCTCCTCAGCCGCAGCTCGGCAAACACCAGCGCGCCCGGCTTCTCCATGCGCACATAGCGCATCCCCGCCTCCTCGGTAATCTGCAGCAAACGCTCCTCCGCGCCCAGGGCGTTCAGAATTTCCTAGTCTCACAACCCACAGACTGCCCCACAGGGATCGCCGAGATCACCTCGAACTGCAGCGTTCCGTCGACCAGTCGCTTCTCCACGTCGTCGCCGAACAGCCGATCGAACAGTTCTTCGCATCTATCCATCAAGGGTTCCACGTTTCCACACTTCGGCATCCCGCCGTCCAGGAAGAGCGACGCGGTCGTCGACTCCAGCAGATCGCTGAGCAATTTCGGCTTGGAGCGGATGGAGTAAATAAAATCGCTGTTTTCTATGTGGATTGGGCGGATGTGGCCGCAGATCGCCTTCTTGTCTGCTTCTTTGCGCTTCCCCGTTCCTCTGCACGACTCGAACAAAACCAAGTTCTTTCGGTGGATTATCTGCATGCATTCCAGATAATCGCGGAGCGGGATCTGATCCCAGTTTTCATCGAATTCCTCCGATAAAATCCACTTTGCCTACATGAAATCGAATTCTGAGCGCTACAAAACAATCCACTTCGTTATATGCCTGGTAATGCTTCGACACGACTCGATTCAGTCCGATCTGCACAGCTTTCCGCGCGAATGTTTCATTGCTCAAAATATTTTTCCGAAGCACTACACTCAACGACATGGCCGATGTGTACGCGTGATCGTGTGAGGACACAGCGATAGCACGCCCGTCTCGCACTTCAAAATGTCCCGGTTGCGGGAAATCTTGCGATCTCGGTCCAGCGCGATGATTCGCTCGATCAGAAGCCATTCAAAGATCGCATCTCCCAAAAATTCCAAAACCTGTTTTTGAAGAGAACCACGGGGATTACTTGATAATTGAACGACGGCACCGCAGGAATGTAGCTGCAGACCGACATCATGGCGATCACTTTGTTTTGGTAGTGATATCTACATAGTTTTCAAGGAATTATTGAACTACTTTTGGATTTCCTCCAGCGTTTCCACTTGCTTCTCCAACTCGGCGAATGGAATTTGATCGGTGTCCATTCGCAAGTGATTCTGCATGTTGGAGGAGAGAAACCCTTTTTCGTAGCAATGGATCAATGCAGGAGCGAATTCATTCAAGTCCAACAAAAACGAAACCAACCGAATGGATTCGATCGGGTTTTTATAATTATAATAGCAGCACGTTCCAATAATCGCCTCCACCACATCCGCGATCACATTCATTCTAAAACAACACGGAGAGCGGAAGGAGAGTACGGGGGCTCTTTGTAGCCGAGGTAGTTGGTCGCTGAGCGCATGATGATGATGTCGGGAATGTGGTAGCGTTTTCCGATCGCTGCGAGGTTCACATTGCGCACGAGAGAAGCCTTGCGAAGGTTGATGTGCTCCAGCATGGATAAACCGCTGTAGAGGACCAAGTAAACATGCGCATAAAATCTATTGGCTGACACAGAAAACACAAAAAGCACTTCAGGAAGGCATCTCCGTACGTCTCCAAGATGTCGTAGTTGAAAAACGTGCACATGCACTTGGCCGTGAAGGCCTCCACGAGTTGCTCTCGATTGAACTGAATGGCCAGTTGATCGTTCAGAAAATTCGAAAATGACTCAATTTTGTGCACATGTTTGAGGTAATTCAACAAGGATGGAATTAGTTTCACAGATTCAATGAAATGGTATTTCAAAGGAAAGAGCAGCACAAGCTGTGGAATCAAATACACCGATCGATCATGATCCTTCTGCACCACAAATCCTACATCTGAGTGCGTCTCTGCAGCTGCACTTTCCAATGCCATTTCCCGCGGTGCGAGCGGGGTTTGATCGACCTGCATCCAATCCATATTGAATTCGTTCTCCGTCCGGAACGTCTGGGGCGGATATTCCGTCGTGAACTGGTAATCCACGATGATCGAGCGATCTTCGTCCACGTGTTCTTCATGGCGTTTTCGAAGCGTATCCGCGTCAGGATACAAGAAATCCACCACGTTGATGTGGAGACTCTTAGCTAGCGGGTACGCATGGTATAATGGCTGATCGGTGTTCACCGCGGTTCTGTCGTCCAAATCGCGGACCAGATCGATAAAGGATTCGTTCGTTTTCTCCTTGGCGACGGAGAGCGGCGTGAACTGAGGCGCCTTGCCGAGAAAGGAGTAATAATCGAATTTGTAAGTGGTGAAAAGAACGCTGTCCGCTAATTGGTCGTCGGAGAGACCGCGGGAAAACAGGTTTCCCGGGTGAATGGACCGCGTGGGGTCTATCGTGGAGCGAATTCGGCGGGTCTACGAAAGGAGAAGGTGGTGTAGCGGTGGATGGCGTCGAAATCGATGACGTCGCTCATGCCGCTGTTGCTCTTCAGGGAGCGAAAGCGGCGCGGAATCAGGGGAACGAAGAGCTCGCTGACGGTGACGGTCTCGTTGGCGGTGAGCTTGATGGTCTGGAGGAGCTTCGTGTTGAATTGGAAGATGCGCTGGATTTGGATTTGCGATAAATCGAACTTGACGTAATGGAGTGGCGTTAAAGAAACGAAAATCAATGAATGAATGAATGAATGAATCAAATCAAATCAATGAATGAATCAATGAATGAATGAATCAATTGAATGAATCAAATCAATGAATCAATTGAATGAATCAATTCAAATCAAATCAATGAATCAATTCAATTCAAATCAATTCAAATCAATTCAATGAATCAATTCAAATCAATTCAATTCAATGAATCAATTCAAATCAATTCAATTCAAATCAATTCAATTCAAATCAATTCAATTCAAATCAATTCAAATCAATTCAATGAATCAATTCAAATCAATTCAATTCAATGAATCAATTCAAATCAATTCAATTCAAATCAATTCAATTCAAATCAATTCAATTCAAATCAATTCAAATCAATTTCAAATCAATTTCAAATCAATTTCAATGAATCAATTCATTTTGGATATCGAAAAACTCCACTTCGTCCCTCTCTTTGTTCCACAATCGAATCGACGGATAATGCGAATAAATCAGCTCCTTCGACAGCACGCCCAAGTTCTGGAAGCAGTCCTGCTTCACCCTCCTTCCCTCCTCCGTCTTCACAAAAATCACTTCAATCAACCGAAACTCCCGGTCCAACTCCAGCATCAGCTTGATTCTGTTTTTCTCCTTCATCCTCTCCGTGTGATACGTCTCAATGATCGTGAAGTGGTTCTTCTGCCCTTCGATCAATTCCTCCACTTCCTTCACGCGGCTCAGCATTTCCCGGTCCGCGATCACGTCCAACTGCAGCTGCTTTTTCTCGTCCCAAACCCTGCGCAGCTCTCCGCTCCCCACGATTTCGTTCAGTTTCCAAACCGAATTCTTTGGAACGAAGCAATTGCCGTCGAGCGGACGCATCCGCGGCGGCGGATCATCCAAAAACCGCGATTCCAGGCCTGCTTCTCACACCATCCGCGTATTTCTACGAATCGTGGAACACAAATCGTCCAATGAAACGCCCGATCCCTCGTTCAAATAATCGCGGTTTAACGCATCGTCCAGATTCTCGATGACCGAATAAGCCGCTTTTTTCGCGCAGAAGTCCGCCAATCCCTTGCTCTACTCTCGATTCCCGCGGTTATCCCCACGATACACGCGCGACTGGCCACCACGACGTCAAACGGCGCGAGAACCGCGGCATAGTCGTCCATCCCCGCGGTTTTTGGGTGTAGTTTATGGGGATAACCGCGGATATCGGCGACGTCGTCGACGTATCTTCGCGTCAAAGTCAAAATTGGCGGGAACAGGATGTCAAAAAATTGACCGACGCTGAGCAGAAAGGCGATGGCGGGAAGCGGGGCGCGGCGAAGACGAAGAAGGCGCGCGAGGGCGAGGAGAGGGCGGATGCGCGGCTGGTCGAGGAAGAGGACGGCGGGACGGTCGGGTTGGTGGAGGAAGCGGCGGATGAAGAGGAAGTTGAGGACGTGGAAGGCGAAGAAGAAGGAAACTTCCGAGGCGAAGACGAAGAAGGCGGGGTCCGGACCCTGGGGGTGAGGAGGAGAGAGGAGGAGGAGGAACGAGTTTGAGGAGGTTGAGGAAGTGGAGGACTTTGCGGAAGTACTGAATTGGTTATATATAAAGAGAGAAAGAGAGGACGTACATGATCTCCAGAGTGATTTAGGAGGGATTCGTAATCATCCAGATTATCCAATGGACTCACCATCTCTAGACATGTTTCACTCGCTTCTCTATAAAAAAAACTAACAATTTGAAAATACACAAACTGATCAGGCGGTTCGTTCATTATTTGTGACATAGTTCGACAACAATACTATATATATAAAGGCCCAAAACAATCAAAATACGGAAAGAGCTAATTCCTCTGTTGGAAAAAAGAAACCCATGTAGTAATGTTTATTATTATACACAGCGTCATTCATATATAACTTCTGTAAACCCAAATCAACTTGAATCGTAAGTTGTTAAGTAACACCTTCTAGATTCGCAGGACTGTATTAGGATATTGTATCATGTCATACAGAATGTTCGGTTGTGAATCGGACGCTGAGGGAGGAGATTCATCGGGCACTGACATATTACCTCAACGTTGGGTCTAGAATCTTCTATTTGTTACTCCAATCCATAAGAGCACTTTACAAAATACAATACGATCCTTTTAAAACAAACAATAAACTCTAATTGCATTGTGGATATAACAGAGTGGTACGAGTCATAATCATTGGAATGAGGCTTACTAAAAACTAAACTCGATCCTGGAATCGGGTCAAAACGAGTCTTCACACTATTATCTACACATTGCTTTATCCGCTTCGCAATGTCTGCTTTTGCAGTTTCGGATGTCGTAGGCGAGAATCTAATGCACATGACTCGCAAATTCTTACAATTTTGCACCCTCCGAATTTGGACAGAGGTTCATATCAAATGAATCGATGTAGAACATGTTGTTGACTTTGATTAGCAGCGTGGCGAGCGAATTCGGATCGGATCGCCACTGTGGATAGACATACTGGATGTCGAGAGCATTTGTCTAGTGCGAAGGAACGAAGAAAGGTCTACACGAGGATTTACGTAGGGGTGATAGATAGGAGTGATGAACTTTAAACTTGGAATTATATCGTCCGACCTAGAATCGATTCCGGGACAAACACCTACTCTTTCGAGATTTGCAGAGAGAACTTGAAGATCCCTTCTGCCCAGACACCTGACGAGACGAAGACCACTCCGTCCCAAATAAAAATATCGTTTTCCCGAGGAAGGACATACAGTCCGTGGAGATCGGCTTTACACGTTTCTAGATACTTGTACTGGTTGGAAACAGCCAAGATCCTCGCAAAACTAGCCGTGCTCATCGCCATGAAAAAAGAGTGTTGCAACAAACAACATCCCACACACCTTTCTCTCCATAGTTTACTCTTCCTCGGCGCCTTCCGCCTCCTCCTCCTGCGCCTCCACATACCGGTTTTTACGATTTCGCTTGAGGCAGTTCCATCGGTAGAGCACCTCATCCATGTCCATGTCTCCCTCGAGCATGAGATTGCTCAGTCCGGGGAACATGACGCTCTCCATTCTCTGGTAGTTCGTCTCCGTGCAGTTCTCGTACAGATTCACCAGCGTGACCTGCTCGTCCGTGAGATCGTCCAGCCATTGCTGCGAGTTCGCGCGCAGCGCTCCGATCACCTGCTCGCTCGTCGACCGGAACTCGTACTGCACCTTCCACTCCGCGTGCTGCTCCTGCGCCTCGCGCTCCGTCTCGTCCAGCGGCGTCGGCGTCACCGTGGGCTCCTCCGCCGTCGCGGTGTCCGTCGCCGAGTCGTTCGCCGCGCGTCGCTCGCTGGGCCGCACCGCGTAGGCGCCCACGCAGTAATAGGCCAGCCAGTCGCCGTTCCAGGTGCGGCACAGTCCGGCCGCCTGCAGCTGGTTGGGCGCGGGGATCTCGGGGAGGTCGACGAAGCCGATGGCGCCCTCGGGGCCGCGGATGCGCTCGCAGGCGAGGTGCTCGGAGAGGAAGCGCTCGCCGGACTGCTCCACCACCGCGTCCATGAACACGAAGTGCGCGAGACGGTCCCAGAGCGCGCGGAAGGCCTGGGCGCGCAGCAGATGCTCGGGCGCGGGGAGAAGCAGGTCGGTGAACTTGATCTGGATGGGCGTGTAGGGCAGCACGAGGTCGCCCGTGCCCTCCGTGATGCTGCCGTTGAGCTGCGTGATCGTCTCCTCGCCCTTCTTCAGCGTCACCAGCGGCTGCGCGGTGCCGCGCTCGAAGCGATTCACCAGCAGCGGCGCTTCCCAGGTCACCGACGCGCGCGGCAGCAGCGTGCCCTGCATCTCGAACGAGGCTTCGCGCCGCAGCGACGACATGGACAGCGCGCCCTGCGCCGCCACCGACACGCTACGCGTCAGCCCCCCGCGGAGACACTCACGAAACGCCGCTGATGCTGATGTGCGTCGCGTTGAAGATGGTCATGCGCAGAATCAGCTGGCGGTTCTCCGACTGCGAGCGGAAGCTACCCACGATGAGCAGCGGGTCGGAGCCTCCGGACAGCGTGGAGCGCAGATGGAACGTGGGCGCTTTGTAGATGAGCGAGCTCTGCTTGTCTAGCGATGAGACCCCGCCCGGGCAACGCACTGCTCGTCTTCTGGACGGCCTCGTCCTCCTCGGCGCCCGTGGAGACCAGCGCGTTCTGGATGGACTGCCGGTAGGACTCGGCGGGGTCGTGGATGTTCTGGATCTTCGACTGCTTCTCGCAGTCCGTGTCCTGCGTCGGCGCGAACGTGCCCACGAACGAGTAGATTCGCTCCAGGCGATGGTCCTGGTCCTGGATCAGCGGGCCCGTCGGCAGACTGGACGCCGGCAGGGACAGCGAGATGCGAGCGAGGATCAGCAGCGCGCTGAGAGGGAAAGAGGGGCAGCCACACGTACTTCTCGCGCGCAGGGATCGACAGATCGGTTCGCTGCAGGTATTTCTGGATGGCCTTGTACGCGATCACCGCCAGCTCTTCGTTGTCGCTCACGATCAGCAGCACGCAGCGCAGCAGCAGGTCGGACAGCATCAAGTTCTCGCCGCGCGCCGTTTTGGTGAGCGTGACGACCGATCCCACGGTGGCCAGCGAGGTCTACGCTTCGAGGCGCTGCTGCGACGTCTACGTGCTCGAACGCGGCGTAGCGCTGGTCCAGTTCCTCGTCGACGGTCTGCGTCTGCGTGAGGCGGTAGAGCACCAGGCCGAGCAGCACCTTCTGCAGCTCGTAGGACGACACGAACTGCGCGAGGATCCAAATGGTTCGCAGACGGACGGAGGACTCGGTCACGTTGGGCAGCACGGCGATCACCAGGTGCTTCAGAATGCGCTGCAGCGTGTAGAGAAGCTCGTTGGCCTCCTCCTCCTCCTCGGCCTCCTTCTCGGCCTCCTTCTCGGCCGCTTCGGCATTATTGTCCTTCTCGGTCGCCTCGGCATTGTCCTTCTTGGAGTCCTGCTCGTTCTGGACGTAGGTGCATAGCGCGTAGAGCGCGTTGAGGTACTTCTCGCACGCCACGCCGCTCTGACTGGGCCAGGTCAAGCAGTCCTAACGGTCATAATGGAGCCGTGCGGCCTACAGAGCACGAGTAAAGCACGTTCAGAGACACCTTGACCCAGGTGTGATGCGCCTGCACGGACGCCATGTTGGAGGGACGCTCGTCACCCACGGCGGTCAGAAGCGAAGAAACGATCTGGAGATGATGCCTTACAAGACCAAATCAAACCTCTTCACGGAACACATCGCCGTCGTTCTGCTTGAAAATATTGGTAATGAACGTGGACTTCATCACCTTCTCCACGTAGTCCACGTTGCCCTCGCGCAGCATGCTCACCACCAGCGAGCGCGCCATGGCCAGCAGCAGGTGCATTCGCTCTCGCACGTTCTACGCCTCACCCTCGCTCGCCTCGCCTCGCCTACGCGCACCGTGTAGATGGCTCGGTAGCACACGGACACCGTGGGCACATGGAACAGCTCCTTGCGAATCTCCATCGGATCCGAGCTGATCAGAATCAGATCGCGCGTCGTGGGCACGCCGAACTGTCCGTACAGACGCACGATGATCGAGTCGTCCTTCGGGAAGTACAACTCCTTCGGGATGTTCTGCAGAGCCTCCACCAGCAGCTCCGCGACGCCCTTCGGATCTGCGCGTCAGGCTCTGCCGCCAAAACCGACCCACCACTCCGTAGGGCGACTGCATGATCCGCATCAGCGCGACGAACGCCGAGCACGCCCAGGCCTGCTTGTTGATGGAGAGCAGCTTGTACCGGCTGAGCAGCACCGTGTACTTCGCGGCCATGTACATCGCCTCCGGCTCTCCCTTCGTGAGGTACTCAGTCAGCACGAAGCGCACCCAGTACGACGCCACCTCGTCGCAGGGCACGTTCTGCGGCTGACGCATGTGCTCCAAGCGGATCACACGCGGCGTCCATTCGTAGCCGGCCGCCTCGTTGAAGTGCATGGCCAGCAGCAGCGCTTCGGAGATGCCTTCGATCATGTTGGCCGCCTCGATGCTGCCCGCTTGGTGAATCCGCGACGCGATGTTGTAGGTCTGCGCCAGCAGCAGCTCGGCCACGTCGGGAATCAGGTCCCAGACGAGCGAGGGCGAGATCGTGAGCGTCTAGACATGAGTCGCAGAGAGGGAGAGAGAGACTTCCTTGGCCTCCTCGCTGGTGTGGTAGTTGAATCCTTCGTCCACTTTGGAGTAAATGTGGGAGTTGTTTTCCTCGATGATCATGTACAGCGACTTGCAGCACTCCGCCACCACGCGGACGTCCGGGTCGCGCAGGGCCTCCGCCACGCATCGCATAATTTCACGGCACTTCGTTAAGGTCTCCTGGATCTGCTCCGCTCGGTCACGAAGCTTCTCGAAGGCCTCTTCCTTGAAGGCCAGGCCCGACAGCGCGCACAGGCAACGCAGTGTCAGCAGAGAAAACACAGACACCGCCTGCTTGCGGACCATGGGGAAATCGTTGTTCAGAGACTTTCGCACAATTCGATCCATCTACAGAGTGGCAGCGGGGAAGCGGAAATACATCGATTGTGTGGACAAACTTAACGAGGTAAGAGCCTGTAAGAGAATTCAGGGCATCCAGCGCAGAATACACGACCTCTCCAGAGGGATCTACGCAGTCAATATAACGGCAGTCCAATTACTTGCCAGATCGTTTTTCACATTCTCCATGATTCCCTCGGACGCCTTCTTATCTCCATCGCAAGCAATAGCTCCCAGAATCTCATATGACAGCATTTTAATGGATTGAGAACCCTGACTACGATCAATACCATACTACGCGTAAAATCACTCCAATGAAAACTACAGCAATCAGAGCGTCTGTTGCCAACTGAGGAAATGCTTCAATCAGATCAATCGACTCCAACATTTGAGCAAGAGCAAGAATCTTTTCATCTTCTTGAGAATCTTGATCCATCAAGAAGGCTCTCACGTTTAAGGCATTAATCTCCATATTTCAGATTAGATATGATCAAATACAATACAAGAATTAGTGCGGAATGAGACCCTATTCTTGTATAAACACATCAATTTGTTAGGGACCTTTTTAGTATTGGGCCAAAGGGACTAATTTGCAAAGACAAACTTTCGAAGACTGCATGCTACATGATTGTGTGTGGAATGGATGAAAACACCAAATTTAGTCTTTCGAGTCGAGACATTGATTATTGTTTTTCCAGGAAAAATATGTGTTTCTCGTATTATTTTCAATTGCAAAATGGTACGAATTTTAAATAGCATATAGCATCCGAAAAAAAACAACAACAACAACAGAACTTGTACGAGGTTCTTTGACGTTATTATTAGGTAAGATCTTCGATCTTTCCGAATTTCTTTTTCAAATTTATTTTATTAGAATGAATACGAATTCTATTATGAAGTTTGTGAAGCTCAACTCTGGCTATATGATGCCCATGCTTGGTTTAGGGTAATTTAGTCATATATTTCGATGTAATATTCATAGAACCTTTTTGGCTCCGAAGGATGATTGTGAGAACGCTGTTTACAATGCTATCAAGATCGGATATCGCCTCATTGATACCGCCTCTGGTTATGGTAATCACAAATTTGTTGGTGCCGCAATAAAGCGTGCTATTGAGGAAGGAATCGTAAAGCGAGAAGACCTCTTCATCACCACCAAGCTGTGGGTGACTGACTGGAGACCCAAAGACGCTAGACGAGCCATTCAGACATGTCTGCAAGAGTTGCAACTGGATTATATCGACTTGTACCTTATCCATAACGCTGTTTTCCTCAATCTGGCGCCTGAAGACGAGGAACGTCGTCAAAAGGGCGAATTCTTTGACTATAACACGATTGTCGCGGATGATCCGAAGCTGCGAATTGGCTACAGTATAGAAAATCTAAAGACCACCTGGAAGACGATGGAAGAGTTTGTGCGAGAGTATAGGGACATTGAGCTTTTCGCCTCACCACTAGAGGGTTGTGCAAGTCTATCGGCGTCTCTAACTTCTCGGGGAAGAAGATCCGGGATCTGCTATCGTTCTGTGAGATCAAGCCTGTAGTGAACCAGGTGGAGCTGAATCCTTTTCTACAACAGTGGGAGCTAAAGCAGACGTGTGAAGAGAATGACATCTACTTGGAAGCTTACTTCCCTCTTGGGGGAGAGGCGAACGCGAACGCGAAGGATTCCACCTCCCTGTTGAGACATCCAGTGATCACAAAGATCGCAGAAGCGCACAACAAAACAACTGCCCAAGTCCTCATCCGTTGGGCTGTCCAGCGGGGAACTATTTGTATTCCCAAATCCATCCGAGAATCGCGTATTGCTGAGAATTTCAATATCTTCGACTTTGAGCTGACGAGTCAAGAGTTGGAGAGCATTCGTGCTTTAGATCGCGGTGAACGTGTGTGTAAAAGACCCTATATGGTATCTGCTCCCATGACATGGCAAGATATTTGGGATGGTGAATATGTTAATTTCAGTGTTTGAATTAAAAAACATGAAACTTGAAATACAGGTAATAGCATATACCAACACCACATATAATGAGACCGATTGTAACGAGATAGCTCGTATAACATTTGCATTTGGGGGATTTCTTAATGTGCCCATTTTCAAACTCAACATCAGCCTTCTGCCCATTCCCCTCCATTTCTCCATTACCATCAGCATTTCCTTCGCTATTAACATTAAAACGGTATATAATTCCATCAGAAATCATCTTTAAAGAGCAATGTAATTCACCTTCACAGTTCCAGGTATAAAGACCCCTATCACCACGATACGATATCTTTTCGATTCTTCCACCATCATTATATGAGCCAAAGCAAAAAATAGCGTTATCCTTCTTATATACAGTAAAAGGTCCCACACGCTTTCCCTCTTCATAATTTACAGTAGCTTTTAGGTTATTATTTTCATCAAAATAGTTGGCGTGGCCGTGGTACTTACCATTAGAAGTACCCCCAAAATACCTGTAGGATCCTAAATCCGTCAATTCCTTTTCACAAATCTCTCGGTGGTTACAGAATATAGCATCTCCAAGATCTAGTAAGAGAGGTTCGTCAGACATAACGAAAAATAAATGGAGTTTACCCATTTAAACTGACTTGAATATCTACAAAAATGGTTTTCTACTGCCTGGATTTGGGTTCTACGAATTTCCGTGTAGCAAAGTATAATATTGAGGACCGCAATGGTTCCACTTTGTACACCTCTGACATTGTGCTTTTCTACCAAGCTCATCACCAACTACCGTACTCAGGTGTGTTTCCTATCTATATTTAGAAGCACCACGACCTACTATCGCAATCTTCGTTGCACTTCCTTTAACATCTCTTCTACCTACGTATCTCTTATTTTAAATATGTTATCTAGACTTTCAGGAAGAATACCTATCCGGTTATCTTTGTAAAGGACTCCTTCTGTCAAGAAAAGCTAATAACTATACCACTGGAAGCAGATGTTAACCCAAACTATCATCTCAGTAATGACTCCTTTTTTACTGTGCTTGTGACGCTGTTGCAGTACATCACAAGCATGATGGCGTTTAATGCTAAAGAGGATAAGCTCACAATTGCCGTTCTTCTTCCATTTCCCTATGAACAGTAGATACCTCCATACTACAGTCTTGAGCAAAGACAATTTCTGTTTAAAGCGTGCGAAATCCTTAAACTCGAAAAGGTTACTTTCGTTGATTGGGGTCTAGCTCTGGGTCTTCAATATGGCCAATTCACAATAATGAACGAGGACGGTTATAAGAATATGTGTACCACGCTTTTTGTGGATTTTGGCGCATCGCATACGGTCTTCTCGGTCGTTCAATTCTATGAGAAATCGATGAGGCTGGTGATGAACTTAAGCACCGATATGATCAGTTCGGATAAGATCGACGGGGCAATCGTGGAAAAGATCATTAGAAAATATGTAGAAGAAGACGAAGAAGGATTAGAAGAGGCTGACGAGGAATTTGAAGACGTAATGAGTCAGATGAACATTTACAACAACCGTAAGAAACTGGAAGATTTCAAGATTTTGTGTTCGGCAGGAACGACGAAGCAGGTCACGGCTTCTTGGAACGGAAAGGAGGACTATGAAGGCTATTGTAGGCATGTGTGAAGGCGTTTCATTGTAGACGATGTGGAGACGAGCGAAGTGGAAGCTGTGTTGAGTGAGCTACTAACGGATTTCGAAGACCTGCTTACTAAACTTGTTACCATGTGCGAAAAGATAGGTGTGAAGAAGATTGATCGCTGCGAAGTCGTGGGCGGAAACTCGAATTGGCAGCTATTCAAGAACAAGCTTCTTGAGTTCTTCAAGGGAAAAGAGAATATGATATCCTTGCATTCTTTCTACTATTATTATTGTTTTTGTTGTTGTTGTTTGGATGCCTTCATTCCACCCGCGGCACATCAATGAAACGCTGAATTCGCGCGAGTCCGTGGCGTTGGGCGGCTGCTTCTTCTCACCACTTGTTCGAGAGAGCAAGTCGATCGAGTGCTCAATTATCTCAGACCGTAATATCCAAGCCGTCTATCAGACGGTTACGAAGGACCACCAGGTGCAGCAGAAGGCATTCATCGTTCAGAAAGGCGATGTGTTGAAATACACACGAGAGTTTCCGTGGTTGAACGAAGTGAAGATCCGTGCGTTAAAGGGACACGATGTCGTGATTCTGGGCGATCAAGAGGAGGATCCGAACGCTCAAAAGATTCTGTGCGTTCTGCATTCGAAGTTTGAGGAGGAGCCTGCGTATGACAAGGATGGCTTGATAACTCTCACGATTGGACTCGATGAGAATGGAATGCTGCAACTGGACGGTAGGGAAAGAGACTTTGAATGATTCGGTAGAGCAGACGAAATCCAGATACTCGATTAGCTATTGGCTCAACATGGATCCGGTACTGTTCTCTCTGAACAAATCTGTCGATGTCGTAGCCAGACAGGTCGAACAAGACAAAATAAACCATATGGATGTCCCCAAGCGAACGAAAACATCGGATGAATCTTCGCCCGAGCTGTGTCTTATGTACCGCACCCTTTACAACCAAGAAGTCAACACCGATAAGGAGAACACAGACCGAGAAAAAGGGTCTGTGATGAATCAGATCGATAAGCTGTTCTTCAAGAATAGAGATAGTGACTGCATGAGCAATATCAAACAGAAGTTGACTCAAATCCGTGGATCGCTCACCAATCGGCAGCCTACGATGGAAGTGGTGGAGAAAGGAAAGAAGAATTTGCAGGAATTGATGTACTACTGGTCATAGAGGGAGTGTAATAAAATAGAGAGAGTAACGGCGTGAATGAAGAGGCCAAGCAGGTCTTAAATGATCTTCTGATCCAGGTGAATAAACTGGGGGAGATTCTAAGCCGAACTCTATCATCTACTGTTGAGTAGGAGAATAGGAAAATATGTAATTGGTAGAATGAGGATGAAGCCCCTTGATAATACTCCTGATTTAAGTACACAGGTTAATTACGTTTTATAAAGTGTTATTACAAGAAGGAGTCAAGTTGAAATCTATCTGTTTGTTAGAAAATAGTCTATTCTATGAGTTTTGACGATGATGAAGAAAACTTTGCGAGTACTGTAGAAGATAGCAACGATGAGGACTATTCAAGTGATGCCCCCCTCATCATTCCGACAAATCGAGAGGAAATGGATCCAGTTGCTCCATATACGACATACCGATTTTATGGATTAGAAGTAGAATTTCCTCAGGACAGAATTCCGTTTAGTTCGCAAAAGAGTACAATGACAGCAGTAACAAAGCTGTTCTTTTGATAACTTGCCTAGATTGTGAAATCTCTTTCACGCAATGAGAACGCTATCGTAGAGTCTCCCACGGGTACTGGAAAAACCTTGGCTATTCTCTGTTCTTCGCTTTCATGGATAAAATCGTCTATGATGCACGCATATCAACTCAGTAAGGAGATTAAAGATACGGAAAACGAGATCAGTATTGTGTAATTGACTCTGACAACCTAGAGGAGAAATTGGAACTTATTGAAGAGAATGCATGCAGGGACATTGAAAAGGGTAGTATTGCAGATAGAGATGAACAATAGAATCTTCAAAGTCGGCCAATCTGGTTCGTTCTCGGTATTTTGAACTCTACACTCTTTCTATAAATAGATATTTCTCAAACGGCGATTCTTCTCCACCCCTTTGTCCTTCCTTGTCAACATCCTCAACTCTTGAGAACCAAAGAGGCAAGGAAAATGAATCAGACACCGAAGATTTCGTGCTTATCGACGAAAACCCCACAAAACTCACACAGCCCATCGAGGTCGCACAACCCTCTCCAAGTACCCAACCAATCGAAGCAACTCAACCCTCCGAAATCCCTCCGGTTCCGGAAGCGACGCAGTCCTCCGATTATGAAGCCATCGACAAGCTTCGAGAAAAGCTTCGCGCTTTGAACAATTCCCTCACAAAGCAGACACATCACATTTACTACTGCTCTCGCACCCATTCGCAGCTCGATCAAGCCATTCAGGAGCTGAAACGGAGCAACTTCTTGATGTACACGCATCGAAGCGAAGGTAGAATCGCTCTCTCCCTTCCAGTTTTAGTAACAGAGCAGCAACGCGAGCTGTCGATGACGGTTTTGGCCTCGAAAAGCCACTACTGCATCAATAAAGCCGTTCTGGAGAATCCGAATTTCTCCGTTGATGAGATTTGCGGACATGAGCGGGAATTGGCGTTTTTGTCGCAGGGAGAAACGGAGAAATCCTTTGATATGAACTGTACAAATCGGAAGGAGAATGAACGGTAGTCTGCAAATTCCGAAAACAAGAAAGGATCTTTGCGTGTGCGAAATCGATTCATGGCGTTTTGGATATTGAAGACATGAAACGACTTTGTCAGAGAAAGAATGTGTGTCCCTATGTATGTAGAATTCGATTTCGAATTGATGTGAAGTTCGTAGCTCGCGAGCTGATGACGAAAAGCCAAATCATTTTTGCTCCTTACAATTACGTGATCGATCCGCAGATTCGCGATAGCATGTCGATCAATCTCGCGAAAAGCAGCATTATTTTCGATGAAGCTCATAACATTCTCACAACCGCGCGGTCGTCTGCAGGCATGACGATCAAGCTGCGCGAATTCCAGGAGAAAACGAATCACTTTATCTCGTTTATGAGTTTACTCAAAATTGAAAAGGATAATAAATATCTCAGCTTTACCAATTTGGTGGAATTGTGGAAGTGGATTGATTGATGCGTAGATTCCGTTCGATGCCTATTCCATCATCCACGCTCGCGTGCAACACATCAATGAATGGATGCAGCTGATCAGCTCGACGCTGAATTCTCATTCAGACGATTCGTTGTTTCGCTTGGAATCAGGCGAGAGCATGATGAATCTTTTGAAGTCGGGCTTCTTTCAAAACCCGTACGATTTGGATATTATCAGTAAAAACATCGATCTAATCGATGCGTGGAAGAAGGAAATCGATCAAATGACCGACCAAGATGAATTGGGAGACAAGGAGCGGAATTTTATTCGCCATTGCTTGGCTTCAATGGGTGTGTTAGGCGTGCTTCGAAACTTGGCACGTGTTATGACGTATCTCTTCACAGACGCGGGCAAATACGTCTCCGATTTTCGCTTGCTGATCGAGCAGGCGTTGCCCTCCAAATCGAAATCGAAATCGAAGTTCTATTCGAAGTTCTATTCATCCACCAATCCGGAGCCTGCAAACGTCGAGCTCTCCATTCTATGCCTCAACGCAGCGATCGTTTTCGAGGACATCAAGAGCACGTGCTCCTCTATCGTCCTCACGAGCGGAACGCTCGCACCGCTTTCATCCTTTGCGAACGAATTAAACATCCCTTTCCAGAACCAGATGGAGGGAATCGCGTCCATCGACGTGCATCGGCAGCTCTTCGCCGCTGTGGTTCCTTCCTATCACAACGTTTCTTTACTCGGAAGCTATCAGAACCGCAGCAATCCGCTGTACATGGTGAGAAAGCGCGCCACCCATGAGAAATAGGACGCGGTGGGCGACGTTCTGCTCGACTGTGTGCAGGTCATTCCCGCGGGAGTTGTGTTCTTTTTCCCGTCCTACAGGTACGAAACGCCCCCTCTCTGACACGCAGCGTGCTGAACCAGTTCCTTTCCTACTGGAAAAAGACCAAATTCATCGACCGCCTGAGCCAGATCAAGCAGGTTTACATCGAGCAGCGCGACGCTGTGGGTTTCAGCGCCGTTCTCACCAATTACACCACGTTTATGGACAATTTTTGTACTTTTTTCCCGCCCTTTTCACGCCCAGACAAATGCAAAGAGCGCGGGATCCAGCCCTCCTCCGTCACCGGCGCTCTTTTCTTCGGCGTTTGCCGCGGAAAGATCAGCGAGGGCATCGACTTCAAAGACTACATGGCGCGCGCGGTGATTTCGCTGAGCATTCCCTACCCCAATTCCCACGCCCACGAGATTCGATTGATGCGCGAATACATGGATCAGCAGCACCAGCTCAATCCAAACGTCCAGGACGGAAGCTCCTGGTACGACGAGCAGGCTTTCCGCGCGCTCAACCAGGGGCTGGGCCGATGCATTCGCCATTCCCGCGATTATGGAGCCATTATTCTGCTGGAGTCGCGATTCGGCAATCCCGAAGTCAAGAAACGCCTCAGTCGCTGGTTCCGCGATGAAATCCGCGTCAGTCGCTCCGATGCCGAGCTGATCCGCGGTTTAAAAGCGTTTTTCGCGAGCTGTGAAAAGGCGTTTTCCGCGGGGAATGGAGAGAATGTGCTGGAGAGCACGCAGCCTTCGACGCAGAGGGGAGTTTCGCTGACGCAGGAGTCGGCAGTGCCGATGCGAATGCGCGGCGAAGAAGAATTGGCGGGCAACTCGGCGAAGCTGCTGGAAGGACGGGAGAATTCGATGGGAGAACGGAGAAACGGGTCGATTCGATCGAATGTTCCGCGGACGCAAAGCGAGTGGAGGGAAGAATCGGCGGAGCCGGAGGAAGGGATCGGGTTTTCATCAAGGGCAATCGACCAACAGGCACAATCGAAGAGGATTGGATTGATTTCGGTGCCGAATGAATCGCCAAACACGACGGAATCGAAGGCGATCGATGCGTTGTCCAAACAAACTTTTTCGTTAAAACGTGACACATCCACCACACAACTGGGAACACAACTGGGCACACAATTGAGCACACAACTGAACACACAAAGCCACAAACGGCTTCACACCGAATCCATTTTGTGTCCCGTTTGTGCGCGAAAACTCGCAGATTCGCCTTGGGAGGAAATCGAAACCTCGCTGCAGTATGCAAAGGAACTCCTGAGGATGGCGCAGATGGCGATACAGATGCATGGGTATAACGTGGAAACTGGGGAAGAGCTTGGGTCCATCAAAGCGAAACTCCTCGACGCGGATTCATTGATCCAAGGGCATTTCTTCACGGCGTTGGCTGGTGTTGGAGAGGGAAATAGGGATGGAGAACGCGATAGACAGGCTCTCTATTATCATCCGAAGGATAAAATATTGTTTGATCAGAGGAAGGAAGTGATGATTAGATACGATGTGATTTACTGTTCATTCGGTTCGAAAGTGGTGAAGAATGGACAAGACCCTTATCGTGTGTTAATTCCGATCGGAATGATTTGTAAAAAGAGTGAATTTAGTAGTAGTCTTGTGGGAAAGCTCATTTTACTTCCTGTACCATGTTTAACTTCTGTTGTATAACATATCTGAATTTCAATGTACAACGTATCTTGTTTTCTCAAAAAAAACAACTGCGAATTGCATTGAGTATGGAGCCCGACTTCTCTTGTATTAAGCAAGGAGAGTACACCATCCGATTGCAGAACCGACTCATTGTGGTGAATGTCATTCGAATGAGCTCCTCGTTGATATTATGGATTGGAAATCCACTAAGTCCTTCGTTTCAGAACTTTGCAGCATCTGCAAAGACACGGTTGGGTGAAACGTCAACCACTTCTTTATTATCACGTATGAATGCTGTAACAGGTTCAGCTGTAGAAGTTGATAATAATGACTTTTCCGAGCGGCTCTCTGTTATACTCTCACGAAAATTCGCTTGTATGGTCTATATTAGCTGTTCGTTGATCCTTTCTGAGGATGAAGAATCTCAACTTGTGTCTACTCTATTAACTCGTGTGTCAGAATTTCTTGCCTAGTTTTCAAGTTTTTTATTTTTATGTTTGAGTAACTATAACGATAAGGAGTGTTCTTTTTGTGTTGGTACAGAGAAAACGGGAATCAAGTTTTTCAACCACATATATGATGTGTCAATTGTTATTGTTTATTGCATCGTAGATAAATAGTGAACTGCCGTCTCTTTTGTTGATAGTTTTCGCTTTCATGACCCGACTTGGGGCTTTGCCCTTTCAAAACAACTCATGCAAAAAGGAGAGTTTCCTTTCTTTCCTTTCCTTTGACTTTGACTCTTTTGTTCTATTACATTGAAACAATGATCGTATGTGACTTTAACAATTTGTGAATGGAAATGGTTTGTGTGCCCCGTTCTTATATACAATGATGATTCCCGCAGGATTCTTCGCCTATGATGAGAGCACATAACTCGTTATTGTTAGAAAAGAGTAAAACGTATCATTAATATTGCTTTGACTATAACCTGCATAATCCAGTAATATAATGATATCCAATTCCCATTCCTTGAAACAATAGTAAAATGAGGAAGTTGGAACAGCCAGATCGATTGCCTTTTCAGTATTCAAAGTATAATCATGGGTAAAAAGTTCATTACAGATAGAATAACAGTGTTTGTTTAATAGAAATTCACCATAAGTATCAAATTCGGGGATAATTTGGTCAGTAAATTCAATTCAAAGAGATTTATCTTTAAGGTCAATGAAAGCAAACGGAGGTCGTCAAATTCGAAGAAATGAGTACTCTGCGTTTTCTGGACCTGCTTCTTCATCAAATGTTGAATATCTCAGATTAAGTACAACTATTCGCAAAAGTATGTGATATTGAGTTTTGATGACTTGCTCATAATGTGATCTAGTTCCTTTGTCCAATCAAAGAACGCATCCGTCAAATCAAAGGAAGCTTCGCGAGAATCCAAAGAAACAACAAGAAATAATCGTTCCAGTCCCTTTAAAGGTGAGTAGCTTGACCATCGATGAACAATGCCTGACTGAAAAGCAGACACTCTCTAGCAAAGGGGCATGTGAGAGTGTGAAACAGCCGGAAGAGCCGAAGGTTTCTCCCAAGAAAGAGGTTGTTCCAGAAAAAGTTGACAGTCCTGTAAAGAAAACCGATTCCGATTCCGTCAATTCAACGGATCGACGCACTTCAAAGTTTAGGATCTATACGAGTACTCCTTCTCAATACGTTCGAATTAGGCGGCGATGTCCGCGTAAACGACAGAATCGCTGCGGAAAACAGCAACCGTCCATTTGAAGAATCAAGATTCCGTAAAGAGACAAATGTTCGTCATTACGTGGATCATGATCTGTCTCCACGCCGTGACCACGCCGAATCTTCTCATCGCTTTCAATTCGACTCCACTCCCAACGAATCCGCTCCCTCGCACGGCGTTTCGTCCACCTCTGCACCTTCTTCCGATGTTCCCTCAAAAGATCCGAATTCCCGCGGGAAACCGCCTTCTTCGCAGAACCGACCCGCCCGCCGGTCCGTTCCGGAGGGAAGAACCGCGGGACGGAGAGGGTCAGGGGGTCGGATGGGTCGGTATCCTTCGGAATCCGCGGGGAAACAGGGGAAACCGTTGATCCTGAAACCCCTCTCCGTGAATCTCCCGGTCCCCGCGGAAAATCCGAACATTTCAAAACCCGCGGAAGCCCCCAAACCCGCCCAAACTCCCGATGAAACGCCCAAAAGTGGAAACGTGGAAACCCGATCCGAACCGCCGATTTCGAAGGATTCCCAGGATTCCCGCGGGGAAGGGTCGTCGAGTCCCGCGGGGCAACGTCGTTTTTCGCTGCGGTTTTCTGCGGAACAATTGGCGGCCATCGAGCGGGAATTGGCGGAGTGGCAGAACCGCGGGGAGGAGCGTTGTGAGCAGCTGGAGGACGGGCGTTTCACCGTGGGGGTGGACATCGACACGCTCCGCGAAACGCTCGACAGGCGAAGCCAAGCCCGCCAAAACCCCGCGGTCCCCACGACCACGCTGGCGGCGCTGCCGTCCCTGGGGACTTTGGGGCCATCCACAATGGGGACTTTGGGGCCATCCACAATGGGGTCATCCCCATCGCAAGAGAAGCAGGCATCCGTGGGCTCCATGGGTTCTATGGGCTCCATGGGATCGGCGGATCCTCAGGGCTTCCAGAGCTCCATGGCCTCCGTTGGCTCGATGGGTCCTGTGGGTCCTGTGGGTCCTGTGGGTCCTGTGGGTCCTGTGGGTCCTCAAACCCCAGTGGGCTCCATGGGCTCCATGGGCTCCATGGGCCCCGCGGTGTGCTGGGGGACCTGGCTGGGGTCGCCGGTGCAGCCGATGATGTACGCGCCCATGTATTGCCAGCAACAAACCTATACATGGACACCCGAGCAGATGCAGCAGATGCAGCAGATGCAACAAATGCAACCAATGCAACCAATGCAACCATTACAACAGCAGTGTTATTCGTATCCTGTTTTGGACCCAACAAGCAATAGCTATATGTTTTAGTATGTTCGTTGATAACCTTATTCCTAATCGGTGGGTTTGTGTGTTTGCAAGAAACAGACGATAAAGCAAATGCAACTAACAGTCCATATCGATTGTGGTCATGATAATATCAAAAACGATTTCCCGATCGATGGGAGATGTGGTATTCGGATTATCAGAATTACAGCTAGAATTCATAAAATTCAAACTCTAGTACTCTGATCGCTTCAAACTGTCTTCCTTCCTCCTTTTCAGAAACTGTGAAAAAGGCTTCCGGATAGCAACTACAAATCATTGGTAGTCTTCGAAACAATACAGTTTTGACGTATTGGTACTAAATTACTGTTCATCACAAAGGCTCTAAAGCGTGAATCTGCTCCACTCAATCTCACTCTGATACACCACCATTCATGCTAAAGGAAAGAAACATGTCAAACGATGGAAATTAGAAAAAAGTGAAAAGGATCAAGAAGTAACGACGTAATCAGGTCCGAATATTCCCAAAGATTCCAACAAACAACAAGCAAAACAATCCTCAAAAACCGAAAAGAGAGTCACTACTGTCGCTATCCTTCGACGTTTTCGTGCGCTTGCTCGACATCTCGTCCTTCTTCGTCGCTCTGCGTTTCCGAGAAGCAGGAACGCTCGACTTCGTGTTCGTCAGTTCGTCCACGATCGAAGAGTGCACATCGTCCTTCATGCTCATCTTCAATCTCTCTGCGAGCGGAACGTACCCATCTTCCTCCGATTCTTCCGATTCGGAACGCTCTTCCACCTCTTCTTCTTCTTTCTCTTCCTCCTCCTTCTTCTTCTTCGCCGCCGTCGTTCGCTTCGCCGCCGCTCTTCGTTTCGGTTTCTCCGTCTCTTTTCCGGTTTCCACGGTTTCCACGGTTTCCTTCGCGGTCTTCCGAGTGCCCGTTCTACGCGTCGTTCCCTTCGCGCCCGTCTTTCTCCCGGAAGGCGTCTTTGCAGACTCGGCATTGCCCACCGACTCGGCATTGCCCACTTCTTCCACCTCCATGGGCTCCAAAGAGTCCAACAAAGACGACTGCGTCTCCTGGGTTTCCCCGGTTTCCCCGTTTTGCAGATGGCGATCCTCCTCTTCCTGCTGCTGCTCTTCCCGTCTTCTCCTGGCGATGGCCGCGCGGTTCTCGCGGATCACGTCGTCCTCGCTCGACTCTTCTTCTTCTTCTTCTTCTTCTTCCGTGTCGCTTTCCAAAATCATCGAGGGCTCCTCCTCCTCCTCCTCCATCTTCTCCTTCTTGCCCTTCCGCGGCTTCCCCGGTTTCCCCGATTTGTCACCCGTCGCAGTCGTCGCAGTCGTCGCAGTCGTCGCAGTCGTCGCAGTCGTCGCCTCCGTGGCCGCCGCGCGCGTCTTCTTCTCCTTTTTGACCTGCACGACGTCGCCGGTCTCCTCGTCGATCACCGCGTTGAGTTCCTTCAGCATGTCCGCCGTCGGCTCGCGCACTTGCGGCTTGTAGTAGTCCGAGATGCTGAACCGCGACGTCACTTCGTTCGCGCGCTTCGCGGTCTCCGTCAGCTTGCGCTCCTTCGCCGTCATTTTCCCGCGTCGACGCGGCGCCGCATCGTCCGAACTCGCGTCGTCATCGCTCAGCTCTTCGTAGAGACCCGCATCGGAACGACGCGAAGCCGCGCCGCCACGTCGGTTCTTCGCCGATCGCTTTCGGTTCTTTTCCTCCCACGCCTTTTCCTTCATTCGCTGACGCTCCAGCTCGAGAAGCTGGCTCAAAAACGCGTCGAGATCGTTCTTCCAAAGCTGGCTCGGCGGCGTGTCTTGCAGTTCCTGCATCTTCTTCTGCGCCGTCTCCAGGTTTTTCTTCAACTCGTCGACGAGCTCCTTCGTCAGGCTCCAAATCTTCATCGACAGCAGATAGTTGTATCCCTTCAGCAACTTGCTCAGATTCTCATCGGCCGAATCAAGATCCACGCCCTCTTCCTTCTCGTCCTGCTTGGCGATCTCCACGTCTCCAGACTTCGAGCTGGTCTTCTTCGCTTCGGGGTAGATCGGATCGTACTTCCGCTTCACCAAGTCCTGCATGATGTCCTTACGAGGCCGGTTGTTGATGATCAGCTTCCCCTCCACCACCTCCAGAATGAATCGCGTCATGTTGCTCAACCGGCGGATCTCCTTCTCGAACTTCGCCAGCAAGAAGTCTTTTCGCTCCTGGTAGTACGGCAAGCGGAACTCGAAGAATTCGTCGATAATGTGCTGCGGCGAGGCGTAGTGCGTGATCTGCCCGGTCGAGGAAAACAGGTTGAAGTTGCTCGTCGTGATGGCGGCTTCGAGCTTGAAGAACTTGTAGAGATCCTGTCCCTGCAAGGCCTGCGCTTGCTCGGGCGTCAGCATCACCGTGAAATGCACCGTCGTGTCGGTGTGGTTCTCTTTGAAGTCGGCGATGACCGGCGCCTTCTTCTCGGGAAGCATCATCTCCGTGAGGATCTGCTTGTAGTCCTGCGTCCAGCGGCCGATCGGCAGCTCGGTGATCACGTAGGTCAGATCGTCCACTTTGGTGATGCGTCCGCGGATCAGATAGCCCTTGGGACGCTTGTAGATGTCTCCGGTGAAGCCACGCCACCAGGGATGCAGTTCGGGAGGCTTTTCGTCTATGAAATAGAGAGAAGAGAGAAGGGAGAGTACTGTTGAGCTTCGCGATGATGTAGTTAGCGATCTCGACAGGGTTGTAATTGGGGATCTTGGTGCTGTAGCCGGTACCGATGCCTTCGGCACCGTTCACGAGCACCATGGGAATGATGGGGAGATAAAACTCGGGCTCGATGCTCTGCCCCTCCTCGACGAGATAGTTGCACAGCAGATCGTCGTCCTCTTTGAAGATGAGACGGGTGATCGGAGAGAGATAGGTGTAGATGTATCGAGGCGAGGCCGCGTCCTTTCCGCCCAATAATCGACTTCCGAACTGACCCGCAGGGACGAACAGATTGATGTTGTTCGATCCCACGAAGTCCTGCGCCATTCCGATGATGGTGTCGTTGAGGGATTGCTCTCCGTGGTGATAGGCAGCGTGCTCGGAGACATAGCCAGAGAACTGAACCACTTTGATTTCGGAGGTGAGCTTTCGCTTGAAGGCGCCGAAGAGAACTTTGCGCTGGGAAGGCTTGAGACCGTCCACGACGCAGGGAATGGAGCGAGCGTTATCGTAGCGGGAGAACTGGATCAGCTCTTTGTCCATGAAGTCGGAATAAGCCATTTTGTCCACCGCTACACGATCAAACACACATCGAACACGTACCATAATCGATATAATCGCCGGGCTGGTATTGATTAATCCACTCCTTTCGCTCCGCAACGCGCTTCTTTCGAAACAGCATATCCAAGTGCGATGATTCATCATCGGTAATCGATTTGAAGGGAACCAGATGGCGACTCAGATTGCTGAAATACTCCTTTCCTTCCTGCGGAGTGGAAGTTCCCAGACCTTTGTAGTACTTGATGTAGTATCCCTTTCCTTCATTATGCGTCTGCAGCCAGTTCTTGTACTGCTGCAAGGTGAAGAACATGAAGCTCTGCCGTCCCTTCGTGGCTTTCACGATGGGGGTGATAAACTGCTGTAGGAAGTTGAGTTTCAGCAGCGAGGGCCAGAACACTTGGAAGAAATTGATGACCAGTCCTTTGATATGCGAGCCATCATAATCCTGATCCGCCATGATCACGAGCTTTCCATAACGCAGAGAAGACACATCATCGTACACTGTGTCGAATCTATTCCTCACCGATCCACTTCATACAAACTTGAGACCCAAAATCTGCACGAGGTTGTGAATCTCCTCGTTTTTGATCACAGCAGCACGCGACACATCGCGAACATTCAACATCTTCCCCTGCACTTCACTCCATCCACAAAAAAACATACGCGGAGCGGGAACACGCCGTAATAGTCTCGACCAATAATCGACAATCCGCCTACAACCAGCGACTTTGCCGAGTCTCCCTCTGTGATAATCAGTGTGCAGTCCTTGCTGTGCCGTGTTCCTGCAAAGTTCGCATCATCCAGTTTGGGGATATTCAGCTTCCGTGCTGTTTTCTTGCCCGACTGCTTCTTCAGCATCTGGTCTTCTTTGAAGCGCGAGAACACGCTCACTGCATCCACGATACCGCACTTCTCCACCTTTTTCAAAAACTGCTCGGAGAGAACGGGCAGCGATCCCCAGCCTTTGCTCACCTTCGTGAGCGTTTCTTTCGATTGGGAATCGAACGTGGGGTTCTCGATCTTGCAGTTCACGAAGATGTAGAGATATTGTTTCACCATGGTCAGTTTGATGTCCTTCTTCAGCTTCTTCTTGAAGACGGGCAGCAGATAATCACTCACTTTCTGTGCGATGTAATCCACGTGCTTGCCTCCCTTACTCGTACAGATGCTATTCACAAACGAAACTTGCTGGAAGTGGCCATCGCTCACTCCCACGCCCACTTCCCATCGCTCGCCAGCATTGCAATACACCACTTTGTTTTCTTTCGTCTCGGTAGCTCCTTCGTTCTGGTACATCTTGATGTACGACTCGAAGTTCTTCACGTTCAGACGCTCGCCATTCAGATACACTTTCAGCGAACTGTCCGTAACGCCTGCGATATCGTACACTCGCTTCTCTAAGAGGCCGAGCGTATCATCATCGATCGAATCCATCTGAAAGAGTTTCAAATCCGGAACGTAGCTGATCTTCGTGTACTCTTTCCCGCGGTACTTTTTTATCACGGGATCATTGCAGCGGCTCATATTGTCGAACCAGACCTGCTTGAACTCCTTGCCTTCCTTCTTATCCGCTGTTTCCACAGAAAATTCAAGACTGTAGATATTGGTGAGCTTCGCTCCCAGCCCATTCCGACCTCCCGTCACTACCAATCAGCCATTCAGCTCTCATTAGGATCGTACCCTTCTTTTCGTTATCGTCAAAGTTCCCTCCCGTTAACAGAAGACCGAAGATTAGAGAGGGGACGTACACCTTCTCTTCTTTGTGGATAACAACTGGAATTCCCTTTCCGTTGTTCCATACTGTGATGCGGCCTTGATCGCGATCGATATCCACTCGGATTGTGTCCATTGTAGGGTCGTTGTGCTTGTTATCAGCAGCATTCACGAGAATTTCGTCAAATATCTTGTAGAATCCAGGAACCTTCCCATCACCAACATCCAGTACACCATACGTAGGTAATATTTCGATAAACAAGACCTTTTTTCTCTCTGTCATACACCCACATCTCCTGAGTCACTTTATCCACGCTTCCAACTACAAAATAAAAACAACAAAAGAAAAGCTACTGTACATATCAGGACGCTTCAGAACATGCTCGCGAGGGTCTAGCTTCTGGTATTTTTCTTCCACCGTCAAGCTTTTACGCCTCTGGCTTGCTGTTTTATCAGAAGTTCTCGAATTGTCGCTATTGACTTCAGTAGTCTTCTTATTTGCCTTTCCCTTTTGCTTTGGCCCCACTTTATCCTCTACCTCCATCTCATCCTAAACGATAGTTCGCAAAACAAAAACCTACAACAAAAGAGGCTTCGAAATCATCATCTGAGGACATCCTTTAAATAAGGTACTCACGCGATGGAATATTGAAAAAGCAAACAGATGAATAGGACATGTCTTATAGGTTCCTATTTAGAAAGGAAAACAGGTCCCATATAGTCTAATAGGTTAGGATAGCAGGCTCTCACCCTGCCGATCCGGGTTCGATTCCCGGTGTGGGAATTCTTTTTTCACTACCATTTGAGTTTTATTATTATTATTATTCACTTATTTAGAGAGGAACACGTTGTTGCAGGAGTTAGCTGTGTCCATTTGGACAGAAAAGATGGGAATTATTAGGAGTTATAACAGTGAAAAGGGATGAATCAGTCAGTGTCATTTTAGTTCGTGACGAATGAGATCGTTGTCTCAATGAAGAGTAAATTGGTGGCTTCTATCAATTTGATAGAACGTAATGTGCAAACGAAGTAAACCCAAGAAGAATAATGTTGTTACTTGTTTTTATAATTGCTGTACTACTATCGAACACTTTGGTAATATTCAAAGGTTCCAAAGTGTCTGCAAACAAATCGTTTGTAGTTGAGAAGTTGAAACCTACTTCCTACGAGGAGTATACATGTAATAAAATTCTCGAAGTAACATCCTCTGACTCAGAAACAAAACTTGTTGTCAACCAATACAGAGGTGGACTTGGGCATAAAATGATATCTACTGCAAATGGGATTATCTTTGCTCTCCTCACAAAGAAGAAATTACTATGTATAATTTAGAGCGATTCTATTTAAAGGATAGTCGTTACTCCTCCCGTTCTTTACAATCTGACCAATTCTTGCCTAAAATCGAGGGAGTATAATGTAAACAGTAGGGGTGGCTGAGGAATAAGCATCATTAGATACATCCCACTTTCGTGTTTGTATCAAGAGCGATTGCTTCATCGTGCACAATAGAACAACTAATTTAAATGAAACCTTTTCTACCGACTCGGTTCTCTTCGACTCTAGAATCCATCATTCTACCTATTACACAAACGAAAACCTAGAGATTCTGCGAGATAGTGGTGTTTTGGAAAAAGGACAAAACTGGAACCATCTTCTGCGGCTAATCTATCGAGTTATTTTGACACCCGAACCATCTGTATTGAAAGATATTGAGGAGGTGAAGAGCTTGTTATACAAACCAAAGACATTTGGAGTTCATATTCGTTCCGGAGGATATTTAGCAAATAGCTTTGAGCGAATGTCAATGATCAGTGAGAGTGGAGTGCGGAAAATACCTCACCAAATCATGCAAATCTGTAAGGAACGCAACATCGATCCTAATACATGGAATTTGTTTGTCTCGAGTGATTCCGATAGCGTTGCTCGATATATTAAGAGCGTGTTCAAGTCTATGTTTAACGTAGTGATTTCCTCCAAGTATAAGAGAGGCCATACTACCTCGGGTCATTTGCGGAATGATACATTGAAAAGTGCCCTGATCGATTTGCATATTTTGGGAGATTGTGATTTACTATTGGTGACTAAGGGAAGTGGTTTTAGCACAGTTGCTGAAAATATGGCCTTTCCTTCCCCAGTGTATTATATTCCAGTGAATCGGACGATCCTCCCCCGACTGAATACTACGATCCAATTGAATTTAAGAGAATCGAATCTTTGTCATGTTTGAACCATACGTTCTCTAGTATCACTTGCAATGTATGTATAGTATATTTTGTGAATTACAACTAAAAAGCAATACCAATATGTGCATCGAGTATTATACGAGTGTAATAATATACAATTATTCTCACGAAACATACATTAGAATTGATAGACTCACTCAATAATAATATGTATCGAATGTAAGATCACAACATTACCATGACATTAATAATCAAATCTTTATAATGTGATTATAAATATATAAATATATATATATATATATATATATATATATATATCATGGTAATGACAGATCAACACACCGAATGATATTTAGTAATATCCTATTATCTGTCTTCATTATATTACTAGATTAAACACTTCAATAGGATTTAAATCCTCTAGTAGTTTTTTCCATTTTGCTCCTGATGTGTGTAAGCTATGTATTATTCATTCATATACAAAAAAACGAGTATGGAATTAGCAAGATATTCGATTGAGGATCAGATGATTCTTCTGAACTGCTTTTTGATAAGTCTTGTGTTAGAAACAGTTCTAGGTTCTCTGGATCATGTGGCTCATTAGATCCTCTATGACTGTAATATGAATCATAGGATCCACTATTACTATCACTATCATAATACTCACTACTCCATTGTGTGACTTCTCTATTAAACGTTTTCTTTGGTATAAGTTCAAACCTAGTTTATAGGCAATATACAGAAGTACCTTATCTTATTTCCGGAATACTCTCTTCTATCATCACCACACTTTTTTTGAATCATAAAATACTGTCCGATATCCTCTCCCCAACAAGCTTGGATTAGGTTGTATAATAATTCATTTACATAAATATATGTCTCATACTCTTTCGCTAACATCGCCCACACATTCTCCATTCCCCAATCAGCACCTATCGTTACTGTGATAGTACCATTATGTTGATTTTTATTATTTTCAATGAAGTCTTTCATTTTCCTGAAGGCTTCATCAGCTGTTGGTAAAGCATAATCGATATCACTTTCTCGAGTATTGTCGTTCACAATAGTCGTTGAATAACACTTTTCTTCATATCTGTATTTCATCAACTGTTTATAAATAGAATCATTTAAAAAATAGTCACCTGTATATATATACAATTGTGGTTTGCCATATATAGTATTATTGTTGATAATTCTATATATCCAAAAGACAAACATGCAGGAACCAGGAACATGATTTGCATCAATAAGCTTCATTCTGAGTGCCAACTTCATATTCCTGTAAGGATCGCCTTCATAATGGATTAATGATGATATTATGCAACATGAATCCGAAATATATTCATTTCTTTCTTTCTGAAAAACTCTTTTAACATCGTCGTCTTCGAAAAAGTAATATGTGTTTTCTTCGTTGACTGTGATGAACTTACAAATGTAATAGTTCTGGCCATTAAAGGTAAAGACAGCAGGCCTATCAGCCTTAAATTTATATTTAATTTCCAGATACTTCTTTGTTATTTCGGTACCTAGAGATCAGAGAAGTATTATAGGATTACAAAATACAGTAATAGCATTGTTTTGAGCGCGTTTAGTATTACGAATTTTGTTCCAAGGAATGTGATCGGTGTGACAATGAGAAATAAACAAATAATAGCACTCTAGATTTATATCAAACCCAAAGTTCGTATTCTATATTGAAAAAATAATTATAAACATACATAAATAAAACAATCTCTATTTACCATCTGGAAAAAAATATGAAAATGTCGTGAATCACAATTATACTTCACATTTGTATAGTAGTTCATGATATAACTGAATAGTTATATGCCAGATTACATTCTTATACTACTATTTTACACTGGACATCCTACATTTTTCTATATATTTTTTGAACGGGATATAAGCTTTTACATAAATGTGTTATTCTTTTACTTATTGTGTATTCTTTTCACATAATCCTGTAATATTATGTATAAATAGAAATATTGGCATTGATTTTGTATTCACTAGGTTATTAATGGTTTTGTCACATTTACTTAACTTGAACTCTCGTTTGGATATTATTTCAACATTTCAAAGTAGTTTAATAGACGATGGGATTATTATTTTATCAAATTACAAATCATTTGAAGGGTAGAGTCATGAGTACTTTTTTCATCACAATGCACGGGATATATATAAGACGCTAATATTGTACTTAATAATTCAATGTGTTTCTCGCTATAATCAAACGAAATACCGTTATCCTTAGTTGAAAAGGAATCACTATTCATGTGTATGTTGTGTACTACGCACGATTCCACAAGCAATATAAGAAGAAACATGTGGCAATGTTTTATGGCAGAGAAGTTCTTGTTTCAGTGTAACCTAAGTGATGGATACGAAAGAAACGTAAAGAAGATAATCATAGTCATCAGTAAAAGCCAGTATTGGCTGTGTGACAACGCAACATACATTGATACCTCAGAGAGATAGAAATAAGGTAGTATTGAGTTTTTACATCCATAATTGTTCTTATTTGTGGCCGTAATTATCTGTTGTCCACTAGTAGACGTTGCACCATCGTGGTCTTATTATTACACACATCATGTGCAACTACGTGGGTATTTATGAATTGTGTCTATCAACAAATAAGAATAGTCAAAACAACAAACCAATAGTCATTTCGAGCAAATTACCTAGAGATTCTTATCTTTAGGACGATATGCTTCTATCAATCTTGATGAAGACACTCTTTCAATTGTATCATCAGTACAAATAATAAAGTACTTCTTCTCTTTTTTTTCATCAGAATCAGCCTTTTTGGTTATTGCAATGTTTCCATCCAAAAAGACAATATCATTTTGAACAAGAGGAAGTGCTTGATGTACATCTAGATCTCTAATCAACTTCATATATTTAAGAAATGGAGTGTGCTTTCTAAATGTTACAATCGTAATAATAGTCATCTTACGAATATCGAAGGTAAAGCCGATCGCTCTTTTTTTTGGGGGACTTATCATTATCATTTTTACAATTGAGAAAGGATGGGATAATCGAAATTGTTTTAACTGATGTTTGAGCAGGTTTGGGAGAGAAATCTGGAGCCTCCACTTCCTCTGCAGCGGAATTAGATTCATGGTCTGACGATTTAGATTTATCTGCTTGCTTCAGTAATGTAAGTTTGGGGTATAACTCGAATCTAATATTCAGAATCAAATCACAATCAAATACCTCACAATTAGTTGACAATTCTTGTCCTCATCGATTGTCTTTTCGTTCTCGTGATTGTCCTCATCGATTGTCTTTTCGTTCTCGTGATTGTCCTCATCGATTATCTTTTCGTTCTCGTGATTGTCCTCATTAATTGTCTTTTCGTTCTCGTGATTGTCCTCATCGATTGTCTTTTCGTTCTCGTGATTGTCCTCATCGATTGTCTTTTCGTTCTCGTGATTGTCCTCATTAATTGTCTTTTCGTTCTCGTGATTGTCCTCATCGATTGTCTTTTCGTTCTCGTGATTGTCCTCATCAATTGTCTTTTCGTTCTCGTGATTGTCCTCATCGATTATCTTTTCGTTCTCGTGATTGTCCTCATCGATTATCTTTTCGTTCTCGTGATTGTCCTCATCGATTATCTTTTCGTTCTCGTGATTGTCCTCATCAATTGTCTTTTCGTTCTCGTGATTGTCCTCATTAATTGTCTTTTCGTTCTCGTGATTGTCCTCATCAATTATCTTTACTTTCTCGTGATTGTCCTCACCCATACATTTAAGAATTTGGTGATATGTAGTTTCATCCACATAAAGACATGTCTTGTATTCCCTTGCCAACCTTATCCACAAATCTTCCATTCCCCAATCAGCACCAATCTTTACAGTGATGAGTGTCTTACAATCCTTCATATGGGACTCAATGAAGTCCTTCATTTCCGCGATTGCTTTGTCAGCTGTCGGTAAACCGTAGTCTTTTTCACTCGTTCGAGTATTATCATATACGATCGTTACTGTATCCACCTCTTCACTCTTTCTCAGATTGAGCAATTGTTCTTTTATAGTATCCGTCAAACAATAGTCTCCAGTATAAATGTATAAATCTGGATCGTATACACGTCCTTTACCAACCCTATAAATCCAAAAAAGAAACATGCATGAGCCAGGACAATGGTTTGCATCAATGAGTTTCAGCTTAATAGCCAATTTGGTCACGATATTTTTTTCTTTTACATGGAAATCTGGATTTTTGTATAATACTTCACTATTACTTTCTAACGGATGCTTTCTACTAAATTCAGCCTTAGAATCATCATCTTCAAAAAAGTAATAGGTAGTATTTTCATCAAGACATTTGAAGTTTATTGTACGGCGATTCTTACCAATACTGACATCAACAGGCGAGTTGTTATTAAACTGGTATTGTATATCCAGATAGTCCTTTGTTTTTCGAGTACCTAAGTAGTATCAAGCTCTAAAGGAATACAATAAACAGTATACTCATGCTTGGCATTCGTCACAACATCGGATTCTTTGTCATACACAAGTCTACGCCATGGAATATGGTCAGAATGGCAATGAGAAATGAACAAATGATTGCAATTGGTGCAAGCATCAAAGCCTATAGTAGTATTCTATAAATTATTGGCAGCAAGTCAACATTCCATACAGGAATTTTGTATATCCTATTAACCATGAGGATATTAAAAAATTATGATATTTCTTTGTTTATCAAATTTGTTATGAAATTGCGCGGCAAATATTCTTTAATTACTGCCTTGATCATCAAGACTTTGACTTACCACTAATGGAAATTGCATATTAATTGGCGTATAAATTACATTTATATGACCTATTGAACAGATAGCCGTGTATATCTGACTTATTATTGATAATGACTATATTGCTTTTTCCATCGTTTTCTAATTCCTTTCTTTATACTATAATGCACGCCCTCGTTACTTGCCTATATAAATATTGTATGTCTATTAACAGTCTAGCAAACCTACTCAAATACCCGCTCCAATTCCATTTTCTTGTGTATTACGCAATAGTATATACGATTTCGTGCAAGTTAAACCGAATAAGTTGTATTTTGCCTTCAAATAATCGTTTTTATACAATTCGACATGCATAACATTTTGGTCCCTTAAAGCTGTATGTCGTCCTTTCACTCATCTTCCCTGTTTCTCCATTATTCTCCCATTCTAGGTTTTCCCAAAGAATGCTCGCATCTGTTCCTTCTATGATTTCGAAGCGTGCTGTGACTCTTGCTGTACGATTTTGAATCTGTGAGTGTGATGGTGTAGCGCAGTTTCGCCGGAGCTGTTGATTTAACGAAGCCTTTCACTGAAAGACTTGCTGAAGCTCGCCACAGCGCCCTTATTGGTGGAGGCGAGAAGCGCATTGATTCTCAGCACAAGCGTGGCAAGCTGACTGCTCGCGAGCGTATCGAGCTGCTGGTGGATAAGGGTTCGTTCCGCGAGTACGACCAGCTGAAGGCGCACCGCTGCGTGCATTTCGGTATGGAGAAGCAGAACTACCCTGGCGATGGTGTTGTGACGGGTCACGGAACGATCAACGGTCGTCTGGTGTTCCTGTTCGCTCAGGACTTCACTGTGCTGGGAGGTTCTCTGTCTGGCACGAACGCTGAGAAGATCTGCAAGGTGATGGACAAGGCCATGGACGTGGGTGCTCCGGTGATCGGTCTGAACGACTCTGGTGGTGCTCGTATCCAGGAGGGCTGCGACTCTCTTGCTGGCTACTCGGAGATCTTCAAGCGGAACACTCTGTCGTCGGGTGTGATTCCGCAGATCTCTCTGATCATGGGTCCGTGCGCTGGAGGCGCTGTGTACTCTCCTGCGATCACGGATTTCATCTTCATGGTGCGCGACACGTCGTACATGTTCATCACGGGTCCGGACGTGGTGAAGACGGTGACGCAGGAGGAAGTGACGCAGGAGGAGCTGGGCGGCGCTGCGATCCACACGAAGAAGTCTGGCGTGGCGCAGGGCGCGTTCGACAACGACGTGGAGATGCTTCGCGCGATGCGCACGTTCTACGACTACCTGCCTCTGAACAACCGCGACGGCGTTCCGAGCCGCGTGTGCACGGACCCGCGGAGCCGCGCGGAGCCGGCGCTGGCGAACATCGTGCCGCAGGACGCGAACATGCCGTACGACATGAAGAAGCTGGTGAAGCTGGTGGTGGACGAGCAGGAGTTCTTCGAGACGTCGCCCGACTTCGCGAAGAACATCGTGGTGGGCTTCGCCCGCATGGAGGGCCGCACGGTGGGCGTGGTGGCGAACCAGCCGCTGGAGCTGGCGGGCTGCCTGGACATCAACGCCTCGGTGAAGGGCGCGCGGTTCGTGCGCTTCTGCGACGCGTTCAACATCCCGCTGGTGACGTTCGTGGACGTGCCCGGCTTCCTGCCCGGCGTGAACCAGGAGCACCGAGGAATCATCCGCGAGGGAGCCAAGCTGATCTACGCCTACGCGGAGGCGACCGTGCCCAAGGTCACCGTCATCACCCGCAAGAGCTACGGAGGCGCGTACTGCGTGATGTCCTCGAAGCATCTGCGCGGAGACAGCAACTACTCGTGGCCCAACGGAGAGATCGCCGTCATGGGAGCCGAGGGAGCCGTCAAGATCATCTTCCGAGGAAAGGATCTCCAGAAGAACAAGGCCGAGTACGCCTACAACTTCGCCAACCCGCTCATGGCCGCCCAGAGAGGATTCATCGACGACATCATCGAGCCCACCGAGACCCGAAGAAGACTCTGCGAGGACCTCGAGATCCTCCAGACCAAGAAGATGACCAATCCTTGGAGAAAGCACGGAAACATCCCGCTGTAAAGAGCGAGAGGTCCCGAGCCGAAGAAAAAGGAGAAAAAGGAGCGAAAAAGAAGAATGATAAACAATAAATACAAAAGGATACGAATGTATACAGTGAATTGTTTGTTCGAAAGTGGGTATGGGGAGTGAGTTCGATCAAATTACCTTCAATTGATGATCGCTTAGTTATTTGCATTGGATATTCTAAAGCCTATTCTTGTGATTGATTCATTGATTCATTTCATGCGAGATGATTATTCGATTATTTCATTGAATTTAAAATTGCAGAAGCAACAAACACTCACGAATACACTTAATTGATAATCACAGAAGGCACAGGAGCTGGAGGAGCCGCCATAAAAATACTCCAATTCTTACTACACCTCATTCCTTCACCCAAAACCCACTTGGCATCGGTAAAGACATCTCTTTCTTGCTCACATCGCCTCATAAAATCTTGAATCGTCGGTGTGGATGATGTCACACCCGTTCGGAACTCCTTGATGAACTGCAGAACCTCCACCACCGACTTCCGCAACGCTGTGAACTGGTCATTTTCCTGCGGCTGAGGCACATTCACCTATCCATCAGACCTCCCTTCCACTCCCACAAGATCCAGCAACTGCTTGTCTCGTTCGAGGATCAAGTCGCGCCTCTCCGGCTTCACAGGCAAGTTCTGGAAGCCCATTCCGAACTGCATCTTCCCTTCCTCGATCTTGCTTCGCCACTGCTCCACTTCTTCTTTCGTCGAAAGCAGCAGCGTAACATGGCTGTTCGTCTGTTCGTCCTTCACGATCAACTGACTATCCGTGCCTCGAAGGAACACTCTGCCGAACAGAATCTTGTACGCCATCTCGCCATACATATACAAGCCGATCGGACTCAAAAACGCCTCCACTCTCTCGCACTCCACTGCTCCATTGTATCGCAGCATGGCTTCCGTGTGCAGATATTCGCCCGGCAATCCTTCTTTCGGGGGAATAATCACTTGGATCAGACGATAGCGAAGCTCGCCCAGCGCAGAGTAGCGCACATAGTTATCCGAAAACTGCGCCAGAATGAAGAGCGTATCGAGATCCATCACGCGTAGCAGACTATCATGATCTCTATCGGTCACTTCCCTCCATCAATCCTACCGATTCGGCAGAATCATATGGCGATAGAAGTCCACAAGCGAGTACTTCGGAGGCTCGGCGCTGCGTGACATTAACTCCTTCTTGCTTAGCAGCTCCTCCTTAATCAGCGGAACGAGGAAGAGCTTCCGCTTTGCTGAATAAGAGAGAACCATCGCCACGCCGAGAAGGTATTGGGAGATCGGATACGGGGCTTGGGGAAGCAGCGCGACGATTCTTGTTAAGAGCTGACCCACTTCGAGATTCTGACCGAACGGCGATCCAGCCGAAACGCAGCGCTTGCTCACGATCTTCCAGAGCAGCTGCGAGGCCACGCGCTGCAGCGAGGGAGGGCAGGCCTTGTCAAGCGAGAGCAGAATGTAGAAGAGGATGTTGCCGCGCAGCATTTGATACACGGCCGCGCCGACGTTGCTCAGAATCAGCAGAAGCTTCATCACGGTCTGGATCACCTCGCTTTCCTCGTTCTTCGGCACTGCTTTCAGAGTCGTGGCGGCCACTTCGTCGTGGAGCAGAGAGAGAAGAGGACTCACCACGTAGCGCTCCTTTACCATGAGGTCGTTCTACTAGTCAGGATCCATCGAAGTCCGCACGATGGTTTCCGGGTTCGAAAGCAACAGGGTGAGACATTCCACGCTGACTAAGCGCATTTCGACGGGGATCCACGCCGAGCGACACACCACCAGCAAAATGTGGGCCATGCCATTGCCAAGGAGATGATGCTGCTGCGCAGGAACCTACATTCAATGACACCCAGATCGTCTCACGAGGTTGGTGGACAGCTCTTTCACGATGAGAAGCACCTGATAGCAGTAGTACAACAGCTGCGCTGGATTCTTCAAAACGCGGAAACGGCCATAGGAAGTGATGTCGGTGAATAAGGCAAGGAGACGAGGCACCGCGTACTTCACGAGGATCTCCTGCTTCTCCTGCATTGCGCTCGCGTCCCTCGGCGAAATCTGACGGTCGGAAGCGCCGCTGGGCTCTCTCTGGGAAGCGTACTTGAGTAGAATCTCCTTGACGTTCGATCCGACATTGACGCCCGAAGTCTCCGAGGAGATTTCGTTCTCGACGGCCCAGAGGAACAGCGTCATGAGCTGCTGCATCGAACAGTTCTGTAGCACACTGGAATTGCTCTTTGTGCCCCAGAGGAAGCTGATGACAGGCCGGACAAAGTTGGTGAGACACTCTCTCTGCTTGGGGGAAAGGGAGAAGCGGAAAATGGTCGACATGATTTCGATTCCATTGTACTTGGTGAACACGGAAGGCATCGTTGAATCATACGTGGTGATCGCTCCGATGAGCTTGGTGAGATTGTAGAGCACCAACAACGCCGATCTAGGCATAGAAAGGGAGCACCGAGTGATTACTTTGAAGGAGTAAGCGTCTGCACGATGTTTTGAATGGTCGAATACAAGAATTCGCTTTTCAAGAAGGACAGTAACGCGCCGTTTTGGTTTTGATAAATCACGTTCGTGCTAGGAATCAGCCATCTCGATAAGCAAAACATGAATTTGGAGCAGATAATGATCGATCGCGGATCATTGCTCTTCATGAAGGCCACGGCTTGCTCCAAGTCCTTGCCATTAAAGAGCTTGCACAGCGCCATATCGGTCGAACACACATGAAGGCATTCGTACATGTATCGCGTGAACGCAAAGCAGAGCCGCTGCTGATGATATGTGGCCACATCCGTGGTGTCTTCGAGTCCCGGAACGCGCGATGCTCCGCAGCACGGACAAACATCCACCGAGTCAAGACACATTAGCAGACAGATGGAACACACCCAATGATTGGTCTTGGGGTAGAAGAAGGTCTGGTGGAACAAGTAGTCCTCGGGGGGAGGCATAGTCAGCACCGAGATATCGGAGGCGATCGCGCGAATGGTGTGGATGAAGGTCTCAAAGACCTTGGGAGAGAGAGTGTGATTAGCGCATGTGAAGATCGAGGCGATTGCTCGAATGCTATGTACACGTGTGATGGGCGATTCGGAAGTCAGTTGCTTAATCAGCCGATCGACGTGCGCGTCGGTCAGCTGGGCAGCCGTGATAACGTCTTGGTGGAACCACAGCTTGGGGCTCGGGCAGTTCCGAATGGAATGCAGAGTTCGGTAGTTAATGATGGTGGGGATGAAGGGTCGAGTGCTGTCGTTCCGCGCAGGACCCGCGTTCTCACGCTCAGGATCGATGAGAAGGATGGGGACTTCATCCGGAGTGGTGATGATGGGATGCGGAGTCACTGCTAACGAGAGGAACTAGAGTGAATTTGGCTTCCAACCAGTACCTGGTTCCATCCCTTATATTCATCGTCATCGCTAAAACGAATGAACTTCGCACTGTCTCGGATCCGACCGCTTGAGATCTTCAGACCCTTGGAGAACGCTTCTTGCGGGTACTGCTCCAAAATGATATCCTTGAGACTGATTGACTTGCAGCAGAAGTCCTTCATGACCTTATCTCTCTGCTACACGTCACACTCGGTTCCAAAGAAGCACCTGGTAGAGCAGCAGACGATCGGGCTCCAGATAGACTTCGTATGGAGTCCACATCGAGCGTCGGCTAGACGACTTGCATTCAGCGATTCCAGCCTTGAGAGGCAAGTAAATGAAGTCGATCGCAGGAGGACAGCCGTAATAAAGCTTGTCGGCCAACATCTACCATGGACTCCTCTGCGCAAAAATACCTTTGTGCAGCAACTGACCACCAAGGGAACATCGGTAGTCAGCAACTCGAAGAGAGTGTCCAGCGAGAAATCGGGCAGGTCTTCTTCATGGTTCTTTGTGCAGATGAAGAGGTAGGTCAGCACCACGCGTGCACGGTGAACGAGAAGTGGTCCCGGACTTTGGTCGGAAGCAATACTCTATATATCGATCACGCAAAGACGACGATTCTACCTCTCCTCGACTGAGGGCGATGAGGTTATTGAGAAGGGAACTATTCTGGACGATGTAGCTCTTGCCTTCTCCGTTTAGAATATAGCTTTGGAGAGCAAAAAGCATCTCCGCTTGTGTGTTCTCAGGATACAATCCGAGATCTTGGTAATCGTCCAAAAGGCGATATGTTTTCAAAAGCAGCTCGCACATGTCTCGATTCTGTGCGATCAAACCAAACAAACACGAGGTAGCCATCACGCTGAGCGGCAAATCCTTCTGGAACACAGAGTACACAATGAAGATTCCCTTGTATTTCAGGAACTGCTCTTGTAGAGGGAAGCACCGCAACATTGTCGCTAGAATGAGCACAAACAAAGCCTTCGTTTCGCTGTCGTAAGACTTTTGAAGCGTCGCGAGCAGAATAATGAGAACCACCGGCTTCTTCTGCGTGCTACCGAGATACCAAATGTTGCTCTACATTGAACGCCACTGGAAAACAAGACGATGTCTCCCTGATAATGTTGGAAGAAGCTGAGGAGGGCACAACCAAGAGAGAAGATCGCGTCTGAATCGAAATTCTTGCTGTCTCTGAGAATCACGAAGATCTCGGTGATGATGCCTAAAAGGAAATGAGGTAGCCCAACGCATACGTTTGTCTAGAAGCAGCGTAGCAAGATGAGGAGAGAAGCAGTAGTAAGTGATGATACGTCCCAGAAGCTTCACCACATTACTGCTCTGCTTGCCAAACGTGTCTCTTTTGGCGTTACTCAATAAACCTCGGAGATAGGCCACTGATTCCGCGAGATATTTAAAGGTATCCATCTTGTCCTTTTCTTCTAAATCTATACTTTGCGAGGAACTGCGCATAGAGGATTGCCCAGTGTTGATTCGCTTGATGGACGTAATGGGCTTCTTCAGCACTTCCGACTCGCGAGCGCACTGGAGAGCATAGTCAATGTCTTGCTGCTTATTGAACCCGTAAATAATAGAATGATTCAAAAAATCGTCTTCAAAGACCGCCTTGTCTTTCTCCTTATCATCCACGGGCGTATGCACAAAGGAGATCGACTTGAGAGATTGCCGATAGGAAAGCTGCACCGAAGCGACAGCGCGCTGCATTGTCAGAGGGTTCATTGCTAAGTCTCTGACAGTCTTTATCAGAGAGGGGAGCATGTTATTAATCTCAATCAGGGCACGAACCACTGCGTACGATGCAGGGGTATACGCGATTTCGAATAAGTTATTCAGATCCAAAGTGGAAAGAGGAGCATTCCTGCTTCCATAAATCGAGTCGAGATAGTGCTGGCTGTAAAGCGCGATTTGCCCACCCATTTCTTTGTTTCTACAATTCCTTAAAATAAACCTGAGGACTAATCGTCAGATCTCTCGTATGCAACATTACATCCTTTCTTTGTCAACTGCGACAGAATTTCCTCTCCAAAGCGAGCCAGCTCGTTCACGATGCGATAGATGAGATACATTTGCTGGAAGAAAGTGCGGTTGGTGTAAGGAAGTGATGTTACCGATATTATCGAGCCGAAGCTGTCCACCACCTGCTGCACGACACTCATATCTCTTTCTACGGATAGGGAGGCAAGCAAGTAATCTCTAATGCCTTTATCATCACACCCGACAAATACAGAATCGCGAGAATATGCATTTGACTGTTTTGACAATACTTGGATCCCAAGAACGACGGCAAGAAGCCGATGATTAAGGAAGCATCAAGACGAATCACCATGTCGGGTTCAGCACATAACTACAGGTGAATGGATTTCTTTCCATCGAGTACATTAAAAAGCGCTCCAATCAAATCTGTTTGGACGCGAGAAACGATTTCCGATGCTTCCAGCTTTGAAAAATACTCTAGAGGATAAATTCAATGCTAGATAGACGTACCATAGCTAACAGTGCTTTGGCATTCCTTAATATACTCCTCGTTAATCTGTGATAATAGGGAATTAATCAGGGTCAGATAGTTCAGCCGCACCAAGTACTCCCTGCCTTCCGGCGTCATGGTTGCCAAAAAAATAATATGGCATACATAGGGATACATTTCGGCAATGCTAACACCCTCACTGACCATCCATTGAATGGTCTGGAGCTCCTCAATCCCAGGACTCCATTGATTCTCAGGCGTTAACTGGTAACGGAGGTTAAAATAAGGCGCTAATCCTTAGTTCTCAATCCGTAGGCATACGAAAATTGCTTCTTGAGTGAATGTATGGATACGCACTACTATTATAAGAGGGCATATCCTGGAACCGAGAGCTCCACAATTTAAATTCCTCTTGGCTACACATCATTTCCTTGCTGTTCTCCACTACTTTTCAAACTGTAGTGTGACAGGACAGGCACCTGGAAGCATAAAGGAAAGGGCATTGCTTGCCGCCTCCAGATAGAGAAAGCAGTTTGTAAGGCCGATCTTATAAACCGGAACCTCACAAATAACATCATCTTCGTGCGGATAAACAACAAAATAATCTTTCCTTACGAATACCACACTATAGGGTTTCATAGGATCATTGTTAATGCGTAGATGGCACTTTGTGACGCTAACGTCATTTCGGTATTTGATGTAATTAAAAAGAGGCAGCGAGGAGCATTCCATAATCTCTGTCATTACGATCAGTGCTAAGATTTGCGTTGTCACATGAGAGCAGTTTAGCATCATCATAATCTCGTCTCGAGAGCAATATTGTAATACTTCGGTTCCGCCTTCTAAAATTAGTTTCTTCATGATTTGTGTTGGAGAAATGAGATATTGGCCTAAGTGGTCATTGTGAACCTTCAGGATTAATTCGGGTAGACACCCTTCAGCTCGAAATTGCTTAAAGCATTCCACGCTGTGTTTTTAAAGAGTACACCAACCCCTACTCATAAAGCATGTAGTAAAGAGCGGTGTATGCACTTATTTGTAGATCCTCATCCGAACAACACTGGAAGACAGCCGAAAAGGTTTGGTCCATCCAAATGGAGGTCGTTTTATGTAAGTTCTTACACCACTGAATGTAACGCGATAGCATCTGATAATCGGAGCAGCAAATTGAAAATATTTGGAAGACCTAACCAATAAAAGAACGGAATGACAAAATACCATTTGAACTGTTTCGGTAGAAAAATCCTTCCTTTTCAGGACGAGATCCATAAGCGTAATAATATACAGCTCTTCAAATACCACTACTCTCGGAAATAGAAAGAATCACTACAATCTCGCGCTTCAGGGTATTTTTTTATATTATTAAGAATAATTCCGAGAAATTTGTTTACCAACAATATCTACGACTCAAATCATCCATTCCTTTTCATACTCGTTTTTCCTTTCGTTTTACACCCTCAAAATAGGATTTCTTTTTGGTAAACACTTTGATGCCATAAATGCAACTATCAAGAGTATCTAGTATTAAACACTCGATTTAAGATCCACTTTGTAAAGATGCCATACCAGCATTACCCTCGATCAAACTAGACATCTCAAATATGGGAAATTACTCTTGTAAAAAACAAATACTGATAGTTGCTCACCAAGAGATTCCCGCGGGTAATATTTTGAATTCAGCACTATTCATTTTAATAATAGTTATTATTATTATTATTATTATTATTTTAATTATTCGAATTCAATTTCACAACTGTTTGTCTAAAATATTCAGTGTTCATCCTAATTTGACACAGAATTGTCTTTACTCATCTACGTCTTGGAGAATAGATGTAGATGAATAATCTATGGCGTAGTACTTGAAAACACAGAAATCTGACCTCTGCTATCGTTTTCGTTTATGGTTTTTCATCTTTTTACTGCCGTTGCCTATTTTGAGGAATTTCATTTTATTTTTTAATAATAGAATAGGCAATTTCAAATGGATATTCGCAGAAACAGGCGTTATTACGCTTGGCTCTCTCCAAATAGTGCCTAGTGTTACAATTCATATAAAATTTCTACTCTAGCCTATGTACATAGCATAGATAGTTGATAAATTTGAAGTAAAATAGATACTATGCTATGAATGAAATCGTCACAATAATGATATCGGCACTTTCTTTTTAGCCTCCTAACAAATAATTTATGGGCGAACAAGTGAATAGTGTGTTATCTTTTGTTGACAATAGAATTCGATCATTCTCTGGAATTTATACAGTATTGTGAAATCATCACAACTTCAATAGTTAAAGTAATAAAGAAATTCGGTAGGATTCGAACCCTGTTCTTAGACCTTCGATGAAGCAACACGAATTTGGTTTGGGTTGTACCAATATGTAATTCTCCTCGTTTTTAACTTCGACATCACCCATTTCATACCATAATTACTGCTAATGACATGAGAGAAACAACTGTATAAAAAAATCCCTTTGTATTATATTTCCACGCCATTCTTGTTATGAAATGCATACTACTATTTTGATATGTGATTGTTTTCCGTGTCTAATTGTAACAAGACTGACTCGTTTTGGACATCGATTTTCTTAAAGTAGACTCCCACTCAGCAAACAACATGTATATAGTTTTGTTTGAGCATACGGGATCCAAGACAGCCTACCACTTATTACAATCATGAATGGTCCGCTTTCTCTTCTCTGCGGTTTTTGCCCACCAATTTGGTGTATCACATAACGAAACAATCATTACGTACTGTTGCATAATGGCTGTTCTACCCTTGGTAGGATCTTCACAATGGAGCCTTCCGTTCGTAAGACAAGGTAGAGTTTATAATAAGCACGAAGGGAAAGTCTCCTATCACGTAGAAAAGCCGCATCAAAGATAAGTTTCCTATAAAACGAAGCACGATACCTTATAAATAATTAACAAATGGTAATATTTGATAACTACCAATCATAATGCTTAGATTTTAATTTACAAGTAGCGTTCTAAACGCTCTTCAGTATTTAGTCCGGAGAATAATGAATTGTGTGTTATTGGGTTTGTTATTCGTGCTTCAATTGGTTTCTAGTGAAATATACTATCCAAGTTGTTCTTTAGTTTTTTGTGTAATCTAGGTGATGTCTGTAAGAATGGATTTATGTTAGCGGTATTTACGAAGACTTTTGGCTCTGACAGTTGTGAAGTAAGTCTTTCTGATGCATCCAAGAAGACCAACGGTCTTGTTCTTATTAAGGACCTTACTGACTCTGCTGCTTACTGTCTAATTCCCGGTCATTACTATGTTAGTTGTAAGGGCCCAGCAGAAGTGCTTATTGTTCATGGTCAGAATAATAATAAAATCGTGGACTTAAGGAATGCTCCTTATGGTGAGGTCGTAAGCTTAGATAACGGAGCTTCCTCTATTCCCATGCCAGATTTTGATAAGAACACCCCAATTAATGGACAGAGTGCTTATCCCCAAGATGGGACAGATGAATCGTCTGACTTTACTTGTGATCAGGCTGGATATCTCAACTATTTAAATCATTGGCCTGAGAGTCAGAAGTGTACTTCGCGTGATGTTACTACTGTTGAATTCCAGAAGCGTTTGGAGTACTTCATTGAGTCTTGTGAGAAGATTCACGAGTGGAATCTTCGTGATAAGTACAAGATGGAGTTTACTTTCTATGCTGATTGGCACCCTGAAGAATTCGAGGAGCTGACTGTCACTACTCAGCGTTATTCTGGAGTGAAGAATCCTGTACCATCGACTACCCCTGTGCTTAACAATTCTAACTGGAGATATCTGATGCCCTCTTCTGATCCTTGTGATGATGTGCTTGACAGCGGAGCTGAAAACACTCTCCGTGCGACCATTTGCAAACCCCAGAACTGCTCGGTGTCTTGGGCCTTTGCTGTTACCAACTCTATTGAGTATGCCATTAAGAAGTTGTATTTGGATACATATGATCAGATTGTGGAAGTTGCTCTTTCTGCTCAGGAGTTGATTGATTGTGTTGGAAAGGATCACGGTATTGAGGGTAGTGTTTGCAGTGGTATGCCTATTATTTGGGGTTTCGATTATGTATTTGATAACGGAATTGCCTACCGTCGTTATTATCCTCACACTAATGTTGAAGCTTCGCAATGTCAAATTTTTGACGAGGATAAAAAGTATTTCATTGCTGGTTACGAGAAGCCTCATGTGTACAACAAACTTGGACTTTTTGATTTGATGATGAAGGGTCCTACAGCCGTTTCTTTAGGCCTGGACCCTGAGTACTTCCAGTACTATCGCAATGATCGTGCTGAAGGTCCTTTCTTCACCAATGCTTACTGGAGACCTTCTGTGTATGGTGTAGTCGTGGAGTATATGCAGTATGCTGTGGAAGGAGTTGCCGACTATGCTGAGTGGCCCTATTTTGCTGTTGAGTCGAGACTGCGTGCTTGCGACTCGTTCGTGTATCGTCTTCCTATCCGTGAAACTACGTCGGATGCGAACATTGCTGGTATTGCTGGATTTGCTATCCGTCCTATTGTAACTGCTATCCTTCCCACTCCTGAGCCTCCCACCGTTCCTCCCACTATTATTCCTACTACTCCTGCTCCTACTACTCTTCCTCCTACTACTTTGCCTCCTACTGAGGCTCCTACCACTTTGCCTCCTACTACTCTTCCTCCTACTGAGGCTCCTACGACTTTGCCTCCCACTACTCTTCCTCCTACTGAGGCTCCTACTACTCTTCCTCCTACCGAGGCTCCCACTACTTTGCCTCCCACTACTCTTCCTCCTACTGAGGCTCCTACCACTCCTGCTCCCACGACTTTACCTCCTACTGAGGGTCCTACCACTTTGCCTCCTATTGAATGTGGCGAGAGACAGTTCGCGGTTACGGTTACCCGTACTTGTGGAAAGTTTGGATCTGAAGAATCGGTCAGCATTTATGAAGGAACTATTTTATCTGGTAATCCCGTTTATCAGGAAACTACTTGTACTGCTGGTACCTTCTATTTCTGCATGAGACCTATGCAGCATACGATTGTGTTGACGGATAGCGCTCGCGATGGTTGGGATGTTAGCTCGTCTATTGTGTTGAAGAGTGGAGGTATGTCTCTTTCTTACACTTTGGACACTGGAAGTTCTGTTACTTATACATTCAATCTGACTCCTTCTGGGGCTCCTACTGAACCTCTTCCTACTGAGGCTCCTACTACTCTTCCTCCCACTGAGGCTCCTACTACTCTTCCTCCTACTGAGGCTCCTACTACTCTTCCTCCTACTGAGGCTCCTACTACTCTTCCTCCTACTACTTTGCCTCCCACTGAGGCTCCCACTACTCTTCCTCCTACTGAGGCTCCTACTACTCTTCCTCCTACTGAGGCTCCCACTACTCTTCCTCCTACTACTTTGCCTCCCACTGAGGCTCCTACTACTCTTCCTCCTACTGAGGCTCCTACCACTCTTCCTCCTACTACTTTGCCTCCTACTGAGGCTCCTACCACTCCTGCTCCCACGACTTTGCCTCCCACTCCTGCTCCCACGACTTTACCTCCTACTGAGGGTCCTACCACTTTGCCTCCTATTGAATGTGGCGAGAGACAGTTCGCGGTTACGGTTACCCGTACTTGTGGAAAGTTTGGATCTGAAGAATCGGTCAGCATTTATGAAGGAACTATTTTATCTGGTAATCCCGTTTATCAGGAAACTACTTGTACTGCTGGTACCTTCTATTTCTGCATGAGACCTATGCAGCATACGATTGTGTTGACGGATAGCGCTCGCGATGGTTGGGATGTTAGCTCGTCTATTGTGTTGAAGAGTGGAGGTATGTCTCTTTCTTACACTTTGGACACTGGAAGTTCTGTTACTTATACATTCAATCTGACTCCTTCTGGGGCTCCTACTGAACCTCTTCCTACTGAGGCTCCTACTACTGCTCCTACTACTACTGCTCCTACGACTTTGCCTCCTACCACTCCTGCTCCTACTACTCTTCCTCCCACTGAGGCTCCCACTACTCTTCCTCCTACGACTTTTCCTCCTACTGAGGCTCCCACTACTGATCCTCCTACGACTTTGCCTCCTACTGAGGCTCCCACTACTCTTCCTCCTACCGAGGCTCCTACGACTTTGCCTCCTACTACTCTTCCTCCCACTGAGGCTCCCACTACTCTTCCTCCTACTGAACCGATTCCTGAGTGCGGAGAGGACAAGCTATTGCTCGAAATTGTTCGTGTGTGTGGTACTTATCCTGAAGAAGAACGAGTCGATATTTATCAGGGAACAGACCGTCCGTTCACTGGTACTCCTCTGTACAGTGAGTCTGTATGCACTGCTGGAACTCATTATGTGTGCATCAGCCGTGTTGCTCACACGATTGAGCTGCGTGATTCTGGCTATGATGGATGGAATGGTAATTCGCATGTTACTTTGAAGAGTGGTTACATGTCTATGACTTACACTTTGACGGCTGGAGGTTCATATGCTTATTACACTTTCGATATGACTCCTACTGAGGCTCCTACTGAACCTCTTCCTACTACTGCTCCTACTACTCTTCCTCCTACCGAGGCTCCTACGACTTTGCCTCCCACTACTGCTGCTCCCACGACTGCTGCTCCTACTGAACCGATTCCTGAGTGCGGAGAGGACAAGCTATTGCTCGAAATTGTTCGTGTGTGTGGTACTTATCCTGAAGAAGAACGAGTCGATATTTATCAGGGAACAGATCGTCCGTTCACTGGTACTCCTCTGTACAGTGAGTCTGTATGCACTGCTGGAACTCATTATGTGTGCATCAGCCGTGTTGCTCACACGATTGAGCTGCGTGATTCTGGCTATGATGGATGGAATGGTAATTCGCATGTTACTTTGAAGAGTGGTTACATGTCTATGACTTACACTTTGACGGCTGGAGGTTCATATGCTTATCATACCTTTGATATGACTCCTACTGAGGCTCCTACTGAACCTCTTCCTACTACTGCTCCCACTACTGCTGCTCCCACGACTCTTTTCCCTGAATGCAGCGAAGACCAGCTTTTGCTTGAAGTCCGTCGTACTTGTGGACCTTCTGGTGAAGAAGAAGGATTTGAAATTTATGAAGGAAAGGATACAAATGGAAATGCTCTTATTGCTCAGGCTTCTTGCACAACTGAGGTTCGATACTTGTGTGTCAATCCTGTTGAGCACACTTTGGTGATGCGTGATTCTGGCCTTAATGGATGGTCTATGGGCTCTATTTTGATTTTGAAGAGCGGAGATCTTTCTCTGGAATTTGTAATGGAAAGTGGATACCTTCAAACGAACTCGGTCTTCAACTTTGGTATGGCTTACACTGAATTCCCTACGACTATGGCTCCCACTGATGATACTCAAGAACAGTTCCAAATCATGTTGATTCGTTCTTGTGGTAACTCGTCGGATTCTGAAGGCTTTACGATTTATGAGGGAGCTACGCGTGACCATGCTATCTATAGTCAGACTACTTGTGCTGCTGGTGTGGTGAACCTGTACATCACTCGCGGTCTCTACACGATTGTGATGACGAATTCGAATGAACAGGTTTGGGCTGAGAATTCGATGGTTCGTATTTTCTACGGCAGTTTGCTTGGATCGTACATGAAGGTTGTTGTGGGTGCTGAAGAGTCTGCAGTGTTTGCTCTTCCTGAAGTGATTGAGGCTGGAGCTGCTTGGAAATACTCTTCGGAGGCCATGGTGGGCACGAGCTGGACCACGGAGAATGTGAATTGGAGCTTGACCTCGGAATACCCGGCTATTTCTTCGATCACGCGTTACTTCCGTCAGAGCTACACGTTGTTTGGAGCTGGATTCCGATCTGTGATCATCCAGGTCAAGACGAACGGTGGCTTTGTGTTCTATGTGAACGGAATCGAGGCTTCTCGCTTCAACTTGCCCGCTGGAGAGATTACTGCAACGACGCAGGCTACCGAACTGAAGGAGAGCAATGTGTACCGCATTCTCCGCCTGTCTCTGGACGCTTATTCTGCTGTGAATGGTGTGTATGAATTCGCTGTGGAAATGCACGCTGCTGAGGGTCAGATTGGTCAGGCCGAGCACTTCGAGTGCTCTGTGGAGTTCACGATCTATGAACAATCGCTGGTTGGAAGCGGCCAGGCTACTTCGAACATGGCGGGTACTACTACTTACACCATTCAGAACCTGTTCGATAACTTGATTTCTACCAAGTACCGAGCCGCTGTGACGAGCTCGAGTTTCCCTGTGGAAGTGACCTACACGTTCCCCGAGGGCGATGCGAACACGATGAACAAGTATGTGCTCACCAACGGCGATTCGACGGCTGCGGCTTGCAACACGTGGAAGATCTTTGGTAGAAAGAACGAAAGCGACGAATGGGTGATGCTGGATAGCCAGGATAGTGTGGAGTGGTCTACTGCCGCTCAGTCCTTGACCTTCACCCTGAGCAACGTGAATGCCTACAATGCCTACATGTTCCAGTGCAGTGCGGTTGTGAATATTGATGATACCTATTATGGAGGTCAGCTGGATATGGCTGAATGGAGTCTGATTCTTGCTTAAATACCGTGAAACAGGGAGGAAGCTATTGATTGATATAAATGTTCATAATATAGTGCTGTTTGTTGAAAATGCCAGAGGAATCTTTGTATAGTGATTCCTTGATTAGAGAGAAGGCTTCGTCATTATTTTATTAACCTACCTATTGTAAGATCATAAAGATGTTTTTCCACTATTATCTGAAAGTATTTTCCTATGATTTTGAAGGATGCTTCTTGCTTGATGATATTGTGTCATTTGTTTGCAAGAAGCTAGAATTGCCAAAGGAATCTATTGTAATTTGTGATGAAGACAACTCTAAGCTCTCTGCTGATACTATATCCAACTTATCGAATGATTCGCATGTGCTAGTGTATGACGTCGGCAGAGTTCTGATGGACGGCTTGAATAAGGAGGGGAGATGCAGCAACAACAATTGTTCGTTCTTCAATAAGATAATAGTAGAGAATTGCGGCTTTATGGAAAGTGAGAGGATTTACTTTGGATGTTGCGGTTCGTGCCCATTTTGTGGGGCACTTTTTGAAGTTTTATCGCTTTACTTGAAAAATTGTCATTTCGATATGTTTATCATTCGTGACGATCAGACACCAAAGGAAACAGATGATATCGATGCCGACAAACTGCAACCTCACTATTTTGATCTTCTGCTTTTGAGTCACACTGAACGCTATGATTTCAACGTTAAACAAGTTGGAGACTATGTCTGCCGAAGGTGCCACAGTGTAATTACGGATTGTAACTGTGACCGAGTCCATAAGAAATCGATATGCGACCAGTGCTCTAAACAAGATGAATAATAATTCGCTTTTGAGTTGATGAGACGCTTTAATCTTTGTTCCTCACACGATTACTCGAATACAGTACAGATTAAGTACCCTGAGCGTATAGTACTTCACTAAAACTTTGGCATTCCGCTCTTGTGAGTCTATTATCTACGATCAATAAAACTATCCAGTTTTGTAGTCGCACTACTTTAAAATTTAACAGAATATTGTGAAATAGGAATATTGAGGTGGGGATAAATACTAGAATAGTAATTTTACTAGCTAATCGTAATTACCCCACAACATATTATGAAACTCCTTGTTTTCCATTCACTAGAAGTTTTTAAGGACTCGTTTAGAACATGGTTGGTACTGCTAAAGGTAACTTATTTTCTTTGTTCGATTGATTGTTTTTTAAATTGATTATTCTTACCATTGTTTAGCCACTGCCGCTGCCAAGAAAACCCAACGCATTCAGAAGAAGAGCGGAGGTCATATTCATACTACCACTCGTTTCTACCGCCCCAAGACTCTTAAACTTGCTCGTAAGCCCAAGTATGAGAGACACGCTATCAGCAAGGAGAATAAGATGGATGCTTATGCTATCATCAAGAAGCCAGCTGTGAGCGAGTCTTCTATGAAGAAGATTGAGGTTTTCTGTTTATAGGCACTTATATTGTAGTCTGAGAATATTCTTACTTTCTTTGTGGATATTCGTGCAAACAAGAGACAGATTCGTCAGGCCATTAACAAGCTTTACAATGTTAAGTGCTCTAAGGTGAATACGGTGATTTCTCCTCTGGGTTTCAAGAAGGCGTTTGTGCGTATGAGTGGTGAGAATGAAGCTATGGACGTTGCTAACAAGATTGGTATCTTCTAAGTTGAGTGGTATAAACATGTCCTTATTCGTTTTTTGTTTAAACAAAACACACAAAAGGGTTAAATTGTTTTTGAGTTAGTGGGTAGGACTCTTATCTTTTGGGTATTTTCGTTATTTCGAAATGCGTAGTAGAAAAGGGCTTTGCTTTACTCTAGAACATCCATCTCCTCGAAATGTTGTTTCTGGAGATAGCAATCGTCGAATTGTAGTTAATATCTCTGTTCCTACCTATGGTAAAACATACTACATATCTATCCAGCCAACTGCAAATTATGAAACACTATGTGCTATCGTTAAATCCAGACTGAGAGTTCTTCGTCCTTATTCTAGATCTGAAATTTAGGATCTCCCTAAGGAGGGTAAAGCGTTTTCTGCAATGCTCTTTAATGGGAAGGAAATAGATAAAACCAAGCCCATAGCAGAGTCCGGAATAACCTATGGAGCTAATATCGAGCTCGTTTATGAAAACATTGTTTTTCTCTGTAAAACATTTTAACTATTAGGTCGATGACTTTTTTGATGAAAGTCCATTGAGTTCTAAAGAACATGAGGGTATAGGAGTAATTGTTGCGTTCATTCTTAGCTATTACGCTCTTAGTTCAATTATTTCAAATTTCAGGTATTTCTAGTTGCATCGACTTTATACAAACGCACTTTATGGATTCTGCACATCTCCTTCTTTCCTATCTACAACAGAGAATCACTATCAGTATGCTCTCCGTTATTTTTTGCTAAATTAGACGACAAAGACGAGCCTGAATTTGTATCTTCCATCTTATCGTTTCTTAATGGCTTGCAAAACCTATCTGTTAAAGTTGTTTGTCTGCAGTGGCTTTCAAACCAGCTTCAGCAAAGTCGTTTTTTCTCTATGAATATCACTCACAGCTGCTCATGTTGAACATTTTTCGAGCTTAGTTCCTTGGTTGATGCAAAGTCTCGGAGGGGGGAACTCCTCCCTGAACAAAACCATCCTCAGAATGCTTCTGACGCTACTGTCAAACTCCTCGATCGACATCCAAGTCGACAAGGCGTCCATTAAAACCTATTTGTTGCCCTTGCTTCGCGATAACTCACCCCACTCTCTATTGTTAATGGACGTGATCTGCATCTTCGCCCACCGGAAGGACTGTATCGACGATATTCTCGTCGCCGTCGCACGCTTTGCTGAGAGCTCGAAGCTCTCCTCCAAGCAGAACAAGAAGCTTCTGCATCTTTTGACGCTTCTGGTGGAGTCGAGCGACAACGTCGACTTCTTCATCCGATCCTCGCTGCTCCATCGCATCTTCGTCCTCGGACAGCTCGGCGACAGCTCGCTCTTTCTCCCTCTCTTCTCGTTCATCCAGCTTCTCGTCGAGCACCGTACCACGCACCCGACTTCGCTTCTGTCTAGACCTCCCGCCTCGATTTCTCTTTCTGGAGCAGTTCGTTGCGCTCGCCGAAACGGCCGTCAACCTCTGTCCTCTCGAGAACACGCTCGCTAGCGTCATTCAGAAGCTCTTCGACGCGCTCTGCGTTGATGGTAGTCGATGAAACGCCCTGAAATGTAGAAACGGCGTGCGTGTGCATGATCAATGCGGGAGTTTTGCGGGTGTGCGCGATGCATTTCATCACGCTGAGTCGAGATCCGACGGTGGTTTTGGACACGCTGACGACGCTCACGCATCTGATTCATTTCGTGCCGTGCTTCGTTGATATGATCGTGGAAACCGAGGAACTGTCGAACCTGGTGGAGTGTCTTCCGCTGATTTTGTTCGACGAGGAAAAGGGGAAAGTGCTTCTCGACTTCCTCATGGCGTTGCTTGACGCTTCTTCGGGGATTGAGTGGATTCGAAAGAACCGAATCGTCGATACGCTCCAGTCTTTCCAGAACTACAAGGAATGCGATTTGAAACTAGCTCAGCTCATTCAGGGTTTGATCGAAGCCATGAATGCCAGCCCTTCCTCCGACGCTTCTGTCCCTCCGTCGCAATCACAGTCTCAATCTCAATCTCAATCACAATCTCAGTCTCAATCACAATTCCAGTCACAATCACAATTCCAGTCACAATCACAATCTCACTTCCAGCTCCAATTCCAGTCACAATCCCAGCTCCAATCGCAGAGCTCGCAGAGTCTGCAGAGTTCACAGAACATACCGAGTTTACTAAGCTCGCTGAATTCGCAGAGCTCGCAGAGTCTGCAGAGCTCGCAGAATTCGCTTAACAGCTCGAAGCGATCTCTGCAAAAGAAGCAGAGCGTGGCTGCGCCACTGTCGTGGTCCGAGAGATCGGAGCTGCAGCTGGATGCGGAGAAAGTGAGCTGGGATACCCAAGAGTCGTTTCTTTCGTTTTGTTTGCATTGTTTGCTGGACGACTCGCTGAGTCATTACATCCCTGCGATTTTCTCCGTGCTGGAAGACATTCTCCTGAACGAAAGTAGGCACAATCGATCCGAATCGAAGATAGAATGGTTTGACTATCTCATGGAACGATTCGATTTCTTCATGCTGATTCCTTGCATGTCCTATGCCTGTTACCACCACAAACAGGACGAAACCACCGTGATGAAATTCGGAGTCATCGCGTCTTTGATGATTCACCGTCTTCTCGATTTTGACTTCTTGATTCATAGCATTTGAGAGCAGTTTCCACTCGATGGAGACGCTGTTCGTGATCGTGGATTCGGTGTCCTCCTACGTGACATCGCTTAATTTAGTAAACGAATTCTTCTCCGTCTTGGTGGTTTTGAGCTCATCGAGTAGCCTTCTATCCTCTTTTTGTTGATCGTTTTAGAGGATCTTCGAGGCAAGCTGAAGAGCGTCGGGATTGTGAAAATGATGGATCAAGTGGAGAGCAATCTCTCCTTGCACAATCCGCAGTCGTTGCAGGAGCTTCCGCAAGTGGAGCGGGGGGAAGGCGCCACTCATCCGCTTCCGCTGAGCCAAGTGGTGCAGAAGAAGTTTTTGCTGGTTGGCCAGAATTTGGGATTGTCGAGTCGGAGAAAGGAGGAGAGTTGATTGTAGACGAAAAGACGAGTTCGTTCAACAATCAGGACGAAATGATTCTGATGAAGACGATTCTGTATCAGCTCAGCCATTCCGATCGAAACGAAAAGCTTTTGATTCTCGATAGTCTGGCAGACCTCATCGAGTCGGATTGTGGTGTTTTTTGCCTTCCATTCACCTCTAGATCACCGTCTCATCAACGCTTTTCTCATCCTCAACGGCGTCAACACGCTTCTCCGCGTGGTTTCGTCCTATCTCGACGACAAGGAAGTGGTTTCGCGGTCGCTTCTCATCTTCGCGCTTCTCGCCAAGTCCAGACACGCGGATTCCTACATCGATCTCCCGATCACCGTCGATCTCTGCCTCCACGTCGCCAAAAACTTCCCGACCACGTCTTCCTGCATTCTCCTCGCCCTCTACCTCCTCCAAGAAATCAAATCGAAAGAGGCATTGCTCCGCCTGGACACCGAATCCGCCACCTTCCAGACCGTTCTGGTTCGCAATCAGAACTCCGCGGAGGTCTGCGAGAATGTCTTCATGGTCATCGGCATCATCTCCCAATCCAGCGCCGTGTTTCGGCAGCAGTTCCTCAAGAGCAATGGGCTGAAAGACGTGCTGGACGCCATCTCGCTCTATCACAATCGGCCGTCGATCGTGATTTCGGCCTGCGGGATCTTCGCGTCTCTCACTTCGGAGGCGGCGTTTCAGCAGTCCGCCTATCGCTTCACCATCATCGACCTGCTGAATCGCTGGACGTTCGCAGCGACGATCTCGGACAAGCTCTCGCCGCGCATTCCGATGCTGGAAACGCTCCAAATCATCCTCGGCGTGGGTGCGTCCTGTGCGGATCACTTCATTAAACGGCAAGGCCTCATGGGCATCGTGATTCTCCTCGATCGCAGCCCCGATCTGGAGACCACCGTCACGTGCTGTCGCCTCGTCTCGTCGATCTGCAGCGTCACCAACGCGAGCTATTCGATCCTCGCTACCGGCATCGTCTCCCGCATCTGCCAAGCGATCCAGACCTCCGTGCAGCCGGTCGTCGATTTCTTCTGCACGATCCGCTTGATCGCCATGCAGAGTCTGGACTGTCTCCAAGAAGTCGTCAATTCCCACATCGCGCAGACCTTCGTTCGCTACGCGCAGAAATCGCAGGACGCGCAGAGCGTGCTGGAGATCATGTGGACGCTGTCTCTCTTCTCGACGAGCTGTATCGGTCCTCGGAAGGGGTGACGTGTAGTCCAGGGCTGCGTGCAGCTGAACGACGCGCGCGTGCTGGAGTTGCTCCCATCGCTGAGGGCGGAATACGATGCGGAGCATCCAGTGATCGCCTACTGCAAGACCATCAGCGAGAACATGCAGTATTATCTCTTCGAAGGCCGGCGGTCGTCGCTGGCGCTGCATTCCATCAGTCCCATCGGCGGATCGGAGGCCGATGTCCTGCTTCTGGTCAATTCCCCGATGCAGAAACTCATGTCGCTCCTTCTGCGACCCGCCGGCGCTTCGGTGCCCGAGCTCCAAGCCACGCTGGACGCTCTGCAGACGCTGATGGACTCGTTCGATGGGGAAGCGACCAACAATGCGGTGAAAAATGGACTCAATGATGGACCCAATAAAGAATTTAATAAGGGGCTTAATAATGGACCCAATAATGAATTTAATAAGGGACCCCATAATGAACCTAATAATGGACCCAATAATGGACCCAATAATGGACCCAATAATGGACCCAATAATGGACCCAATAATGGACCTATTAATGGACCCAGTGGAAGCAATCCCCTGCCTCCTAAACTGGGAATTTCCCAAAGATCGAGCCATCTCCCCGAGGAGCTGAGCATTGCCGAGACGATGGGCTATCGCGGCATGGCTCGCTCCGTGCTGGCGTCGCGCTCCCCGCGGTCGCCGCCGCGTCCGAAGCTGACGAAGGAGATGATTCTGCAGTCGGGCGTGGAGCAGTCGCTGGTCTCGGTGCTGTCGCTCTTCGCGGCGCAGCAGGAGCTCTGCCGAACCGCGCTGCGCCTCCTTCTGCGGCTGGCGAAGGAGCAGGACCCGCGGTTCGTGCAGCCGCAGCACCCTGAAAGCCTCTACGGCGCGGTGGAGACGCTGATCAAGCAGGACTGGGTGGCGTCGGACCTGGAAGTGCTGCGCGGATTGGTTCAGCTGTGCCTGCTGGCGGATGTGAATCGAAACCTGGATTTCTGCAACAAGATCGTCCCGTTCTTTTTGAAAGTGAGGCGCACGACGCGCGACTGCGCGCTCTTCATTCTCTACGTGGACGCGGTGATCGACCTGCTGCTCCGTCTGGCCTTCTGTAGCCTCCAATGCGTTCTGTGATCGCTAGACCAGATCCTCTCCGAGCGATTCACCATCCACAGCTTCTTCATCGTGCACCAAGACGACATTTCTCCCTGCGCCCCGCGTCTCCTCAAAGCAGAACTCATCCACCAAGTGGTCTATCGTGCGTTCTCCCCCCTCCTCCCATCGTAGACTCCTCGCTGATCAGCCAGCACACCTCCATCCACTACATCCAGCTCAACACCTCGCTCGGCAGCTACCTCTCCGCCGTGATGCGCCGCGAGATCTCCGACGTCACCGTCATTCTCGAGATGAGCACGCTCATCGGCCAGCTCGACAACGTCCGCGAGGACTACATCAACGCCGGCGGGCTCAAGACCCTCCTCGCCGTCTACTGGGACAACCACAGCACCATCGACGTCGAGCGCTTCGGCGCCGCGCTGCTCACGCTGCTGCCGGGTAGCTCCGTGATCGGGGTTTGATCTAGTCGCCAACACCGAGGAAATCCCCGTGCACGACGTCCTCAAGGTCTGCATGGACGTCATCAAGACCGACGACATGGAGGTCCGCTCGATCTCCTCCATCTTGAAGGTGCTGCGCCGCATCATCCTGATCAGTCCGATTTCTGGAATTCCATAAACCGTAGCCCAGGACGCCGCCTGGTTCATGGAGTACCAAGCCGAGTTTGGTAGCGAGCTCCCGCTCTTCCCGCTCGACGAATCGCTCATCAAGGAGCTCATCGAGTTCTTCTGCTACCTCCTCGGTTTCCACGTTTCCACGATTCGATCGTAGGCTGCACGCACGACGAAGCGACCGCCGCGACGATCGTCCACATCCTCATGGACGAGATTAACCGCGGGGCGTCCTACCCGTCGATCGTTTCCCTGTTTTCCCCGATCTTCGCCCACTTCGAATCGAATTCGATGGTGTACCCGCTGCTCTGCTCCGCCGCCCCGCCCATCTACGATTCCATTCTCACCAACGCGCTCAGCAACGACGCCAGTCTCCAGGCCCCCGCGGAACTCTACATCCAGTTCCTCGTCTCGGAAGGTGCGGATTCCCGCGGGGATCGAGTGTAGAAAACGCGAGGCGGCTGATCGACCGGAACTTGCTGGACACGCTGGCGGTGGCGCTGAGCAAGCCGCCGTCGGAGCGGAGCAGCGTGTATCTGCTGCGGATCGTGTGTTTGCTGTGCGAATTCGGTAGGAGGAGGAGGAGAGAAGGTCGATGGTAGATGTGTCATTGCAAGCCATTCTGAATGACGCGACGTTCTGCTCGCTGATGCAGAACTATATTATGAAGATTAAGGAACAGAGCAAGGAGCTGCGCGAGCTGTCCGAAGCTCTCTTGGGGTTGCTCATGCGGCACACGTCGGGGGATGCACAGCTGGAGGTGCTGGATCCCGCGAAGTTTAGCTTTGGGGAGCCGCCTAAAGAGTCAATCATACTGGTTTAGGTGCTATTTCGTTAATATCGATTATTGTTATCATGCGTTGTGGAACTGTTTGTTTTTGAAACAGTAAAATAAATTTTGAAAGGGGGAGGGGAGAGAAGAGTGGAGAAGTCGGTAAACAACGACGAAAAGGAAAAGGGGGTGATTACGAAACAAGAAGAAGGTTAAAACACTTCAAAATGCTCAGTATTTATCTTATCTTATCTTATCTTATCTTTTCTTTTCTTTTTCATACGCAGCACCATGAATGGCAAACCCAGAAACAAAAGCTGTTTCCAACAAACACACCAAACAATAATGTCGACAGCACAACGCTGGTACGAACATTTCTTAGAATAGGGATGCGTACCGAGAGGAAGGGGAGATGAAATGCTTCGGATTTCTCGCCGAGGATAGATGGGCTCCGAGCGCGATTTGCAAATCACAGAGATAAAGGCAACAATCAAAGCAGTGCAGACGCCGAGAACGATTACATAAATAACAATGACTTGGACTTGGACGCCTTCGCATACTACAGTGATCACCATCGCCATCGACTCCTACGTTCCTTGCTTTCGAGGTCGTAAAACGTGCTTTTCCCTCCTGAAATCACTTGCAACTGCTTTTCAGCTACGAATTAGACACTTCGCATTCCCATACTAAAAACAAAATCAACGGTTTCGATCGTTCGATGCAGCAACTCGGTTAAATTCAATTTTTGATTTTCATATTCCGGAAAACCCGTACAAACATAATCGCTGATCGAGTGTTCCTGATTTGCGCGAAGAGGGACACAATAGGAGGTCAGAGAGTCGACAAACTCAAAACTGCCGTTCACAAGCTGAAAAGTATATGTGTCTTCTGAATTGTCAATGATAACATAGGAAATGTTCATCCAGAGAACGCGATTTGAAGACAAGCACTTCTTGTCAGAATACTGATACACCAGGCGCTGGAAAGCCCAGATTCCACTTGTGTTCGATGGAGTAAATCGGTAAGTGAACTTCATCGCTATGTTACAATTCACGAGTAAAGCCTACATGAGTTCTCTCCATTGACACAGAGTGAGTAATCACCACATCCTAAACATGAACTGGAAAAAGCAGGCCTACGGATTGAGTTTTCGCCTTCTAGCGGTGGAGACATCATTTTGATATGCCACAGCGCATCTTGAGGAACTGCTCCGTTTGATCTTTCTGGATGGACGCTATTTACCACGACAAGAAAAAGGAGAAGAATGAGCGAACGCATGGTAGAGTACACTAAAGAAAAAGATGGAAAAGGAGAATGAAACTCCTTAAGAATGACAATAATGTGTATTTTTAGGGGTAATTTGTTTGACGGCAAGGGTATTATTCTCACTATCACTCATTTTCTTGCAGATAGAGAAGAGGACCACCTGTTCATTCACTAATTATTATGCTTTTTGATCTTGTTGCGAGTGTTCTTTTGGAACACTATCATTTCCACGCTGTACGGGTGTCTAGAGGCTTTCCTCCTTTCTCACTCCCTTTCGGTCCTTTGCGAAGAACACAAAATTTATATGTAGGAGTGATTTTCGTTACATCGTGTGTCGTTTTTGTACCCTCTTATTCGAAGCAGTTTTGACTGAAAAGAATCAGAATTGAGTTAATTTCATCTCGTATTCACATAAATCAAGCTCCTATCATCATAGAATAAAAACCATTCAGTGATTCAAATCCCGCGGAAACAGAGGAAATGAAATTCTGGTATTCCACGAATTGGGCCGATTTTGCAGTGTCATTTTCTGTAGTAAAAATATACATATTATCGGTGAGAGATGATGAAAAAGCTGGTCGTCTTTATACTTTCACTGTCCGTCATCGCCATTGCTCAAACAATTTCAGAGGTTAACTCATTTGCTGCTCCCTTCAAGAATTACGGTTGGGCAGGTGTGTTTGATGACCTCCTTTGATCCATAGGAAACCGTAAAATTAAGGGATGGACTTGTGGAGGAGATGCTTCTATAAAGGAGTACTTTGTGCGACTTACACCTGATCGCCAAAGTAAGTCTGGGTTTTGCTGGAACGATAAGCCATTAAACAGCAACAAATGGTTAACCACTGTCAAGTTTAGAATTAGTGGCCAAGTTTTCCTTTCTGTTATGTGTACATCGTAGGGAGAGACGTTGTTCGGTGATGGGATGACGATTTTCTTCACAACTCAGAATGTCCACACTGCTGTCGCTCTACTTTTTTTATTTCACGTCTAGGGTCCGATGCACGGTTCGAACGACAAATTCATCGGCTTTTCCGTCGATCTTAGCACCTACCGCAATCCGGAGGTACATGCTTCGAATATGACCCAATTCCTTTCAGTACTACCGTTTCCACCGTGATATAAGCCTCTACGTGGGCAACAACACGAGCGAGAGCGCCTACTACCCCGATCGCGAGCATGAGGGTTGTTTCTCCAGCTACCGTTTCTACGAAAAGCGTCAAGATTTCTCCGTTTCCCCTTTTTCTCGTGTTGACTGCAGGTGGAAAACGCAGCTCGCATCCAGATCTCCTACGACGGCGATCTGCAGCGCGTGGTGGTTCGCTCGGACCACAACAACCGCGGTTATTACGACGACTGTTTCTCCGCGAAGGTGGATCTCCCCGCGGAATGGTGGCGCAACGCGTACATCGGAGTGAGCGCGTCGACGGGCGACCTAGCGGACAACCACGACGTGCTGGAGATTTCGACGGTGGTGGGCGTCTCGAGCCTGGAGAACGAGGAAGCGATCACGCAGAAGGAGCGCGAAGACGCGTTCCGCGCGACGCTGGCGGGGCTGCTGAAGGAGGAGGGGCTGGAAGCGGAGAAGCTGAACCCCGCGGAGCTGGCGCTGGCGTCGCTGGTGAAGGCGCTGAGCGACGCGGAGCTGGATGAGCTGGAGAAACTGAAGCGCGAGCTGGAGCACTCCATGTCTTGTAGGGAAGGTGGAAACGTGGAAACGTAGCGATTGACGACTCGATCAACTCGATGATTCGGAAGCTGGAGCAGCGCGGCGATGTGTCGGAGGGGCGGATTACGGAGCTGGAAGGACAGATGCAGGAGCGCGTGAAGTCGAGCGTGTCGCAGCAGATCACGATGCGGATTCAGAACTTGGAGATGCTGCTGGAGAAGAGCGTGGAGCAGGAGGTGAAGCAGAAGAGCGGGTCGTGGATCGTGCCGTTTGTGCTGCTGACGGTGGTGCTGTCGGGCGTGTTCTTCTTCGTTTATGTGGGCGTGAGGGAGGGGATCGATGGTAGAGACAGTATCGACACCTGCAGAAGACGCATATGCTCTGGAGTGTTTGTTAGAACCAACAAGGGATGAGATGTTCATTGATAAATAGTCAAGAACCAAGAACCAAGAACCAATATGTGTGTGTGTAGTGTATGATTTAATGAAGGAATGGATCACGAATGAATGAATGAATGAATGAATGAATGACTCATCGAATGACTCATCGAATGACTCATCCAATCACACACCTTCTCCTCCATCTATTCGACCACCTCCTCGCTTCCCAGCCTCGTGGCGCGGAACGCGGGCAGATACACCGGCTCCGCGTCGTCCACCTCCAGCTCATACACGGACCCATTGAACGCATATCGCACGTACAGCTTCTTCCTCGCCGCTCCTTCCCCGACCTCGCAGAACCCCGCGTAGTCCTTCTTCGACCCCGCGTACAGCCGCAGCTTCGACTCCCTCACCATGAACTGCAGCGCCACCGTCACGTCCAGCGCCTTCTCCGCTCCGCTCCCACACTCGGCATTGTCCACGCCACACTCGGCAATGCCCACCGCAGCCTCCTCGCCGTACACCGCCCGCAGAATCACCAGGCCTTTTTTCTTCGCCTCTTTCCCGCGGTTTTCCTCCGCGTACTTCCGCATCATTTCCTGCTGCGAAACCGCGGAAAGCCGCCCGTGCCGACGCAGAAACGCCTCCCGCTCCGACGCCTCCCGCCGCTTTCTACGGTTCTACGGTTTCCACGTTTCTACGCTTCCGACTGCGCGCCCAGCGGCGATTTCTCCGCGATCCACAGGATTCCCGCGGTGAAGGCGGTAACCGCGGAAGCCAGCGCGACGGCGAGCGGCCGCCAGGACCGGCTGAGAACCACGGGGATCGCAAACGCCACGCTGCCGCGCTGGTATCTAGATGAAACGCCCGTTCGAATCGAACTTCCATTTGAGTTCCACGCCGGCGAGGCCGATTCCCGCGGAAAAACCGAGTCGACTGAACGGCGTGAGGGCTTTCGAAACTCCCGCTTCGAGCTCTGCGCGTACAGTGGTCAGGATGCCCTTGATTTTCAACTGCATCGAGGAAGGGTCGCTGAGAGTGGTCAGAAGGCTGGAGGAAACGCCGAAATTGGCGCCCGCCATGAATTCGGTCTCAATTCGATGGTTGTCGCGCGCATAGATGATGCCGAAGGATGTTGTGGAGAGCTCGGCTCTGTTACCTATATCGACTTTGATGCGGCCTAAAAGCGACGGAGAGCACTGGTAGAACAGCTGGAGACCGCATCGGGCACCCTCCCGTTGGAAGGTGAACGACGCGGTTCCCTGGCTCGCCGGAGAGAACATTTGCAAATATTCGACGCCTAGAAGCGGTCGCGAACCGAGCAGAGCCGATGTTGAGATCTGCTGCGTAGGAGAGAGCTGGTGCTGGAATGTGGCTCCCGCCATGCTGAGAAGATTGTCATGAGACGTAGAAACGGTTCCGGTAACAGCGAGAGTATTGGTGGGAGATAATTTGGTTTGAACGGTTTGTGACATTGTAACGCCAGATAAATAGAATTTGGGCGCAGGAGGAGGAGGAGGAGGAGAAGCGAAAAGAGAATAGGCGGGAGGAGGTGGAGGAAGAGAAGGAGGGAACAATAGATTGGACATATCAAATTCCATTTTGAGGGAACTGCTTTGACCGGCTTTGGTTTGTAGTTCTTGCTGATAAATCGTGTGGATAAGATCAGTGATCTCGTCGATACTCTAATGGAAAGGGGCACTCAAAGTGGCATACGTCATCACGTTTGACGAGCTGCTCGTTGTTCTCCAGCAAATCGACAGCCTACAGCCTAAACGACGGACATAGGAAAGCACTTTTTCTCCGTACAAATCGTAAAGTCTTCGCTTCTTCTCGTCGCCCAAAATTTGATACGCGCGATCGATTCTTTGGAAAAACTCATTTGCGAAATCTTGATGTTCGACCGACTGCTTATCAGGATGGAACTGTCTTGACAAATTCCGATATTGCTTCTTTATTTCTTCAAACGATGCCTACACAGTCACCTCCCATATCGAAACAAACGTCTCTAGAAAGACCTAGAATGGCATAGTAATCCCTCTGCTCAATTTTCCTGTCTTCCATAGTCTTTTTTGAGGAGAAAAAATCGTGGTCCAGAACCGCGGTAGTTCTCTCTTTCTTAGAAAGGTTATTTACAATGCCAGCAGAAGGTAGGGCGCTCTCCTTCTAGTTTCCGCATGTTTAACACCCTGTAGAAACTTTCGAGGTCACGAACCACCGCTTTTATGAGAACAAGTTTCCGGAGGTGGATGATGTCGTTATGGTAAAAGTCACACAGTATATCGCATTTCAATCCCACTTCTGCGTAGAATTACGGATATTGGTATTTATGTGAACTTGCTGGAGTATAACGACATTCAGGGCTTCATTCCTGCCTCTGAACTGTCTCGTCGTCGTATTCGATCCATTCCGAAACTGGTCCAGGTAGGCAAAGTCGAGCCCAGCATGGTAACGCGTGTGGACAAAGTGAAAGGTGGGAAGCAAAACGGAGCGACTTATCGACAGGCTACATCGATCTCTCCAAGCGTCGTGTAGCGGACGACGATATGAAAGAAGCTGAGAAGCGCTACAAAGAAGCGAAGAAAGTCCACAACATTGCAGGCATTCTCTCGAATCGCTGCAAGATCAGCATCGACACTGTCTACGAGTCGATTATTTGGCCTCTGAGCGCGAAATACCAATCTGCGTACAACGCATTCCTTCTTTCCGTGTCGTACGCCTCGCTTGCACATCATCATCTCCCAGCAATCCCGAGATCCTCAACGATCTGAGCGTTGATCCCCCCGTAATCGCAGAGCTGGTCTCTCTGATCAACGCTCGTATGTCTCCGCAGGCAAAGAAGGTCCGATCGGACATCGAAGTGACATGTTTCAGCATCCACGGAGTCGACGGAATTCGCGCCGCCATGGTGAAAAATCGAAGTGAATTTGATCGTAGGCCGCTGCGGAAGCCGTGGGAACGAGCGAAATGCCTGTGACGGTAATGATGTGTGATGCCTGTGAGGTAGATTACGCTAATCGCTTCGCCGCTGTACGTGATGACGACGACGGCGATGCAGGATAAGGACGGAATCGAATTGCTGACGAAAGCGATCGCCGAGCTGGATCGCGTCATTAAGGAGTATGAAGGAAACTTGGTCGTGAAGATCCCGGTAAGCGATGGAAAACGGGATGAGCGGTAGCCTCGCGTTGCACAGAGACAGGAAGATGCGGATTTGGAGGGATTGATGAAGAAGATGGAGATGGAAAACCAGGAAGTGGCCGCGGATGATGATGATAGCGACGACTAAGGGTGGTGTGTTTGTTGAAAACAATAGAGAAGGGAAGGGAAGGGAATAGGAATTAGAATGGGAGATGGTGATGAAGCCTGAGGGATTGGGTTGCAGAAATGATGGAAAAGGAATCGTCATCCTCGTTATATGGAAACTGGAATGATTCCACTTCATTGGCCACTTTTCCTTCGATGCGCTTCTTCACAATCACGCAACCAATCCTTTTTCTTTTTTATTTTTTCTTTCTCTCTGCTATATCCCATCCAAGCCCAATTCTTTAGTTTGTTTTTCCAAATCCAATCTTCATCTTCTCGCCCTCTTCACCCCACCCAATCCAATATATGTATAATATCAACAAACACCTCAGAATACACTCATCATCTCCGTTACGGCTTTTCCAGGACGCGCGCTCCGCATTCTTCCCATTCCTGCCTTGAAATCCACGCATCCACGTTATTCGCGATATACTTCGCATACACCGCCGCTCCCGTAAACACCGAATGCTTCCGATTCGGCTGCGCCTACCCTCAACTCCGCCCCGCATTCTCACAATCACATTAATGGATTTCGCAATGTGGTTGGTCTCTCCCTTCAGAATCACCGAACAGTACTGCTCCCGAATATCCTTCTCCAGCCGCGAGGACAGCCCCGGGAACATGCTGGTTCCTCCGGACAGCAAGATGTTCTTATAGAACTACGCTGAACGATCTGATTGGTCGCCTACCACCGGCCGCAAATCAATCTCCGCCTTCTGGATCAGATCGAAGACCATCTCCGACAGTCCCATGCACTCCAGACCCATCAGCTCCGGCTTGAACAGCGCCTCCGTCGCCTCGAACCGCTCGCTGCCCAGCCGCACTTGCCGCCCATCAGGGAGCTGATAAGAGCTCATGAGGACGGTCGTTTCGTCCGCTAGACGCATTTCTTTCTCGAAATTGTACGCCACGTAGCACAGCCGCTCCTTCAGCTCGCGCACCACCTCGAAGTCCGCGGTGGCGTTCAGCGCGTAGCCGCGCTGCTGGAGCAGATTCAGAAGGTGGCGAGTCACGTGGCGGCCCGCGATGTTCAGACGGCGCGTGAGATGATTCAGCACGTAGCCGTCGAAGACCCCCATAACGTGCGTAACGCCGTCGCCACTGTCGACGACCACGCCGGTGGAGGCGCCGCGCGAGTAGAGCGTGAGCATGGCCTGCGGCTTGCATTGCAATCCGGCGAAGTGGAACTTCTCGAACATGATTTCGGCCATTTTGCGACGATTGTCCTTCGGGTTGAGGGGAGCTTCGGTCAGCATGATGCGAAGACCGTCCGGAGACACCGCTCCGTTATCGTCCATATCAATTCCGAGTTTTCTCTGGAATGTATACTTCCAAATCTCTTCCATATCGTCCCAGTGCTGAATCACACCGTTTTCAATAGGATATGTGATATTTAATGCACGGATCGACTCGATACACTCGTCACCCACGAGGAGATCCTACCATATTTAAAACAAGCAGGATCCGAATACCTTTAACGTTAGATCTCCGACATAGTCTTCTTCGGCTCGAAGAAGAGGTCTTCCCACTAGAGAGGGGAATTGCACACGCGGTACATTGTCTCCAGCATAACCTGCTTTCACAACCTCAACATTACGAAGAATCCTTCTCCACCTACTCCTGTACCATTATCACACACAACAATCTTATCTGAAAAAGGATACATTGATATTTGAAAGAAGAAGTGAGATTGAGAACCAAGATAATCCTCAAATGCTACAATTTTTAGAGTCACGCGACGGAATGAAGATTTGAAAGCATGCCTGTGGTGGGAAAAGCAAGGAGCTGATAATGTCACGTGAAGCTGCTCTATACTGCCATGATATCGCAGGTTCCATCACTCACAGCGATAAAGCATAATTTGCAGACTCCTATCCCATTGGAATCAAGGTGTTTTTGGAGTGTCGGGTCTCAGCAAACAAACAACAAACAACAAACAAACAACAAAAAGCACAATACACACCTTAGAGCAATCCCTTTCGCTGTAAAAACCTTCTCTTTGCAGCATCCAAGTCACCTACGCCTCACCCACATCCTTTCAAACCGACTTTCCGTCAGCATCGACTTCGTCGCCTTCTCCGTCTCGACCTTCGTTTTCTCCACTTCCCGATCGGTCTCAATCTTCTCCCCATTGCTCTTGTAAAAGACCAGCTCGCTGCCTCCGCTCAGTTTGACGTTCTTCATCGCCTTAATTCGCTTCAGCACTTCCACGACGTCTTCCTCGCGAACCTCGCAGCAATTCCGATAATAGCTCCGCGTACTCGCCACCAGCTCTTGATACACGATGTATTGCGGGTAGTTATCGTTCCACACCAATGATGATGATGGATGGATCTCTCCAATCCTGGTTCCTTCGTTCTCGAACACATCGATCAGCGTTCGATACACATCGTTCCTGCACTTCCGCGCCAGCGTCAGCGACGAGCCCTCCACCAGCACTTTCTGCAGCGCGGCAATCACGTCTCCCGCGCGTTTTTCCACGTCCATTCCGCCGGCTCGCAGCGCGTCGCCCAGCTGCCGATAGATCGAGAGCGCCGTCCGCATGGACTGGTAATGAACGCCGTGGTCGTCGCACCAGGCTCGTCCGTGTGATCGGGTTTTGAACTTCATGAACCTGCACAACTCATCCACCAATCGCATCTTCTACACGTTCAGAAACGTGAAATGATCGCCCAGCTCCGAGCTCAGCCGCTTCTGCCGCCGCGCGATCCTCTGCGCGCGCTCGGACGCCCTTTCCCGCGGGGCAATCGCGTGAAAGACCTTCTCGACGCTCAGCATGGCGCTCATAGCGATGGCTTCGTCGGCGCAGCCCTCCTCGCACGCCAGCAGCAGCGTCTTGCCCAGCTGCGGGTCCAGCGGCAGCGCGGAGAGGCGTCTGCCCAGCGGCGTGACGCGACCGGCGTCGTCGAGCGCGCCCACGATGAGCAGTTGTTTTAACGCGAGAGAGATCGCTTCGGGCGCGGGCGCGTCGAGATACTCGAACGCCAGCACGTCGTCGATGCCCAGCACCTTCAGATACAGCATCGTGCTCACCAGCGACGCGCGCCGAATCTCCGGCTCCGCGCTCTCCCGCATCCGCGCGTACTCCGCGCTGCTGTACAGCCGGAAACACTTCCCCGGACCCGTCCGCCCCGCGCGGCCCGCGCGCTGCTGCGCCGCCCCGCGGGAAATCCGCGTCGTCTCCAGCGAGTCCATTCCCGTCCGCGGGTCAAAGCTCTTTTCCCGCGAAAAACCAGGGTCGATCACGTACCGAATCCCCGGAATTGTCACCGAGGTCTCCGCGATGTTCGTCGCGATTACAACCTTCCGCGTGCCCGGACTCGCCGCGCGAAACGCTCGCGCTTGCTGTTCCGCGGGGAGCGCCGCGTAGAGCGGCAGGACGACCAACCGCGGGAATGAAGGGTCGTTTCGGAGCTCGGCTTGGTACCAGTCCTCGACGATTTTGGCGGCTTTTTCGATCTCGAACTGCCCCGGGAGGAAGAGAAGCACGTGCCCCGGCTCGCGGCGGTGGATCTGCTGCAAGGCGCGGAGAGAGCGGTCGATGGCTTCGTCCTGCGACTCGGCGAGCGCGGATTTGCTGTGAAAAACCGCGACTGGAAACAGGCGGCCGGGAATGGAGAGAGCGACGGAGCCCGGGTAGAACTGCTGGAAATGGGAAATGTCGAGGGTGGCGGAGGAGATGAGCAGACGCAGGGAGGGGCGCTGCGCGAGCAGACGCTTGCAGAGACCGAAGAGGATGTCGGAATTGATGCTCCGCTCATGGGCCTCGTCGAGCATGATAACACTATATCTGGAGAGAGTGGGGTCGCTGATGAGCTCTTTGACCAGACAGCCGTCGGTGATGTAGCGGATTTTGGTGGAGGTGTCCGAGAAGTCGTCGAATCGGATTGTGTAGCCCACCTCCTTGCCGAATTCGACGTCTAATTCCTCGGCCACGCGACGAGCCAGGTTGATCGCGGCGACGCGGCGCGGCTGACTCACCACCACTGCGCCTTCTTTCAAAAAACTAGAATCAATAGGAAGAACCTGACAAACCCGTTCTGGTACAGCATTTTGGGAATCTGCGTCGATTTTCCGGAGCCGGTTTCTCCCGAGATAATGACAACTTGATGATCCCGAATACTGTTCAGAATATCGTCTTGATACTCGAGAATAGGAAGCACTTCGTTTTCAGAATCATAAGACGAGCTGCGACTCCGAGAGCGGCTCCGAGAGCGGCTCCTTGATCGTTGGCGTCTACAGGGGAGACTTCATGCAAATCCACTACTCTTCCGACGAGGAACGGCTATACAGTGATGAGAAATAGTCAATCCATACGATGGTGATCGTTGTCGCTGATCTGACATGACAATATGAGTTCAAAACGAGTGCAGTTCTGCAAACATTTTAAATTGATTGATGTCAGAAGCGGATTGCAGTCTGTTTCGAAGTGTCATTCAGCGATATGCGTCTTCTATGGAGTTAGAGAATGCCATCAAGTACAGCGCTCGTTTGGTTTTTGGTCTTACACATTCCTGATTTGTAGTTGACTCTCTCTGACAAAATCGAGGATAAACAGACTCATTTGCGCTTGTTATTCCAAAACCGTTCCTTTGGTGAATGTTGCGAATATTTCAAAAAGTTCGTTTATTTCTAAGGTCATAAAGGCAAGATACTTTGACGATTCCTATCCTAAAGAATTTTTATTTTATATCCGCTCTCTTGTAGTTCATTCGTATCTACTCTATTACTAGATCGAATTAGAAAGAAAAGGAGCTGCTCTGGATGAACTCCAAAAGGTATTGCCTCAAAAGCGCGACGATCCGGAATATGCACCGCACCATTATTATTACGGCCAATTGATAGAGCAATCTGACAAGGTCGAAGCAGTCAACCAGTATTCACTCTCATTCATTTCTCTTAATGATCCTAGCTATTTGGAATGTATTCGTCTCGACCGTGAATATCTAGCAGCCTATGATTCTCTCTTCCGACTCCACCCGTTCTCCTCCACCAAGCGCTGCATCGACGAATTGTCTGCGAGTTCGCTTCCCCGTCCGATTTCCCACTACGAAAAACACATTCTCTACTACAAACTCTGCGAGACCCACCCCTATCTCCTTCCCTCGACTCTCTTCCACATCGCTCCGGACGATTCCGAAAACGTTTCCGTTCTTCTCAGCATCGCCAAATGCTATCGCGAGCGAGGCAATTTGGCCTCCAGCGACTTAGTGTTCGATCGAATTCTTCATCTCGGCGTGTTGAACCGCGCGATTCTAATCGAACGCTGCCTTCTTTTCTACCAAATGAACGCTCCCGATCGCTTGTTTCTCTTCATCCACTCGCTTCCTTCCTCTTTCATTTATTCGGAAGAATATTCCTACGCGTTAGGCGTCTATTCGCTGCTTCGTCGCGATTATTACCAAGCTTTACAGCATCTCAATCTCGCATTAACGCGAAATCCACTCTTCTGGGAAGCCTGGATCGCGATTGGATTGGTTCGATCCGCGCTGGTAGCTTCCGAAAGAAGTAAATAAGCGATAGGAGGAGTTCGAAATGGCGATCACGGCGTTTTCGTTCGCGTCGAAGCAGAATCCGGAGAGTTATTTGGTTCGATTTCATTTGGTTTATGAGTATAAAAAGATGGGGAAATTAAACGATGCGTTGCGAGTTGGACCCAAGGAAGAAAGTGAGGAATAGGAATTGAATCGATGTATTTTGATTGACTCGTCGGATCCTCGGCTGTACAACGAGCGGGGCGTTTTGTACTTCGAGTTGGGCGAGTTGGAGAAAGCGAAGAACGATTTTGTAACGGTATTGAAGCAGATCGAGTCCTTTTCGATCGTATTGGCTGCTTGTTTGTTGAATGTTTTAGACGGAGAAGCAGCAGTGGTCCACTGTTTACTTCAATCTTTCGCACGTGTATCGAAAGCAGGGCGATCTGGAGCAGGCCAAGCGGTTTCTCGGGCAAATCGCTCTGCTTGGCGGTCTTCAGAGCGTAAGAATAAAGTTTTGTGTGCACCGTAGCGATCCGCGTCGTATTTCCTTTCTCTCGGATTGCTTCACCAGATGGAAGGGAAGGTGCAGGAGGCCTGCGCGGACTACGAGAAAGCGCTGGTGGTCGATCCCTCGAATTCGCAGGCCAAGGAACTCTTCAATTTAGCTGTTCAGCAATTTTCCAGTATTTGTCTTCTTTGTGGAACAAACAACGCAAAACTGAATTAATACTGTCGCGAATGATCATCAAATCGACTTCGACGATCGCTTCCATAGCGTCCACTCCGACTTCCACCACGCGATTCGCTCGCATTTTCTTCACGATGCGCCGATTGCTCGCGCTCCGCTCGTTCCGACCGATCAAATCGCTCGCTTCGGTCTCGATCTTTATCACCTCGCTCGCTTCTGTCTCTGTCTCTTTCGCTTCTCTCGCTTCGATCTCGTCGTTCACTTCTATCTCTGTCTCTTTCACTTCTGTCTCTGTCTCGTTCACTTCTTTCACTTCTTTCGCTTCTATCTCTTTCACTTCTTTCGCTTCGATCCATTGAATGATTGCGTCGGGAGCGATGGGAGTACCGATCTCTCGAGCGATCTCGCGAGCGATCTCGCGACGGAGAGTAGCGTCGACTCGATCGTCTGGAGTAGCGATGGTCTATTTGCAACAAACAACGAAATGCTACGATGACCGCCATCTGGACCCGAACTGCCCGAGTCATAGTTCATCGACTCGCCCATGCTCGCTGTGTATAAAATCGCTGTTGGATCCATCGAACGAGGATTGTAACCGCCTGCACGCGAAGGATAGGGCATCTGATGAGTCACAGAACAAATGAAATCGGTACGCTGGGAACCCGCGCAACCAAAATGCAGCTGTATTCCTCGAGTTTCTTGACATCGACTTGATCTTGTCGACTTTTCACATAGGCTACATAATCCTACACAGAAATGATACAGACCGGACAGTACCTTCCACATAAACTCGTTGAATCCATAATTAAAGTAATCACTCTCATCTCCATCCATTTTCCAGTCTTTTGTCTTTAAACTGTTAATATCGATATTAAAAGCGGAAATGCTTTCCTCATTTCGAATCTTGATCATTCCGCCTTCTTGGGTATCAACTTTGGCAGCGAGAGTTGTTTCCGGCCCCAAATCAACATCATCGTCTAAAATCACTTCCAAATCATCACTGCTCGAATCGTCTGAATAGGAGTCGTACTCGCTGCTATCAAATTGTGGAGTGGTATTACTAATGAGTCTGTCCTATCAACGATCCAAATAAGTCTCATACCCCGCCAACAAATCATCAGTTCTGGGACTTTTTTCCAAGGAAACTACATTGTTGACGCAAACAGCTAGCCAGTGTACCTGCATTCTTTTCAGACTTCGGCTCACCCGTCTGCACAGACATCCTTGTGAAACAAGAGTAATATGACTGAGTGATAAAACCGTGTCAAACAAACAAATCCACTGGACCACATACAAATTTCCACTCTCCGAACCGCACAGCGCGATTCTTCGTAAAGGACAAGCCGCATTCGCGCAAAGCTTCAGATTACTCAGCGGCTTGGTGGTAATTCCATCGCAGAGAACGTTCGAACTCATCGTCAGCGTCTGTACGTCCATTCCCCCGACGTTCATATACTCCCTCAAATCCAGATCATTGCATGCGAACATGGAGTCTCCATTTGCATACATCACGCCCAACCCGCTCCCATACTCCGTCACACTCAGCCCATACGCCGATCCGATGGTGGCCAGCCCTCCTAGCTTGGCGAAGAGCTTGGGCGCGGTTCCTGCGAGGTTCCAAACGAAAACGGAGCCGTCCGTGCCCGCCGACAGCAGTTTCGACCGCTCCAAGAAGACCAGCTTCACCACGTGGCACGCGTGGGCCTGCCAGCGGAACAGAGGCGTGGCGACGCGCTGCGCGAAGACCTCGATCACTCCGGAGTTCCACGCGGTGGCGAAGAATTCGTTGGAGAACGTGGTCAGCGCGCACAGCACCGGCGTCTCCGTCGGCGTGCGGATCGTCGAGACGCGCGCCGCGAAGGGGAAGCGCGCGCTGACGAGCACGTCGTAGAACTTCTGCCGCACGTCGTAGCAGACGACCTCGTTGCTCTTGGTGGTGCAGTACAACTGCTGCCACGACGCTGAACCGTCCACGCCCTTCGCCGTGATCGACATCGCCGACGACGCCATGTGCGTGAACCCGCCGCCTCCGCTGCACTGCGTCAGCACCTGCTGCTTCTGGAAGTCGAACACGCACAGCTTGTCCGAGCACGACGCCAGCAGCGGCGCGGACGGCAGGAACTGCAGCGAGTGCACGAAGCTCGTGTGTCCGCCGAACGAGCAGAACGGCGCCAGCGGCCGGCGGTCGCTCTTCCAGACCTTCACGATCGGCAGCGACTGCCCCGCGATCAGCTCGTTCCCCACCGTCGCGAAGAGCGCCTCGTTCCCGCGGGACACGATGCCGTAGAGGCAGCCATCGTAGACGTGGACGGTGGATTTGATCTGGTTCATGAGCGTCATGGGCGTGTCGAAATCCGCGCGGTTGCTGAGGAAGCCGGCGCTGCCGCCCACCATGTGGATGTTGTTCGCCGCCGCCCAGCAGCGAGTTGTCACTGAGGGTGAGAGAGAGAGCGAGATTCCCACGGTTCTTCGCGAGATTGGAGGTGTAGTTGGCGGGAGGCGGGAGAGAGGCGCTAGAAATGAGGGAATACCGCGGGAGAAACGGGAGAGGGGAGGCTTGGAGCGTGGTATCGGTCTCTAGAGGTGAGGAAAGGGGGAAACGAGGAACCGCGGAGCAGCTCGAGGAGGTCGAAGGAGTACATGGAGAGAGAAGGATTGAGTTTTTGCTTCTGGAAGATAGCGTCAGACTTGACTTTGAGGAGGATCGCTTTGTAGATCGATTGGTTCGCGGCGTCCGCGTGGACGCGGTAGAACGCGTGGAACCGCGCGAAGAACGCGCGCAGATCGGCGGTCATGGAGTCGTCCTGGGTCTTGGCGTCGATGCGCGAAGCCACGTCGTAATAGAGATTGACGACCGATGCGATGAGCGTCGCGTTGGCGCAGATCACTACCCGTGAAGCCGAGCGACGCAGCGAAACGGTAGGAATCGTCAGACGCGACGGGCAGATAGAGGTAGGGAAGCAGGTCGCCGAGACGAGGATTGGGCCGCTGCACGACGTTGTAGAGGAAGAGCTTGGGAGAGAAGAACGGGAGCAGAGCGCGGACCACTTCGATGATCTCGCTGACGCACAGCGCGGCTTGGATGCTTTTGAGAGTCGGCGTGGAGGGCGACGGCTCCAATAAAGCGAGCAATGAATACGCTTTCGGGAAGAGATGCGCCAGGGTAATCGAGACCAGCGCTTCGGGCGTTACATAGCCGAGAACCGCGATTAACGCGCGTGCTGGAGGACAGAGAACGGGGATGAGCGAGTCGTCTGGGGGTGAGGAAGGAGGAAGCGAGTCTGGTACTCTCGGACCAGGGTCGCATGGTGTCGCTGCGCTTGAAGGTGATGCTCCCGGTCTTCACGGTGAGCGTGGGAAGCAGATAGCGCGTGGAGAGCGCGGGGCCGAGCAGACGCGGACTGGAGAGGAAGGAGATCGTGGTGACGAGATGGTCCTGGATGGAGGAAGGCGTCTGGTTGCTGAGAAGCAGCTCCATCATGTAGGGAAGCAGGAGCTTGAGGAACTGCTTGGGCCCGAGGTCTTGGAGGAGGCTGGAGAGCGTGGGGCGATCGCAGAGCGTCTCGAGAGGAAGGTAGTTGTGCGCCTGGAGCGACTGCTCGAGGAACTGGCTCAGACTGGTGAGGAGAATCGCAGCGACTTGCTCTTCGTGGAGCGAGGAAGCGATTCGCGTCCAGAGCGCGATGAACACGCGAGGAAGAGAAGGAAGCGTGGGGTTGGCCGCGATATCCTGATTGATTCGCTGGAGCAGCGGGAGAATGAGAGGCAGCTCGTCGACCGTGAGCGAGGAAAGCGTCTCGGTGAGCGAGCGCATGCTGGCCTCAGCGTGCAGCGTCGTGGGCGTCAAATAGTAATACGAGCACACTTCGTAACTAGATGGAAGGCCGATTCGAATTCTACATCTTGGCGAGACTCGCGGGGAACAGCGTTAAGCTGGGCTTCACGTGCAAGCCTTCGCCCGACGAGCCTGCGATCGATCCTTTTCCGCGATCCCTACAAACAATCAAATCGTTGCGAGCGAGTTTCTCCGCCGAAGGCCGTGCCGACGGATTCACCGAGATCAGCTGCTCCACCAGACTCTACGATGCAACGCTCCCGCTTTCCCTACGCGGACAGGCTCGTTCAGAACGCTCAGGCGCGATCGGATCTGTGTGGAGTCCGCCGCATACTCGCGCAGCGAGTTCTTCGTAAACAACACTTGCCCCGTAAACAGCTCGAACAGCACGCAGCCCAGTCGGAACATGTCCGCCGCCATGAGTTGCTGCAGGTCCAGGGAGGTCGCGTCCAGTTCTTCGGGAGCCAAGTAGCACGGCTGCAGAATGCTTTCGTAGGCGCGCGAGAAACTCTCCGTGGCGAAGCCGTTGTTCTGCATCAGATTCTCCCGCGTCTGCTTGAATTCTACGTCCCAACGCAGCCATTCGCACTACCAATCGAAATGTGGCCCTGCAGTTTTAGAATCTCTTGGGGATTCGGTTTCTCCTTTGTCAGAATCGCCCCCATTTCGGGAGCTGGCTGAGCCGCAGAGGTTGCGGTCGCCAACGCAGCGGAGCCGTTCCCCGCGGGATTCGACGCCACTCCCGCGGGAGGAGGCGTGGAAGAAGAGGAAGTGGATGCGTTGAGCGCGGCGGGATCGATCAGATCCTTCGTATTCCCCGAGAAAAAGATCGATCTAGCGATGATCCCCTTCCTTCTGCGTTCACCGTCTTCGATTCTTTCGCGGGCGTTTGGCTTCTGTGGTGGGCGTGGACGTCGCAGCGGTGGTTGTGGTGGTAGAAGGAGCCGTGGGTGTGGGTGTGGACGTCGCAGCAACAGGCGCAGCAGCAACAGTAGCAGTAGCAGTAGCAGAAGAAGAAGAAGAAAGTGTAGTAGAAGTAGCCATGGTGCTGGTGGGTGGAGGCGTGTTGGTCGAAGCGAATGCAGCGGAAAGAGGAAGGGAGGGAGCGCGAGACTCGTCAAGGTGGGGAATTCCCTCCATTTGAGGGGTCGAATCGAGTGCCGAGGGCGATACCATGGTCACTTCTCTGGATGGAGGCTCGATGCTGGGCTGTGATTGGCGAACTCCGCGGACATGCGAAGCAGGAAGATGGGAAAGTGAAGTCAAGAAACCCAACCAATAAATGAATGAACGAATGAATCAATTCCAAATCAATGAATGAATTTCAAATCAATTCAAATCAATGAATGACTTCAAATCAATTCAAATCAATAATACTAATAGGATATCTTGATGGCTTCGCGTGGATACTTGCGTGAAAATCACCTCGCCTTTCCCATTGCGCATTCGCTGCGGATGCGGCTGTGTGAAGAGCTGCACAAACCCCGGGTTTTTGGTGAGTCCGCTCACAGAATCCTGAACGAGCGGCACGTTTTTCGCATCCACTGCAGCCTGGCCTGAGAGCTGATACCCGAAGTTCAGATTGATCCAGAGATGAAGATGATTGGAGACATAGTCGCTTTCGAGCATGCTTCGATGCCAGCGAATGAACGATTCCGGCTCGGGACACCATTCCGGAAGCTCTATCGTTCAAGGAATCAAAGAGAATCAAACCCATGTCCTCCATGTTGGGATGCTGCGAAGTGAACACGGAGGGATCGGTGAAATACTCCGGAATGCATTCGTCGGGCGTCCATTCGAACATTCGCAGCATGCTACGCGTCACTCCGCTCACTCATTCGCACTTTCCCGGATATTCCTTGCTCTGGAAATTGCTCCGAACCACCACGCGGAGCAGAGAAATCGGCATGCACCGAGCCATATAGATCGCATACGTCAACTCCGATAACGACTCGCTGATGTGATGCTTCGGCACGCTGTGCTCATAACTCACGTCCAGCTGATTGTCTCCTTTGTTCATTCGGAACTTCGAGATGCTGAAATCGCGCCAGCCTCCCGTCTGCGACGTGAAGTCGCACACCCACGGCATGATGCAGTGGAAGTTGCTGTCGTCCATTCGACGGCCCGCCGCGTCGTTCAGATACATCACGTAATCGAAGTTCGTCAGCTGTCCGTTCACCCAGGCGTCCGTCAGCTTCAGCAGCTGCGTGTGCGGCGTGGCGACCGGATACGGCACGCGCTGGAGCGTAGGGAGCGGGAGGAAGAGCCAGAGATTCTCGGTGAGGATGAGCGAGTCGGTGGAGAAGCGAGGGCAGGCGATTCCGTGGCTGTGGAGGAAGGAAAGCACTTGGATGGCTTGGTAGGCGATGAAGAGCCGGACGATCGACGACTGTAGCAAGTGCTTGTTGTACTTCTGCACGGTAGCGATGGTCGATTGGTTGTAGTCGGCTATCACGAAGCTGTAGGGAGGGGAGTGAACGATCGCTTTGAGCGGGAGAATGTTCGGATGGTTCGTTTGGATCGTGGTTTCCAGGTACTTCGCCAGCTAGCGGTCATCGCGAGAGAGAAAGAGTACGTCGAGAGGAAGCGAGGATGGCTTCACGACGGTAGCGCTCGTGCCGTGGAGGACGACCGTGTCTTCCTTTTCGAAAGGAGACGGCTTGGGGAGCGTGTAGAAAACGGAGAGAAGTTCAGCGAGTGAGTTGGGAGAATCTTGGGACACTGGAGTCGATACGGAGTGGTCCTGATTGAACATCTCGTCATTCTATAGGGATAACAGAGTGTCTATTGACACATACGAAGTCGTCTCGCATCAAATCCGTGATGATTCGGTAGATATCTTCAGTGGGGGTTACCGCGTTTTGTTCTTCTTCTTGCTTTTCCTCCTTGCTGGCCTCACTTCCCTAGAATCGAGGAATCTCGATACAAAGAACATGATGTGTGTTGAGTGATTCATAATTATATTCCTCTGCATGAACGTCATCAATTGTGTAGATCGAATAGCTCTCATTCAAATTCACTAAAAGTTACACAAAACACATCAACACATTACAATCAGGAAATCTTTCTTTTAGATCTTCTTTGTCAAACTAGCAGATTAGAAATACTACAGAAAATGTACCATTAGCTGCGCTTTACACCCCTTGGTGAAAAAGTACTCAGGAAGAGAATACTCAACACCTAATTTGTCTTTTAACAGACATTTAATAGCTTTTGCCGTTTCAATATTTTTGCTGAGGTCTTCCATTGACTTGTTTTCGATCAAAGCGAATTCTAGACTTTGAAATCTATTTTCTTAGATCCCACATCGATAATCAATAGAATTGAATTGGTACCCAACTAGATACGCAATAAATTGCCAAGATTTAAGTCAGTACCGCATGAAACTCCCGATCATCTTGATTTTTTCTCCAAAAATATTGATATAGAACAAACAATTTCCTATATTACATTCGATATTAAGTGGCATATTAATACTATTTTCAACTATTCTAATAAAAGAAGCAAGCAAAGCAAAAGCAAACCTTTTCATATTGTATACACGCGGATTACTCCAGTACTGTTATGTGAACATTTCCGTGCTGTGTTATTTCTTCAACGTGCCTTCGATCCACATCAAACATCATTTGTGCTGACAAATCAACGAATGTACTGTCTAACGATCCTCGATGCTGTTGTTGCTGCTGTTGCTGTTGTTGTTGCTGTTCTATTTCGCTCGGTTCGAACATCGTTCTAATCATCATTCCCTTTCGCTTCGCCCACCTGAACTCTGGAATAGTAATCACGCAGCTATCCACGACAATATTATCCTTGGGATTGCATTCCTTCTTCTTCTTCTTTTTCTCCTCCTTTTCTCTTCTTTTCTTCTCCTTTTTCTCCTTTTTCAATTCTTTTTTCGATTTTTTCTCGTTCGCGCTTTCGTTTCCATTCGAATTCGCACTTCCATCATCTTCACTACTCGCTCTCCCCTCCTCCTCTTCCTTGTCTTTATCTTTGTTTCCCTTCGTGTGTTCCACGTGTTCTTCGGTTCCATCGAATTCCACTACGATCACCGTTTCTTCTTCTTCTTCTTCTTCTTTTTCTTCTTTCAATTCCTCCGTTTGCCGCTCCGAATCCAGTCGTTCCCCCACAGGGTTCCCCGTTTCCACCATTTCTTCCTCCTCCGAATTCTCCGTTTCTCCAGTTTCTCCAGTTTCTCCAGTTTCTCCCTCCCTTGGCATCGGCTTCACGATTCGCACCTCTTCCCCGCGGTTCTCCGCGATCCTCATCGATTCCCCGCGGTTCTCCGCGATCCGTACCCCCATTTCCACGGTCGTTTCCACCGGCTGCATTGCGTCCATAACCGCGGGAGCGGTCTCTCTCATCCCCGCGGATGGCTCGGCGGTGTCCATGTCGAGATAATCGCGGATCACAACGAGCTCCGCCGTCCCGCGGGGCTGCCGCAGATCCTCCCAGAGGACGTTCTCGAGTTTCTCGGTTTCCCCGATGGGGATGTCGGCGACAACGACGGGCATTTGGTCCTTGGAGAGCGGAACGGGCTTCCATTGGAGACATCGGTTCTGGTAGTCCTGGTTGAGAATGTCCGAAGCCGTGATGCCAAGGTCCGCTTCATTAAGCATCTGCATGACCGAGGTCGGCTGCGCGGGCTCGCCGTTTGATGCGAAGATGGAGGGGACGGCGGTTCCGATGGGGTTGGAGAAGGTGTATCGGGTGGAATAGAGAAGACCGCCTAGAGGGAAGCGTGATGGAATGAAGAGTACCGAAGAGAACGAACATGGGCGATACAATGACGCTAATCCAGGAAAGAATCACACACACTAGATAGCATGCGCTGAAACCAGGGGAATAAGACGAAAATGCAGCGCCAATCCAGCAACTCCCTAGAATGTTCCACACGATGCCTCCGAGGATAATAAAATAATAGAAATAGGCTAATGGATGGGTTACGAGCAAAGATGCGATGTACCTGAAAATCACACGAAAACACTACACTAACCTGGACTCCTCCTTCCGAGAATACTTTCCCTTGTTGCGCGCCACTAAGCAGCACATGCCAATCACAGTCATAAACTGAACTACGTTAAGTATTCCACGGATCTATGTAAACAAGGATTTTAGATTTAAACCATTAACCAAGAAGCTGCAAAGATGGCAGTATAATTTGACAAATTTGCTGCTCCAAAAACAATAGTAACGGGTCCCACTCCCATATCCAAAACCAGGGTCGTAAAAAAAGCAGTAATCAACAACCTACAGATTATCACAATATCCTGTCGATAACCCTTTTTTCATCAGTCCTCAAACGCAATTCGAAGAGAAACTGTAACAATTATTATTTATTTATCACTCCTGCATTCATTCTCGCGGTTATTCCACGCGTTCTGGGGATCAACTTGAAAAGTCACTTTCATTATCAACCAAGTAAACGAGAATGGAGAATCTATTCTTAACCATCGTCGGGGTGATTTGTATAGTGATTGTTGTCTTTCAAGTCGTTTTCAAGTTTGTGATTGAAAGTAGATCATTCTGTGGATCTTCCGTATATGTAATCCGAAACAGCAGAATCGTATCGATTGATTGTACAAGGATTATCGGTAGACAAGCGCTCGGCGCCTCCATCAGCCAAATTTAGCTACTGCTATTATGAAAATAAAGACCGCATGTGGCTATACTATAATCATTGGGAACCTAAGGAACCTGCGAGAGTAGAGTTGCATGAAAAGGTTCAGAGTAGGCACTCGTGTTTATCTGCCACGGAATCTGTGAAAGTTCGATCCGTTATGCTCGCATTGCAAAGCTTCTTAATAACAATGGTCTTGAAGTGTATGCTATGGATCATCGAGGTTTGCTTTCTCCTGATTTTTGTTGATTCCTGTTAGGTCATGGTCGCAGCGACGGATACCGCAACTATATCAATAGTATGGATGATATCGTGCAAGATATCTGTGGCTTTGTCTCCCACATTCACTCTTCGCGTCCTGAGCTTCCCGTTTTTCTTTTCGTCTCGCTTGTATTCCATTTTCACTCACAGGGACACTCCATGGGAGGCATGTTAGCCATCATGGCAGCTGCCAAGCTCCAATCGCTTCTCCGCGGCAGCGTTTTCTCTGCTCCCGCGCTGTCTGTGGATCCCTCACAGGTAAAGCTGCTGGGAGTCGTGCGATTGCTGCAAGCTGTTTTACCGAAGCTTCCAGTGTCGTTCCTGGATGGAAAATCGCTCTGTCATGATCCCCAAGTCATAGAAGAATATGAAAACGATATTCTGAACACACCTGGGAGATTAAAGCCAGTCCCTGCGAGAACAGGCTACCAGTTGCTGATTTCGACAATAAAGGCAGGAAAATTGGCAACGGAGATACGAAGTCCGTTTTTGCTGATGCAGGGAGATGAAGATAGTGTATGTCTTCCGGAAGGTGCAGAGTGGTTGATTTGCGTGTGGTTAATGCATAGGAGGTTTATAGAGAAGGCAGTGTCGAATGATAAGGAGCTAAAGATGTGGACGGGTCTTTATCATGAAATCATGAATGAGGATATTGGTATGGAAGTAGCCCAGTATGCGGTTAATTGGATAACATCGAGAATTTAAGTTGTGGATGTTTGTTGGATATCTTACTCAAATTTTGTGGTCATGGCTCTGCAGCTTTATTCAAAAGCCTTTGTTGATATCATTTACGGTGAAGGTCTTCTGGGGTTCCGACTCGGCAAGACCGATGACGATTATCCTGTCGTGAAAGGATTCGATAAAAAAGAAGATGGAACGAGCCAACCGCTTGAGGTATAACCATTGCACTATGTGAATTGCAGGCTACAAGGAGTGTTAAGAAAGGATATTTTGTGTATGCTATTAACGACGAATGCGTGATTTTTCTGAAGCCCAAGGAAGTGAAATCCAAATTGAAGTCAGCAAAAAGACCAATGAAAGTCCGGTTCTGTAAGCCATGCTCAAAGTCGGATCAAAAGGATATTAAAACGCCGAACAACGAGAAACGAGTACAGAAATGGGAGGATAGTGACGTAATTCGCTTTGTTCAATGTTAATGGCAGGATTACCTTCCTGTGCGCTGCTACGATCTTACCAGCATGAACGACAAGACCATCATTGATAAGACAACGGATTCCCAAGAAGAATCGAGTCTTACCCCGCTCTATGAAAATGGTCCTCTCTTTGAGTGTGACGTCCGCGAAGCTGCCTTTAACGGCATCAGCGACGACAAGCGCCGTGCCACCATCTGGAAAATGCTTCTGGGTATCTATCCCTACAACCCCTCGAAATGGGAATCGAGCCACCAATCGAACGTCGATCAATACCAAGTGTTCGTAAACGAGTTCCTCACCTCTCGCAACGAAGCACTGGGTCGCAAGAACAACTCCTTCGTGCCCAACCCTCTGGACGTTTCGTGGCGGAAAAGCCCTTCCTACGACCCCGACGAAGACGACCACACGAGCAACGAGAGCAAGCATTCGCGCGATTTCGGGGACACCGAGGCCGAAACTCTGCCGTACCGAACAATGCCCCTAAGG